GTGGGCTCCGGCGTGCTCGTCGTCGGTATTGCACTTGTCGTCGCGTCCGCGTCGGAGGTGGTCGGCTGCTCCGTAGAGGACGGAGGTGGCTGTGTACTTGACGTTGGCGTGCTCGATGGGCTCTCAGCCTGAGTGCTTGTCGGGCTCGCCGCATCACTGGTCGACGGAAGCGGACTTGCGCTGGTGGTTGGGCTCGCATCTGGCGTAGACGTCTGCTGGGTAGCAGCAGAGGTTGCCTGCGAAGTACCGGCGCTGGCTGTGGTCGCCGCGTTTGCTTGGGTGCTCGCCTGTGAGGCTTGTGCTGCGCCGGCTGTCGTGCTAGTGTCTGCATCATTTCCAGCACCCGACGCGCTAGCCGCTACTTGACGCGGAACGAGCAGCGCGGCGTCTGGCAGCCGAGGGATGCTTGTGTGTGCATCAATGGGGAGCGGAGAGACACCAAGGGAGGCGGCAGCGGACATGGGGAGTTGTGAACAAGAGAGGCCGACCGTGAGTGCGAGCAGCGAGGGCATAAGCCTGCTAATCGCAGCGACATGGACAGCATTCAGCTCAGGCTACAGCGTTTAGACTAAATTAGATAGATAAAGACGTACCTCCGGCCTGGAGGAACACGTCGGACAGGGCTGGCCGCTCGAGACTCGCGTGAGGGAAGCGCAGCGCAGTCGGCTTCTACACGTTCATGTACGCCTGGCGCGCGCGTGGCAGATACGGAGCGGTCACCTTGTTCTAGGAGGCGGGCCGTGGGCGAAGGAGAGGAGGTGCTGAGGACGGCCGCGGGGGGCGGGAGGGCGAAAGGACGAGAAGAGGAGTAGGAGGCTGTAAGATACAATGAGGACGCTGTATGATAGGGCTGGAAGCGAGATAGTCTAGAGCATGAGGATGAAAGTGCGTGAGCGGGAGAGCAGGTACGGGAGACAGACGGAGCGTGTATGAGAGCTGGAGCGAGCGAGGGACGGGTATCTGACGCAGCTGGCGCTCCCTGGGCGGACATGTGCATGTACGGACGAACGGCCTAGGTTGGCTGCTCTGAGGGCGTGGCGACTAGGGCTGTGAGGTAGTGCTGGTTAGGTATTAATGCGGGTGCGATAGGATAGGCCGGCGTCGCGAACGTGGCGTTTGTGGGCATTGGAGGGGGGTCTCCGCCGGGCGTGTCGGGGGCGATGGGGACGGGCTGCGTGCAGTGGAGGGCGTGGAGGAAGGGGGGAATGAGGAGGAGGAGACAGCAGGCGGCGTCGAGGACGGGGGAGGGAGTGATGGGCCAAGTCTTTATTTCATGCGGTATGCATTTTCGCGTCTCGCGGGGGGCCTTATTGGCTGCGGCATCACGGCACGCATCAACTCTCTTCTCTCGATGCTCCCATTTGTCCTCTGTCCCCCGCCCCTGTGGTGGCGCTGCCTAGCCTGAGTGTACGCACCGACGGGCAAATAATCTGGCTGAACCGGGCGAGCGAAGACGCGACGTCATTCCATCCCTCTTCACTACCCGTGGAGCGCTTCACGCCGCCCTTACTAGTGCGCACGCGAAGCTCGACCATTCGTTTGCGCCGTGTCGGCGTGTCTAGTGCACGTCTAGTGTCTCTGAGTGATTAGCGTGTGTCTAGTATGCATCAACATGGCGAATCGCCCAAGAGACCGCCGGCATATACGGCGCGGGTCCGTCTGCTAAATCCTAGCCAGTGCGCTCGGGCCTAGCACTCCACAGCACCAGTGGAACCTCGCCCTCCTACTCGTGCCACCTCCCAGCCTGTCACCTGTTCATCCCTCTCTGTGAATACTTATAGCACACGGCTTGGCACTTCCCGACTTACGTTCAGGCACCGCCATGTACCTTCACTATTGACTGCATCTCTCACGCATGCTGGACATTCTGAATTCAATGCACTGAATGCAGGGCATCAGCCCTTAGCTCGGCATCGTCCCCAATATTCCCAAGGTGTGTCTGTTCGGTCTCCTGGGTGACGAAGGCAACCCTGGATCACTCAGGATTAATATTGGCAAGTCAATTCAGGAGAGACTAGTGTGCGCGCCGACGGAAAATGCCATCGGAACACTTCCCCGTAGCTCACAGGCAAACTGCGTAATCCGCCAGTCACACAAGCAATGGAGAATACGCTGATTTGTCAACGCTGCGAGTCGGTGGTACTTGAATCGTTCGCCAAAACAATGATGCTATATGATGCACTTTCGACGAGTTTCTCTGAGCAACACGACGGGAACGGGAGATATGATAACATCGATGAAGGGTGCGTACGTGCTATCATGCTATCACGTCTTTGGAGGCTGCCGCAGGCGTGAAGTAGCGCGCATGCAACTGCTTTGAATCGCGCCGCCTAGAAGCCTCACCGTCGTTCCCGACTCAGCTCCGAGTATTCCTGGGACTTATGCAGGCTCCAGCGCGCTGTCGAGGCGGAGCTTGAGGATCGCAGCATAAGTAGAAAGAAACGCGGGCACTTTCAAATTTGTGCTGCCAGTTGGCTAGTGCGGGTAGCCTTTCGAGAATTAAGCTTAAGCGCAGCGCACAATGTATATCAAGTTCGTGCAGAGGAGGGCCAATTGTTGTACGCGTCGTCGAGACCCGTGTTGTAACCTTGTCGAACGACTCCTGTACCTCGGAGTTGTAAGAATCATTCCGTTTGTATATGGGAGATTTTTTTCCTCGATGGACTTTCAATATGCGCACTGTCATCCAGATACTAGATGACACCACGTAGTTGCTATCAAGCTGTGCAGCATGTTCTGCGACGCCGCCACACTTGACTCTGGCGTCTAGCAATGGAGGCGCATGTAGTCGTTTGTTTGGTCGTGGCAATCGCCGGGTGGTCGTTGGAAAGTTGACCACGCCGTCGTCTCCGTGGCCGCATCCCATCGACCCACTCATCATTCTGCGTAGCCCCCGCACGCTTCCTTGTTTTCTACTTCTACAACCTTTTTTTACGAGCTCTGAGAGCATCGGACGCGTGAGACACACCGTCATTCATCACGGACCACCACGATGCCTCGAACACGCGGCGTTGTGCGCGACGCGCCCCCGCCCGCCGTCGACAAGTCCCCGGCACGTCCCGCAGCCATGAAGCGTTCCGTCTCGCTTACACTGCCCCCAACGCCCCCGCGCACGGCCACCAAGCGCAAACGTGCACGCTCACGCGTCACCGACTCGGAGTCGGACGAGGAGGATGAGCTTCCGCAGCCCGCGCCGAGGCACGACAGCGACGAGGAGTGCGCGCAAAAGCGTCCTGGCGCGGTGGTCATCGGGAATAAGAAGCGCAAGACGCTTGATGCGATTGCGGAGGAGCTGAGCGAGACGCAGGTCGAGGAGGCATTTTGGATGGGCACATCGACGGACGCCCGAAGAGAGACGAGCAAGAAGGAGGGGAAGGAAGACGACGAGGTAGAGGAGAAGCCGAAGGCTCGATATGAATTGAGGTCTCGTTCCCAATCCCGCTCGCCTTCGTCGTCACCGCCAATCGCGCCTCACCTGCTGCAGCGCCAGCGGACCGGGCTATTCTCTCCGCCACCGTCACGTCGTCAACCGAGGATGCGTGCCAGGAGTCGACAACCGAGTCCTCCAGCAAGGGCGTCGCGGAGCCCTCCCGAGCGGCCGCTGTTTCCTGTGCGAGACTCACCCAACAACCCGTTCTTGTCCGATGAGAGTCCTACCCCTGCTGCTGAGGCTGAGAGTGGACCTGAGAGTCTTCCGGAACCGACTATATCCGACTCACTGCTGGAGAGGCCGACAATTACCTATGTCTTGTGCGTATCCAGCCACTTCTTGTTTTCTTCGTGTCACTTATTTTGACTCGTATAGCCGTGGGACGAAGGTCATACTAGCCAACCCTCACTACAAACCTCCAGGCTCTCACTCGGATTCAGAAGGCGTAGATCCCTCTTCTCTGCCTGTCACGCATCCGGACTTCAGTCCTCCTCCAGCATATGGGCCCAAGCTGCTTTTCCCGGAGGCCCGCCGCGACCTCCTCCGGAGACGAGCGCAGCGGGGCACGCAACCACAACCTAGCGCCCGGCCCACGACCAGGGCTTCATCCCGACGGACGGCGAGCGCCACCCCTGAGCCGAGTACGCCTCAAAGGCGGTCGCGCACCAAGTCGCGATCACCGGTCCCTCCGGCTGTGGCCTCGGATGACGAGGACTCGGAGCTCGTGCTACCCGCGCGTCCGCAGGCGAAGGCAAAAGCAAAGGCGCCACGCGTAGCCGTGGCCGAAGAAGACATCGAGTCCGCGCTGCAGGCGGCGATGGCCAGCCGTCTCGCGCACCACGTGGGTGCGCTAGTGCCGGAGGACACGAAGACGCGCACGAGAGCTCATGGGGCTCCACGGCTTCCGGAGAAGGACAACGACGCGATGCGGCGAGCGATGGGCCCTGTGCGGGTGGCCAGTCGTCCTGCTGCCGAATCATCACGCTGAGTTGGCTGGTCTTCATCGGTATTCTGTTTTTCTTTTGTATGCGCACTGTTTCCGTCTGCTCGCTTTTGCCAGATCCTAATTGTCAAGTGCTTACACATGTCTCATCCATCGTTTCATACTTCTCTTCGCTGTGTACAGACCCGAAGACATGACTGATGTCCACTACTAACCCACCTTCATCTTGTTTGCGACACCCACATCATTACCATCTCCTCGATTTGCGATACCTATCCTGTCCCGCGTCGATATGCCATCTATATCTTGTTGACTGCTCTCACTTGAATACTATGTCTCTGCGTCGGGTTCAGACGTTGCGCAATATAGCTTCTGCATCATGATTTCTTGTTCTCACTCGAGTGGCCGATCTCTCACTTTTTCTTGCTTTTAGAGCAGGCTTTTCGGGCACAGCATGCGGTGCGACAACTGTAGATAACATAGCAGTGTTTTACATGAATGATTGAGCAAAGTGTTTAAAGTTCTAGCAATCGCTTGCAGAGGCTTGAGCAAGTTTAATGAATCTAGAGCGAGAGATGGCTATGTACTTCGAGCAAAGAATGCCAGTGCAGCAAGCAACGAAAGCGAGAAAGGAGCAACCAGAGAACAAAGCATTGAACCCGAGCAGCACAAGGTCCTTAGGAACATCCTTGGTCCGTAGAGTTCCAGATAACGATAGCAATTTCAGCATCTTGCTTGTCCCCCTCTGTTGATGCTGGCAATATCCTGCAATGATCTTCTGTGTTGTCCGTCAGAGGTTGGTCGTCGCAGAAGACGGCGCCACAGCTTGGGAGTTGCAGCAGATCCCAGACTTGAGATGCTAGGCGTTTACGCTACTGGGGCACACATTTCAGAGTCAGACGATTCACATTCTCGCAATACGCAGCATGTTCAAAAAAGCAAGACCGGGTCTATAGTCCAGAAGGTCAAGAATATGCAACAGCCAGGACGTACATACCTCTGCAACCCTTTTCCTCATGTTGACATACCTGAGCCTTGAAGTATCGACGCGCTGAGCAGCAGTGCCGCATATAGTCTGTCGCTTGCCGCTGGCTTGTGGGCTAGGGATAGGAGAATCTGAAGGGGGAGGCGATGGTAGACGCGAGCCTTCCGGTATTCGGCTGCTCGCATAGGCGTCGAGATCCACAGCACCAGGAGGATCTGCGAAAAACGATTCGTCAATGCCCGAGTTCACATATATGCGTATCGCGTGAGACTATATGCAGTGACCAAAAAGACGAAGCCGGAGAAAAACAAATTACGGCCGTGCTTACTAGAAGTGCACGCATTTCCCCTGTCTTCACGTAATGACGGACGCGAGAGAGATTCTGGCGTGTGTGGATGAAATACAGTGACGGTCGGGCCCGCATTTGCTTGCTCGGCAGTGCGACGCGGAGGCGGGCGATAGGTCATGGAAGCCTTCTTGGCTTGCGCAGGCTCAGTCTTGAGTAGCGGGAGCCTGAAACCTTTTGATATGACGATAGGCTGTCGTTGACTGACCGAGCTCGGATTAACGGTCCGCGCTTTCGCTTTCTTGGAAGACTGAATGGTCGACCAAGCCTCATCAGGTGAAGGCGGAAAGGCGCTATATGCGTCTCGTTTATTTTCTACCTTGCCGCCTGTTCGACGAGATGATATGAAAGCAACGCGTAAGTCATCAGGATCAGCAGACAGTTTCCCGCGAGGCATAGCAGGCACATGAGCTCGTGATTGGGGGCTGGAAACTGGAGAAGGAAGGACACCCTTGAACAAGTTCAGCTTTGGTGGAGAACCAGCAGAAGACGTAAGAAGGCTCGAAATATTGAAAGAGCTTTGAGGGAGAGACGGCTCTGCGAGTGCTTTCGCCAACGGAAGAGGCGGAAAATGACTAGATGACGATTTCCCATTTACAGCAAGAGAGTTGAGGAGGCATCCCGTGGCAATGTTTTCAGACAATGAATCGTCAGCCCCTGTACCTATAATGGAGTTCTTTGTCCTTCTGTGAGCCTTTACAGATTGCAACGGCTCTGGAGATCCGGAGCATTGAAATGCACGCCCTTCGGAAGCCATGGATCCCGCCGTGCGCCGTTCCGGTGGGAACACGGGAGACATGCCCTGCATACAGGTAAAGAAGGGTTTATGCAGGGAACATGCGACGACAATACCTGCCCAGAAGTGCCTGCGTGCGCAACTACTCTAAAAGCCCCAACGTCGAGATTTTCACGCTTGGGGGCCTTGATTTGAATTGAGGATTCTTCGGAAGAGACGCGCACGTTAGACTCGACCATATGAGCATGCAGAGGTCGCTGAGGAAGGTGGGCATGGTTGGACGGAGTAGTATGTTCAGATACAGCCGCTGCGAGAGGTAGAGAAGACGAGACTCGCTGCTCTATCTTGGTACATCCTTGATCAAGAGCATGATTCTGCACATCTACAACCGCTTGCACCCTTTCGTTCGATAAGTCGACCGACGTGCGTCTCTTCCGTGTATCAATGCTAGTCAGATCATCGTGACTTATGCTCGAAGGGTATTTGTGTTTGTTGGACATCTGGTGCGGAACGGTCATTCTGCGAGTCGTGGCGTTGATTCTGGCAATTGTCCACGGATTCAGTTGCAGTCCCGCGCTATCGACCCGAACGGATATATCCAGTTCTGCGACAGCATCATCCGATAGACTTTGTTGGTCAACGTGCCGAGAAGTTGCCTGTGAAAGATTATCGTCATCCGAGTCATCCAGGTTTTGATATCGATAGTTGAAAGTCCATCCAGTATCGTCAGACCGCGTTCCAGGAGCCATCTCTGAATGGAAAGCAAGAGCAGACGCCGGCTAAGCGGGTGCACAGCCTGTTTTACTCGTGAGGATATCAAAAAGATCGATGATAATTTCCAGAATTATTTTGATTCTTATCAATGAATTATCACAGGGTGCGCGGCCCTTTTTTTCAAGAGAAAGTCTAAACAATTTTAATGTGATTAAGTATAGGATTTTGCATCGAGGGTTTTTGAGCAAGTTTTGATTGTTCTTCATTGACACCACACAATAAAATTGTACCAAATTGAACAAAACTTGTCATCTAGATTTATGGTTACATTAGTCTCGTTCCCATGATGTTCCAGAGAGGTGCTCAGCTGATGCTATCACTACAAACATGGTACAATAAATTCACATCCAAAAGTCTGAAGAAAATCCTGATTGATCATTTATCTGCAGTTTTATCTATTTTTCCACGGTTTCAATTAATTACCCAAAGATTTTTTACAGACTTTCACATGCGATTTTATTGTATCATGTTTGTTTGTAGTGTATGTTTGGAGATGCCATTTCACATTTCTACTCCTGACGCCTTGAGATTGAAAATCTATATACAAAGTACCCATAGATATATCCAAATCTGAAAGTATGAGTTTTTCTGTGAACCTAACCCTAACCCTAAACAAACTGCCAAATTGGCCCAAGGTCAATGGATGTCAAGGGTATGCTGCTACTGAAAATACATACCTTTCGAGCCACGGCAAGCTCTATCCTTCACCTTTCATTCTAATTTGCAACTCCAGGTCCTTCAACTGCAATATATGATGAGACTTATATCTGCAAATTCTTTTTATCACTGCCTCTTACTGACACTTACTACAACTACATTTGGTAATACCAGTGCTTATACTACCTGCATATCCATATATGGTAATGTATTAGTAAGCAAAACCACTAAATTGAGGTCCAAAAACTTGAAGTTTGGATTTTGGTAAATCTGTTCCAACCATATTGTAGAGCATCTCTTTAGCTATGATTCTATATATATTTCATGAATTTTAGTGCAGATTCTGATAAGCCTTAGCAAATCTGCGAGATGGCTCAAATACTTACCATGAAGTGGCATCTCCAACTATACTCTCTAGAATGTCTGGTGCATTTTGAGCTCAGCATGGAGACTTATGATTTGAGGTGACCAAAATGTCACAGTAGTGTTACAATAACTCATAATTGACATGTAATCATCAATTGTGTACAGCAATGTCCAACAGACTTAACCATAACACTGCACTCAAACATTCATATGATAGTCTTGCAGAGGCTCATGCTGAGGCTGTCAGAGCTTCTGAATATGACTTCCAGACAACATGCTGCAAAATGGTTCAAGAATGTCAGTGACATTGTGTGATCGTCACTGGAGCTGGTGCCGAAGTGTGATATATTTGTCCGAGAAGTTTACAATGCATTGCCTAGTCGAAGAGGACCTTCAGGAAAGCAAAAAAGTATGGCAGGAAGCAAAAAATGCACTTCGGTAAGTGAGGCAGAAGCAAAGAAGTCATTCTGAGATAAGCCCTGAGATGGCTTCCAGAGACAATTCTGAGGAATCTGTTTGCAGGCACTCAATCTAGCCAGAAATATGAAGATATTGTGCTCACACAGTGCACAGAGAGAGACAATCAATTCACCTCTAGCTACCACAATTTTCGGGAAGCGAAAATTTCTAACTAGGAGTCTTTTATACTATCCGAGTAAGTCCGAAGATAAATAAGAAAACAAACAGATAAGATAATTAAAATCAAAAATAAAATCAGAAATAGATTGAAATCTGAAGAATTGAAAGTCGTGCAGGATTGTAGTAGCAGCCTGACTACAGTCCTCACAACATGCCAGCATCATACTCTACAAAGAGCAGCTAGATTTAGCTGAGTGCATGATCCTTGGCCTCAATTCAAGCTTCATCACAGGAACTGGCTGAGAAAAAACATTGCCTTTTGCACTCTCACTCCTTGTCCTATCTGAAAACGAGATCATGGTAGTGGTCTGTTCATTGAAAGCTCTCGAAGAGGATCAGGTCTGTCATTGATAGTAATTGTTAATAGTGCTAATATATGAAGCTGAGTATCAATCTCTGTATCTTAGTGCTAGCTTACTATATGATAACAAGCGTGTGATAATAATTATAACATTTTTATCATCTTTGTTCAAAAAAGAGTGAAAAAAATTTTGAAGCTCTTTATCATAATTTTATATGAAAACTTGTAAAATGGTTGAAGAAGTGATTACTAAAATTTCATCTAACCTTCTTTCAATCTTTTCATCATCTTTGACAACAAAGCTTTTTTAAAAGATATTTGGAATTTTTATTATAAATTGATGGTAAAGATGCTTAAAAGATTTGAACTTTTCTTCAATATCTTTATCATCTTTCATCTCAAATTATTCATTGCTTCACCCAGTGTGAAAGCCACCAGGGACATTGCATCAATTAATGTTCACTGAAATGATGCAATCTGATCTATTGCTCAGGTTATTGACTACATGAAGCAATCAATACTTAGAGGTGAAAGATGATAATGGTAATGAAGAAGAAGTTTCAAATTGATTAGCATTTTTGCTACTAACTTGTGATTAAAATTAAAAATAATTTTCACATTTTTATGAAGGATGATGGAAAAACACATGATGAAATCATAATGTTTTCTATCAATACACAATCTATGAAACAAATTTATAATAAAAAAGGTTAAAAATTATTGTTTATTATCAAACATGATGAACATATTGTGATCATATCACACCCTTGCCATTCTATATTAAGCTAGCACTGAGGTATAGACATTCATACTCAAATTAAAATGTTAGCACTATGATCGTATAAAGCTACAGTGATCCACAAAATCATTGATAAGGTTACTCATTTTAGATTGCACAGTTAATCTATTTTATAGGTAAAACCTTTGTAACATCTTTCTAGTGATATTATGGCATTGACATGAACTACATATTTCTCATAATAATGACATAAAGGGTATATCAAAGACCACTTTTTTTGAAAGTCAAATAAAACAAATTTATTTGAAGCATATCAGTTATCTGAAGCCTTAGTAATAACATGGTACTAGCATACTGCTAAAATTAGGAGCTTATAACATTAGGAGCTTAGTACTATCCTTCTAACCATAGTACTGATGTGGTGTGAGTATTAACCTTCATACCTTAGCACTAGCTTATGATAGGATGACAAGCACTAGGTGAAGCAATCAATAATATGAGGTGAAATATGATAAAGATATTGAAGAGAAAGTTCAAATCTTTAACACTTTTACTATCAATTTATAACAAGAGGATTTAAAATATTTTCAACAGTTTTTCTTATGAAGGATGTCATTCAAAGAAAGTATTGATTATCATTCCAGGAAATGCTTTAGAATTGAATTCAATAATTCAGCCTTTCATGTCACATGAATTATTTTAGAAAAAGGATTGGGAAGGGCTCATTTGTACCTTTCCTAGTCATTGATTTATGCTAAGCTGCCTATGTTAACTTAGAAATGATAGGATGTTGTGCAGAAAAAGTCAAAGAAAATTCTCAATTTTTTCACTCATTTCTCACACTCAATGCAGTAGTTTCTTTGAGATGATAATGAAAAAATTGAATGGCAATTGAATAAAATATCAATAATTGTTTCTTCAATCATTTAATAAACTTTTAGACAAATTTATAATAACAAGTTTCAAAATAGTTTTTCACTCTTTTTATTAAAGATGATAAACATGTTGTGATGATGTCACACTCTTATCATTATATACTAAGCTAGCACTAAGATATGAAGGTTGATACTCAGATTCTAATATTAGCAATATGCTAGTACTATGATAGTACTATATCAATGCTAAGATTTAAATGCAAGTACTAACATTTAGACCTATGTAAGTATTAACCTTCATATCCTAGTAAGATATATCCAGGTCACTTTTGACTAACTCATGTGATCAGAGTCTGTCACACGTGCACTAATCTGATAAAGGAGGAACATTGTAAATCTATCTACTTTCTCCATATCACAATTTCTCAAAATCAGTTTCTATAGGATTTTATATTTGATGTTTTTTGAAATTTCCTTAGAAACAGATTTTTGTTAAATGCAATGTGTGAAAGTAGATACATTTTGATGAATGCACCTTGTTGGGTGACTATTTAGTGCTGTAATTTAAGTCAAATCTAATTGGCCTCCCAATTACCATTATCCCTGGCATGCATCATAGTGCACATAGTTTTCTATGCCAAAATGATCTTGCTGAGTAGACTTCAGTGGCTTAAGCATCTGGATGAATATGCTAGGAAGAAAGCTCAGAGAATTCCAGAATGTGATGATGCAGACAAAGAGAATGTTCAAAGTGAGACTCTCTTATGCACTGCAGCTGAAACTGTTGTCATTCAAATTCAATGGAATGCTGCATAGCAAGTCAACACATGTAGTATTTCCACACAGTTTATGATCTCTATATATTTATTGTGGCCCTTTGCATGGTAGAACAGTTACATATCTGTTCTGCTGAGAGCCTGGGACTTATCATGAGCATCTAACATCAGATAACTCTCTCAAACATGCTATTCACGTAATGGTCATGCTGTGATGAGGTTAGTTGAAGATGACCTGGGTATATCTTACTGGCTTAGTATAGAATGATTATGATGTAACATAGTCACAATATGTTCATCAAGTAACTTGATACTAGCATACTCCTAACATTTGAATCTTAGTATTAATCTTCAGATCTTAGTACTAACATTTAGACCTGAGAACTAATCTCCAGACCTTAGTATTAGCTCAATAATAGCATAGCTCTAGCACGATACTACTTCTTGAGGCCTTAGTATTAGCATAGTACCAGCATAGCACTAATATTTGAACCTTAGTACTAACCTCCAGAGAGACCCTAATACTAGCATAGTACATACTACCTTCTGAGGTCTTAGTACTGGTATAGTACTATCATTTATATTTCTTAACACCAGCTTGAGTTAGAGGGCCAGTAAGATTGTGAAATTTGAAACTGGTCGGAGTACAAACATGTGGCTGAAATGTGGCTGAGATGGCTGATAGTAAGAAACATAATGTACCACCTCTCACACGAGCCCCCCTCAAACTTGCAGAGGTGGATGGAGAGGAGCCTGGGTTTCTCTTGGGCACAATTGTAATGTGATTTTTATAAAAAAGATTTGCACTTGTTTGTCTTCTTTGATCACTTTTTCTTTGGCCTTTTTTACTCCTGTGTTCTACATTATTGCCCCTTTTTCATCTGAGTTCTTCTATAGCTCTTTTATACCTTCATCTTTTGCTTTTACGTTCTAGTGTTGCTCACCATACTATGTGCTATTCTGTATTCTCATGCTGCATATGGTTTGTCCTCCTTCTCATCGCATTCTGACTTGATATCATCTTTGTTCTAAACAGTCTTCTTCATTCAACCATCATTGCTTGTTGGGTATCCACAGTCCATATAGATGTTATCATGATGAGGATTATGAATATGTCTGGTAAATGTACCTTGTACCATCAGTGACATTCTATCGACCTCATCTGCAGCTGTACTGACTCACCCATGTGACCTGTTTCCTTTTTTTGGTCTGACCTCATAATAAACACAATCAGCTCTGGCTCTCTTATTTTTGCCAGTCTCTCTCTCCTCTTCCAACGTCAAGGATTATACTTCATGATGAGGTTCTCAACATTGATATTGAAGTATGCAAATTGAGGATACACTTTAGCTTCCATGACAGCCACCTCGATGCCACACTTACCTTGTCACTGCTTGCACTGCTGCTGGAGACAACAAACATTCGAGGATCAAGCATGCCTTCACCTTACCTTTGACAACTGTCATGTGATACATGCCAATGAGAACTCACACGTCACTTGGTAATTGTCAGATGCACCTTGTAAAATGAACTGCACCGCTGTTGTGACAGGTTCCACCACATTCTGTGGTACCCCACATGAAATCACTCAGCATTGATATGCACTGAAAATCTCTGCACTCAGAAGCCCAACTAAAGGAGCAGTCAAGAACCATGCAACTTGATAACACGTATCTATCAAGCAGAATACTCCAGACAAAACAGCACATGAGGACCTCTGACTCTGAAGAGCCCATGAAAGCAGTAAAATATTATGAAGAGTCATACATGAGGCTCAGAGATGAGCCAGAACCTGCATGCTAGCATTGCTGATTATGAGAACAAAGAAGAAGAGGTGGAGCAGAATAATTTAAGCAAGTTTGAAATGAGAGTGCACTCTAAGCGAGAGAAGCACAGGACAGCAGACTGCCAGACCCTTGAGGGCTCATACCTTTCAGTTCCCTGACTGTAAGCGACAGTGAGGAGGAGGCAGAAAATGTCTTAAAACTGTTTCAGAGGATCAAAAATGTCTTCTGCTACACTGGAAGATGTTTTTCAACACCTATATAATGGCTTGTATACATATGTAGCACAAAAACAATGAAGAGTTCACCCTGCAGTCCTCAAGTTCTGAATTACCCTCACAATAGGGTGGAGTGCCCTATTCAGTTTTATTAGTCTACACTTGATACCAATGCCTCATCAGCTCTCAACACCAGCTAGGGCAGCACTCTCTGTAGTGGCTCACAGCTCGACTCAAGAAGTGCCCAGATAAGTCATGTTACCACATTCTGTACTCACATCACCTTGTTTCCTCTCTCATGCCATCAGTCATGAGCTCTAATAACTCAGATTTCTGTCTTCATCAGACTCCGTAGCTTCAGCAAGCACTCAGACCTCATCTGTAGTGCTGGAGAGCCCAGTATAGACACTCCAGAGATTTAGAGAGTGCCCAGACCTCATCTGTAGTGCTGGGGAGAGCTGTCTATAGTGCCCAGAGATACAAGCTTAGTCAGGCAAAGACCTAGTATGTCACCACTTGGTCCTCACACCCTCTACATACGCTTGTCTGAGTCTCACTTTACCTGCCCAATTCACATGATCCACCCATCTCTCGACTTGTTCAGAGTTGGTCGTATCACCCTAGTCTTAATCACCACTCATCGCTCTGTTTCAAGCATAACACCAAATGACTCACAGCCACCCCTCAAAGCATTATTAGCTGAAGTTTCTGCAACTGCAGCTCAAGGTGAACAGAGATAGACAGCTCTAATCTGCCTTCCTCGAGAGGATAGGAGGTAGCTGGCAGCCAGGATGTGATTGAGCATATCAGTGTTTCTGAAACTTACTGTAATTTACACACTGTTCTGCTGTCCTGCTCCAAATGTCTTTCATACTCTCCTACTCTCATCGTCATATGTTTTTCAATAATATTGTAAAGTAATATTCCTGCTATCATGCACATGTGCCCGCTTCACCATATTTTTTCATGAGACAACTGTCACTTGATACTCAACTCGATATCGCACTGTCGAATATCCATGATACCTCAGAAACACTGCTCTATATGTGCATCTCTAGATGGTGGCATAATAAACTGGCCAGCGGTCATATTATCGGCAGTGAAGAACACATTCTACAGTTTGTGCAGTTGAAGTCAACATGTTACGACAGGTGCAAATTACTGTTTCAGAGAAAGCTAGGTAGTTTTGTATAACAAGGATTTTATACATGTTTTAAACTATGTATTGAATGTGTTCAAAACTCGACCCCCCAAAAAAGGCATATTAAACTCCCATCTGAGTGCTTATCAGAGATGGTTGTGAGCGGACACTTTGACCCGAGATCACTCAAATATGGTATAGAGATTTCAATTCTTGGATGGTGAGACATAAATGAGCCATCAACACTGTGCAGTTGTGGCTTCCGACACTGAGTGTGGCAGCCCCCAAAATATACAGCCAATGCTTAAACTGATGAGGTCGACTCGGATGAGGATGTGAAGGGTGCAGATTGATGATGAATGCACTGGATGCAAATTTTCATGCAGATTTGGCATCCCTCAAACTGTGTGACTTTCTATCTGACAGACCTCTTCTTGCAGAGCCAAGTACAGCCTCGGGATCCAAGATTATCCTTCCTCTCGCTAGCAGTATTCAGCGGGTTGTGCAGGCCTCCGACTGGGAGATGTAATGATACATTATGTAATGATGTTGAAAACTAGTTTAAAACATGCAAAAAACGTCGCCTATGCGGCGCCTACAGTTTCAAACATGTACAAAACCTCCGGGTAGTTTTTCCTGGAACGTTAGTGCAAATGCTCTCATGCTAATCGATTACAATGACCTCCATCGCTGTATGACTTTTCCATACCTCTGAGGGCATCAACCTAACCTTGAGAGAGTTCATTCAAAATTGATGACCACGCTGCATGCTCGAGATAATCAGTCGTGGCGCAGGCTCAAATCCAATCCACTGACCTGGATTTCTATGAGCAGTGCGTAGAGAAGCCCCGGAACTGCCCGATGCATCTGTGCTATCGGAAAGTGTGCGAGCTTTCTTTGCTTCTGCGAGACTCAAGCGGAGCCTTTCCGTCAACTTCTTCACCATGAGCTGTTCAACTTTCTCGTTCGCCTCCTGGGACAATCCTTTTGGCCTGACCCAACCCGGATAGATCTTTCCATGTGTACCCTTGAGCTCCCACAGTACTCCTTTTGGCACGGCTTGACGATACGCCTCAAAAAAGAGGTAACATGGATAACAAGACAGCTGGGAGACGCCAATGTAGGGATGTGGCGGGAGATCAGTGGATGTTGTTGTGTGATATACAAGCAGCGTGCATTCACAGTGAGGGATCTGGCGAGAGAGGTCCACGACTTGCGATGTTTTGGAGTATGACTGGCCTAACTGGGCTAGGAGACGCTCTCGCGAGATGAATGGACAGGTTTCTTGTTCCTCTGGCTTTGATTCCTCCTCTTCCTCATGCGGCGTCTTGGATCCATCTTCACATAGACTTTCAATGAAAGAGCCGATGTCTTCTTCTGAAAATGAAAAAGGACGTGAAAGGGCAGCGTAAGGCTGCACTAGTACCACGTCAAGTTCTGCATGGAACATAACCTTTCTGCGAGAAGATGTCGCAGCACGGCAAAGAGTCTGAATATGGGTGTGGAGAGAGTAGGCCTTCTCCATGAAGCGTCGAAAGTCGAAGGTTTTGGCATTTGATGCCATAGTTCTCTCTGGCAGTGTAGTCAGCGTTAGCTATTACTTAAACAGTCGCCGCGGTACTCACCTTGCTGCCGCTGCTCAAAAATAGCTTGCCAATTTATCATAAGAAGCCCATTCTCCCTTGTCGCTCGTGCCCAGTCACGTCGCTCTTCCGCAAGAACGTCGACTATCTTAGGCGTGGCCTCGGACGCAGGCAAATCGATAAGTTCGTATATTTGTTGCACGCAAGCCAACAGCCTGCGCAAAATGGTTATATCGCTCAATGGAGTGTCTGAGTCGGGTAATCGGGCATCCGATGCTATCGCATCGTTCATGGTAGTAATGAACTCCTGCGCTTCTCGTCGGCGCTTCGCGATGCGAGCTCTCAGCTTGGGGAAACAAGTGGTGTAGATGTAGTCGAATGTTTGCCTCCACAAGTCCATGAGGTCTTCATCCAACACCTCGTCAGGAGTTTTCCGAAGAGCTTCCTCGGAGGTCTGAGGTCCATATCGGCTGATCGCCTGCAACTTTGTCCAGATCAACTTGAGATGGTCCACAACACCCGAATCCACGGCGCCGTTCTGTGCGACGTGGATGGTGATATTGCGGCTACTCGCCGTCCAAGTGACAGCTGATACTTCTTTCTCGCGCCGCGTTACTACAGCAGCAATAGCATCTGCAATCTGTCGCTCGCGTTTCCAGGCGTTGTCTTTCGGTTCTGGGCTGATGCGACGGAGTTCGGAGACAGAAGCTTCATATGCTGACCGGTTAAAGCCAGCATATAAGTGGAGAATACATAGCAACTCTTCAGGCGTCGGAGGCTGAGTAGTCATGGCGGGGCACCCCAACCCCCATGCGACGCTCCAGTTCGTTAGCGCGCGTCTTGATCTGCCTGGACGAGCTAAGCGCCGAACCGCGCTCTCAAACATCCGCGCACGTGACCGCCACCCAGCCATAAAACTTCCCGCCCGCGCGCTTCGTATCCTCACTCATTTCCCGGACTCGCACTATTGTCCCCCTGCGACCGAACATACCATTTTTCTTGCAGGAGTCTACCGCTTGTCCCAGAACGATGCGCCTCAGCTGGAGCGCGCACTCTCCCTCGGGGTCGTCAACGTGTTGACGATGGTGCGCTTTTCCTTACCAGAGGTGTCACATACCATTTGTGCAATCTTTTCACAGCATCATGTCTATCGATTCTGCATCCTCCTATATTGCACACGCTGAGCTATTGGATTATTATGTATCACAGTATCATTTGAGGTCATAATGATAATGCTACTTTCTATTGTGCCAGAGGAATCAAAGCAAAAAGCAAACGTAGAAAATGCAAATTATGAACTACCGAATCCACAAGATCATCGGACCTCCGTAAAGACAGGACAAGGGCGTTCACGACAACATTATCATGCAACGCGTTCGCAATCGTAGGCAACACTGCCGCTCTAAGGGAATCGTGATTATGAACAGATCTAAAATGTATCCTCCACACTCTCCACGACGCCGGTTCCTCGACTCGGCGCGCCCCCAGCTCGTGGCGGGGCCCATGCACGTACATCGCCATCCAACGCAGCTTGGATATCATGCTGTCTCTGGCTTCTTCGCTTTCGGGGCACTGACTTTCGCTGGTATGAAGAGCCACCATATGGCGATGATGATCCTGATGCCGCAGCCAATGCCTAAAGCTGATGCCGAGCCAATAGCGTCGATGAGTGCACGGCCGACGAAACCGCCAACGAATAGGAAGATGATGCCAATAATCTTGTGATCGCGAGAGATGACCCAGTGATTGAGCTGGAACAGCTTCGGGTCCGCCATAAGCTCGCACCACACCGTCGTAAATACGACTACACGTGAGAATGTACAAGTCAGTAATCGCACCAGCATCACACCACCATCAAGGGTGATGCAACGATAAGGCCGGTGCTCACCAGTGGTTGAAAATTGCGTGTTGATGCGCTTGCCCATGATACCCTGCAGCCCGACGCTCGCGCTCATGAAGCCGACGGCGACGAACGTAAGCGCATCTGTCCACGCTGGGTTGAAACGATCCGTCGCCACGCTGATAGATCCGCTCTGCCACACCGCCACCGCTGCTGCCATGGTGAATAACGCCTGGATGAAGGTGCCCAGCATGAGCCATGCGCGTGACTTAGGGCCCATGCGGTCGCCGAGGCGGCCAATGAAGGAGCCGACATTGAATGACAATAACGAGCAGAGGGCTTGTTGGTCGGAGATGTGAAATGAAACGTCCCTCGGTTTCGAGAAAAGGCGGGCGACAGCGAGGGAGAGCTGACAACAGGCAGATGAAGCGGGCTCAGAACGTTACGCAATAGGAGCTACACACCTGCACTGTGTTGCCCGTCTGAAAGGCCGCCCATACAAAGATTGCAGTGAACACGACGGCATCGCTGTACACAGCCAGGTCAATATCGGACTAACATGTGTCGGAAGACATAAGACGCACACGAATCCTGTCATGAAGCAGAAGGCGGCAAGAGGAATACTTGACTTGGCAGGGTCGACATCGGTCATGAGGTAGTCTCTTGTGAGTACGACTGAGGGGGCTATCCACAGCCGTGCAGAGGCGACCACAGTACGGCGCGAGTCGGCGGACGCTGGACGAGGGAGCTGGTCCGCCTTGTCATCTGGAAAGTAGGGATCAGAAGGAATACCTTCTCCCTTAGTCTCAGGGTAACTCGGACCAGGCGTAATGTCAGCCATAGCGAATGACTGTCAGGTGGAGGAGAAAGGTCAAGTCGTAGTAAGAGTCGTGAAAAGAGACTGAGCGGGACGGGCTAGGGAGCTCGGGGTGGAGCAACATGGTGGTACTATTCTTGTACTATGAGGGCGTGATTGCCACCGCGGCGAGCCGTCCGGGACAAACCGGCTTTGTGCATCCATTTCTATTTATTTCCACCCTATCCCCACTTTCAGGCAGTCCCAAGCCATAACATTCATCAGACACAGCCCGCTTGGCTCGACACGACGCCATGACTGTGCCAAGCATTCACCTCAGAGGAATCTCGTTTTCCATTCCACCATCTGTGATCGTTTATATTGGCCAAGATTCCGCTCAATCGGCGTAACAGGTGACGATTACAGAGGCGATGCAGCTCTTGGTCGTAAATTCCAAGCTTTCATCTGTCCGAAAACCGGATGTTCCGAATGCCCAGAGGCTTGCGGCCTCTGGTATGGATCCTCCATCTCTATAGGTCGACTGGGCAGGAAAGCGCGATTCATGCCAAGAATTAGGCAAGGATCCCCGCGGGGCACGGAGAGCACCCCAAGCCAAGACCTGGCACGGCGTGACGCTATTGGCTCATCCAGTAGTCTTGCACACTGAACTCGCGGGCATACCCACAATGCAGTGGGGCCACCATACATGGCGGAGATAAAGAGGTTGAAAACGAGATAATTCTACAGTTTATTAGACCCACAAGTGATGTACATAACTACGAAAGCAATGCTTCAGCAATGTCACGACGATCCTCTCCACATCTATGCGAACAGCGTGCAGCCTGCCCGATGTTCACTGCATCTTGCCCAGCACCCGCGGCTGCGACAGATCCGCCATGTTGATGAAGATGTCGTCTGCAGGGTGACGGTATAGAGGGGCACGGAGACGCTTCTGGTCGAGGTGGTGACCGATGAAGCCGATGCTACGACCGAGGACAAATAGGCCATTGAGCGTGCCGATCTTGATGTACTCGTCCGCCTCCTCTGGTGTGAAGGCGCCGCTGTCTCGGAGCAGGTCGACAAAGCAGACGGCGATGCAGCCGTCAACGTTGAGGATGAGCTAAGGGCGCGTTCGGTAAGCACACCTATTTCCTTACGAGCGAACCACTCTACTCACCGTGTCCTTCTTGGACGTCGTGACCTTCTCGACAGCGAGCGCGTAGTCGAGCAGACTGTGGCTTGGGAAGTTCTTGCGTACGTACTCTTTCACAATCTCGACACGCAGGTCAGGATTGTTGACACTCTTAATTTTGTGGCCGATACCACTGACTGCATAATACGTCAGGCATTCTGAATCATCAGTCATGACCACGAATAGACGTACTAAGTTTGTTCTGCTTCCGGCACTGGTCGACAAACTCGCGCGGAGTCAATCCGGTATCTCGTGCATTCGAGAACATCGTCGCAGCCTCGTCGAGCGCACCACCGAATCGGCTTCCGATGGTGAGCAGACCGGATGCCAGCGACGAGATGAGGTCCTTGCCCGCGCGCGTCGCCACGATAGTGTTCATGGCACTATAAACACCGATTAGCATTTAGTCGAGCGGAGCCAGTTGTTCCGACACTTACCCAGAGACGGCAGGGCCGTGGTCTGCAGTCAACATGAGAACCATCTCGATGAACTTGGTCGCCCACGGCGGCAGACGGCGTTTGAACCACAGCAGACTGACGACACCACCAAGGCCAATGTCCTCCTTGAACACATCCGAGATGCGCATCCCTGCATACAGCAGCTCCTGGCCGCGCTCGTCCGAAATCGTCGAGATGAACGCCGCGGGCTTGCGAATGAGCCCGAGCTCCTGCGCCCACTTGTAGTCCATCGGAATGACCGGCGGCTCGCGCTCAGGCTTGGGCACGATAGTGCCGTTCGCGACAAGCCGCTCGTACGTCTCCTTGAGCACCGTCGGCAGGTCCTCGAACGTGTCCGGGACGATGAAGCCCGCCGCGCGCATCGCTGCATTCTTCGCGTCCGCCGTCTCCAAGGCCGAGTTCGCCATCGAGCCCGCGTGCCCGAACTGCACCTCGGTCGTGAACATCTTCGCGCAGGTTCCAATCGCCCATGCAACGATCGGCTTGCGAATGATGCCCTTCTTCACTGCGTCGATGACGCGGTATTCCTCGATACCGCCGACCTCACCGAGGAGGACGAGCATCTTGCAGTCAGGGTCCTGCTCGTAGCGCAAGAGGTGGTCAATGAAGGTCGAGCCGGGGTAGCGGTCACCACCGATGGCGATACCCTCGTACGTGCCGTTCGTGACAAGCGACAATATGTTGTTCAACTCGTTCGACATACCACCTGACTTGGAGACGTAACCGACGGAGCCTGGGCGGTAGAGCTTGGACGCAATGATGTTGTCCATCATACTGTGGGCACAATGATCAGGAGCTCGGAATAGATGATCTATGAAAAACGAGGCTCTTACCCTCCAGAGTTACCGATCCTGAAGCAGCCGGGCTTGATCCCACCAACGGTCGCAGGGCCGATGATCAGGACGCCCTTCTTCTTCGCAAGGTGCAGAATTTCGCGCGCATGCCTCTCGGGCACACCCTCTGCAATCAGTGCGATGCTCTTGATCTGCGGGTAGTTGAAGATATCGAGCGTGCTCGAGTACACGCTGCGCGAGCTTGCAAAGTTGACGACGACGTCCGCATCGGGGTGCTTCTTCACTGCCTCCTCAACACTCGTGTAAACCGGGAGGAGCGTCTCCCTCGTGCCCCAGTAGAATTTCTGAATGTGGTGTCCACCGAATGGGTAGATCATCGCGGCGACGGAAGGCGTCTCCCGACCACATGAGTAGTCGAAGTCGAGCATGCCCTGGATCGCGCGGGGCTGGAGACCGTAGACGAATGCGCGTGTATGCTCATCGAACGGCCGGTATGGTGGACGTCCCGTCCTCGTCTCGACCTTGTCGAAACGGACGATCTGGTCGTTAGGCTGTGTGCGCTCACCACCAGGCCCAATGCTGCCAACTGTTGCCTCAGGACCAATCGTAGCCTCAGCCTTCGGCGAGGGAGGGGCGATGGGCGTGGGAGCAACGGAGTGGAGGGGGTTCTTGGGTTTCGTCTTAATGCCAAGCGCGAGTGGGACAATCGCCGTGATGTGCGTGTCAGGACCATACACCTTGATGGGGACACCAAGCGACTCGCCCAGGAGACGCATTGCCTTGAGACCCTCCTGGTAATTCGGACCCCCGCGGCGGACGTAGATCTTGACATTGTGTGCAATGAGTGGCGCCTTGTACTCCTTCAGCGCGCGGATGATACCCTTGAAGGTCGCGGCGACGTTCGTGAAGTTCGCGATACCACCGCCAATGATGAGGATCTTGCCGTCAGGACGTGGCTTGCCGCGGGTGATGAGGTCGATGATCGTCTTCGCGTATTCATACGTCTGACCCTCAGTCGGCGCGCCGGAGTATTCGCCATAATTCGCGAGCTCGTGTGCAAAGCCGTGGGCGGCGATAGCATCGGCATACACGACGGATGCACCACCGCCAGCGACCATCGTCCAGATGCGGCCCTCCGGATTGAGGACGGTGAGCTTGAGGGAAGCACCGGTCGAAGCGTCGAGCTTCTGGATATATGCTTCCTCTTTGGTCAGGTCACGGCCAAAAGGAGCGGGCCAAACCTGTGTAGAATGTAAGATACATTGAGATTGGATGAGATGCGCATATACTCACCATTGGTGGTCCCCGGTCAGCAGAGATAGCTTTGCCCTTTGACGTGACTGCCTGCGAACCAGATTCATATACAGAGAGATCGCGAGCAATCGCCCACTTGGGCCCGCAGATTGACTCGGCAGTCTGGTCGAGCTTTGCGGCCATGTCGAGGTAGTGGATGGTCGGCTCGCCGCCGTTGACGCCGTCAAGGCAGATGAGCGGGTTGATCTCAAGGTAAGCAAAGTGCAGGTCAACGTAAACGGAGTAGAGACGGATGAGGAAGTCGACGAGGGTCTCCTTCTTTGCCTCAGGTACATGCTTGAGGAGCGTGTCTGCGATGGTTTGTCTAGAGGGGAATGGTGCGTCCACGGGCAGCTGGAGGGTGAGAGCCTTGGCGTCGACATCACCGATGTCGACACCGCCCTCATGAGTGAAAAGAATCGCGTCGCCCTCACGAGCAGACGTGATGCAGACATAGTACTCTGTGTTGGATGGATGGGGGAGGAATGGCTCGACGATGAAGTTGTTGAGCGTGCCTGTAATAGATTCGACCTGTAAATCCGTACGATCAGTATGTTTAGATTGCCGGAACGGAGGACAAAAATCAAATTGATTCTCGATCCGCGACGCCTTCGAAGAGGACGGGTTTCCGAGATGGAGGTCACGTGGCCGTACACCGGAAGACGTTTCCCCTCGAGCGAGCTGGAGGGCCGAATGGGGAGTTAAACCCGACGGACACGGAAAGCCTAACAGATCTGTCCGATATATGCAGTGACGCAACGGGCCACCGAGAGGGCGGCGATTGCGGGATAGCGGAAGAGCGCTGGACAGCGCATACAGCCGGATGGAATGCCGTACGCACCTTTTGCGGCTTTCCAGCTCTCGCCTGGATCCATTCTTTCGCCTCATCCCATGTCTTGTTAAGCGCAAGGAGTCCCGCCTTTCCTCTGCGCTTGATGAGCTGGTCAGGCTTCACGACGAGCTTGGTGGTGAAGACCCAGCTGGGAAGCTGCGTGTCGGGCGTGATCGAGTTTGTCTCTGGGTCCCATGAGACCTGGGCGACCTTGGGCGACGGAAAGACGAACTTGGTCGCGAGCTTAGCGGAGGGGTCGACGGAGGGTGCGCGCTCGAGCCAGTACGCGAGCAAGAGCTTCGCGTCGTATTCACGGATAGCTGCATTGCCGGCACCGTTAGCACCGAGATCTGATTGAGAAAGGTTCAGACGGACCTTTCGAAGACATGTCTGGCTATCAGACAGAGTACGACGGAACAGACGAGTGCAGATGAGAGATGAGCGTAGAGAGCAGGCGAGAGAGTGAGGGTTTTATGGAGAGGACGGTCGCCTCATCACCCGCTCAAGATAATTCGATAATGGGGAAATGACACTGAAACCAGACCCCAATCTTCGCACGCTGATCTCACCATGGCCTTCTGCTTTGCGATTGGCCCGCACCTATACGCCGTCCTTCGCCCTCGCTGTCTCCTGCTTAATCTCGCCTCAGTATCGTACGAGCTGCACGCTGGCAATACATGCAACGGCGCCTTCTTTACCAGCTAGCTCCATCGCCATTGACAGTGGCGACGCATCGAGCGTTGTGACCACTCGCGCATTCTCTCAGGACTTACCCGACCCCGCTGCTTTGATGCAAGAATTCATTATTCAATCCCCAACGTTCAACGTTAACTCCTGACGTGGACATCATCCCCAGCTGCGGCCTCCGTGACGCTCGGAAGCCATCCTGTTCACCATCAGGCCGAATAGAGCACCACTTGGTCTGCTGTACTGTTGTCTCCTCCCTACCACACCTTTTGCAGTTCTATATCTACGCTCGGCTTCAAGACGGTCGCGCAGAGTGTTTCCAACCACTCGTCTGGACCAATGTCCAGTCGCAACGCAATACCCGGGAAGTTGATTGCTGTCTAGATCTTCTCCGACACTTGCCAGCGGGAAGTGCCAAACCGGTCAGCGATGCTTGCAACTCACGTATTCTCTGGTCGCCCGTGAGTTCGAACAATAAGTTTTGGAACATCACATCTGGTACTGAGCTTTCTGCTGCCATCTACTATTCATGCAGCACCCCCCCTAGAGACGCGCCATTGACGGCCGCGAAAGCGATCGCATCGTCCTCTCAGCGCCTGTGCCTGAAATACCTGCACAGGTGCACCATCTTCTGGTGAGTTCTTATGTCTCGGGACTGTCATCAGTCCCCGCCTCGATGTCTTGCACAACATACGACGTGCGGTCTGCGTCAGCGTAACGGCTGCTCCAGGACAGTCTGTCAACCCATCACAGACGTATCACAGCACGGTTTGCCGAAACAACATGAAGAAGGTGCATCGGCGAAAGACGCAGAGGATCCTGACCGTTGCTCGGATCCCATCGTCCATAGGATTCCTCTCAATCTGACTGGAATCAGTCTCAATGAGTCTTTTGATCACAGGCAACCTCTGCCCGTCTTCCCAGAGTAGCTTCTGGCCGATGCACGTTTCTCCGCTAACGGCCGCGTCGTGTCTCCTGACCAGGACCATCGACATATGCCGAGAGGTTCGGGAAGGTGCAGCATGCGGCCCCGGATCGCATGTGATTCCGCCTTTCGCAGTGTCAAAACCGATATTTGCCGCCGCCGCCGCGGCGTTGGGAAGAGCGATCCTAGGATAATACAGAGACGAAGCTGCGAGTGAGGACAGAGATGGCCGCACAGCCCTCCTGCGGAGCCTCCGGGGATACGTAGCCTTACGCTTGCTACAATGTGTGCAGAGAGCTCAGCGCTCAGCAATTGGACTGTGTGGTAGCTTCCGTAACAAGACAACAACGAATGCATGGTAGCCTTCGAACGGCTTCGCTGAATTCCCCGTCGTGTCGCCTGCGGTTCTAGCGCATATAGTCCAGAAGCTGGAAGCCGAAAAGCTGGATCCCGGCAGCCTGCTTCGCAGACCAGAGCGCATGCTACCGCCAGGCAGCAAGGAGGTCCATCTCCTGATTCTCTGCAAATCCAAGAGAGCGTTGGATACATAATGGATGATATGAATGAGCGGTCTATTGGCGCCCGGCTATGTTGCTGAAAGTGCCCACCATCTGGTAAGCATGGAAACATATGCGGTGCTACTATTCCCCTAGCAATATGAGACATCTTTGATGACTTTACCGAATCCCAGAGGGATTTCGCCGGCTTTTTGCTCGTAAAATCTGTATCGATGCCATTAGCACCTGACGAGCTTGCGGATTGCTACAACGACCTCTCCTAGATGGGCGTTGTGGGCCTGCAAAGCAAGCGAGAGAGTGAGAGGGGGAGAGGTGAAGACGAAAGCATTGTCGAAAAGGGCAGGCTCGCATGTCGTTGAGGACAAGGCGAGATGGTGAGACCATACGCTGCTTGGTAGATTTAAAAATGGATATAGATATGCGCGCAAGAGCTGTGGCTTTCAACTGCAGTCGAACTTGCAGCGATGGGCGAGGCGCCTTGAGAGATATGGCCAAGCGTCTGGCTGATTGTTCTTCTTGACGAGAACGAGAGCGTTCGTCGACATCCCTGCTCGGTGAGACTCCTAGGGTAAATCAAAACGGGAGCCTCATGAGCCACGCGATCAAAAGTGTGCACATGTCCAAGGTCAGACTCACGAATTCGATGATGATACAGACAAACCAATTATTCCTACGTTATGCCTTCTGTTTCTTTGCTGCTCTTCTTGGCCTTCCCGGTTTCTGCAGCTCCTTGATATCCCTCACGCCATCGCCGGTATCTCTGAATCCCACCCTCGCACCCGTAAGAGTATCATAGAAGCGGCCAGCCGTCGCGACTCACAAAGTCCAATACTCATTGGCTATTTCGGACCTTCGCCTTCTGGGCACACCCATATGCTCGCCCCCCCCCCTTCCCCCCCGAGTGACCCGAAGAACGAAGTGAATGGCGGCAAGTAATCGTAGTGGTCAATGGTGTGACGATACCGCAGGATGCGTGTGGACGTGGCGTTATAGCACACAAACGTGTCGTTATCGACTAGGTTTCTCAGTGGATTGTTCAAAGCCCAACTGTACTCGGCTGTTGGATCCCATGTGAAAGGCTTGAAGGAAGAGGGGGGTTGGCCGCTCGACGCCACCCACGTTGAGTGAGATCGCCCAGCTCTTGCTGACGGTGACCCAGAGGCTCTGTTTGAAGAAGTAGAGCGAGCGATCACTATCCCCTCCGTCGTAGGGCGGATGAGCGGAGAAGTAGTCGGGGATGATGCGCAGACCTCGGGAGGCATGTTTGCGGAGAGCAGACGGTTGCCGCTGGAGTCATGATTGCTTGCTTACCTGAATGAAGTCCGAGAATATTTATGAAAGGACCGATCTCAGCCACGATGGCCTACAACTTGGTATACGGTCGCCGATGTTCGGGATCCTGCTGTGTAGCGGCGGATTGCGCTTCGTCCACGATATGAGCTGCCTGGGTTGCTTGTTGAAATCTGCGCCCTGCAATGAACTCGGCAAATATACGCAACCATCGGCGTGCAGGAACATGCTGACTTCCAAGGCGTGACCTGCGTAGGCATACAGGTACAGGCCCGAGTCGGGATACAACACGCGATCGAAGAATTGAAGTGCGAAGGACCGGGAGATGAGGATAGCAGTACGGGCTTGCAAGGAACGGAGCCCAGGGGGGTTGAATACAAATCGTGAAAGTCTACGATTGATGTCGAATGCTCGAGCGGTACCAGTAGTCTTCGTCGCATCATGCAGGAGGTGGTTGACCCGTTTCCTGCTGATCAGAGACAAGGCTGATCAAAAAGAGAAAATCGTATCGTAGATGTGATGCCTCCTGAACACATCTTCGACGGCGTCTTGAAGACGCGTTCGTGAATGCTGAGGCTGCGTGTCGAACGGCATGCTGAAAGAAACAGGTAGTCAATGAGTCAAGCTGTAATCGACATGAACCAAGGCGACGAGATGTGGGTGACGTCGTCGAACGAGCTCAGATTCGATGTGATTAATACATTTCAGTCGATCACTGATAGTCTCCTGTCAGATTCATATCTTAGCTTCTCGAGGTGAGTACTGTGGGTTTCCGGTTAATGTGATAGGCTTGCCTACCTGATGCAACGCGGCCTACACGAAAGCACACAGAGTTTCATCCTAAGTGGTATGATTAGATGGGTAGACTGTGCAAGCTTGAATGCCAATACATCACCGGCCAAGAAGAATGCACAAGAACAACCTTTCGCGGTTGCACCAGCGTGGAAGTTGTAAGCAAATGCGAACGCCTACGCCAGCCAGATTGGTCCATACCGTGAGCGGGTTTGGCCCGAAGATTTACAGCAAGTTTGATACCGCTTCCTGAGGGGGGTCACAGGACGACCCGAAGAGACACTCAAAAACTACTCTCCGCGCAGAGCGCAAAGCGTGTGAAAGAGCAATGCAAGCGACGAACGCTGCAGGTGGAAAAAATTGGTGGCATGTTGAGAATACCCCGAAGGATATCTCTGTGCACTGGGACAGACCCAATGGGTGTGCCCAAAAAACGCTCGAGGATTGGACCGAGATATTGGCGTTCGACTCTAACAATTGCAGTCATCAGTTCATCCAATCGCTCTGAAATGTCAGTCTCGAGAACCCACCTCTTGGCGACGGGTTGCTTGGATATTGCAGGCTAGGCAGACGTAGAGGAGGTGGCCAGTCTCCCCTCCGCCTTCCTAGTCCGCAAGTCGTACTGGCGAGAACGACAGCGGGCTCTGCTCATTCGAAAAAGATTGGCACTTAGCAATTTGGTCTGACGCGATGGGCATGCACGACAACTCACCATTTTCACTAGCAAGCTGATGAGTGTCTTGCTACCGATCGAAGGTGAACGTCAAGACACCTGTAAATCAAAGCTCGGGAGCAAAACTTAAGCATACGTCTGATATGGAAGACGTCATGAAGATACTACCGTCGCTGGGGGGACAAGGGTCATCAGGGTGATCAGGCCTTCGCCTCGCTCGCCAGCGCCTACATAGAAGAAACACACCGCTACAGAGGTCTTGTGGCAGGGGGGTACACCTTCGTCTTCTTCGATGCGAGTCTGACGTGGACGTATCGACACCCTGTGCGGTGCAAAAAAAAAAACAAGGTGGGCTCAGCGCAATGTACATCTGTAAGAGTGCGCAACTGAACGGCCGTCCGTCACCAACCAGGCACAGAGATCATCAGGTCATGACTCCTTCACTCGATGCCTGCCCGGTGGCATCCGGCCATACCTTGTCAGCCTCGTTCGAGAGGCTGCCCCTATGGTCCCCGAGTCTTCTGGTGCGCTGCGCGGGTTGTAACTGTTTGAAAGCCTACAGATCTATTCTCAAGGCGAAGGTAGAAGGACGTCAAGGGTGGCCAGGCCCCACCGCTTCTCGGTAGAGACAAAGGGAACAGAGAGCAAACGAAACACGAGACGGAGCGATCACGGCCACCGCCGCATCACGCAGAGTCATCTCTAGCGGCAACCCTGGCCTCGACCGAGCAGCCGAATTTATAGACCGACCATGACAGCCATGCAGACCGCCCAGCCGACCCTAGCCACCGGCGTCCTCGACCCCCCATCCGCCCCACGCGACGCCGCACCCGCCCGCCTATAGCACGGCAGTACACGCAGCATACGACGCCGCCATCACCTCCAAACGCCTGTTCGTCAGCTCAATCCACGCAATAAACTCAGATACCCCGATACTTGACCGCGCTGCTGCCCTGGGCCTGCCAGAGCGGGAGGAGCGTCATCTGGCGGTGGGTGAGGCCGATCGCGCAGATGGTGTCGTCCACGGCGGCGTCGGGGCCCGCGCGGCGGAAGAGCTCGCCGCTGCGGAGGCGCTGTGCGAGCGGCGCGCGCGTCTTCGGGAGCCCGCGGATCGAGTACGGCAGGCTGGCGGGGACGAACGCGTCGAGCTCTTCGCAGTAGCGCGTGCCGGTGGGCGCGGTCTCGCGGTGGTGGATCGCGCCGAGGAGGTGCTCCGGGGCCGGGCCATATACGGGTGCAGCGGGCGCATCTTTGGGCGGGACGGGCGGCGCGGGGGAGGCGGGCTCGGGCTCGGGCGTGCTGGGCTCCTCGGCGAGGTACTCGTCGAGGAAGTAAAAGAGGGGGCAGTCTGTGTCAGCCATTGTCAGTGGCAGGGTAATAATAGGTGCGGGTATGAAATGTGGGTATGGGGTGTGTAGTAGTGCGGGTGCAAGAGGTGAACTGGGGATACGGAAGCAGACGTGCTGCTTTTGACTTGCATTGCAGTCTCACCCGGTGTAGTAGTGTTAGCCGCATCGTAGGTTCCGTCACGATTTGAATGAGCATACTCATCAGAATAACAGGTTGGTATATTGATCGAGGCGGCCCTGCATCCCCTCACCGATCATGCCGTCCTCACTCATCAGCACTGGCATTAGCCGACTACGTTCGCGACGAACACTCAACATTATAGCAAGGGCGGACCTTGCATTCGTTTTTAGTGTCAAACACCTGCATGAATTGATATCACGGGGAGGCCGTACACAAGGAAATGAATCTGTGCGCATTTAGCGACTATTCGACTTCCACTTTGATCGAGAGATATAATCTTGAGCGAATGCAATGTCAGGAAGCTCCATCGGAATAATGACAATACTTTGACACTAACCTATGCCACATATCCACATCTATATCCAAGTGCAGACCAGCGCACCAATCTTAATTCCACCTTCGCGTGCTCCTGTATAGCATTTACCAGCTACGATATCCACACCTATCCATTTTCCACGCCCCATGGAGGACCACACGAGGACAGAACAAGATGCATATGCACGTACCGAATGCATGGCATGAACCCTTCGTAAATCATGTAGCATCACGCATCCGGTCGTGCGCTAAAGGACCGATGCTCGACGGGGTAAACACCTAATAATTGAATACAGAAGTGCTCCTGCAGTATTGCTTCAGATGGTGACCACGCACGGGTCGGGCTGCCACCGACTATGTATGCACGCATGCAGAGTCAGACCTCTGCCAAACGCTCCATGCATCCGCCTACCCATGTGAACAGTACTCTTTGGGTTCGCAGAACGCATCAGCGCCTTTCGCACGACTGTGGACGTAAGTTGCAATGACTGTTGGCGCGCGGCCCAGGAAATGGCATGCAAGACAGGGCGGATATAATGAGGAGGTACATGAGCAGAGAATGAACAGAAACGGTTATGGGAGAAAGACAGCGCGAGGGGATTCAAGGTGGGCGGCGCCGCGGAGGACGCGTTTCCGAGAGCTGCCATCGTGCGGATGCGAATAGCGTTACGAGCCCGTTGATTAATACGTACGCAAGGCGGGGCGAACACGTCAACATGCCTGGTGAAACAGCGCGTGTGCAGCATGACGGCTTGCATTCGGAGAAGCAGCTACTCGCCTACACATGAAACAAGCGAACTTTGCATGCCTGCTCGAGGCACTGACGCGAGCCACACGCCGCGAACGGTTCCGGCGATCTCGCACCGGGTCAGCGCGGTGACATCAGCGACCTAAACCTAGAGCATCGCAATATATATGCGGATGACGGGCACGCATGCACGGACCACCTCAGCGCGGTCGTCGATGACGCCGTGCGCCGCGCGAAGGACGGCCTGGGCAGGGCGGCGGGGGCGATCCACGTGGATGGACGGATCCAGCCTGATCGAGAGCGGCATGGGATCTGAGATGAGGCCGCCGGCAACATCCGCGAGGCTATTAACAGCTCTGCGCCCCTTTGATCACCTTCCCTTCCTCTGCTGCACACTGCTGCCTGCTCGCCGACACGACTGACACGACCTGCGACGCTCACGTCTACGCTTACGGCGGGATCCGCGCTGTCCTGATCTCTGCTGATCAACGATTGCCTACTCGCACCCGACCGCGCGCCGCTGCCCATATATCGCTGTGTCCTCGCGTACCCAGTGCCCCGCCCCGCAGCCATCAGCGCAGTTTCCCCGACCGCGAGAACGCAGCTCCTAACAAGTACTCTTAGCGCAAGCTTCCCCGCGTCACACGCTCCATCTTCACTCACGCGTCGGAGAAGCCACACCGCGTGACCTCACATATCACCAGCATAAGCCTCTCCTGAGTGAGTCTCCCGCTGGCTCCCACCCTCGGCGAGCGCTCAAAAGCCCCTCTCCCGCTTTGCTGCAGTCTGTCACCAACCAGCCATGTCAGCGACCACACAACTCTCAAATTCCATCGCCGTCTCGATACCCCAGCTCCGACCCCCATCGCCATCAATTCCGGATCGAAATCTATCCCCATCCCCATCCCACCCTCCAGCCCCTCCTCCGCACCCAGACCACGACACACAAAACTCCGCGCCCCCCTCGCTCCTCTCAAAACCCGACTCTGCACAACCAGCGCCCTTCCAGTCCGCCACCGACCCCGAGGAGCCCACCCACCTCCTCCCGCGCTCCTTCTCACAGCCGCAGTTCCCTTACCCATACCACTTCGCCGCGGCCTCCCTGCGCGAGGTCGTCCTCAACAACAGCAATCATGCCCTGCTGCAGCGGCCCAGCAGGCCCAGCACGGGTACTGGTCCGGGCAGCGGCTTGATAGGTGCGGGCCTAGGTGGGGACATGTTCGCGCCGCTCTGCGCTAGCGCGCGCACGAGCTACACGCGCGTGGACGCGACCTCGGGCCCGGGCTCGGCCATTACGACGGTGCCGGGCACGCCGCAGGGGCATCCGGCGGATTTGCAGCCTGTTGACTTGTCGGTTTTGCCGCACGCGGCTGATGCGGAGCAGGAGGAGAGCCTGGATGGCGGGTCAGGAGGCGGGGATGAGAAGATGGCGGTGGGCGAGGACGAGGAGAGGATATATTTGACGTTTTTGTTGATTAGTGGGAGGAGGAGGACGATGGTGTTTGGGAGAGAGGACTCGGTGGGGAGGGTGAAGGAGGTTGTGTGGGATGGGTGGCCGGATGGTGAGTGTTGTCTTTCGTCTGAGGGCTGGAGAAGAATGCAGATTGCGAGATGGGCGTTCATAAGCTTTTCTGGCGGCGTTTTCATGCTTCATGCGTTTTTGTGCACCTGAATGCTCGCCTTTGCCCTATCTACTCTCTTTGATTCTTTCTACCTCCATGTTCATCCGCGCAGACGCTGATCTCAGTGGTCGTCGCTTTGCAGATTGGGAAGAACGCCCACCCACGCCGTCCTACCTCCGGATACTCTACCTCGGAAAGATCCTGCAGGACGAGGACACGTTAGAAAGTGCGTACCTTCACGCGTTCGTCGCGGCGTTCGTGTGCTGACGTCCCCCCCATGGCAGAGTGGTCATTCCCGATCACCCCACCGCACGCAGCGGCGCCGCCCGCGCCGCCGGTCGTGCACCTGTCGATCCGTGCGGCGTTGCCGGTGGAGGAGGAGCCGAAGAAGAGGCGTAGGAGGGGGAAGAGCGTCGCTGGGGAGGAGCCGGGGGAGGAGGCAGGGTGCTGTGGCGGATGTGTGGTTTGCTGAGGTGCAACCTGGAGCCAAGGTAGACTCTCATCTCGCTTCGCTCATCTATTGTCATCGTTGTCGTTATCATCTCATATCCCTCCGCATATGATATCCCTATCGTAGGACCCTGTTGTTTGTAATACTACTCTGCTCTGCCGCCCTGCTCCCGTATGGACATTTGAGGTGCGGGGCGGGGGGGAAGGTGTGACATATGTGGATGATATATGTGTACAGTACGGATGGATGGTCGTGTGGTTGGCGGTTGGGCTGTATATTAGAGCCGTGTATGTACATCAGAGTCTTGGATCAAATTTCTTGCTTCGTGCGTTGATCGTGGGCGGGCGGTGAGTGGAGTCGTATGGCCAGGTCGCTATAACCATTGAGCACGATCATTCGCGTCGTTTGCGTCGCGATGCCATCGCTGCTGGCATGAAACTCGTATCGTTGCGAGGTGGTAAACCATGCGCATGTCCAGAGGCTTCCAGCCACACAGCTCGAACGCCACTCTCATCCAGCGACGCTGTCGTGCCCGACCCGCCCGCCCGCTCGCTCGCATCGGGTCGTCATGTTCTCATGTATAGTTACCTGGCCAGAGCTTACAAGGGAAGCATCCGCCGGTCGAAATGATCCACACGGACTGGCCATGCGTTCATGAACGACGGTAGTGACAACGCAGTGCCGGCAAAGAAGCATCCGTGCTCCGAGTTTTGTGTTTCAAAATACGTCTTGGAGGGCAGCGCAGACGATGAGCGCAGATCTTGAGCGAACGTTCGGAGGCGAGAGGCGACCGGCCTTGGTCGCGCCCGGCTGCTGTGTAAACGCGTGCACGTGACCGTGTTTGCGTCACTTGATCCGGACTAGTGGCGGACCCGCGTTGAGCAGTAGCAAGCGTATTTCTACCTCGCGAACTTCGGGCATGTCCCAAAGGCTTTCCCCCTCGTATTCAACACAGGTCGACGACCGCGAGCCGGTCGTCGTTCGAGTTCAGCCCCTCGTCGACGTTCGGAGGACTTGTCTGGACGTCGCGTGCCACGTCCGGCAACTTCAGAAGCGAGTCCGGTGGGCGGACATAATCAGGCGTTGATACGCCTTGCCCCGTGAGTCACCCCATAGATGTCTTCCAGAAGCTCGTGCTGAGTGCGGGGTATGCTGGGGTGCGGGGTACAAGAAGCACGCTCTGCGGTCCCCTCGATAACGCCCGTCTGCGTCTCTAACTCCCCCCTTCCCCCCCACACACACAATGCCGCTCCTCGCCCTCAACGACGACGTCCTCGACATCATCGTCTCCTTCCTCTCTCCGCACGATGCCCTCCCGCTCATGACCACCTGCCGCACCGCACACGCCCTCGCGCTGCCCCGCCTGCTCTCCGAGGTCGAGTTCCTCACACACACCGCCAAGACCCCCGGGCGCATCACCCAATTCTGCCAATTCATGCTCGCCGACATCCCGCACCGCATGCCCCACCTCCGCGCGCTCCGGCTCATCGGGAACGCATTCGCGACGAAGGACTTTGACTATAGCGCCGCGCTCGCCATGGCCGCCGTGCTGCGCCACGCCAAGTGTCTCCGCGAGCTCCACCTGCGCCTCGCAGGCGAGCTCCTCGCGTGCCAGCCGCGCTTCGCCGACGCCGTCGCGGCGCTCGCGTCGCTCGACGTGCTCTGCATGAGCAGCAGGATGTACTCGTGGGTGCTGCTCGCCCGCATGCGCGCCACCCCGCGCCGCGTCGAGTTCTTCGCGGACTACATGGCGTACAAGGACCAGCAGAGGCTCTTCTGGGGCGCGGCCCTCCCCGTGCGGCTCGCGCCGCGCCTCGAGCAGGTCCGTCTTGAGATGTGTGTTCCCCTCGCGGAGAACGCGGACGCGCTGCGCGCGGCGTGGCCCCACGTGCGCGAGCTGACGCTCGTTGGGGAGGTGTGCAGGATGGATGCGCTCGCGCGCGCGTTCCCGAATGTGCGCTTCGTGCGCTTCCAGGACGTGGACTTCGTGGGCAAGCAGGCGCCCCCGGGGTGGAGCGAGCTCGACCATGCGCAGTGGAATGTGGTGCCGCGGCACCCGCTGGGGTGCAAGGTGCGCAGGCTTGACGTGCAGGCCGCGCTTCCTGCGGCGTCGGACGAAGTTGGCGAGGGGTTCGTGGAGGTTTTGGAGAGCGCGTCTCCGGCGGTTCTGCTCTGCACGCTGCCGCAGCGCGGCGACTTTTCGTGGATGATGAAGATCGCAAAGGCCGCGCCGGAGCTCAAGTACGTGCATGTCGCGGCGCCCTCGTTGGACGAGGCTATCGTACGTTCACGATCCTTTTGTGCGATAGCGTCTTGTTTAATTTTTTCGTTCACAGACAAGCTGCCAGGACGCGTTCGCCAAGCTCCCCCTCGCCGGGCTCTCGCTCGGATACACGTCCAGGATGCCTGCGTTTGACGATGGTGAACGCTGTGCTGCATCGGACGCGCGGAAGATAGCCGCGGCGATCCCGTCGCTGCGGTATGTCGGACTCAACGTGAAGGCCTTCGCGGCGAAGACGTACGGCGATTTGGAAAACATCACTTGGTTCCGCGTCGTGTCGCGCGCGCATGATGGGAGTCCTCCGAGCATGGTGGTGGTGTCGGAGAGCGAGCGGATCGCAGCACAAGAATGGTTGTTGAGGTCGCCGCGGGGTTGAGCTTGACTGCCCCGCAGATTGTGTGGTGTGCGCGACTCTGCTTTGCCATGATACCCTTGAGCCTCCAATTCGATGGCATAGCAGTGGTCGACTTTGGTTTTCCTTGTAAATCATGTGCTAGTGTTGGATCGTCCTACGAATGCAATGTTGCAAAATCTACTAGTATCATAGTTGTAGTTAATGTGTACACTCGTCACCGCTCTGTTTCATACTCCTACTAGTATCTGTACAATCTATATGATCTTAACAGCTAATCATAGATATCCTATGCCACTAACTGGGAGTGTCGTTATGTGTAGGGTCTGTCCCAGTGCCGCGGCGTAGAGATGCCCTTCGGGTATTCTCAGTGACACGCCACCAATTGTTTCCTTCGTCGCTTGCATCGATCGCTTGGCCGGTTCGGATGCATTGGCACTCAAGCTTGCACAATTTATAGTGGCCGAACAGGCCCTTTAACCTGTCTAAGTATACCACTAACAGTTACGGAACTCTGTCTGCTTTCATGTAGGCCGCGTTGCACCAGGTGGGCAAGTCTATCACATTGAATGGAAACCCGCAGTACTTACTTTGAGAAGCCGAGGTTGAATTTGACGGGAGATTACCAGTAATCGACTGGCGGACATCAACCACGTCGTATCTGACTCGCTCGTTCGACGACTCTCGCTTCTCTCGCCCGGCGCATCGCATAGCCTTCAGGCTCATGTCGATTAAGGCTACAGCTTGACTCATTGACGACCTGTTCTTCCCAGCATGCCGTTTGACACGCAGAGCGCGACTTCAAGACGCCCGGGTCCAAGATATGTTCAGAAGGCATCTCATCCTACGACACAATTCTCTCTTTTCTGTCAGGCTTGTCTCTGATCGGCACGAAGCGGGTGAACCACCTCCCGCATGATGCAACCGAAGACTACTGGTACCTAGCATTTGACGTCAATCGCAGGCTTGCGCGGTTTGTATCCGACTCCTTTGCGTTCCGATCCTTGCAAAGCCCGTACTGCTCCCTCATCTCCGGATCCTTCACACTTGCATTTTTCGATCGTGTGTTATATCCCAACTCAGGCCTCGACCTGTACACTTAACGAGGTCCCGGTCATGCCTTGGAAGTCGGCATGTTGCTGCAGGCCGACGGTTATCTGTACGTGCCGAGTTCATTGCAGGATGCAGACTTCCAACAAGCAACCCAGACAGCTCATGCGCAGCATGATCCCCAAGGCCGGCGATCTTCTATTCCTGAGAAACGTCTCCAATATATACACGTTGATCAGATCATCGCCCGATGCACGTTTCCCAGAGTTTACCCAGGAAGATCCAAGTGACCTTGGCCCGAACCGACTATCCTCAGGTGCCTCTCTGCCATCAGCGCCTACTAGTCAGCGCTAATGAGCCTGAGATGAACGCCCACGGCGGAATTTAACTTCATACTTAATTGCTCCTCCCTATTCAGGCATCTTCATGTCTCTTACCCGCCTTCTCAGGCATTTACCACTGCTCAAGTCAGCTTCGCGACATTTTTCGATCACATCTAATGTGTGTTCGCCACCTGGCACTGCAGTCTTAGCTGTCGCAGGCCAAGTCACTACGGACCAAGAGGCACTTCGCCGCCACACGTCAAATCGCTGGCTGTACAACGAGCAAATACGTGAGTTGATTCCGATCGATAATACCAGAGCCGCACTCTTAAGTTTGTTCTACAGAACTTTCGCGTCGTTATGTGAAGTTCGATCCTCATGCACTAGGACAAGTTGCCTCAGGCGCCGTCGGTGCGAACTGCACACGAATCGATAAAGTGGCAGAGGGTGACGATTTACGATCGCGTTCCCATTGTATAATTGATAGTAACTATATACTAGGCTCCACTAACAAAATCTTCCTTCTCACCTTCGAGAACGGACAAGAAGCTATAGCTCGCCTACCATGCCCTTTAGCCGGACCGCCACACTTGATTACCGCATCAGAAGTTGCAACTATGGAGTTTGCGAGAGAAATCATGAAGATCCCGGTGCCAAAAATTCTCAGTTGGAGCTCTCGCGCCGATGCAACGCCCGTTGGCGCCGAATTTATCATCATGGAGAAAGTGCATGGCGTCGAGCTGGAGAAGCTCTGGCCCGAGATGCGAGGGGCTGAGAACAAGACCGTTGTTGAACAACTTATGGAAATTCAGAAGAAGTTTATGACCTTCCGCTTCTCCCACTACGGGAGTCTTTTCTTCAAGGAAGACGTGGTGGGTTACCCACATACCACCGACATCTTCGCCGAACCGACCGCTCATCCTGATGTCCCATCAAAATATGCCATCGGGCCTTGCGTTTCCTGGGACCTGTGGCGAGGCGAGCGACAGCGGGTGGATGTTGACCGGGGACCGTGTTCGTGCTGTGGCGCGCTCATTCCCGTCTTCAACATTGCTGATCAACCCATTTAACAGGGAAAGATGCATATTCGTACATCGCAGGGTTCGTCAAGTGCGAGAAACAGTGGCTTGCTAGATTTGCCAAGCCCCGCGACCCGTCGGATCCATTCTATCTGGACCCCGAGGATAATTCGCCGGCCGCCCACATCGCTGTCTTGGACCAATTCCTCGCTTGTCTGCCTCACATTATGCCGGATCCGGAGCTGCGTTATCCAGCACTATGGCACACCGACTTGCATCGAGGCAACATCTTCGTTGAGCCGCCACAGCCCACCATTTCGGGCATCATTGACTGGCAATGGACAGACATTGGGCCTTTTTATGCACAGGCGATATTTCCAAAGGCTTTTGTATATGGAGGGGATCGCATAAAGCTCTCGTCAAATCCTTACGACAGACCCCAACTTCCTGAAGGCTTTGAAGACCTTCCGCTGGAGGAACAAGAGCTCGCCAGGATGGAGCACAATGAGGCATTCACAATGTGCTACCAGCAGATCCTGATCACAGAAACACCTCCTTGGTCAGCAGTCACGACAATTCCACACCGTTCGACTATAGTGGACCCTGTCTACCGCGCTACGCGCACGTGGTACGGCGGCATCGTGAGCATGCAAATTATTCTGCTCCATATGCAGGTTGTCTGGGATGAAATCGCACCAGCTGGCACGTCGTGCCCTCTCAATTATACGAATGAGGATGCCGAGCGGCTTGTGAGCCTCGCAGTGCGGGCACGCGATTACGAGAACAACGTTGAACGGTTGAAGACTCTTTTAAATGTACAGATTGACGGGAGGGTTGATACGGAGCAATATGATGAAGTACGGGCTAAGAGTGAAGAGATGAAGGCACACTGGGATCCTGAGGAATGCGGTGGACAGTATCCATTCCAGGAGGGCGGACACTCGTTGCTTATATGATGGCATCTGAACCTTCATGACCATTCTTCATCTAGATTGACGATATCATTTATGCCACTCTTATAAATGAGGCAGACCTTCCTCCTGAGGGTCACCTTCATCATTCCTGACCGCTCATTCGCCAATCTGCCCTACGATGGGAGGGGATAGCAAGTACGGGCTCTAGTTCTTCAAACAGAGCCGCTGGTCACTGCCAGCAAAAGCTGGATGATTTCACTCAACATCGACGAGCCGTCCCCCCTTCCTTCAAGTGCTTTACATGGGATTCAACAGCCGAGTGCAGTTGTGTCTTGGTGTATACAGCGAGACATCTAGTTGATAACGGCACGTTCGTCACGTACTATAGCGCCATGTCTCCGTGCACCCTGCGCTGTCGCTACACATTGACCAATGCAATTACTTGCAGCTCTTCACTTGTTCCTGTGGGTCATCGATGAGCATACGAAGGTGCTCAGGAAGGGAAATCCGAAATCGTCAACGAACATTGGACTTCCTGAGTGGCAACGGCTGGCCGCTTCTACAGTTGCGAAATCTGAAAAGATGCGAGGTGGGATTCAGAGATATCGTAGACGGCGTGAGAAATATTTCAAGGAGCCGCAAAAATCAGGAGGACAAGAAGGCAAAGAAGAAAGCACGAAAAAATGGCTTAATTGCAGAGGCTGTTCATCCCAAGAGAACGGACAAACAACACCCTCATAGCCCTCTCAACTTTGTAAACATACCCGCGCGTTTGAAACGATTTACTTCTGGTCACACCAGAGTTCGCAGCACTGACAGTCCCTCCTCATGCATGTCATCTGAATGCTGCATTGATATTGGTACAATCCTACGACATCTTGATTCAACTTCCTATTTATAGTCGCCCTCCTTCACGTCAGAGACGTCCGCCGAACAGTCACTCCTGCCTGTGCTTCTGATAGTAGTGAATGAGACCAGTAGTCTGCAAAACCCATTTATCAGCACATTTGCAGCAGCAATTCCATGATCAAAGACTCACCGAGCTGTCATGACCAACAACGTCCTCCGGCTTATTGAGCTGTGCAAGGATGTTCTTCGCGAGGACCTTGCCCAACTCGACACCCATTTGATCTACGTACACCTTAGCGGCTAGACAGTCATATCAGATCGTGCTCGCTTACCGAAAGAGTTGATGCCCCAGATCACGCCCTGCGTAAATATCTTGTGCTCGTACAGTGCGATCAAGGCACCGAGGGTAGCGGGCGTCAGCTTCGGGAAGATAATGCTGTTGCTCGGCCTGTTACCCTCGAACACCTTCGACTTGATCAGCGCTTCCGATGCGTTAGGGCCGACCTCCTGCACGAACAGACGATATGTTAGGGACATTCCAACCTCACCAAGGAGTAAATCAAGCACATGCCTTGCGAACATCCTCTTCAGTCTTGCCGAACGCAAGCGCCTCGGGCTGCGCGAAGAAGTTGCTGAGTAGGATGCGATGGTGGAGCGAGTGGCGGATCGGATTATGCGTCGTAGCGGGCGCGATGAAGTCAGCGGGGATCAGCTTCGTGCCCTGGTGCACGAGCTGATAGAACGAGTGCTGGCCGTTCGTGCCCGCCGCACCCCAGATGATCGGCTGGATCACAGATCGTCAGATCTCTTGTGCGCGAAATAAACCGCTCAACGTACCCCAGTCTGGTAGTCCACCCGCTGGCCGCCCTTGGTAACGAACTTGCCGTTTGACTCCATGTCACCTTGCTGGAAGTAGTCCGCGAACTTGTGCAAGTACTGGTCGTACGGGAGCAGGAGTTGCGTCTGCGCGCCGTAGAAGTCATTGTACCATACACCGATGACCGCGAGAAGGACGGGCAGATTCTGCTCGAGCGGCGTGGTCTTGAAGTGCTTGTCCATGCCATGTGCACCGCGGAGGAGCTCTTCAAAGTTGTCATAGCCGATGACGAGCGCGATCGATAGGCCGATAGCACTCCAGAGACTGTAGCGTCCGCCGACCCAGTCCCAGAACTGGAACATGTTCGCCTCCGCGATGCCGAACTCGGTGACGGCCTTCGTGTTGGTACTGAGTGCGACGAAGTGCTTCGCGACGTGCGCCTTATCGCCCGCGCTCGCGAGGAACCATTCGCGCGCACTCGTCGCGTTCGTGATCGTCTCCTGCGTCGTGAAGGTCTTGCTCGCAATGATGAACAATGTTGTCTCCGGGTCACACACGCGCAGCGTCTCCACGAGGTGTGTGCCGTCGATGTTGGACACAAAATGTGCGGTAAGGTCGCGCTTCGAGTATGCTTTGAGAGCCTCCGTCACCATGACCGGTCCGAGGTCAGAGCCACCGATGCCGACGTTGACGATAGTGTTGATCGTCTTGCCGGAGTAGCCCTTCCAAGCACCACTGCGGACGGCCTCAGTGAACTCCTTCATGTGTGCAAGCACGCCCTGGACCTCATCTACGCCGGCCTCGGAGATACGAAAGTCGTTGAAGTTGCGGAGCGCGACATGCAGCACAGCACGGTCCTCGGATGTATTGATGTGCTCACCAGCAAACATCTTGTCTCGGTAGGTCTCGAGACCGGCCTCACGGGCGAGCGAGAGTAGGGTGGCGAGGATAGGCTCGGTGATCAGGTTCTTGGAGTAGTCGAGCAGGAAAGTGACCGGCGGACCATCAGACGAGACATACTCCTTGCTGAACTTGGAGAAACGCGCTGGGTCCTGAGAGAAGAGCTCCTTCAGGACAAGCTTGGAGTGCTCCGAGTCGTATATGCCCTTGAGCTTCTTCCAGGAGGAGTACTCTGAACATCAGAGCTGTTTCAGTTCCCATCATCTTCGCCAAGTAGTCAATGCGTGAACACGCTCGAACGCGGCGGTCGCTCTTTCTCGTTGTCTATCCACGTATTCCTACTCACCTGAAGCCAGTCTCCCGCTCATTGTGGGCACAGATCGAGGGCGATGGGATTACGGGGATGGGCGGCAATGCAGGGTGCGGGCTGCCTTAAAGCTGCGAGTCGTGCGAATTATGACGAATCGTGCGCCCGGTGCGCACGTTCTGCTCACGCTGCTCGCCTATCGGTGCTGTCGCCCGTGTTCTCAGCGTTGAGAGGAAACACGCAGCGCAAACGGCCAAAGGTCGACAGAATGCTCTCTAAGTCCGTTACCTGCATGGTCTCAATTCGCCCACGACTTACCGACTGCATGGCTCTATGGCACTGGTGTTTCCGCCGGCTGCCAGCAAGAGGGCGATATCACGATAGTAACAACATTTGCAACACGACAAGACGGGCCACACAATCGAGCTTACATTACGCTTTCCTCTACCCAGCCACCGCCGCCGCCAGCGTTGTACATATCATCATCCGGCCCCCATGCTTCATCCTTGTGTTTCACGGCCTGTACGCACGAAGAGTCAAGTATAGCCTAAGAGAATAGAGTAGCCGGGCGGAACATACCTTCGTGAGATAGTCCTTGTTTGAGTTCATAGCGCGTTCGAGTCCCAGCAGCAGCTTGCTCTGCTCCTGCGCCTGCTTGAGCACCTTGTCCACTTCTGCCTTCGAGATCTGCAGGATAGGGTCCAAAAAGGTCACTGTGCCGTCCGCCGAGATGCTCGCGCTGATCTCGCCGCTCTCGATCTACCATGGTATACATTCGGTATCTGCAATGCACGCGAGTGAGGGATGACGCACCATATTGACGATGATGTCGCGGATTTCGTCTTCACTATCGATGGATACCTCCTTTGCAATGTCCGCGAGCCCGAGTGTGAGGTAAGTAGAGATCAATTTCTTGATCAACCAGCGCGGGGCACGATCGATGGTCTGGTGAATAAGTCCCAGGTTCTTCTCCTAATGTTTAATGAATCAGCAATACCGTCGTAGAGGAAATTATGAAAATTCATCAATCAATAGCATAGACGCTTACGTTGGTGAACAACTCGTTGTCCTTCTCGATAGCAGCATAGAGAGCCGATCGTGGCAGAGGATACGCTTTGATATACTTCCCGTACGGTGAGTTTTTGAGCAGACGCGTGAGATTTGGGTTGGTGTATCGCGGAGGCGGTACGGTCTACGCAATATCAGTAACGGAACCACTTAAGCCCCATCATAACCCACCTGTCCGTACAAGATCAACTGCACGAGCACCAACTTCTTAGACGCCTCTAGTTGAATCGCCGCCGGCACCTGGGCGGGCGAGCTGGCGCAGATCTCGAAGAACTCCTCCGCTTCTCGCCAGCGCTTGAGCGCACCGAACGCCACTCCACCGGCGTAGTGATAAATGAGGTTGTCGTTGTAGGTCAAGTCGGAGATGGTCAAATCGATGTTGGTGATCGGCACCGATAGCACGGGCAGAGCGGCGCTGAAGTGTTGTGTGCCGACGCATGTCTGAGGGGATGGCCGTTGACTAAGATCATCGATATAATTTCGAAAAGTCGACTGACCATGACGAACATGCGATGCAACGTCGTGAGATGCGATAGCGATGGTGGATATCGGGTAACGAGTTTATACAGAGGGCTGAGCGCGACTTTGAGCTTGCATAAAAATTCTCAGTTCACCAGGCCGCGTTCCAAACGATGATGGGTACTCACATTATCTGCCTCTTGTGACACTTGTACGATGCCGTTGGCTAGAGCGGTGACTAAAAGTAGGGCATGAGTGAGCCACGCGCAATATTCTGCACATTGATAGCAAGAGCGCACCTTGATCTGGAGCGAGTCTTGCTTGCGGAGGGTCGAATAAACTACAGAACTCCTGGATCACGGTCAAAGCGGGCTTTGGCACTGTAGTCGCTTGCAATCGTGCAGATCTGACATACGCCACAAGGGTCTCTCAACTCGCACGACACCCGCGTTCAACGGGAAAACGCACAGTATGTAAAGATATCCAAGCGTGTGCCGCGGCAACTCAAGAGTCTCGAGGGGATCCTGCCCGCTTGAGAGCAAACCCGAGAGGAATGTCTGGCGGACGTCCTTCGCTGAGGCTACGTTCTTCAACCGCAGGTTGAGATCCGCAACGTTGTCGGTGGTCCTGATCTGCGTAACGATTTCATCGGTAGTTGAAAGCCCTTGGTTCGTGTGCGAAGGGCCTGAGCGGCCGGCTTGCACTGCTGTAGATGATCCTGCTGCCGAGGCCATGGGGGATGCTGGACAAAGGATGTCAGCGTTCAATCGTGACGAACTTGATAGCCTTCCAGGCGTCGTGCTTCGTCACAGTGCAACAAGGAAATCGCACTCCAATCAAAGAGCACCACGATGCGTTTGTCGTTCGAGTGCGCGGCCAGTCTGACGGATCGCTTTCTCAGTGACAACGTAAGCCTTACCTTGTAGATCGAATGCTTCGGCTTGTCCAGTTCACGGAAGAGCTTCCACTGCCCTCAAAAGCCCTTCAAGTTTTGACTCTCTCTTCAGAACAACACAGCCAAGGAATGGGATGGAAGAACGTGAAGAACGCGATGAACGCGAGGCTCTGCAGCGCGGGGAATCCTAGGAAGGCGGACAATAGTAAGCGCCCATAGTACTGATTGGTTAGACGCCCGTCGCAATACTTACAGTCTCGTTCAATGAGGTGCTTTCCCCCAAAGCTTTCTAACTCAAGAATCGTTACTGAACGCGCCCGTCATCGATTACTAGATTATACTAGTGACGTGCAAGTTGACCGTACGAAAATACACTAGCTGCATGTAGACGTCTTTGCCAGTAACAATAGGTTCAAGATGCACCATCCTTTCTCACAACGTTTCAAACCTAATATCGAGCAGATTCTGGCACTCTATAGGATTCCAGAGGCGAGAAAGATCTACCTCAGTGTAAGTTTGTCGCCCAGAGGCAACTAAGAAACCTAACATTACTCACGTAGCTACTACGATCTAGATACAGCTTCACAGAGTGTAACAAGACCATTTTATGTTTCAAAGAAAGCGGATTTGATGTGCTTGCGTTTAATTACCGAGTTCCTGCGCCGGAGTATGCGAGGATGAGGTATGTTGTCACCGAAGGAAATGTATTGTTCGCAAGGTGGAGATTGTTAATGAAGGCATGGTTGATGACCAACATCCATTCATCGGTTTGCAACTTTTGCTGCGCAGAATTGCACCTTTCTGCCAATCGTGACCGTCTAGCCGGCGCGATCATAGCCATCGTTTGCATCGACATCCGGCGTTGTAGCGCGCTCACGTCGATTCCAGAACATCGTACATCATGGAGGATCGCTGTGCTCTGCAAGTATAGAGGTGGCGTCACAGTCGTAAAGCTCGCCACACTCCCACACGCACCCACCTCCGCCGCCTATGGAAACACCCCGAGGGCTTGGATCGTCTCGCATTTTTCATCGCGACCACTCCCGCTTTTACCTCTGCGAGCCTCGCGCCTTTTGACCCGGGCTGACCGCTACACCCGCGGCCCCGCCGCCTTTCCTTTTGTCCCTTCTTCATACCTACCCTGAGATGCGCCGCACTGTAGCGTACGCCCGAGCCTGTACACCCTCCCTTTTAAACGCCGCACATAGCGCGGGATAGAAATAAATGCCAAAAAAAAAAAAAGCTCGCCCATGGAGGTATACCTGGACATATTGATAGCGACATCGCTCGTGAAGCAACAGCTATTCCACGCAGCGGCTACAATGGCGTTCGCAATAACCGTTGCGGTAAACAGGATGACATTGTCAGTCCAAGGTGACTGGTCAAATTATGGGAGAAGCCATAGATCGAATGAGGGGACTTACAATGAAGGATACGACGCAGTTTGCACCTTGACGAGGATTGAAACATCGCCTGTTACCTTCTCGTACATGATCGTTATGTTGTCAGTAATGCAGACGGGTGAGCAATGCACGAGGCCGCCTCGCAGGTTGTTGGTCCAGATTAGTAATACACAAGATCACAGAATGAATCCGATGAAAACAACGAGCATCTATAATACAGCAACGTTACAAGCAGCAGAACATGACGGATGCGCGGCTGGCATGGCACAGGAAATCCAGGAGCTCATCTCTGCTCCCTCGGTTCTAAAGCAACCCGTCAGCAACCGCTGATCAGCGTAGCAAGGACACAACGACACTTACGTGACCACTGAATGTTCAGAATCAAATTATCATAACCACGCCCATGCATTTTTTCCATCGCCCGCTGCGCGTTCGTGCGCTCCTCAAAGCTGACAAATGCAAAGCCCTTGCCCGCGCCGGTCTCGCGATCCCGTCCGACGTATACCCGCGCAACACGCCCGAACGAGCCAAACAGGTCGCGTAGGTCATTTTCTTGCGTGTCTTCCGAAATATTGGTAACGCGCAGGGTGGGCAAGTCGTCGCGCGAGCCGCCCGGCCGCGACATCGACTCGCCGGGACCCCGAGCGCCGCCGCGCATCCATGGTGGGATATACTTGCCCGTACCGCCGGACGGTACTGCTGCAGCGGGTTCCGCTGCAGTGCCAGTGTCGTCCAACCCGACTGGAGGGGTCTCTAACAGCCGATTCATAAGTGTTCAATCATGGACACGAAATTGGCAAAAGGAAGCGAGAACTATAAGCATACCTCCGCCATCCAGGCCAGGGAGTGAATCCTTGTAGGGACATTTTGCGGTGAAGTGATCACCCTTACATAGTCGACAGACGACCTTGCCAGCACCGGCGCGTACGAGGTTGCTTTTGAGAGTCTGCTCAGCGGACGGCTCGGGCTCCGATGACTGCATAGCAGATAGATGTATCAATGAAGATGTATGTCACCAAGAGATTGTATTAGCAATGACGCACCTTGTTGCCCGGGCTGAGCTTCAGCACGAGGTTCTCACCAACTGTGGTCGTCGCACGATCGGGTCCTGGTTTGCTTCCCTTCTCCTGTCCGAACTTCTGCCACGTCTTGCGCTCAGCAACAGTATGGTCGACGAGCTCCTTCTGCAGAACACGCTTGATTTTGCGTGTGATCTAAACAAGATTATAGAACGTCAGAGTCGAATCCTCGTTGCAGAAAGTTCCGCTGCGCACCTTCACTTTCTTGCCCTCATCGTTGACAGTATACTCCACAGTCGTACGGATGCCATTCTCGTCGACCGTGTCCTCGACCTTGGTGGGCTGTTCTGCATTGCGATCATGGAATATCAGCCATATGCGTCCTTCACAGTTATGTGGACTGACCAAGCTCATCGACGTCGTCCGCCCACGAAGTTTTTGTTTGTCTGTATACAGCATCATGATAATGCGACCCTTCAATATAAGCAAGAGCACTCACGCTCCGCTTGCCATGATGGTAGGAATGAAGGGACCTGTGAAAGAGAGAGGTAGAAGTTATAGCTCGGGAGAATTGTGATGTCCGTGACGGCGAATCACAGATCACATGGAATCACGTGAAGGTGACCTACCGTGACAATTCTGTGGCCAGCTGCTCAATCCGCCACCCCCTCTATCAACATGCCGCTGCGCCGGAACTTCTTGAGGCATGATATATGAAGCCGTGAGGCCTGAAGCTTGAAGCTTGAAGGCCTGAAGCTTGAATGTCTGTTGTGCTACTGCACGAAACGAGCACTCTGCTGTGCAATAGACTTGCAATGCATGGCTCTTGCATTCAAGTTCCCCCAACACGTTGAAAAGCTGCTGGATAACGCACACCAATAATTACGGACGGGTACCGAGTGGAGCAAACCACTACAACAATCATACTCCCCCTCATGCACCATCTTCTACAGAGTGCCGGTGCCTGACAAAAGTCACCTGCCGCTGGTGAGTAATCGACTTCAGTACTTTCGCATAGTGCAAACAGCCCTCTCATATGTGCTCTTCAGCATATCGTATCCAGAAATCGTGCAAATGGATCACTTTGCTCCTCACTCGTCAGCCGGCTTTGAAGGCTACTACTCCCGAACGCAGCTCGAGGACGGCAGCACCCTTGCCATCATCTTCTGCTGGGTCAAACACGCGAGGCTACGCGGCAATCTTGTCTGCGTCTCCTATAACCCTATCGGTGACAGCGACGTCGGCTCATTCCATCATGAATTCTATCCAGACGATTTAGATACTGCAGTGGAGCCTTATGCTGGACAACTGCAGCCCTTCACGCTCAGTGCATCTGGCATTGGCTCTATGAAGGTCGCCGTAACGGAGATTCGGTACACTATTTCCGTCCTAGATCCCCCTCTCTCACTGACGCTCCACCTCACGAACCGCACCGCCTGGTCCGAGACGCAGCCTCTCGAAGGCCCGATGGGGCCCATCATGCTCGTCTCCCGTCTCCTCCCTCTCAATTGGCATGTCTATTCGACCACCAGCGACGCAGAGTATGTCATTACGCATGACGGTATAACGCGCGCAGGCAAAGGCAAGACGCACATTGAGAAGAACTGGGGCAACTCGTTTCCCCCCGGCTGGATCTGGGGCCAGGCATTTGGCGAGGATGGGCGAAGTCTTTCCCTTGCAGGCGGCGCCGCGCTCCCCGGAGTACAAGCGTACCTCATCGGGTATCGCAGCCCTAAATACAAGTGGGACTTCAGGCCACCCGCGACTATCTGCCTTGGACGCCTCTCTCCTTTCATGAATGTCAAGCATGACAGCCGGTCAGGCACCTTTGAGCTAACTGTACAGACACTGCATAAGAAGATATCTATCACGATGAATGCGTTCACAGACACATTCATCCCGTTTCCTGCTCCTCTTCGCGGGGGCCACCAGCCAGGATTCGCCTACGAAAGTTTCAAAGCGGCGGCGCATGTCGAGCTCTTCATGCGCCGCTGGCCATGGCAAGAATGGGCGAGCGTCGAGGCCGGTCCTGTTGGGGTCGCCCCAGATGGCTCGTCGTGTGCTGCTCTAGAGTATGGCGGCGCGTACTTCAGGAAGGCCGCGGAGAGGATCGAAAGCTGATCGTCACGACTGTTATTGCGAGCAATGCATTCCTTCTGGTCGTTGAAGAGCTGTTGAAGCATTGTCGCCCAGATCCCAACGATGGCGGTTTACGGCGGTTTACTATGTGCTCGCATGAGCGTTCCTATCTTCTAATCGCGACCCAGATTGACTGTTACGGGCTTATGCGCGAAACTGTTGACGAACCTGCGCTGAAGGACTTCCTGTGGCATCCTCTATTTGTGTAATTGATGTTCATTAATGGGACTGTACGGTATGCTAGACGTCCGTTTAACTTTCACAGCCTCACATACCTCGCAATTCAGTCGAATTGGGGAACGGAGTACACGTGACACCCATGTACGGATCCGAGGCCTAGCAGCCGGTAGGGTCATATGCCTCCGGTTCCAGTTCAATCTAGGCTTCTGACCGTAGGCATGTATACATTCCGCTGCCTTCGCCCTGGTCTCCTATATAAGCCGGGCCACGGATTTCCCACCTCCCTATATCTTTCTCCTGCACACGACGTTGCATCGACATAACCATCCGCTGATCCTCGGGTCCGTATCTGCTCCTTCACCTTGAACGTATTCTGTATTCCCGTCGTCGACATGTCGGAAGGAAGCGTGGCCTCGATTGAGATCAACGACGCCCTTTTCTGCCCCCACTTCAAGGAGGTTGTGAGTGTCAAAAGTCCATCCTAAGTTACGTGCGCAGGCTGACGGTCTGCCTCCCTTGGTAGTGCTCCGACTGCAATTTCGACGGACGGGAAGAGAACGATACCTTCTTTGGGGTGCGCGGGATCATTTCATTATCGTAGGCATATGACTCATCGGCGCTGATCCACAGTTCGACCCGATTGACCGCGAGGGTATCGAGGCTCCTCAAGTCAGCACGAACAAGGAAGGACAGTACCAATGCAAGAAGCATGGATCTATCTGTAAGTCGCTCGTCAGGCAGTAGGGGTAATAGAGATCGTTGACTCACTTCCGTCGGAATCAGCCTGCAACCAGTGTTTCGGCTGGAAGAAGCAGATATCGCGGGCTAGAACCGCGGCGAAGAAGGCAGGAAAGAAGTGAGCACGAGCGCGTTGCTGTCAGGATGAAGAGGAAGAGGCCTTGTCGCGCCGATGCTTGTACTGTTTGATGTTGTCGCTGTGGGAATACATGCATGTTGTACGAATAGATATCCACCGTTCTGGTATCCTTGGAAGTCGGAGGCTTGTCAGTGGTACGCGAGTAGGATCTCATGTTCTTCACTGTTTCCGATGATGAGCATTGCGCAGGCCATCCTGGACGTTGTGATGGCGGGTCTCACAGGGCGATGTCGTCCAAATGCGTCTGAATATATCAATTGAACGTACACGTGACCGTATCTTGAAATCCCATGCAGTTGAAGAAGCACTGCAATTTAAACATTGTGGCCTCGAGAATGCGCAGTCATCGTCGTTTTGCTACAAGCTGATTGATGCTGAAAGCTCTCGGACCATATATACTGCGTATTTATCAGCATGTGCGCTCTTGACAAGCACGCACAAGACGCACCACTCTGTCGCCTTGATTCGTCAGCGCTGTCGTCGATATCGCAATTTCGCCGCAACCGCGGCTGGCGTCGGCCTGCACTGCAAACGTACATCATCACTATATAAACTACCTTCCTGTCCTTAATCCTCATCATCTTACTGTCTCTTGAACTATTGTCCGCCATGTCGCCCTCTGTACTGAACGGTGTCGCCAAGACCAACGGGCAAGCAGCGGTAAAGCCGCACCTCGACGGCTTCGGCACGCGAGCTATCCATGTGGGCTCCGAGCCCAACCCAGACACCGGGGCTGTGATACCGGCAATCTCGCTGAGCACGACATACAAGCAGGATGGCGTCGGGAATCATAAGGTGTGTTCCTAAAAATATCGAGGCTGGGAGACAGTTGTTGGCAAGCGCTCGTTCTGCGAACGTGGAGATTTGCAAGTTATACGGTGTCAGACTTTCCATCATATGCGATGTGTATTGCAGATATTTCAATGCTTCGTTGCCACTTCGACTAGTTCAGCATCGGTTCAGAGTCACTACCAATGCAGCAGGATGCCAGTTTGCCGTGACACGGCTCTGATCCCCTTGCCGCTCTAACCCCCTTTGAGCCTCTGAGGTTATCGAGATCTTAAACCATATCTACGCTCGTGGCAGGACAACTGGTTAATCATGATACTGACATGTTTAAATGGCTTAGGGTTTCGAATACTCCCGCTCCGGCAACCCAAACCGCAATGCACTAGAAGCCACACTTGGGTCGTTAGAATCAGGCGGTGCCCATGCGCTTGCTTTTGCGTCGGGATCGTCTACGACCGCCACTGTATTACAATCCCTCGGTCCGAATGCCCACGTCATCAGCGTGAACGACGTATATGGTGGCACATTCCGATATATGTCTCGCGTTGCAAAGGAGAATCAGGGTCTTGAAACAACGTTTGTCGACCTAGAGAATGCAGATGATGCCACCATACTGGCGGCATTTAGACCTAATACCAAGGTTTGTTAAATGCTTTATGCATGATGCGACGGTACTGACGATGTATTAGCTAATATGGATAGAGTCTCCGACAAATCCCACTCTGCGCCTCATAGACATCCCTCGCATAGTCTCATTGGCACGCTCCACGCCCATCTCACCCCTCGTCCTCGTTGACAACACCTTCCTGTCCCCCTTCTACTCCTCGCCTCTCCTGCAGGGTGCAGATATCGTCATGCACAGCCTCACCAAGTACGTCAACGGGCATTCGGACGTCGTCATGGGCGCACTCATCCTTCCCGAACACCACTCCGCAGTCCTCGCGAAACTTCGCTTCCTCCAGAATGCGATTGGCGCTATACCGAGCCCATACGACTGCTGGCTCGCGCAGCGCGGCGCCAAGACGCTGCACCTTCGTATGAAGGCACACGGTGTCAACGCGCTTGCAGTCGCGCACGCGCTGCAGCGCTCGCCGTATGTCGAGGAGGTTATCTATCCTGGGCTTGCGACGCACCCCCGGAATGAGCTTGCATATCGCTCGCTCTCGCCACACGCACGCAGGTTCGTGGATGACTATGTCAGCAGCCACGACGAGGACGGCGGCTTCCCCTACGGCGGGATGATCTCGTTCCGTATACGTGGCGGCGCGGAGGAGGCCAACCGGTTCCTCACCGCGACGCGCCTGTTCACGCTCGCAGAGTCGCTCGGCGGCGTGGAGAGTCTCGCCGAGCTGCCTGCGCTAATGACGCACGGCAGTATTCCGCCCGCAGAGCGCGCACTGCTAGGTATTGGAGACAACTTGATACGTTTGTCTGTCGGCGTGGAGGAGGCGGAGGACCTTGTCGCAGATGTAGAGCAGGCTCTGCGGATTGCTGTAAGTGCTTCGAAGTAGGCATGGCTTTCTACAGTCTTGTACTCTATCCCTCGATACTGAAATAGCAGGTGTATACCCAAGGTGTAGCGTACGGGATATTAATCGTGCATGTTGGAATCATTTACTCGCGCGTACATACGCCAGTGCATACATGGGGGGAGCACTCAGCTCTATTCACTGAACGGCTATCACTACTGTAAGGTTAGAGGTTTTGCAGTAATGATATTTATACTGCGCTTCAAGAATAATATCTTCGCTGCTTGCACTCAGCTTTAGTAGACAGCTTGTAATCATCTTGATACTCAGCCTTCATATCTTCCCAATGGCTCTCGATAATTGAGACGTTAACACTCCCTTTTTTCTCTGTTGACCCCTGGACACCTGGAGATGAGGGCCTTGAGACGATGATCAATAAACACTTCTGAAAGTGTGCAATATCACAGGTGCACAAGAATATCGCAAAGTATCGCACATTCTCAAATTGCGGGCTCACCAGCACAAGAACAGAGCCATTTGTCCGGTAAGGCCTATCAAAGTATGTAGTGCCAGTAGTTGTCTATCTGGTTAGCCTGGATACGGATCAGTTGATCGTGCACTGATCGGAAGGATGAAGTTCAATCGTTGCAATCCGGCCTGTGTAAGTCAGGCATCTCGCTCTTAAACACAAACAGCACTCCGAATCGCACACGGATTCGAGACATTTATGCGAATTAAGTTCAATTTCCAAATCCATCTCCATGACACTTGTACGGAATCGGTTACACAGGCGAAACCACGTTGCTACACATTGTACAGCGACAAGAGAAACGCGCGAAGCCAGAAATTCTGGAAGATCTTTTCTATCATTTGGTGAATGTTGCTTTGCGACGACATTGATAGATACTTACCACTTGCGAGTGAGTTGATTGAGAGGAATGATCCTGACATTGTCCTCCGCACGGTCGCCAAGCTTGTCGATGATGGCATCCCTCAAAGTCGCATATATTGCTTCGTTCAGCACCATGTCCTGCGTGTCTGGAAGACAAATGACCATGGAGTCAGCAGCAGAGAGCACACTTGAAGGCGAGACATACTGCATCGGAACGGAACCGGGTCGGCACCGAAGCGGAAGAAGAGCACATCACCGTCAAATCCGGACGCCTGGTAGCGGTAGGCCCCAAAGCGCCACTTCACGTTCGAGCCACTATCGCCGCTGCAAAATGGAACGGCAGAGTGAGGAGAAATGCATCGCATGGAGAGTTGAAGCGGGACGTACACACACACGCCGGTCTGGAAGTCGGCTGTGGTGTCCTTCCAGGACTTCGACTTGAACAGCGTGTATGCTTCCTCCATGTCAGGACGCTTGAAAGCATAGATCATCGCCTTGAACGTCTCGACAAGCGTCGGAGTGAGGAACGCCTCCATGATCGAGATAATCGCCTTGTCGACCGAGCCATATCTATTTGCATTGTCGATATCGATGAAGCTGGTAGCAAAAAGAGCGTCAGTGTCGGCTCATCGGCCGTCCGAGTGCGTGCACACCTGAAGCTCTCCACAATCCAGCCGATGTTCTCGAGCGTGTTTCTGTAAACTCCGTACCACTTTGCGACCTGATCCTCCTTGAACCGGTCGTACTGCGCGCTCGCCGCCAACTGCGCGAAGAGCGACGAGTTGATTACATCGGACTGCGCAGGGTAAATTTCTAGCTCGACTCGCAGGATATTGCGCGCGGCAGGCAACTCACTCTCTGCTGCTCGGACAAGTTGCCGACGAACAAGATCACGGAGCTGCCGACGACTGCAGCCGTGTCGTCCTCTGCAGCAGCAGTCGAGGGCGGAGGCGGGATGGAGAGCTTGACGTTGCGGACGAAATTCTGGCGGTCTTTCAGAGTAGTCATGTTGAAGCTTAAGCTGGACTGGCGAAGCGTGAAGCGTTGAACGAGATGAGTGAGGATTACAGACTTGTCTCACTGAGGCTTTTGTAGCTAGCAGTGTCGCCCGTTCGGCGGGGGAACATAATTTTTGTCATAAGGAGCAATGAACACTTGTTTTGACGCATCAGAAGGACCCTAATTACACGAGGCGGAGAGCGACCAGGAGCTGCCATACTGCCAGAGACGTATGCATGGATGTTCAAAGCCATTGTTCAGCATAGGCGTGTTCCACCGTATTCTCCACAGCCGACCCTTTCACGATAATGGCTTGACCGTGACAGTTCAACGGAATGCCATCGTAACGACATTTTGCGAGTGTCGCTGCAGAAATTGAGAGTCATCGGGTCAGCTCCATCTTCGACTGAGGAAAAGGATATTGCTGTGGATTTATTTTTCGTTCTATGCTTTGCGATTCCCAATGGGGTTTAGTATTACTAGAGGAACCTTCCTTGGCTAGCGAGGGCAGGCATACGGGGATAACTGGGGGATAGTGCAAACATGAGGACTTTCCTGGATGACAGAAGGAAGGAAGGAGAAGATTGTACAGCGGCTTCGATCCCAATTAGACTTCAGGCCTTCAAGCAGGTCCCATATTCCTCGACGTGCCTGTGTCACGACGGAGAGCAAATTGCGGCGGGGATTCCGTACCGATCCTGAATGCAGTGTGGCCTTCGTCCACTACTCAGAAGCGACAAGAACTTACCCAGAGGAATATCGAGTATTGCACACAGCTCAGATGGGATGCAAAAGGGCACAGTTGAGACACTGACCACGTAGTATCGGCGTAGCTAATAGTGCCTCCTGGTCAAAGTTAATGCCACACTGATGTGATGCTGTAATTGAACGCAGCGTTTGATGTCACCGGCTGATTTCTCACGGTCGCGTATCAACATATGCATTAGTAACAACTTTGGGACCCGAACAATCGTTGGCCTTATGATGTGTTTGCAACCATATGTAGCTCCAGAATATATACACCGGCTAATGAAGAGTGTATTCCATGCATCAAGCTGTGACAGTGCCAGCCAGCGGCGGTCGGAGAAACGTCGTCTCCGAGAACAGCAGCAATGGAATCGAGTGACCTTGGCTATTATAGGTACGTTCAGTCTGAATTGGTTGATTTCAAACCTGTTATTCGCATGTTCAGGGAGTCTGTTATCAGTCATCGAACGAAAGGTCGAAGCGTATATGCATGTGAGGCTATTCTGTCAGCATCATTCATGTTTCAAAGCAGCAGTCGGTGATGATTGTAGGCCCAGGTATGAATGAAATTGTAAATTCGCGCAGAGCGGACGTGACAAACGTCCTGGCAATGCCGATCAAGTGTTCAGGCTCCTGGCTAGAAGCATTGTCACTGCTTGACGAAGACACCACTGTTCAACTGGATACTTTAAAAGCAGCCGGGCCGGTAAACACTCAAAATCAGCCAAGAACTCATACACAATCAAATATGCAGTACACTTTTCATTACCTATAGGTTCTGAAATACGAAGTATTCCAATAGCCGACGTGAAGGCTCATCATTGCTATCATTCATCGGATACCGGCAAGCTCTCTTCCAAATTGTGTTCTATGAGGACGCCCCCGCCTACAGGGCCAATTGGGAAGAATGACAGTATTAGCTGCCCTCAAAGAACCATGAAAATTCCAATCGACCGTTCTCCTTGTAACGTATTCTTCACCGCATACTGACGCAGAGGCTCTAGAACGCATCTCTGTCAATTGGCGGAGCGCATGTTCCATGCATCAAGCACATGATGGTGCCGAGCAACGGTGATCGGAGAAAGGTGACTGCGGATGTCGGCGCCGAGAGCATTCATTAGCAAGTCCGTCCCGAAAAAGAGAGCGGCCAGAGTGCAGAGACTGTACGACCGCATATCAGTTCGACGTTATTGTAGAGAGGGTTGATGTATGCGACGCACTCGATGCATTCATTCAACTACGGGTAGCCGTCAGCATCCGAAAGAAGGTCCGATCGACAGTGCACAGCGTCGAGACAGTAGTAACCCTCCTGTTGGAGGAGGAACCGCAGCATTTCCTCCCAGTGGTTCTGTCCGGTGCATAGGTCAACTCGCAGACACGTTCGATGGAATCGACGTTGAAAGCACAGGAAGATTTAATCGGACAGAAAACTTGAAACAAAGCCTTCGAGTGCATGGCTGGAACCACGGTTGGTAGGGAAAGACGTTAATGAATAATAAAGCAGGGATTTATTTAGGCCTTTTGGTGCGCCAAAAAAAATGATGTCTTTGCGTGAATGAACACTTCCATTTGCTTTCATACCTCACAACTGATCACTGTAGGTACATTTAGTCTGAGGAGTTAGCTGATTATTAACCTCAATCTGCTAGTTCAGAGAGTGCCATATGATAACTCGTGATCGAACCAAGGGCCGCATTGTATGCGCATTGCACACGCAGTTAGACTATTCTAGTGGCAGCATCGTCCATGCTTCAATGCAGCCGGCAGCGACGGCGGGTCGCGGTGAGCGATTTACCGAATGATTGAAATTGAAAATTCGCGGCAATGAAATGCGCTGTGACACTGCCGGTTGTGATTCCATGCATCAAGCAAGAGTGCGAAGGCGTCTGCCTTTGGGAAAAAGAAATCTCCGAAAACAGGGTCAATGGAATGAAGTAACATAACCCTCTGTTGAGACCCTCGGCGTTGGTAATCACGAGTGTTGGCTTCCTCTCCTGACATTTAAAATGACAGTGCGCTGATTATTAACTAATCAGATCTTGACTGTGCGTAACGAACATTTGCAAAGCATGTAGACTGCTGTCCACCATGTCTCAAGTTTTTAGAGATATCACCTCTAGTACGATGCTCACGATGCATTCGACAGGAAGATGCTGTGCACTCCATGCTGTTCCTGTGTCGGCTGGGTCGTGACCTCGTTGTCAAATTTTGCTTTCTGTCACAGACACGTTTCACAGCCTCTGACGAGAGCGCGGCAGGAGCATCTCGACGGCGACGACCAAAACAGGCAGCGTGGACGACCTGATGCTCACTGCAAGGCTGGAGAATGAGACATCACGGAGTCGTCACGGGCATTCCCTTGGCGTCCGTGCGTTGTAAGCGGCTGGTGCCGACTCAGAAGGGCAAGAGCTCCTAAACGACAGTGTGATACTGAGCTCGAAGCACTGTGTTTCATTCTTCCAAATCGCCGTTGCAGTGTTCGTCCTCTCTCGCCTGCGGTGCGCACTATGCTCATGATGATGATGAATCGACAGCCCCGTCGAAGACGACCGGCATGATCTATCAAGTGGTTCAGACGTAAGTCGACGCAAGCGAAGTGGACCGCCGCCCGTGATTATTCCGCTCTGGGAGGGGTAGTGTTGTATCACAAGCAATGGCTGCATAGCGTATATAGTGCAGTAGCTGTATCGGTAAATTACCCCTTACATAGCAGAAGCAGCAGCGGGCGCCAGCCACGTCGCGCGCAGTAGTGCCATGAGATCAAGATGCACTCCAAAAACAACTCCGAGGGATAATTGCAGCGGTGCAGAATGACGGACTGTCGCACGGCAAGGATACATCCCCATTCTCGGCATTCAATTCCCCTCACATGTTCAATCATTTTGTGGCGCGCAAGCTCCTCTCAACCTCCTTGTTTGATTTCTGTGATCGAAGCTTGTCTACTGGATGTTGTCACGAAAATATGGTGAGAAATAGCGAAGCAACTCGACAAGGTGTTGGTGTACCAGTCTTGAGATTCACTGACGCGTTGTGCAGATGAGGTGGCTTGAGTGCAAAATTTTAATTGCCTCAGGCTTCGTGTGCGGAGTGCGGCGTAGAGTCACATCAAGGACATGATCAAACAGCACCAGCAAGCAAGCTAGCAACCTAGCGTGACGGGGCGCGTCTGGTGGGCGCGTCTGCAGGACAAAGTCACGAGACCCACATGAAGTCGCGTCGCGTCGCGTCACGCGTCTGTGGCTGCAATGATGTCCGTATGACATCGTCTCCGTGTCGTAGCTAAATAGATATACCCGCGTACGTAACTGGCTATAAACTAGTCCGCTCTTATCATGTCAGGCCTGCGCAGTCATTGTGTAGATGGCGCCGCAGCACGGCGAGGCAGTGTTATGCAATACAGCAGGGCAGAGCAGAGAGTATCCCGCATGTCCCTTACACCACCAACGATCATGCAGAAGAAAATGGATATATGTCGGGCCAATAATTATCGATACACATAGGGCTGCACAACCCTCAAGGTAGTGTCAAAGAGCATCCTTCAACGTCCACGCCCGCCGCTCAGAACTTGACCTTCGACAGGACGCTGTAGAAGTGTTGACCCTGGATCTTGGCGACCTCGAGCTCGAGCGCAGTCGGCTGGCGAGAGCCGTCCGCGCCGGCAAAGGTGCCTGCGCCCCATGGAGAGCCTGTGAGAGGGTATGTTAGCGTAATGTCCGGTAGGTGACAGACGAACAATTAGAGAAGAGAGGATATATGCGCGCATCTTGCGTGAAAAGCACGCTAACATGCGCTTCATATGGCAGCAGGCCACACAAGAAGTGTGTTAGACAGGGCGAGACACTCACCACCGCGGACCTCGTCGAGGTTGGACAACTGGGCAAAAGTCTTGCTGTAGCCGAGAGGGACGAAGATGATGCCATGGTGGGTGAACGTCGATAGCATGCTCAGCGCCGTCACCTCCTGTCCTCCGCCTGGCGTGCCAGTAGACACGAACACGGACGCGTACTTGCCCGCGAGCGCGCCCGACGCCCAGAGCCCACCCGTCGCATCCCAGAACGCCTATATGCGCGCGCATAAGTCAGCATAGAGCGCACATACGCAGGAACAAGACGGCGGCGAACCTTGAACTGGGCGGGCATGTTGCCGTACCGCGTGGGGACACCGAAGATGAACCCGTCAAAGTTGGGGAGGTCCGTCGGCGCGATGATGGGGTAGGCAGGCTTCGCGGGCGCGTGCATCTTCTCGAGGATGTCCTGCGAGAGGGTCTCGGAAACCTGGTAGATTGTCGCAGAGCCGCCGGCCGACTGGACGCCACTCTTCACGGACTCGGCCACTGTACGAGAGGGAGATTAGTGCATGCGGCAAGAGATGGAGGACAGAAGGGCTCACCCTTGGCGATGTGGCCGTACATGGAGTAGATGACAATGGCGATTCTTGGGGAAGACATGGTTTCAGTGACAGTAGCGGTGGAAGCGGGGGCTTGGGTGGGAGCGGTGGAGGACTGGGTGGGCTTTATATCCTTCTCGGCCGGCTTGCTCGTGTTTGGGGTCCTGTCGTCGTCGGAGAGCTGGTTCTTGGTGCGTTTGCGGGGGAAGCACATCCAACACTCGGATAATGGTGAGGGAAGAATGCCGGGGGGTCGCGCTGCTCGAGTCTATATGCATCGATCGAGCGCCTACGGCGAGCGGGCGACGAGGGAGGATCTTGCCAAATGCGCGCATGCCTCCTGTTCAGAAGACCAGGGCAGGAAGCATTTTCTCGAACGGCAACGAATATTGCTTGAACACACGGCGATGCTTCTAGCTCTCTGATCAATTAAAGGTGTCCTCGAGGGCTCCCGATGGACGGACCTTTCCTTCCTAGACGCGTACGAGTGAAAACGTTCACCGTACGCGCAAACTCAATCTCCCCGTCCCCCGTCCACCGCAGCTCACATCCAGAACGAATTTGCAAGACAGCACAATGCCCAGGTGGGCACAGTCAGCGGCGTCAGCAGAATTAGACGGTGAGGCAAGAGTTCGATGGGGGCAGAGTGGCGCCAAGAACGCAATGACGAAGTCCGGCGGGAGATCGCTGCCTAAACAGGAAATCATGATGCGCTCGCTGTCCCGATTTGGCACAAAACGCCCTCGCTCTCCTGGCGTGATCCCCCAATCTGTACGCTCTCTCCCGCGGCCGCGGGCTGGGTCCCCGGCCCATCGATGCTTCTCCGCAGCCGACGCGAATTTCTTGCCTCTTTTCGTATGCCTTCGCTGCTCGCATCCTTTATGCGCCATCCATGTCCGCGAAAATCAACCTTCTGCTCAAATGGGCAGCGTCGTCTCAGACATGCTGCACGGCGCTCGCTACGATACATCCACCTAACGCGCATATGGTCGTTGTTTCTCACCGCGTACGCCCGAAGTGCGTTCGCGAAGAGACTCCAAACATTGGGCGACCTGACTTCTTCCAGCTGGAAGGGGCAGTTTCGTCTTACGGTCCGCGTTTGTCTTGCTAAGGAATCGATGCTCTGACACAACGCTTATGAGTCAGGGATGACAAAGCTCCTCGTTCGCTCCATCGGCGTTCGGTGAGCATGCAGGCTGCAACGCTCCAAGCGGGGGTTCCTGTAAAACGTACTTAAGGTTTCCTGATCCACCCTTTATGGGCGCGCACTATGCTCCGCGAACGTTCGCACTGAGATCCTCCCATCCATTCAAGAGCTCAAAACGTTTATGTTACCCGAACAGTCAACCCACGCACTGACGGTCGCACATCTGCAGCAAGATAAAGAGCGATGCTTCAGACATCCTTGAATCCATCTATTTATGTCACTTTTTTCTGGCTCATGCGTTGCGCATGCCTGCGCTATTCCAGAGGCCGGCCGTGCTACATGAGGTTGACAAGTCGCTTTTCACCCTGGCAGCTTCCCTCAGGCTGCATCCCATAGAGAAACGTTCGTGAAGGCTTGTCTACCTCCTACTGATAGGACAGCGTGGATTCCTAATACGTCTGTCTTCTGCTCACGTTCGATGGCGTAACCAGTAGCGTCATGTCACGCTATACATTCACCTTGTAATCGTGGGCACCGGCGGCTGTTCGCTCTCTGCGCGCGCGCGCTGCAGCTTAGGAATATGGTGTGGCCTCGCAAGCCCGAGGATATGTCCCCTTCTCGTCCACGGAGATAACATCGCATACAACACATCCAATGTCCCCGTATATGATTCCCCCCCATCGACATGCTGGGTAGGAATGCAAAACAACAGTTGACTTTCATTCTCGATTGGAGGCCAACCGACGGGTTACGAAGGCCACTCCGCCAGATGGATCCAACGCGTGCAGACACTCATGCCGTGAACCAGTATTTTCATTAAATGCGGCAGGATTCTGTTACACGCAGTGAAGTCAGATGTCGGAGCTCGATGTCGTCTGTCCGTAAAACACTTCTTTCTGTGGATTCTGTCATCCATGTACGACGCTTTGACTTTGCAGTGGCAATCGCTAACACTCCGGTACACTCTAATTCCTTCACATGGCTACACATGATGACGGATCCATGTTGCTCTTCAATGAGGATCCGAGGTCTCCAACTGCGCTGTCGAGCTTTATACCTCCTGACCTCCGTCCCTCAGAGAAGTAGGTATTTTGTTGTCTGCCTTAGGGGAGAGACAAACTGTCGAGTGGGGTACTCTTCTCCAAACGACATCCATAAGTGGCTGTGACATATGAGTACAAACCGAACTGGATTGTACCGGTTCGCTGCGCCTACGTCATCGATCACCGCCTCGCAGCAGGGTTGCCGCGGAGCCTCCCCACGCCTCTCACCCATAAACCACACCAACCCGCATCCCAACTAACTGTACACTACTCTTTCCATCCTCACGTTCAACGTTCAACGTTTATACCACTGAATCCACCATGCCAATTCGAGGCTCGGATATCTGTCTGATCCTGGTGCGCGTACTTCGAGGATAGCGATCGCGAGCGGTTCAGCTGAATATGGCGATAGGTGACCATCCTTTGCCCGCCTGTCGCGGTGTTCTTCATGTCGGGTTGCAGCTGCGACCTGCTCATCAACGTCTGTCTGACGATGTGAGTGATACTCGCCACCCAAGCATGGGATTGTCTTGTCGTACAGTATGTTGACTTTTATGCTGCAGCTTGGGTTATATTCCGGGACATATTGTACGTGCTAATGTGAATCACCAGACGGATGGGGTCTGACGAGCACCTCGTTTGTATCTAGCATGCGTTCTGGCTGATATACAAGAAGATGAAGGCAGAGGAGCGCTACGGCCGTGGCGGCTTCCAATGTGCGTCCTGTTCGTCTCTTTTCCGAATTCACATTTCTGACAACCGCGTAGACGTTGGCAACGGCCACTATGAGCCCTTATACAATGCGCCCGCTGGTGCTCCTCCTGCCGGCTATGGCGCCACCGGTGGCAGCTACGCGTGAAGCAAGTTGGCATTTCACGGTACACTAGGATCGTTACAGTAAAGCACTGCGTACTCTCTCGGATTCCTGCTCTGCAAATGCTGTGCTGCGACTATTATGACTTGTTGAATATATATATTCGCATGAAGGGCATATGACCGCGTGTGCAAACATGAGTATAGTAATTCTGCACGATATGTAAGAACGAGACGATCCAACGATACTGTTGATATGTGTCTGCCGTGACAAACCTCTATGCCATAGAAAGATGGGCATCGAAGTAATATAGGAAGAAGGATGAGAACATCCACATTGCTTTCGCACCATGTATCCCTATCAGAAGCTGCGGTGGGTTGCCGCTGCGTCTGTACACTAAAGGTGCGGTTCTAATCCGAACAAAAAGCTGAAATACTCGGATTCTTAGGAGGTGAGACGAAGTTCAGGAAATATCAAACACCAGCAATAGAAAGAAACGTATAGATGAGTATTGGTCGACGTCAACAATGGCAAGGAGGAGGTAGACGAGAAAGCCGCCAAGAAAATATGCAGGGCAATCTGGGCGGCGCTTGAAAACGCGACACGCCTCAGACGCGTCTCATAACAGTGCGACGCGATCGATGACGCGTTTCTGTCTCATCAAAGTAGTCTTTGTCTGCTGCTGTATTCTACCAGCATTCTTTTGTCCTCGAAGGCACCCAACTGACCTCACTGAAAGGTCTACAGGGGATTTTGCAGACCAGCTCGACAGCATGGCGCTGATGTATGGCGGCAAGGAGAAGGAGAAGGAAGATTATGACATTGGTATGCGTATACGGCGCTCTCGCTACGAGCAACTCACTGATGGCTACGTCCAGATACCGCGTCGCATCCAGGATTCATCAGCTTTTTTGCCAAGCTGCCTCCCAAGTCCCCAGAAACCGGCACACTGCGACTTTTCGCCCGCGGCGACTATTACTCTGCTCATGGCCCCGACGCGTTATATGTCGCGACGCATTTCTACCGCACCAACACGGTGATCAAGTACCTGGGCTCCGGAGGGCGCGCAGGCCTCCCGAGTGTGACGATGAACCCGGGCCAGGCGAAGAGTTTCTTGAGGGAGGCGCTGACTGCCCGCCAGCTCCGAGTGGAGATATGGGAACCGGAGGCGGGGCAGGGGAAGAAGGCGACGAGGTTTAAGCTGGACAAAGAGGTAAGTCATGGACTGTCTTTCTATGACGGTTGCTGCATATATGCGCTTTTTAGGCGTCTCCGGGCAATTTGCAAGCTGTAGAAGATCTCTTATTTGGCCATACGGATATCCTCTCCGCTCCTGTTGTCATGGCCATCAGGATCGCGTCTACACCCGCCGCCATTGCAGCTTCTTCCAAGGCAAAGACAAAGAGCGTAGGCGTCGCCTTTGCCGATACGAGCACACGCGAGATCGGCGTTGCCGACTTTGTTGATAATGACCTGTTCTCCAATGTTGAGGTGCGCAAGAATGAACAGTGTTTGTCTGCAGTTCTGCTGATGGACGGTCATGTAGACTCTCATCATCCAACTTTCTGTCAAGGAGGCACTGATACCGACGGGAACGGCAACTGGGACTACCGAGCGCGACTTCGAGCTGAAGAAGCTGAAGGAGGTCCTAGATCGCTGTGGGGTTGTCATTACCGAGCGTAAACCGAGTATGTTAACCTTTCCACATAATTCTTGTCTGCTGACCGTACTGCATAGGTGAATTCACCACAAAGAATATCAAGGACGACATCGTCAGACTGCTGAAACCAAGTTCCATACCCTCGTCTTCGAACGTCGATGCTGCACAGGTAATACGTGAGTCGTGACCGATCGGCGAAGTGGGCGTTATATGACGATGTTCGCATCTATCGCACGCAGCCGAGCTCTCGCTCCCTATTGCTCCTGCCGCACTGTCCGCGTTGGTCTCCTACCTTTCACTGCTTTCAGATCCATCTAGTCATGGCGCATATACTCTCCACATGCACGACCTGTCCCAGTTTATGAAGCTCGACGCTAGTGCCCTTCGTGCGCTCAACCTTACTGAGGGCTCGGGTAACATTGTAGGCCTTCCTGCGGCGGCAGCATCGATGAAAACTACTGATATCGTGTATAGGGATCTAATAAGAACACTTCTCTCTTCGGTCTGTTGAACAAGGGCAAGACAGCTCAAGGTTCGCGCCTACTTGGCAGCTGGCTGAAGCAGCCGTTGGTCAACCTTCATGAAATCCGTTAGTGCTGGATCGCGAACATTATCCGTATATTGCTCTGAATCCGGACTTCCTACAGATAAGCGGCAGAACCTCGTGGAAATCTTCGTTGACGATTCAAATGCACGGAGAACACTGCAGGTCAATCCTTCTCTCATCATTGCATTGCTGCAATCGTATGAATCTTGCTTCATAGGATGAGTATCTCAAGATGATGCCTGACATGCATCGCATATGTAAACGGTTCCAGAAGGGCGTCGCGTCTTTGGAAGACGTCGTTCGGGTATATCAAGCCATATTGAAGGTAACTTTTGTAGCGCTCTTGTCCTAACGTCCATTTGACCGATGCAATTGCATGTTTAGCTTGAAGGCCTCATCACTACTCTTGAAAGCCTCGAGATTGTCCATGACGATATTAAAGAGCTATTGGAAGAGCTCTATCTCGCGAAACTACGAGTATGTATTCGATTGATACCTAATGCCATCTCTCATGACAGCTCCTCGCCTTCTCTAGGAATATGATGCCAACCTTGCGAAGTTCGCCGAGATGGTACAGCATACGCTGGACCTCGATGAGCTCGAGAACCACAATTTCGTCATCAAGCCGGACTACGACTCTCGTCTCCGAGTTCTTGCCGACAAGCTGAAAGAGATCCGCGACGGCCTAGATGAGGAGCATCAAGACGTTGGCCATGCGCTGGACCTCGACTTGGACAAGAAGTTGCACCTGGAGAACTCGCCAACATATGGATACTGTTTCCGCCTGACAAAAAGCGTAAGCGGGTTCACGGCGAAGGAGCCCAATGTTTTCTTAGGCGCTTGCTGCTGTATTACAGGATTCTAAGAGAATCGAGAACAAGGAGAACAAGTACCCACAGCTGGGTACAAACAAGAGCGGCACCTACTTTACCACTGGGACTTTGAAGGAGCTGGCGACGGAATACCAAGAAACCACGGAGTTGTACTCGAAGACGCAGAATGGCCTTGTCAAGGAGGTCGTCAATATTGCTTGTAGGTTCTTTAACGTATATTATATACTGGTGTGCCAATGACTTGACAGCAACCTACACGCCTGTTTTGGAATCTTGGAACAATGTCCTGGCTCATCTCGACGTGATCATCAGGTGCGTTGGATGCGTTCCGCCAAGTGACGTCTCATGTATGATTTAAGCAGCTTCGCTCATGTCGCCGTGAATGCACCAGAGGCGTATGTCAAGCCCAAGATGCTGGAAAAAGGTGAGCTCTCTCTACGCATCATGTCGTTGGATGACTCGTAGACCCGCAACACAGGCTCGGGCAGCCTGGTTCTCAGAGAAGCACGCCACCCATGTCTTGAGGTCCAAGATGACATGAGCTTCATTCCCAATGACATAGAGATGATTAAGAGTGAGAACGCTCTTTCTTCTCAGTGAAGCTACACTTGCTGACCGCGCTTCGCTGATAGATGACAGCGAATTCCAGATTATCAGTAAGCGTGACCCAGCTAGTGCGATTCCGAATGCAAGACATTGACAAACTCGTCCAGCTGGCCCTAACATGGGCGGCAAGAGCACATACATTCGGCAGGTATAACGTTCGTTGTCTCATGTCATCCGGCCAACTCAGAAGCACACACAGGCTGGAGTGATCGCACTCATGGCTCAAATAGGCAGTTTTGTTCCGTGTTCAGAGGCCAGTATACCGGTATTCGACTCGATCCTCTGTCGTGTGGGTGCTGGAGATAGTCAGCTCAAAGGCATATCGACATTCATGGCCGAGATGCTCGAGACGGCTACCATTCTACGCGTGCGTTCTGCTGTCATTCTGCTTCGTCCGGCGCTTGTGATGACGAAGGGCCTTTTGCCAGTCTGCTTCGAAGGACTCGCTGATTATCATCGACGAACTTGGACGAGGTGGGGCACTTGGAGGAGTTCCGATTAGAACACTGTCTGACTGTGTCATCCAGGGACGTCGACGTATGATGGATTTGGTCTGGCATGGGCCATCTCAGAGTAGGTTTACCCTGAAATATTACATGATGCGTGCTAAAGAAAGCGCAGACACATCGCCTCCGAGATTCACGCCTTCTGTCTCTTCGCGACTCACTTCCACGAGCTAACGGCCCTTGACCAAGAGATTTCACACGTCAAGAATCTGCACGTTGTCGCGCACGTCTCCAAGTCAGAAGAGGCTGACCGTGATCGTGATATCACCTTATTATACAAAGTGGAACCTGGTAGGTTATGCTTCTAATCGACTTGACATATGGTCTCAACATGTTGCTAGGCGTGTGCGACCAAAGCTTCGGTATCCATGTTGCTGAACTGGCCAATTTCCCGGAAAATGTAGTCAAGGTACGTGCTTCAGCTTGTCTCTCACGGCTCTTCGTGACTGATAACTTATTTGGCAGCTGGCGAAACGCAAAGCTGACGAATTGGAAGATTTCAACCAAGGTAAGGTCGAGTCGCAGCAGTGTCTTGATGCGCCTGACATGTGCGCTATAGAAGGTAACGACAGTGAGCCCCAGTTACCCGCAGAGGTGGTCGAGGAGGGAACGAAGATTATCGAAGAACTTTTGCGAACTTGGGCATCAATGCCTCCAGACCATGATGGTGAAGACGTCACAATGGCCGAAGAGGATGAGCCTTCTCCTGCAGCGCAACTAGAGCAACTCAAGAGATGCGTCGAGCAATTCCGGCCACAGATCGAAGCGAATGCTTGGGTTCAAAGTATACTGGCTTCATTGTGAACTGGAAACATCAACGAGGACATTGTTTTTCTCCACAAAAGCCGAGCCCGTCGATACTGTCGCTGTGCGTTCTTTTCATCATCATTGCTGCTATTCTATGCTCTGTGTCATCGCTCTGTAGTATTTATGATGATCCACATGAACCGTGCGCGTGAGAGGCAGCGTCGATGCAAACTCCCACCTGGAATCAAGCTTGGACATCATATATACTAAACATCCAGAATGTCATACGTACATCCAAGTTGAGGACGATATTAATATATGGTTCTATGGATATTCCTCAGCCATTTTATAACGGAAGCCGGAGCCTGACTCAAAACATGAACGCATTGATACTTGATCTGAAAATATAGAGAGAGCATCCATTGCAATTGTAAATAGCGACTAGTATCACGACGAAAGGACGGATGCTGGCGGGTCTTGGGCCCAGAAATACGTGGGTCGAGGCCCGACAACACTGACTATTGTCGCCTGCGGAGGCGCATCAGCCCACCTGCCAATTTCGAAAGAATGATTCGTTGTTCGAAAATCCATGTCCTTTACTGGAGCTCCACGTCGTATAAAGCGTTCTGCTCTTGTTCGGATGGTCGTCGAAGTTTGGCGCCAAAAAGAAGGCGAGTTGAGGTCCCTCACGGAAGATTCTGGGGCATCGGAAAATCACAGTCGCACACATTTATTACTCTGTTACAGACAGACCATTCACGCGACATACAACTCATGAGCGAAAACTCCGCCTCATAAGCTACAAACGTATGCGGCAGAATCGCCATCTGGATAGTCGAGTCAGAGATCATCGAGCACGGGTGAACTGAACCATGAACAAGTTATATTATCGATTTGTGGGATCAAACGTACCATAGTGACAAAAGCTTCGGTAGTGTTGAATTGAGCAATCCCGCCGTTCCAGTATGTGAGGATACCTGGTAATCATTCCGCAGTGCTCAATGTGTACATGACGAGCTTCGATTGTTCACGTTTGATGACATACCGTCTAATAGCAATACGGGGAGCATGAGGAGAAGACTCAGTGAGAGAGTAATGGAGGCGTCGACTGTGGCACTGATGGACATCGGCATATATGTTATTCGCACGCGTTTAAGTAAAATTCCATGGCAGAGAAAGGATGCATGAGCTTTCATTGAAAAATCGGTGTGTCTCACTTTAGCTCCGAGCAGGAACTTGGTAGGCGTTAGCCTCATGTCAGGACTCCGGGACACCGGGAAGACCAGCCTGCCACGAGCGCGCTCTGCTTTGCCTGCTCACGGTCCATATGCAGTAACTTTGGCCGGATTCAGAATAAATACATCAAAAATAGACGCAGGTACAGAAGACATGAGGATTGAGATTTGATCTCCTGAGGCGTTCTGTCAGCGGTCGTCAATTTTGAGGCAAAATAGTGAGCGTACGATGTTATCTTAGTTGTGTTAATTGACGCGTAAACGCGAGAACCCAGTCACCTCAGACAACATCGCTGTGCAGCGGTTGGGCCTTGGCCCATGTTGACGCCGTATTTGCATGTTTGATCGGCGACTGATGGTCAACACGACCAAGGAGATGAACTTCATCGGGCACCTGCGCGTTTCGGTGATGAAATCTGGTATCCTCCGTCCTGTGCATATCCGTTGTCGGTAGAGATGGCGAGGTCGGTATGTCATTGCTTATTGTACTGCCCGAATCATTTTGCAGACGGTTGGACGGCACGAGGTTGGGAGACTCGCGGTCATCTGTTGAACTGGACGATAGCGGATTCAGCGGTCGTTAAATGATCCCCTCGGGCGGTTTCGACTTTGGAGTGCGAAGAGAACTGCGCACGTTGAGCCTTCGATGCATCAAGACGGAGGGTCATCTTTTGTGCCATTGGTGATGCAAGGCACACTTACATCGCCATGAACGAATTGACATAGACTATCGATGGGAATCGTCAGTGTCGTCGGCTAATGTGTCAACGAGATGCTTCTTACGCTTAGTCAGAGAGAATTCCACAGCGGCGACGATGAATGTCTTGGGAAGTGCGGCCATCTTGTGGATGCGTGGAGTTCCGATATGTCAACATAGCATTGCGTTTTATAACGTTGAAACCTTACGGTGGCGATGGCTGAGAGCGAACAAAGACTACGCGCCTGTCAGGAGCGTTCAAGCCGGCGATAAGACACTCTTCAGCTGCCCACCTTGTAATCACACCAGTACTGAGCGTAAAAAGCATGAGCACTGTTATCATCGAGTCTGTTCTTTCGCATGGGTGAGAAATTCGATTCTCATGAAGGCGGTGTTCAGCTCGACGTACCTTCGATATCCAGTCCGAGACCGAAATAACAGAAAAGACATACATCCGGCGATAGCCACGTCGACGCCAAACCAGGTTGATAGGGGATAATATGTCACCCACTTCCGATAACATAGATATGGTTTAGCATAGCAGCTCTACGTACGCGTCCTCGTAATTGAGAGCACCTGGCTTACCTTCTCTCCCAGCAAGCGGAGGGTAGAGTCACTCTTGATCCAGGTCCTGATAGCGAGCAAGTGAATCATGGCTGCAATCAGAAGTGTAGGACATAACTCATGCATGACGCACAATTCATAACATAGCACTGTGGAAAGGCCTGCATTAAACATGGCAAGACGAGCAATAACATCCCACCCACCTATAGTTGCAACTGCAATGTCATCTCAGATAAATGGAGATATTGATAAATGACCAGCACATGTGTTACGCACCATAACCCGCACATGTGAATATGGCCTGGAATAGAGGTACAGAGATCGTCTGTCACTTCGTACATAAAGCAATCATTACTCAGCGTGCTCACAACAGTGATGGGCATGACACCCCGGATACGCTTGCCTCGATTTACAGCCTTATCCACTGTCAGCCACGTCAACACGTGGACGCTCATTAAGTTCGGAACACCTACAGCTCCACACTCGAATTGCATATAAGCTGCATATCGCGCAATCACACAATATTTTCATCTAATTGTATATGATGCGTGAAAGTTGGACTCACGTCTGCACAGACGATATAGCCACTGCCTGTATATGATGTGCGTATCGCATCAGCGACCAGAGATGAAGCGATATTGATGATTTCATTATCGTACGCTTACGATGTCCTGTGCCTGCAGAGCGATTTGTTACCATCGAAAAAAGGAGCAATGCAGCGACTGACCTTAAAACTCCATGGGAGTCTTAAGAGGTCAGGCGGGTCGAAATAATTGACTATCAGATTCCAATAGGCTACGTGGAAAGACAATGCGAGTTGAAGAGCATCCAGAACCCTAAATGCTGCACATAAGGTTTTGGATTTGGTCGGATATCGAAGGCACGCACCATAAATAGCACACCGACAATTTCATTCATGTTGGGTCTTTTGAGTACGATTTGAAATACATGAACACCTGGAGGTTCGTGACTCCGAAGAGACTGCATGATTGCACGGTGTAAGATTTGTGAGCCGTGTGGTTGTTCAGGGAAGTCATACATGGCAGAAATGAAAATTCCAACCAGTAGGGCGCCGAAGGTATCACCCAACTCCATGGGACGAAATCGAGCAACAGAGGTGATACAATGGTGTCAATAGTAGCTGGTGAGCAACCGAGGAAAGCCGTAAAAGGATCGCATGAAGTGGGACCTTATATAGAGGCTAACATCGCATACGGACCGCCGCTGATTAGCACGATTGGCTCAAGGTCCGAGCTTACCGAGAGGAAAAGTGCCCGTTGTGCTCCATCGCACCGCCCTAAACGCTCTTTCATGGCTCGAAGCCGATTGAGTTAAGGAGAACCTGATAGTGTTTGCTATGCCAGGGATTAGACCTGCCAGAGATTAGACTTGCCAAAAATACGGAGCGAACAAGAGCTTTCTTGAGAAAGGGATCTTGCCCGATGATGCGCGACCACGCGTAAACTGGCTTTCATAATGGCAAGGTTTGCCTGCGTGGTCGTGACGGTCGACCATGGCAGCGTATTATGCGGTCACGAATTTCCCGAGAGACGAGCGTGGCGTCTCTCCCCGGTTGAGACCGATGCTAAGATTTGCCTGACGTAGGGGCCGCTAGTCATGCATGATCAGTACCTGAATCAGACGATGAATATAAAGTTCAGCCTACTTCATTGCATAGCGGTTAAATAAACGCACTGAGAATTCGGTTCGTTCCTAACGTGGAACTATCAGATGAGCATATTCCTGTGGCCGAATGACCTCAAAAAGAGTTCAATTCTACGTGCATTAAGTGAATGGCAGAAGTGGCGAAGCAGGTCAGTAGCATTTCAACATCACGATCATGATGGCTCAGGTATAATTATTCTTGCCGGTGGGAGACGTACCTTGCCTCATGACCCTTCAACCGGCCCTCCAGTTCCGTTCGGTAACAGATCACGATTCAAATGGCACTCTGTATCCAGCGTAATGGACTGTCACGGCCTCCAATTCATCGAACCTCGAATTTGCCTGATTATCCAAATCTCCTACTCAAACCATCATAGATCAAGAAGATAATCGCACTGCTCGGGACTGCCCTCGCCACAGTAATCCCACACCCCCCATACAGCCCCTGGATCCCCTGCGCACGGTACATCGCCCTGAATGTGCTGAGGAAAGTAGGTGCAGGCTCGCCTGCAGCCCGCGGGCGCAGCTCAGCCTCCGTCTGGATCGCGCTCTTGACAGTATCCGCAGGGAACAGGGCTACGTTGTATGCGACGCCCGCACATGCGCCAGAGACCGCAGATTCCCATGCGTGCAACTCTTTTTTGTCCTTGACGTGCCGGCGTTTCAGTAATAGCGTCGCGACAGCCTCTTTCGAGGCGAACCACGCTGCGCCACCTCCGGTTTCACGTATCATGGTGGCAGTTTGCCCGAGCCAGAGCCCGCGAAATCCGTACGTGCGGATGACGGAGGTGAGGACAGCGATGGGGCCTGGTAGCTTGTGTGGCAAGGAAGATCCTGGCGTGCTAAGGAAGGAATGTGGAAGTGCGGCTGATGAGGAGGCAGGGGAGGGTGCCCCTGCGGCCTGCGCGAGAGAAACACCGAATTCCATGAGCATCTGTACCTGCATCTTGCACTTGACCAACTCGATTGGCGTGCTGTGTATAGACCTGCAGTTAGCGACGGGTCTTCAGTGAAAGGCGGCGCTAGCACTCACAGGACGAAACTCGTCACAAAGCCTGCTCCCGCCCCAGCCACCGCAAACTGGTCCAGCGACAGGCCCTGCGATGCCGGCTGCTTGCTAAAAACCCGTATCGCGTTCTGAAGTTCTGTATATGACCAGAACGGCGTTGCGTTCTCCGCCATTGCTCCTACAATGGGAGAAGGTAACCCCTGCCGCGATGTCGTCTTTCGTCATTTTATGAGCATCCCCAACTCTGCAGCTACACGCATTCTATATAGTCCACGTATTCCTTCCTTTTTCCAAGTTTGCGTGAGGCAGTCTATACGACCCTTGAAGCGAGCCGTCACATCCAAAACTTGCGACCGGAGACGGACCTTCATCAGGTCGAACGGATGGATGTTCAAAGACTTTCGACACCATTCGAGCAATCTATTCATGCCTTCGTGGGTTTGTCGATGGCTCACACTGCCGAACGCGATGTCCTTAGTGCGAGTATACTCATAGGATCGGTATCAGCGATTGCTACTGGCGATGCACTCACCATGTCGACTAGCAGTCAGTGAGATAAATACGAATTGCGGAAGTTGAAGCGCTGCTAACACGTGGTGATGGCACAGCCAAGTTCAGAAAGCACCTTTCAATACTGATGCAACACACACCTCATATAGCCGATCAACTCGTGCCAGAGCTGTCTGTGGTCTCGAGACAATGCAATGTCAGAGCAGATGAGCTGCTCTATCACATCGGGAGTTTTGTCATTTAATCCGGGACAAAAGTACTATTGTAGCGAATCTCATTGGTCAATTCAAATTTTGTCTGTACTTTTCTCCCGGATTAAATGACAAAACTCCCGATGTGTATGCTTCGTCAAGGCAATGCTGTGGTGGGGTAGGCCGGACGTGGAACGTCCTGGTCCCAGACTCCAAACGGTATCCGGGTGCCTGGGGTGTGCTGAAAGAGAGCGCAAGGAACGCCCGCCTGGCACGCACTGTGTGACGAAACACGGAGGGCGGGTGGGAAGAAAGTGTATGTGAAGAGTTGCAGTGGACGCGCTAGTGGCTACGTCACGCGTTTGTCCTGCGACATGCCGTCACGAGACGGTGTCACGATCGAATCCCCGTACTGCTTTGTTCCGTGTACTGGTTGAGGCCACGCGTTCTTGTGGTCACTGCTACAACGTTGATAGCATATGAAGAAAACCGACCATCACTAGCAAATCATGAGATTCAGTGAGATTTACAGCACATGATACATGAATCGCGCTTGGGTCTCCATGTGGTTAATGCAGGCAAGCTAGGAAGGTCAATTGAACTCGCAGAGACAGATAAAAGGGAATGTGCGCAAAGAGAAGGGTGAACGGGGAGAAAGTGTAAGCGAGAGTCGGACAGATGGGCAGAATGCAACAGAGCATATATATTTCTGATGATAAAGATACGCCCGGCAAGGTTGTTTTCGGATCGTCGGCATTCTGATGAAATGGTCAGATTGTATATACCTCACTATTCATAGCATTAGCTGCTCCGAAAATACCTTCGCGAGAAGTAGAGTCCACAAGTTTCCAAAAGCTTTCGAGATTGCGGATAGATAATCGCTTGAAACATCGCAATGCGAGAGAAGGCGAAACGATATTCTAAGCTGCGTGAGCCTCAGGCAAGGAAATGAGCACATTGACCCTGAAAAAGTAGATAACAAATGGGAAAGAAAAGCTTCGACAGCGTTGAGATGAGTTGGGACCCAACACCCCCCCCCCCCCCCCCCCCCCCCATCCCAGTATGTGATTATTAACCCATGCCCAGGTGTGTACACGACGAGTTTCGGTATTATAGATTGCGCCTACAACGTAGTGCCATGTGTGACATATTTCTGTTCACGTTTGATAACATACCGTCTACTACAAGTGCGGCGAGCATCGTGAGAAGACTCAGCGAGAGAGCAATGGAGGTGTCGACTGAGGTATAGACAGACATCGGCGTATACATTATCCACATGCGTTTAAGCCAGATTCCACGGCAGAGAAGGATGCATGAGCTTTCATTGACAAATCGGTGTGCTCCACCTTAGCTCCGAGCAGGAAGGTAGGTGTTAGTCTCATGTCAGGACTCTGGGACACCGGGAAGGCCTGCCTGCCACGACTGCGCTCTGCTTTGCCTGCTCACAGTCAATATGCATTTATTTTGGCTGACTTCAGAATAAATACATCAAACATAGATGCAGGTACAGAAGACATGAGGATTGAGATTTGATCTCCTGAGGCGTTCTGTCAGCGGTCGCCGATTTGATGGCAAAGTGGTGAGCGTACGATGTTATTTTGATTGCGTTAATTGACGCGTTAACGCGAGGACCCAATCACCTCAGACAACGTCGCTGTGCAGGGGTTCAGCCTTGGCCCATGTTGACGCCGTACTTGCATGTTCGTGATGGTCAACACGACCGTCAAGGACATGGACTTCATCGGGCCCCTGCACGTTTCGGTAATGAAACCTGGTATCCTCCGTCCTGTGCATATTCGTTGTCGGTAGAGACGGGGAGGTCGGTATATCATTGATGGTTGTACTGCCCAAATCATATTGCAGACGGTTGGACGGCACAAGTTTTGGAGACTCGCGGTCATCTGTTGGACTGGACGGTAGCGAATTCAGCGTCGGAAAAATGATATCCTCGGGCGTGTTTGTCTTTGGGTTGCGGATAGAATTGCGCGCGTTGAGCCTTTCGATGCGTCAAGACGGACAGTTATCTTTTTGTGCAATTGACGATTCAAGGCATGCTTACATCGCCATGAACGAATTGACGTAGACTATCGATGGGATTCGTCAGTGTCGTCGGATAATGTATCAGGTGCTACTTACGCTTAGTCTGAGAGAATTCCACAGCGGCGAAGACGAATGTCTTGGGAAGTGCGGCCGTCTTGTGAATGCGTGGAGTCTCGATAAGTCATCATAGCATTGCGTTTCAAGACGTTGGGACCTTACGGTGGCGATGGCTAACAGAGAACAAAGACTAAGCGTCCGTTAGGAGTATTCAAACCGGTAGAGAGACGTTCTTCAGTTGCCTACGTTGTAATCGTACCGGTACTGAGCGTGTAAAGCATGAGCACCGTTATCATCGAATCTGTTCTTTCGCACAGCTGAGAAACTCGACGCTCGTGGAAGCAGTGTTCTGCTCGACGTACCTTCGAAATCCCGTCCGAGACCGAAATAACAGAAAAGACATACATCCAGCGATAGCCACGTCGACGCCGACCCAGATCGATAGGGTATAATACATTATCCACTTTCATTGATATATAGATGGTTTGGCAAAGAAGCTTTACGGAGTATCCTCGTTATTGAGAGCACCTGACTTACCTTCTCTCCCAGCAAACGGAGGGTAGAGTCGCTCTTGACCGAGACCCTGATAGCGAGCAAGTGAATCATGGCTGGAATCAGAAGGTAGGACATAATTCATGCATGACGCACAATGTATAACATAGCACTGACAAGGCCTGCATTAGTCGAGGTGAAATGAGCGATAACATTCACCCACCAATAGTTGCAGCTACAATGTCATCTGAGATAAACAGAAATATTGACATATGACGAGCACATGTTACGCACCGTAACCAGCACATGTCAATATAGCCTGGAATAGAGGTACAGAGACCGTCCGTCAGTTCGTACGTGGAGCAACCGCTACTCTGCACACTGACAACAGTGATGGGCATGACACCCCGTATACGCTTGCCTCGGTTTAAAGCCTTGTCCACTATCAGACAGGTCAACACGTGGCCGCTCGTTAATTTTGGACAACCTACAGCTCCACACTCGAATTGCATACAACCTGCACATCGCACAATCACAAAACCTATTCATTTAACTGTACAGGATGCATGGACATTGAACTCACGTTTGCACCGACGATATAGCCACTGACTGTGTACGATAAGCGTGTTGCATCAGCGACCAGAAATGCAGTGACGTCGGTGAATTCAGTATCGTACACCTACGATGTCCTGTGCCTGCAGAGCGATTTGTCACCTTCGAAAAAGGATCAATGCACTACTGACCTTGAAACTCCACGCGAGTCTTAAGAGGCCAGGCGGATTGAAATAATTGACTATCAGATTGAAATAGGCTACGTGGAAAGAGAATGCGAGCTGAAGAGCATCCAGCACCCTAAATGCTGCACATAAGGTTCCGGAACTGGTAGGCTATCGAAGGCACGCACCATAGATAGCACACCGACAATTTCGTCCATGTCGGGTCATTTGAGTATGACTTGAAGTATATGAACACTTGGAGGTTGGTGACTCCGAAGAGACTGCATGATTGCACAGTGTAAGATTTTTAAGCCGCGCGGTATTTCTGGGAGGTCATACATCGCAGAAATGAAGATTCCAACCAGTAGGGCACCGAAGGTATCGCCTAACTCCATGGTACGAAGTCGAACAACAGAGGTAATATAATGGTGTCAACAGTAGCTCGTGAGGAACCGAGGAAAGCTGCGAAAGGACCACATGAAGTGGGACTTTATATAGAGGCTAACATCGCATACGGACCGCCGGCGATTAGCACGATTGGTTAAGATCCGAGCTTACAGCGATTAAAAGTGCCCGAGTACTCCATTGCACTGCCCTAAATTTTCCTTTATGACTCGAGGCTGATTGAGCTAAGCGGATTCTGATGGTGGCAAGGGTTTGCTATGCTAGAAATTAGACCTGCCAAAAACACGAGGGGGGAACAAGATCTTTGTTGATCAAATATCTTGCTCGATGATGCGCGACCATGCGTAAACCCTCTGGCTTCCATAACAGCAAGGTCTGCCTGCGTGCTGATGACGGTCAAGCGTGGCGGCGTATTTTAAAAATGCAGTCATGGTTCCCGAGAGACGAAAATGTCGAGAGACCCAGTTGAGATCGATGCTAAGGTTTGCCCGACGTACGGGCTGCTAACCAGTACCTGTTTCAGGCGATGAATATAGAGTTCAAACCTACTCCATCGGATAGCCAGTGAAGTAAACGCACTGAAAATTGAGTTCGTTCTTATCGTTTAACCGTCGCATAAGCATATTCCGGTGGCCGAATGACCTCGAAAAGATTTCAATTCTACGTGTATCAGTGGCAGAAACGCCAAAGCAGGTTAGCGACATTCCAACCCACAATCATGATGGCTCGGATTGAATAATTCTCGCCAGCGGCAACGGCACGTCCCTCATCTCATGACCCTCCAACCGGCCCTGCAGTTCCGTCTAGTAGCAGATCACCTCCATTTCGTGGGAGGCATGCTACAATGAAAAGTGAGTGACGTCGGCTGCGAGAAAGTCATTAGTTTGAGTAAGGTGAGGCGTTCCGTCCCACCTGCAACAAGTTTCGCAGCGGCTGAATCATCTCGCCCCATGGGCATTCCAACTAAACGGAATAATCACAGCCTCGAATTTGCCTGATTATCCAAATCTCCTACTCAAACCATCATAGATCAAGAAGATAATCGCACTGCTAGGGACCGCCCTCGCCACAGTGATTCCACACCCCGCATATAGCCCGCGGATCCCTTGCGCACGGTACATCACCCTGAATGTGCTGAGGAAAGTAGGTGCAGGCTCGCCTGCAGCCCGCGGGCGCAGCTCAGCCTCCGTCTGGATCGCGCTCTTGACAGTATCCGCAGGGAACAGGGCTACGTTGTATGCGACGCCCGCACATGCGCCAGAGACCGCAGATTCCCATGCTTGCAGCTCTTTCTTGTCCTTGACGTGCCGGCGTTTCAGTAATAGTGTCGCGACGGCCTCTTTCGAGGCGAACCACGCTGCACCACCTCCGGTTTCACGTATCATGGTGGCAGTTTGCCCGAGCCAGAGCCCGCGAAATCCGTACGTGCGGATGACGGAGGTGAGGACAGCGATGGGGCCTGGTAGCTTGTGTGGCAGGGAAGATCCTGGCGTGCTAAGGGACGAATGTGGAAGTGCGGCTGATGAGGAGGCAGGAGAGGGTGCCCCTGCGGCCTGCGCGAGAGAAACACCGGGTGCCATGAGCATCTGTACCTGCATCTTGCACTTGACCAACTCGATTGGCGTGCTGTGTATAGACCTGCAGTTAGCGTTGGGTCTTCAGTGAGTGATGACGCTAACACGTACAGGACGAAACTCGTCACAAAGCCTGCCCCCGCCCCAGCCACCGCAAACTGGTCCAGCGACAGGCCCTGCGATGCCGGTTGTTTGCTGAAAAACCGTATCGCGTTCTGAAGTTCTGTATATGACCAGAACAGCGTTGCATTCTCCGCCATTGCTCCTACAACGGGAGCAGGCAGTCCCTGCCGCGATGGCGCCTTTCGTCAATTCATGAGCACCCCCAACTCTGCAGCTACACGCACTCTATATAGTCCACGTATTCCTTCCTTTTTCCATGTTTGCGTAAGGCAGTCTATAGGGCCCTTGAAGCGAGCCGTTGCATCCAAAACTTGCGACTGGAGACGGACCTTCGTCAGGTCGAACGGATGTTCAAAGAGTTTCGACACCATCCCAGCAATCTGTCCACGCCTTCATGAGTCCGGAGCGGCGCAGACTGACTTAGGTGGCTCACACTGCCGAACGTGATGTCCTTCAAAGCGCGTACACTCATAGGATCGGCATCAGCGATTGCTACTGGCGATGCACTCTCCATGTCGACGAGTTACTGAGACAAAGGCGAATTGCGGAAGTCGAAGCGGTGCTAGCACATGATGATGGCAGAGCTCAAGTTGTAGTCGGATCGTAGGAGCGCTTCAGTGATAAATATCGATCCTCAATACAGAGCCATCCGGAATTGTAGCGTCGATGGTCGGGAATCATGGTCCCGTTGAAGGACAAACAACGATTGTGTGTGGCACCCAATTATGCAAGATGGCTCGTTACTGTGTAGAGACATTTTTCTGGACATTCTGTTATGATCATAAGAAAAGAGTACAGTGATTGCTGAGATACATCGGTAGATCAGATAAACGTCGCGGGGGGGGGGGGGGGGGGGGGGGGGGGGGGAGATTTTGGGAGTATCTCTATGTAACTAACATAGATCCTACACGACAACCCGTTAACATGCTGGCCCTATAATCTTCTCACTTTGAGCCCGTGTTCTTCTTCGCCTCGGCGAGAACCTTGTCGATCTCGCCCGAATACTTATCTGTGAGACTTTGAAACTGCAACAAAAATGAGCCAGGCATTCGATGAGCACAGGAACTGCCAGACGTACTTCGTCCATCTCAACTGAGTACTTGGCATATTTGCCCTTCTTCAGGCTTGTCTGTTGCTGCTTGCGGATCTGAACTCGGGCGTCTTCTGCCTGTTTCTGAGCAGTCGCGATCATGGCCTGTCGCGCTTCGACGGTCGGTCTACGATGACGATTCTCGGTCAGGGCGAGGAGAGTATCACGACGTTTGAAACACACTTTGGCATGGGTATCTTGATCGTGCGCGCATCGGCCTTCTGAGGGACAACACCGGGCAGCTTAGCCTCATAGAGCGCGTCTTCAACATATTTCAATGTCTACTGAATGCTAGATGAGCGGTCGCTTCCGCGAAAAGCGCACCAAGTACACTCACATGTTCCTCGAACACCGTGATGAGTAACGTTGTTCCCTCTCTGACACCAACCGTGGCAATCTCTTCCAGTCTCACGCCCTTGCTATCTGCATTATCGTGGTCAGGCAGGACCACACGCACCGGCGACAATATAGCAGGCGTTACACGGCCGCTCGCCCGCAACTCCAAGCCCGCCACATCCTTGCGATATTTGTCCAAGATCGCCTTCATCTTTCCTTCTGCCTTCGTATACTCCTCTCCCGCTGCTATCCGTTGAGATCCAGGGATCAGAGCATCGGTCGAGACAATCGGAGTGTGTTTGATTTTCTCCCCTTTCGGCTCCTTCTCGCCCTTTCGTTTTGCGGCATATGTTCGAATTTGTTGTATGAGTGACGTGGAAACTGGTCTCTGCCAACAGAGAGATGCTGTTGGGGATGTCCGTGCCAACCCACGGGCGAAATGATTGAGGTGGCGAGAAGACATGGGAATGTTGCTAGCCAAAGTTCTCCGCGTGGCCACAAGCGCACAATCATACCACGTGATTAACGCGTCAGTGGCGTGTGGTATAGCGCGTCGAGGATCCTTCCGAGTGGGCCACATCTCGCATTATCTTTGTCTTATTCTCACGTTGCATGTTTTCCAGTTGCTGACTCTGCTAATCTCTGTCTGTGTACTGCATAGGCAAATTCTGTAGATGGTTCCGAGCCACTTGCGACTTGTGCTGCGCGCATTTCTCTGTGCGTAACACCGAGCAAGGCATCTAACTTTGCCTGTGGTAGAAAACTCCCTAGGGTACGCTGGAAGTACCTTTTTTGGTGTTGGTTACGTCCTGTCAGACATCGGCGTTGTAGCATGTGATGTGACTCCAAGGAAGTGGTTGCGGTATGTCTCTCGAACTTTGCACCACTTACAGCTGCTCAAATTGCTTCCGGTGCATAGCATTTCAGTAAATATATGTGTCTAAGACGTTCATGAATTATCGTCATCACGAGCACGGCATAGTATGAGCCTAAGTGTCCCGTAGGCTGACGTATCTAGGCCCAATGCTCGTTAATTGAATGGTCCACCTTCCACCGTGATCATGCGCAAGGTTACCCTTGTTAGCGTAGTGCTCCTTGAGCTCTCCCGTTTGAAGCTTTGAAGCCCAACGTTTCTGAACAAGCGCGATCCCAAACAGCACAAACAGAGGTAAATACGAGCTGATTTCCTCTCTACGTTGCAAATGTTCATGCTCAGTCCTCGCAACCATAAGTGCGAGTGTTCCCTGCACCGTGCCGCACATTCAAATCCAAAAAGCTGGTCAAATGTCAGAAATATACCACTGACGTGGTCTCCTTCGAACGGATCAAGCATGATCGGCGTCGCCCGAGTACTATATCTAGCCAGCGTCAACTCCCTCGCTCAATCGAAGCCCGAAGCCTGGCGTCCGTTGCCTCCATATCCGGACGAGGCTGTTCGAGCTCAAGAGCCATCGTCGCTTGCTAAATCCTCTAGCTATTGTGCAGTTGCATAACACGTCTCTCTGCTGCTTTCTAGAATTCCACACTCAACTTCAGCGAGGATCAGCGACCATCAATATCACATTCGCTTCCGCGATTGATCGTCGTGGGGTGGGTGAAATACTCCTTGTAATGCCAAGTGCTGTAAGTAACCCGGATACCGATGGTCAGTGATTGAGAAACTAGATCCATGCTAGTATCCGTAGAACCATTCAAGTTATCCTTGACGTGTATAGTTTTCATCAATCTCACCAATAGCTCTATCCTACTACACGACGTTTCGCTGCCATGTCCTGGATGAATGCCCGCCAATATCAGCAATGGTATCCCACGGCGGGCGCACCGCCAGGGACTTGGCCTCCCACAGCTCCCGCAGGCTATCCCGGGCCTCCACCGGCCCCGGCGGGGGTAAATCCACAAGCATGGACGGCTGGGCGCTGGCAAGTCAATCCCATGTATCGCGGTCCTTTGGCAGGCACTCAGGCCGCAGTCTCGGTATGGGCTCCGCATCCTAGCTGGGGACCACACATTGCCAATGCCAGCGCGGCTGCCGTAGCCAACTACAACCCATATAAGCGCACACCGAACCGCGGCGATGCTGAATATTGGAGAACGAAATTGTCAGATAACCCGTTAGGGTTGGAGAACATGCACATTAGGTATGTTCCATGCCGCATACCCCGGCGCCATGGATGCGCGTGACCATGATGTACATAGAGATCAAGACCACAGGAAGACAAATGATAATGGTGTGGTACATACACCTTGGGTTTGGGTCCCACGCGAGTTGCGTGAGTCTCCCGAGCGTCCTCCTTCGTCTGATCGGCGCAGCGGCCAAGAAGGTACAAGCAACCAGCATCGACGAGATCAGCCTGCCGTCCCTCAATCTCATATAAGTGAACAGTCGACCCCCGAACGTTCGTCACAGTCGCGATCCTCCCGCGATGCACGTAGTTCGTATGACATGGTGACTTTGCCAGCGGCTACCGCACCGTCGCATTTGCAGGAAAGACCGCATGATTCACATCATTATCTCAATGATGCGCGTCCATCGCAGAATCATGCGTCATACGAGGACAATGTAATACCACCAAGGGATGCTATTTCAGATCCCGTGATACCACCGAGGTTACCTCCTCCCATATCTTCCTCCTCCTTCTACTCGCAACAGCAAGAACAAGAACGGCATCACCATCGCCATCAACGGATCAACGATGTCTCTCCTCGGGATGCTCGACCATTGCAGCCTCAACCGCGAGACGATCGCACCTCTCCCAACGATTATACGTCTTCTGCGTCTTCTGCTGTCGTCGCTTCAATAGTATCCGTAAATGGTCCCACAACTCCTCCGCGTACCGCGCCCACAGAAGCATTCAGTTCGAGCCAGGAACTACGGCCGACGTTCTCTCCGACTATCATTCGTGTGCCAGGACACTATTCAGAGGCAGGCACTCCGCCTCGCCGGATGAGCAGCGACGATGCACCAACATACCGCCTTTCTCACTCCGCAACCCCGACTCGCCGGATGAGCAGTGATGACGCCCACACATCTCGTGCGTCCTATTCCCATTCGTCTTCTCGACATATCGTTAGCGACGACGCTCAGTCGCCTCATGTCTCTACCCCTCCCCGCCATACGAGCGATGACGATGCGCATGCGTCGCGGTCCTCTTCCACATCTCTCCGGACGAGCATTCATGATACAAACACCCCTACGTCGACGTCTGGTCATCGAATTAGTCACTATGAGACGCATCGTGCATCCACAAACTCCTCGCCTACCCCTCGGACACGTGGACTGATCTATGGTCCACCAACAAACCACAGTCATTCCAACAGTGTTCCTCAATGGCAATCCACACCCTCAGCAGACGCACAGTCTGGTGCAACAGCATCAAGATCATCTATCCTCTCTCTTACCAATTTCTTTGAAGAACCGGCAGGTCTGCTCAGTCCCCTTATCACTGCTCCTCGCTCCACAGGAGGTCCGAATTCTAATGGTCGCAGAGTTATACGAAGTCAGACAGATCCTTCCTCCCCCCTTCCTGCGCTCGAATCTATACCAGAGGACCGCACCACTCCTGGATCGCGTAATACTCATCAACGCAATGACTCCCGAGATTCCAATGCGACCCCACATGTAACCACCAGGACCTCGCCGCATTCCTCCACCCCGCCCGAGGCTGGCTCGCGTTCGATATCTCGCAGCCAAACATACCCCTCTCTCGACCTGTCTTCCTCAAGACACTCTAGCAAGCAAGGATCACCTGTTATTGCCTCGAAGTCTCGGGAATTATCACCGACACGTACTGTCCGAGCGAGCCACAATCCACTTCCGCAGCCTCCCATGCTCACAGCATATCCCACGTCCTCTGCATCCTCTTCAGCAGCTGCGATGTCCACCCAACCTGTGGTCCGTCGTAAGGTACGCAAGGGCTATTGGAACCGACGTGGTGATCACCTCACTATGGAACCCGATGGGCAATACATTGTCTACGCTCCTCAACAACTTGCTAACCCACATGACCTTTCACGTTATCCTCAAGCAACGCAGGGCTTTATGGATCATCGTGGGAGGACGGTCAAGTATGATCCTCGGATTCCAGAGCTGCCTGCATCGCTGCCGTTGCATGGAGAGCCACCCGCCCGTCCGTACGAAGAGGTATGTTTCTGTACCTTGCATCTGATTTTGTGTGCCTGACTTTCGTTCGCAGTTCGTGGAGTACATATACGTATGATGGCAATTGTGATTCGTTCTTCATTCGTCTCAGTATTTGTTTTTCAGATCATGTAACTTATGCATGATATCCATTTGAACAGCAACGTACTGCACATACACTAATATATAGTAATATCTGGAAACAAAAACAGCAATGGTAACTCAGAGATGTATCGAGTCCCCGTCGTTCGTATGTGATACCGCAAGAATGAGACCACCAAGATACTTACTGACACTACCGATCAGGCTCCTATGCCGCCATGGAGATTATGCATATGGTCGTATACCTCTTCTCCTGTCGAGAATGTCGCGAGACACGCCCAACAGATATGAGTATTGCAACGAGTGCACGTCATATGGTTGCATCCCGCAGCTCGTTCGATGGGTGCCTTGCAACTCGGGCAGTCCTTGACATCGCGACCTTTCTTCCATTCCTCGAAGAGCTTTCGATCTTCAGCTTCACGATCCTGACATGAGGAGCCTTCATGATATTGGACGTGGCAGAAGGGACATATTCGCACAAGACATGACGGACATTGCAGAACGGTGTTTTTGCGCCCCTTTCGATAGACTTGCGGACAATCTGGGGTAGGACAGTAATGGAATTCGGACGGGCGTGAATGGACATAAGCCAAAAATGAAGCGTGTACCAGCGCGTCAAACTCGTTCGTGGAAAGCAATTCCTGTGCCGTACTTATCGGTATCGGATGTTTGCAAGAGGCCTCGTTCCCTAGACAGGTTAGCGGAAAGACTTTGTTGTCGGTCGCAGCCAGCAAGTAGTTATGCAGACAAGACTTGCACCATTGATGGCCGCAATCAAGTGCGACGGGAAGAGTCGCTTCGTCCAAACAGACTGGACAATCTGATTCACGCTGCCTCCTCTCATGTTCATGACGTGTCCGAGCGCGTTCTACGGCAGTTCGAGCCACTCTGTATGCTTCGTCGTCTCCACGTATTCTCAGCACGCGTTCCCAGAGATCAATTATGACGTTCTCTGGACCGAACTGCTGTCGCAATGCAGCCAAGTCTGCATTCATAAAAAGACCAATGAGACGGCCATCCAGGGCAATAACATGAGTCTTCTGGGCGCGCATCCTCGCGACGCGAGTTAGGATAATCGACCGAACGATCTGACGCTTGTGTACTGGGCCAAATAGCGCAAGCGTCCGCCTTCGAGGGTCTCTGTTGACGAGAACATCGGGGAAGCGCCTTTCGAGCTCTTCAAGGAAGAATATTCCCCCTCGTCTGGAGAAGAAGCCGTCCCATACGACTTCACCGTTCTCTACGAGCTTCTCTCCGCGCAGCAGCCGCTCGAAGTGCGTCTTGAGCCTAGCGAGAGACGGCATGTTCTGCGAGACGAGTTTGATCATCACACGCCCACCAACTGCTGCACGTTTATCGAGGACTGAAATGCTGCTACTGGCCTCGGTAGTCCAGATATACGAGCTGAGAAGACGGATATCGGCGGACAGTGCTTTGTAGACCTCGACTGGAAGCGAGTATTTGAGAGATCGAATATGCCGAGCGACGATCCTACCACTGCCACAGAATTGCTTCCTTCGCCAGTGGAAATTAACGCGAACAATCTCCGCAATCTCCGAGGAATCGAAATGGGCCCATACGCGAACGGTCGAACGACGATATGGCGGTGGAAGGGCATTGAACGAGAGTAGCTCGCCGTAGCCTGTCAGTATCTCTCGCAGACGGCCGATGGCTGTGGAGGTGGAGTTGTAGTTCGGCTGTGTCATCATGACCCCCTCGTTGTTGCCATATCGCGCTAGTTCCTCTGCCCGGGTATTTGCAGGTAGTCCTAGGAACCGGACAGTGACTGTTCCCACGCTGGGAAGTCCCTCGTAAATTGCGGCAGATACCAATGCCTCGCGCATCTCAGTCCCGTTTGCCTTGGCAATTGCTTCTTCGGCAAGTTTCCTGCTGGCATATCCGACGAATCCAGTTTTATGAGCGGATGGAAACTCCAGATATACTGTGCCATCGGCCAGAGATCCTTTGCCGACCATTGTGTCCGAAAATGTCAAGAGACGCGCGGAGATATTGCTGCCAAACAGCAGGCTGCCATCGAGAGCGGAGGCTGCCTGCGATGCCTGTTCGTGCTCTGCGAACGTCGCTTTAGCAGCGATAGTCCCATCTCGCTTGACGTTGTCGTACAATGTTACAGCAACGGTTTCCCCGAAAGGCTGGAGGACGGATGTTACCTCCGCGGACGTGACGCCTTGAGGGATACGCCTGAACATAACCTGGCGGGATTCAAAGCCAGTAACGAGTCGCTGCACTTCAAATCCTGGACCGAATGTCACCCTTGTAGCGTCAAGTACAGTCAAGATGGCGGGTTTGGGTGGCTCCTTAGGCGATGTCGGTGCATCTGAACCTAGAATCCGCTGCATATCACAGTGTGTCAGGCAAAATCGCACAGGCACAGATGGACGATACCCACAGCTTCCAGACCCAACCCGGGAGGTACCAGGGGAATATCGGAGTGTGCGTCGTTCATCTTGGTATGCAACGGTGGGTACTCTGCTCGCGAAGGAGGGATTACGATGGGAGACACTGCATTACTAGGCTTTGGTTGCGAAGACGTAGGGATGAGCGATCGCGGTGGGGGGACCTGAAGGTATTCAGGTTGTCAACACACATCCTCTTTAAAAGATAACAAAGGCTGACATTTCTTGCTGGTGAAATTCCAAGCCTTCCGGCAACATCTCCAGAAGGCAAAGAGCTGTTCTCATGTTGCCGTGACTTCATATTTAGCGGGTCATCGTGTAGGAAGCGGCAGTGCACTCTGTGACAGCGCCCGTTCATAAAGTCCCAGCAAATAGGGATCGCTGGCCCCGTAGGTGTCGAAGGCGTATTCACCGAAGGAGCGGATGAAGACACGGATGCTTGCATCGAGGACGACGACTGCTTGAAGTCAACTCATTGAGAACTAAATCAAGACAGAAGCTTACCGAGAAAGACAAATCGCCCCAGTCGCTGTATGAGGTAGATGGTCCCCAGGAGTCCTCCGGTGACTCCAACAGTGCATTCATCAATTCTTCATCAGGATACCTTGCGGGTTGCGGAATATTCACCACGACGCCGCTTGATTCCGCCTCTGTCGAGTACTGAGCAGAAGATGGAAGGCTCTCAACGTCGGGCTGAGTGACTTCCACATTGAATGCATTCGTAACAGCGGGGCGAGAACTCAAAGTACGTTCTGCTGCTTTCCCCTTTCCCTGCAAGAGGAATTAGTACCCGAATCTGGATACGTCGCGGGATTTGCTCACTTTCCACCTCTGACGCCGTTCTTTCCGAAGGACCGCACGCGACCTAGGTAACCGTACAACACACTTCGTTAAGTCCATCAGACCACACACAGCAGCGAACACATCGCTCAACGATTTTTCGATATCATCCGCCTCTTCGCTCCAACTTGATGCCTGCTCTTCAAACTCCGACAATGGAGGAGACCCAATTCGTACTTCAGATGATGATGATGATAAATTCGCATTCGCGGAAGGAGCCTCAGTCGGCGTTCTTGCATCCGCTGAGGACAACCCGATGGATGGTCCCACTGTACATTTTGTCGACGGAGTCGGAGTGGGAGCGTCGCGTAGAGGAGGCACGACTGGTTGCGGCGTCATCCTGCTGACAGAGGAGGGTGCAGATGTAGCTGGAGAGTCAAACTTTCGAGGGTGTCCGAATCGGCAATTGTCGCCCTTGGGACATTCACCGCGCAGATAGGGACGACAAACAGCCCTCTGTCTGTCCGACACCATGCCCTTTGTATGAAATTAATCTATGTTTTCAAAAATGAGATGCAGCTCTCACCGGTGATAGAGAACCACGTGCCGCGAATGCCATTGCGTTGATCTCAGTAATAGGCTAATTCCCATTCGACTGAGCGTGGATCCGTCAAAGCAATGCAATGATGAGCTAACCTTCACCGGGAGGTCATGTGTAGGTGGGATGATATTGGTCGGACCAGGGCGCGTGACGGAGATAACCATATCAGCCTGTGTTGGATGTCACAGTTATTGAGAGGCCAGCAAAACCATTTGCGAAGTACGCATTATAAGACACTCACTTGGCCTTGGGATGTGCTGGATGAAGAGAGGGGACTAGCTAGACTGCTTGCTGGAACATGCCTACGATGACATCTGCTACCCCATGGGCATCTTCTTCGCTGGAAATTTCTGCAGATCTCGTCTGTCCGCTAGATGACAAAAGAGTTCAAGTCCCTCGAAATCTAACACACCGCCACTGCAGACTTACTGTGTGATTGTGACGGGGAGGCAAGGCGATGGAAGATGCTATTGATTGCATATCAGCGCTCTCCGCGGCGCTATTGTCGTCAGGCGGCGCGGGGTCGTCCGAGCAGGCATTTCCCGCTTCTGAAGGTTGCAAAGTATCGGGTGGGACAGAAGATGTAATATACTGTACATATCGGTGAGAGATATCCGGTGATGGCACTGTTATTGTAGTAATACCTGCATGCCTGGCACGGAATCCTTTTGAACCGGAGGCTGTGCGTGATGTATAACCTGGGGATGGCAATCACAGATATCCTAAGTTCGGTTAACCTCTGCAATCCTCATCAGCCCTCACCGTATCCAATGTTTCAGACTCTTCTGATATACCTTCCATTACTTGTGAAGGAGCGCGCATTGACGGACGTTGCTCGCCTAGAATATGCGTGCGATAGCAGAAGTATCCGCTACGACAATGGCCTGCTAAGAAATCTCGACAGATGACGTTGCTTCTCTATTGGGACCGTATGAGCGTAAAGTATAGACCATGACATCCTAACCTACCCTTCTCGGCCTATCATCAATTTGGTTGGCATCAACTGAGCTCAATGCTTGGCGATACCTCTCCTCTTGAAGGCCCTGCGTCTGATCCTGGCCATCTGCGCTGCGAGGTTCGCCAGGTCGAGAAATATTGTCAGCTGGTGACGTAATATGCGTCCGATGGCAACGCTCCCCATATTCGCACTGGCCTTGCAACCAGAAATTGCACACGTTGCTAGATAACTACAATATATCGTCAGTAAGAAAACTGTAACCATTGTCCAGCCACGCAGAGGGAGAAGACATGAGGGGCGCACAGTCGTCGTGTAGACGGGTGAAGGCATTCGTCAGCCAGGCAGAGTAACGCCCTGACAGTGCAGGTAACTCGATGACTTACTCTGGAGGGCTGGTTATCAGCTGCAGCTGAAGGAAGACTTCTAAGCTCATTTTTTGGCTCAGAAGCCGAGTGCATTTGGGCCGCTGTCTTCTCAGCTGTTGCTATCATTTCCAGAATATCTTCATGAGATGATTGTGAAGGGTTTGCTTGAACTTGCGGCTGTCCTGACACAGATGCCTTCGAACGATCGACAGGCATCTCCAGTAATTCCTCGTCACCACCGCTAGTGGACGTTGCAATACCATCTTTCCCGACCGATGGCAACGGCTTCTTCGCATCGCGCTCTCTCCTTTTTGAATGTTTACGGGGGCATTGGTCGCCATTCTTGCAGCGGCCATGCACATGGCTCCAGCATATTGAACGCTTCGCTTGCTGAATCTATGTTGGGATGGGACTGATGAGAACTGATGAACGACTGGCCGCCGGTGCTCGCTTACCTGTGTTTTCCGGTTCACTCTCTTATTGATGCTCGTTGCCTCAGAGCGGTTGTCTGTCTCTTGAGACGAGTCTGTCCGAGCTGTCGTATCAACAGCACCCAATGGGGATGACAAGATCTCCTCGTCTTTGTAGAGCTCGTCGCCTTCATCGGGTATAGGCGTACATTGCATAGACCTGTCCAACTCCTGCGCCCGTTTCTGCGATGTGGTGGCGCTTTCCCGTAGTGATTGTCGCCGAGGGCACTCGTCACCCTTCTTACAATGGCCATCCAGGCAGCTACGGCATACGGAGGGGACCTTGCGTCGTTTCTAGATAAGCAGACCAAGTTGCCCGTTACCCTACATACACCAACGGGCGATCGTTGCCTACCTGATGTGTCCGTGGCGCAGCGACGCCGGCTGTTTGATCTGGCGTCTGCATAGCAAATTTTGGGATTGCCATCGTGATCCCGCTTTCCGCCGTCGTCTTCGACTGAGCAGTTGCGACGCTGGCCACGACAGGGCTCGACTGTCAGCCATGGCACCACCGAGTATCAATATTCGCTGGGGTAGGCAGAGCTGTGGGGCTCACGGATGGTCCAGCAGGTGTATTGCTAATCTCGTTGTCAGTGCTTTTCGCCGGTGGGGAGCGCTTGGCCTGCGCTGTCCTGGTCCTTGCCTTCATCTTACGATCCGTCGTCTGGGTGGTCATCACTGGAGACATTTCGTCTGGATGTCGACGTCTGCAGGGTGCGCAAGTCACATCTGCAAGCGAGCTGAGGACGAAACAACGCCACGCTCACTGCTTCTGAGGGGTTATCTAGCATTCCTCCGTTCGTTGAGTCAGGGGAGACGAATAAGGTTATGGTCATCTGCACACGCTCCATTTAGGCATCGGCGTACGCCGAGCTTGAATTTAAATGCGATCATTTGCGCTCGACATTTTACGCACGACGTAGCACGACGTGCAAGGGATTCTGCGGATAGCATGCACATATCCGAGTGTCATTCTCAATGAAACATGGACGAAAAGATACAGTAAACGACGCGGAGGATACTGTCTCGCAAATGGTACCCGTGGGAGTCAGTGGAGCTAGCGAGGGAGGAAACGCGGACCATAGCGTAATGCATTGTCGAACTGCATTTCTGGCAGCAAGCGTGATCATAAATGCCATATGAGTAGGACACACAGGACAGCGTAACGTCAGTCAAGGTACAATGGCAAATTTATCGCGAAGAACGTCAATGCACGCTATCAATATGTTCAAACCAGCCGATTACAGCGCGTGTCATGCCACCTTCGGCAGCACCAGTCGAATCACCTACACGAGGCCGCTAACCGCAGAACGACCTGGAACATGGACTTCCGGAAGAGATAGGAGCATCATGAACTATACAGCGCGTCGGTGGAGTTGTAGAGTCTATCCGGGATTCGAGAGATCCGGGCACGATAGCACTGAGGAGGTCGCGAGAAGGAAGCAGAGCCAGGGCCGAGACGAGACGTCCTACGTGCGGGACCCTGAGACACCGGAAACAGAGCAGGATAGGCGGACTCTTGAGGGTCGTAGGGTCTTCGAGAATCTGCAAGTCTGCATCGAATGACAGCAACAAGCGACGCACCTCTCCGGATCCGGCGTTGTATTGACCGATACTTGAGACCACCGTCTCAGCGAGGCAAGCAATACTACAATGCTCTGCGAAAGCATGGTGGATCGCTGCTGTCGTTTGGGTTTGCCAGAGGTGGAGAGCTTACCATAAGGGATGAGAAGCTTGCTCGCACCACAAGAGACGCGAGGTGTCCAGCCATCGCAAGGGCACGGAAGACCGGGAGATGCATAGCGTGTTCGACATGCAGCGGATCCACTTCACAGTGTCAGCCCGTGATCTCGTTGGAGTATCGGGCCGTATCAACATCACTTACCGCGCAGTACAATCTCGAAGATGTAGAAGATGGTTGCCTTACCAAGGCTTGACAAGTATGAACTCATACCAGTCGAGACGCCTTTGAACAGACCCTCCCTGAGATCTGCGGCGACATCACTGATGTTCTTCATCTCCTCGCGAGCGATTATTGTAAGCCCAGACAATGCATCTGCCACCCTAGCAGCCGACTCTGCGGTCTCGATCTGCAGAGAATGCACACGTTGGGTTTGCTCTAACTGTGACACCAATTGCTCTTCCGCGTACACAACAGTGGCAGCAAGGTTTTCAACGGACTGAGAATAGGTTAAAACTGACGCTCCCAGGAAGCGACAAACTCACCCGTTGCACGCCGGTGACGTCTTCAGTGACAGACAATAATTGCCATCGTGTCGCATCCTAAGACGATGCACGATGAGCTTCTTGAGTTAGTTGTCAATCAACCCAATTTAACTTACTGCAGTTACTAGCACTCCTTCAAAGCGCTCCGCAAGATTACTGATCATATGCTCAAGTTGTGCGTAGAGCGATCGTTCGAAAGAAGGAACCAGAGCCTCCAATGACAACGCATGCTGGAGAAAGTGAAGAAGAGTTATAGACGCTATTGTGAGAGACGCACCTGCTCGACGAGGCTACCGATCATTTGGTCGATCTGCAATCACACCGTGATGAGAGGATACGAATCATCAGAGAGAAAAAGTAGCGGCGAACCCGTGATACTGAGTGCGACTGCTCATGTTCGGCATTCTGTAAAATCTTTGTAACGGCTTCTTGCATATAACGGAAGCTCTACACCCCACCTTAGTAAACGTTGGAGTGATTGCCATTGACGCACCTCCTCAAAGCTATTTGAGACCAGTTGAACGACGTCTTGGTATGCCGAGACAACATCTGTACTAGCAGAACGGAAGTCTCCCAAGACGACTCGCACATCCTGAGCAGCAGCTAGGTCTAGATGACTATATAAACGCAGTGCGAGGATTACCTGTAAGAATTGCTCAGACTGCTGTTGATGCTTGTCCATATGCTTTTCGCGCTGAACCACGTGTTGAAGCAGCGCGAGGTTCTCCAAAGTTGCATTCTTGTATAGGTCTCTGGCCAGATCTGGCTAGCATCAGAATCAACACCTGTTGAAGAAACAGTGAGGTGCCTCCGACCAATGTCATTCCATCGACGAAAGGCGTAACATAACTGTGCTGGAAAATGGGATTGAATGAGTAAAAGCGCATATATGCGGGTAAATATGTAGATTGCTCTTACAGACTTCACGCAGATAGCCGGAATAGCTTGACCAGTATTGTGCACTACGTGAGAGGGCCCTGACGAGAAAGCCCATAGTAAGCACATTATTCGTCGTGCATATCCAGTATTTGGGAGGCTCATGTACTCTACGCATGCCCTAGAAGAGTGGATTCGCGGATCTGCATATCTTGAATTTGGGTCAAAATCAGCACATTCCAGAGGAGCGGAATGATGCTGAGCGGTGCCGAGCTCGCATAGTGTCATTGATATCGCAGCTATGCAAAATCATGTCACTTTATCTCATGATGGTAGGGGCGGATGCGAACCTTTCACCCTCTCGTCCTCATCCATGTCCAGCTCACTGCATCGCGTCTGAATGAGCCCAGCTGCACGTCGGAAACAATCTGGTTTCCTATCATATGACTGAAGAAGCTCTATAAATTAAATACAGTGAGCTGCTTAGAATACATGAAGGCGTGCGAAACATCTACTTACCTGCGTTCCTGGTTATCGCTGCAACCTCCACCGTGTCAGGTGGTAAGCTCTCTAGCGCGATCGATGAGTCTCAATCAGTCGCGAGAGTGCATATATCTTGCCTTCGTCCCAAAAGAACTTATTTTTCTTGAGAGCTGCTCTTTCGGCAGGTTCCTTGTTCCAAGAGAACGCAGAGGAGCACATGGGCAGCATTCCAAGGCTCAATGCGAGTCCGCGCTTCAGATGCATCCTATCGTAATGCCTGTAGTGAGAGTTCCGGTTGACTCAGAGAGGCAATGGTGCCAGTAGTAGCGGTCGATTGTAATGAGGACGGAGACGACGACGATGAAGGCAAGGGTCACGGTGTACACCAATGCTCAGCCACGTGGGTTTGTGTACGCGTTGTTGACGCGTCGGACGGACGCCACGCATTTCAATACCGAGGCAAACATTCCTTATCTCATCAATTCGCTCTTCAAACCATTGCCTCAAGAAATACCACAAGTCACATTCCAGCTCTATACAATGCTCATCGTACACCATCTGAATGATTCGCGCTCCCAGCGAGTCTTATGGCTGCTGGTACGTAGCTACAGAGATCGTTCAAAAGGTCTATGCTTGACAACCGTCTATGTCATCTGTGTGAACAGGAAGAGCTTGATATAGCATACGAGATTAAGAAATACCAACGCACTCCCCAACAACTCGCTCCAGAGGAGCTCAAGGCCGTAAACCCCTTGGGAACAGCGCCCGTCATCACCGATGGTTCTGTAACACTTGCAGAAAGCGGTGCGGTGATAGGTAATTGAAATAGTCTGCTGAAGTACTCGTCCGCGGACGTCTTTGATATGATTGTGAGCAACTGAGGTATCTTTGTATTGTTTCAGAATACATCATACGCAAGTACGCAAACGGGAAGGCACAGCCGCCGGAGAGTGGCGAAGTAGATGACCTGTATTGTGCGCCTTCGGCTCTTGCTCTATCCCGCTTGTTGCTGATGATGATAGATACGCACTATACGGAAGGATCGTTGATGCCTCTCGTTGTCAATCGACTCGTTCTGGGCCTCGTCGTTGACAAAGCACCCTTTTTCATTCGCCCCTTGATCAGCTTGTTGGTGTCTCAGATTCTCAGCAGAGTGCTTGATCCGCGACTCAAACTTCATGCTGCACTAGTTAGTCAACGCTTTTACGGAGTAATGGCTGCCTGACGCTTACATACACTATTCTCACTACGTGTCCCCCAATCACTACCCAACAGATCGAAACTCATCTATCCAGGTCTTCAACTGGTTGGTTCGCAGGAGGCGATGAACCGACATCGGCAGACTACATGATTATATTTGCACTGGAAGCGTGGTCAGGACTATGTCCCGATATGCTAGGCAGCAACACGAAGGCCTTCATTGAGAGAGTTCATAATCGGTATGTGACCTGACCTACCCTCTTGCCTGCTTGTTACAGTTGCTTACCTTTCTCAGGCCTGCTTATAAAAGGGTGAGTACATGCAGAGGACTTTATACGCTTCATGCACTCTGAATACGTTTGAGGGTGCTGACTATCACCGATATGTATCGCAGAGCATTGAGAAGGGAGGACCATACGCATTCGCCCGTCTATGATTGTTGTGTCACTATTATTGTGTTTAACATATATCGAAACTGTCGTTCGTTATTTCGAAGCTTTGAGCATTAATGCCACTTTGTCAAATATGGAACACGACCTGAGGCTGTGTGAAGCGGTGTACGAGACATCCGTGTCGATCAAAACCGTTACTACCAGCACAGCATTAATGTCCCTGTTCGTTAGTGCTGCAAAATCAGATGTGGCGCTCGGGGCCGTATGAGTCAGTAGTCGAGATCACTGGGGCATCGCATGCGATCCGCATGGCGAGAGGTGTCGAAGTACTATGTCTTTCATGACTCAATCTCATGAGCATCTCTAAATGAGACTATGGGTCTTCATGGGTGAAGCCAGCGATTGCATTAATGCTGGAGTATATTAACGGCACACAGTGCCCGATATATAGTGCAAATACATGATTCGTACATTAGTGACTAAGTAGGTAGGTTCTAAGGATACAGTTGGGAGATGAGGCACATCCGGTATCTCACAAATGCGGGCAGACAGATACAGTAGTTATGCAAGGAATGGCGTGAAGAAAGGAAAGTCTAGTAGCATCTATGCTTGTAGGTCTAAATGCCAAGCAAAGATGCACAGAATTACGATGCACGAAACGACGGGATGTGAGATAGGATACAGGATTTACTATATTCAAATCAGGCAGAAGTCCAGAGCAGACTCACAGAGTGCATGCATTTTTAGCGGCGTTCCTCGGGACGGTTTTTCTTGACGTTCGCTGCGCCCGACGCAAGGCGAGACTGCCAGTGAGCAGCATCCTCGCCATTGATCCACGTTTGCGTGGCCGGGTCGAAGTCGAAATCGCCATCTCTGTAGCCATAGCGCTGCTGCAGAAGCCTCAACAACGGGTTCCTCAGCGTCGGATCCATGCGCACGGACTCGCCGGGGTGGTAGCTCCCGATGCCATGGCGTGCCAGACTCTCCTCAAAGAGCGCCTCCTCATGCGTGCATCCACAATTCAGCATCCCCGGGGGCGCGTTGCGCGGCGGATACGCCCTGCGCTCGCGCCGCGAATCGTGCCACGCACACAGTGCATTACCCGCACGGTTAACAGAACAGTAGATCTTCTTGCGCGCCTCCGTGCGAGCTCGCCAGTTCTCCTCCAGGATTGGCGGGAGAGTCGGGGTGGGAAGAGGAGACGGCAGAGTGCTGCTGCTGGCTGCAGACGGAGAGTTGTACCTGACCCGAGCGAGCTCGCGCTCGAGTTGACCGGCTCGCTGCAGGGCGGACTCGTGCTCTGTTTCGAGCTCCCGCACTCTCTGTTGGAGACGCATGATCTGTTCCTCCATTGCCTCCTGCGATGATCGAGGGGGGCGGCCGATTGTCAGACTTCCTGCCATAGCGTTCGAAGGGAGCGGCATCGGCACCGCGGGGGACGATGGTGATGCCGATACGGATGACATCTCTCTATTCGCGTGCATTATCGCCCGTTGCATGGCATATTGCTCTGCGAGCGACGATGATGAGGCAGAAGACGAGTGCGGAGGAAAGTGGTCTGGATCAACACCACCAGGGAGATAAACGTGAGGGTTGGGGTGCATCGGATACATGAACGCCCCCGACGGGCTGGCTGAGGCTGGCGTGGGAGGTGTCGCCCCGAAGGAGCCGAAGCCCTCCTCTGACATGGTGTAATTGCCATGAGGAATGGGCCATGCCATTCCGGAAGGGACAGTCGGATGATTGGGCGATATATGCGTGTCTCCCATAGCACCTGACAGGCTGGATGTCGGGCTGTTAGAGGATGGTCTCACGACAGTACGATCGGGAAACCGGCGGAACGGGTCATTCTGGCAATGACACAATTAACAATATGTCACGTAGCATAATCGAATTCGGGCTTACCGGTGAATATCCACCAACGAGTGCGTAAGGCTGCTGTGTACTGTTATCTGGTCTTCTTATTGAACCCCCGACTGTCTGAGCAGCGTCGGAGAGCTGCTCTTCGCCCTTATGAGGCCACGAGCCGTGTGGGAACGACATCTCGATGGGCCGCGTAATCTGGTCAATTAGATGCACTTCCTAGATCCTGGGCACTGAAGGAAATGATAACCGCTGACGACCCGCAAAGGAAGTTAAGGGCCGGATATGGTAACCTAGATGACAGCAGAGGTGGCGACGAAGGGCAAGGGAGAAGAGGTGCCAGCTCAAGTGAGTGCGGACTCTGCCTCGGCAATGGTGGGTCGCAAAGGAAGATGCTGCATTCATATAGTCTGAAACATGCACTTTGATCAACAAGCAGTGCCTCGGAACTTCCGTGGGCAGAGCTCAGCGGATGGTGCTGTTGGCTCGCCCCCGACCGACAGCACGGTTCCGGTCATGCCCATCATCAGTCGGGTTGTGAGGGAACGCGATTATAGCCGCGGTAGCGATAGATGGAATCCATTCGGGCAGTGAGGAGTCGCATCTCGGCGCAATGTTTACTTGCTGTCCTGGAGAGTGATGCCAACCACAGTTGCGGTAAGTAGAGCCGCAAAAAGATGGCAGCTGTAACGTATCACATGTTGACGTGATACAACAGGCTATGGGCAGACACCGCATACTTGATCGCCATCTGTAGGCGCTGCACAGCTTTGATCATGAAAGACAAAGCCATTGGTGAGAGCATGGTAACTATCGCAACCCGCAAAAAATGAGCAAGTTGGGGGCAACGAAGCAACGCAGCTCACCGCTCAATAGCGATAGCTCCACCACAACGCCGTCTTGGTAGTTGTTCAGCAGCGGGCTTGAGCCTCGAGTCTCGACAACATGAAACGTTGACACGTGACACTTTTCAGGAATTAAGGCGCCCGTACTAGGTCCATTTGGGCAGTGTACAAATGATGATCGATGAGCTGATGGGTGTCTGTTATGCTGCGTAACCATATAACAGCGAGGTTCAGCTTTTCAAATCCGCCGACGCCTCCGATCGGCATTCTCTCGCAATAATACGAGTCGTGCTGGTCGGAAGAGCGCAATATGTGATGCGTATTGCATATATTCCATATACCTAGCTAGTAGCATTCTGACAATTCTGCATAGACCGCACGTCATATAACTGGGCTGCCGATGGAGGGTTGAACGTACTTCTAGGCGGGTCTATAGCGCTTCCAGCGTCACATAAGTTCTTCCGTAAAATCACCGCCTGTTGACTACGGTGTCTGCTCCGAAGGATCATTGATCTGACACTCCATCAATCGGATGGCTAGAATTGGTGCATTGAAGACGACAAATTCCCCTCTTCAGGTGCGGCTCGTCTGTGGCATCCTCACTCTTGCATCAGTACGCGAGCTCCATGTTCACCGGTTAGGCCAAATTGTTACAGTGACAGCATCCGGCGGCCGTATGCGTGTCGCAAATGAAAGTCAATCTGGCTGACTCACCGCCCATTGTTCGATCTTGTTGCGTTGTCTGCGAACCTCTCGGTCTGCAGCCATACGGAGATTGCTCATGTTCCATTTGATTACTCAATGACATGGCTCCTGCAACACCAGATAGTGAATCGCTTTCGTATCAAGTGAGCCAACGCTGAGACAAGCGACAGTGAAGAATCCGATCAAACAAGTGTGGGTATCTTCTTACCAACTGGACGTGCTCGTGGATCACAAGTGTGCAACCGCAGTGGTAGCCGTTTCTAATGCCGTGAGCCACCCGCCGTCATAGATTTCGTCACCGCTGCACTTGCGACGATCAGCTGTGCATACCCCTGATGATCATCAGTCTGATCCAATCAGTGATGGCATTAACTGTGCCACATTACCGAAGTGATTCCATGGCTAATTAATGTGGCACGTCCGATAAAGTCCACGTCGAAACGGCAGACGCAGGACTGACTGTGTCGGCGGCAGACGATAGGTAATCAACCCTTCGGACCAATACGATGCCGCTTGAGTGTCAGCGTGATGAAACGCACACGGCGCTGGCGACATAGGGCTATGCGCATTGAAGCATGAATGTTAAGCGCTATTGCGACAACGTTGGTGCTCACCAAATTCACCGCATCGTCGTAGTCAAGTCATTTGCTGTCACTGGGCAGCGAGCAAGCCGAGCTCCGAGACGATGTGCGACTGTCAACAAGCAGTGAGCGCCGCGACATGTAGCACCAGTATGAAAATTGATTTTCAAATGACCACACACCTGGAAACGATTGCCCTCCGCTAAACATAGCCGAGAAAAGCCACTTGATCTAGCCATAGCTCTGCCAGTGCGTTCCACGATATACAACCGTGCCTCCACCGGCGATCTATCCTCTTTTCCGATGCCGCCTTCGCACATGTGGAGTCCACACAGGTTGTCCAACATTCAGCTTGACAACAATGGGAACATCTTCGATGTTCGGAACTGTGTCTGCCAATACTCTTTTAAGTGCACCACGTTTCCCGGAACAATGTCGTGCAGATTTCGAAGCATGCTGTGCTAGCGACTGTCCCTGATTGCCCGGTGGTGATGTCTGAGGTAGCAATGACACGTCCAATGGGGACCAGTGCCCCAGTCAACGAGCATTGATGTGTCACTGCTGGGACCGAAGCAGGATATCTTATAGCTTGACATTAGTGACAACCTCGCGCGATTTGAAATCTTCCGAGTGTCATTCAAATTATTCGATAAGTATTCCTTTACAATGTGCCGTTTGCCTGAGGTCCAGGTCACGAAGATGTGTTTATGTTGACAAAATTTGTGCCCAAGGAGTTCTGCACTAGGTTCATATATGTTGATGCATATTTGTCTCTTTGTCTGAAACTAGAACTCACCAGTACAACCTCCCCAAGTGCGGACCAGGCGCATCCGCGTCAAAGTCTCAACGAGGGGCAGTGGTTGGCTGACAAGTCGTCGTTCGGCTGACCGGAGACCATATAATCCGACAATCTAGGACAGCCTGAGGCGCCTCTAAGAGCTCTCCAACATATCGTTGCAGACCCCATCTATCATGTCATTATCCGTCGGACTGTCTCATACGGTTATCCGGTGAATTGAACGCAACCATCGTACAGCCATGTCGTGTATTAGCAATGATATAGAAAGGTGAGCGTAGAAGGTAAGTCGGGTTCACGTTGTTTGCAAGTGTTCGGCGACTCACCACGTTGTTTATCATGTCTCATCTCGATGATAGGCCTATTGTGTCATCCTTCTCGGGCAAATACAACGATCGTGTTCATTGTCACGAACAATCGACGAACAGGCATGGTGCACAGGATTCCGACGGAGAGCACTTTGCTCGGGGCTCAAGCCCGCTCAGCAACTGAGTTCGGATGGGAATCTGTTCAGGCGTCCGCGTAGATCCTCCTATCTCAGTCATAGCAGCTCCTCCAGTTTGTCGTCGTAGCATTTTACATCTCGCCAAGGCTTTCCCTCAGGCAACGTTTGACTGGAAACTTCACTGTCAGAACGCGGCTCTGCATGGCAGCAGTGAACGCACCTGGACTCAGGGGGAACGCTGATTTCGCCCGTACTCATGTCAACTTTCACAAATCTAGTCATTTCGACAGCAGGCCGACCAGGACAACTGACAGGGGACAGATGACGAGAACCATCAGTACCTGAGCGTCGCCGTGTCGAACGTCTCAACGCACATCCTGAATATCCGCGGCACTGGCCAGCAATGAAACTGAGGTTGCCCCTGGTGGCCCATCTCAACGTCACATTTGTACTGCACAATCTCTGCGAGGCGGCATTTCCTTTGGGTCTGAGGGGTTAACTTGACACCCCGAGCGTCCATGGCAAAGAACAAGGGTCACAATTCATCCGCCACCACGTGCCACCTGGAGAAGCACGCAGCGAGGATAAAATCGACCCCAGGCTATCGTGCCAGTTCTCACCCTCCTTCTCTCCTTCCACCAACCTCTTCCGAGTCTAGTCACTCCCAGTATAGTCGCAGCAAAATGGTCTTCAAGGTTGCTGGTAAGTGAATGCGACCTTTTTTCGGAGAGCCTGCAGCTGAGCGAGCGCTCTCAAGATGTCTCGCTCGCGGCTTTCGGTCGTAAGGAGATCGAGCTCGCTGAGGTTTGTGGATGATCATCGAACGCCTGCAATAGCGACGTCTGATTAACATACACGTGTAGAATGAGATGCCCGGCCTCATATACATGAGGGAGAAAGTTGGTGGATTTCCTGATCACACAGGATCTGCAAGGCTCACATCGCGTTCTGTGCACAGCATGGCGCGACGAAGCCTCTGAAGGGTGCTCGCATTGCTGGGTGTCTTCACATGTAAGATTTTTTTCTCGCTCTACTGTTCCCCGCTCATCCGATATTCAGGACCATCCAGACTGCCGTCCTTATCGAGACGCTGGTGGCGCTCGGCGCTGAGGTTGCCTGGTCATCTTGCGTAAGTGCCCTAAGGGTAGCTGTCCAGTCCGCGTTGTTGTTGATGTTCGCCCATTGTGCAGAACATTTTCTCGACCCAGGATCACGCCGCTGCTGCGTTAGTGATCTTACAGATAGCTGTATGGGAAAAATCTGATCGCCGTGTAATTTTGCAGTATTGCTGCGACTGGCGTCCCTGTTTTCGCGTGGAAGGGTGAGACTGAGGAGGAGTACACGTGGTGCATTGAGCAGACCCTGTGCGCGTTTTCCGACGGCAAGCCGCTGAACATGATCTTGGACGACGGTGGCGATCTTACCACCCTGATCCACGAGAAGTACCCCCAGTACCTCACTGGTGAGCCTATCATTGTAGCTTACTACACTGTATGTTCTATTCACCACGCGTATCAGGCATTCGCGGTCTTTCTGAAGAGACTACTACCGGTGTGCACCACCTGTACCGCATGCACAAGGAGGGCAAGCTCAAGGTGCCCGCCATCAACGTCAACGACTCCGTCACCAAGTCGAAATTTGACAACTACTACGGCTGCCGCGAGTCGCTCGTCGACGGTATCAAGCGTGCTACCGATGTCATGCTTGCTGGCAAGATCGCGGTTGTCGCTGGTTTCGGTGATGTCGGCAAAGGCGTAAGTCAAGTTCACTTAACACAGTCTGTTCATCTGCTGAATGTCACTCCCAGTGTGCTCAATCCCTTGCCGCATACGGTGCTCGTGTTCTCATCACTGAGATCGATCCTATCAATGCTCTGCAGGCTGTGATGTCGGGTTACGAGGTCACTACCATGGAGGAGGCCGCTCCTCGCGGTCATATCTTCGTTACCACCACTGGTAACCGTGACATCATTCGAGGCGAGCACTTCCTGGTCATGCCCGAGGATGCGATCGTCTCGAAGTAAGTACCAGCTGTGCATGATGCGCATTGTCATGCGTTGCTGAATTGGTGACAGCATCGGTCACTTTGATGTCGAGATCGACGTGGCGTGGCTCAAGGCAAACGCGAAGCAGTGTGTGAACATCAAGCCGCAGGTTGACCGCTATACCATGGCGAACGGTCGCCACCTTATTCTGCTCGCTGAGGGTCGCCTTGTCAATCTAGGGTACGTGTACTATGACCTCATTGCAGGTTTCGCAACTAAGCCTTGCTATGTAGCTGTGCCACTGGCCACCCGTCCGCCGTGATGTCGTTCTCGTTCACCAACCAAGTCATCGCCCAGATTGCCCTCTGGACGAACAACGAGGCGTTCCCACTTGGCGTGCACATGCTCCCGAAGCATCTCGACGAGGAGGTTGCGCGTGCCCACCTCAAGCAGCTCAACGTCAAGCTGACAACGCTCACGCCAGAGCAGTCGAAGTACCTCGACATTCCTGTTAACGGTCCTTACAAGCCCCTCTACTATCGCTACTAATAGTCTAGTGTGGTGGAAGTGGCTTTGCTACTGGGTACGATGACGGCCTCAACGTGCCCTCGCCAAAGAAAACGGTACTGGGAAGGGATCCTCAACATCCCTGGTTGTTGATGGCTGGCTGCGCCTCCGCGTCCCGAGGAGTGTACGGCGTGGATGTTGCGGCGCGTCACGGATCGGGTTGGAAGTAGGAGACGTGTACAAGATGTTGCGATGTTGCATCTTGAGACTCTGGGGCCTCAACGTGCCTGTCTGTAATTGAATTCTTATCTCTCATGAAGTGCCTTCCGCTGGATGTTCATTTGTTTCATAACGTTTCGTGCCACTATGAGTCTATAGACGCCCGAATAAGCGCTTAGTCGTGCACCATCATCTTGTTGCACCCCGTGGACTAGGCTCTTCAGCGACCTGCCTCACTCTCTGCGCGCAGAGTTTTCTCAGTCTTTTCGCATCACTGAAGTTCCTTCAACGAGCTCGCAGTCTAAGGAAGTTTTACCTGGCTTAGACCGGGAGTATCCTCGTCTACATTATGTGTGCCCAATAGTCAATTCTTGAATTAGCCCCGCGGCAATGCTGACGGTCAACCTCCTGCTATTGCAGGGCGTGTCGTTGGCTGACGGCGTGTGGTCTTCTTTGCTTTGGACTTCCGTTGCATAGTGCATCAAGACCCCTCAAGCACGACCTCAAGGCGGACATTTGCAACCATGCCGCCCGCGATGAATCTTTCGACGGCCTACACCACGTACGCCAGGCCTTCTCGTACTTTTATCGGTCTGTCGCCTCGCGCTGCTATCGTCCTGGCGTCTATACTCTGCTTGTTCGTCGTTCTCTCTGGCGGGAGTCTGCTGCTGAAGTTCGCTCGACGACGATTCGCGCGAAAGAGGACGCAGAGTGCACCTCGGACATTCATCCTACCGAATTACAGGGACTGTGAGGTCGGCAGCGGGGGAGGGCCCAAGCCCCTCCTTCTTCCCAGTATGGCGACAGTCAAGTCGTCGCGCGGCAAGGCATCAATCCTTAAGAGGTTCTTGAGGCAATGGGTCATCGACCCGAATAAGGTCAGATATATACTTATCGACATCCTCGGAAAGTGGTCTGACAATGAAGCCCAGACACCCTATGCATCCAGCGCCGACGAGGAGACGTTGACTGGAAGCCCCGAGGATACCAAGGCGACGATCAAACCTAGTGCGGACTGGGCTGTCGACCATTTCGTTCCTTATAGTGAAGGGGCAGCCGACACCGATGCGAAGCCAAAGCACAATTCTAAGCAAGACAACCTGTCTGTTGATATCGCAGACTTGCCGCCGTCGTCTTCTCTTCCGTCTCCGCTTACTCGCTTGGCTGAGGCTCCCGAGAACTGTGCTATGGCTGGCGCTCACGTTCCTGCGATTGTGGTTGATGCCGCGACTACTCCTAGGATTTCTCTCAGCCTGGACGCTGTCGCTCCTGTTTCTGTCGCGGCTGACCGTCTGCAAGTCCCTCCTCCAAGCTGGGTGGCGCCCGCTCCTGTGGACGATCCCGAGCCCGCGTTCATGGATAACCACCTCTGCCGCACAATCACTCGCATGGCTTCCCCTCCGCCCCGTCCGCCTACCTTCAAGGCGAAGGCCCTGGGAGCGCAGGTCATGCCTACGATGGTCACCAGCTTTTCACCTATTGGACTGGGCATATCACTTGCGGCCGCTAAGGAGAGTGAACGACGCACTGGAGTTCACAAATCTCTGACCGTGAACCGTCTGCCCACTATCGCTGTCCCTCCCAGGTCTTACTCGACGTCTTATTACTTCTGAGCCTCGCTTGATGCCACCGACTGCCTTTTCTCTATATGCCTCGTTTGTCAATGCTCTTCATCACCGGAAATTTCTCACTGCTTGGATAATATGTCTATCTTTGCGAGTTGCATGCATGTGTCTCCCCCCAGTGATTCACTTCCTAGCTACGAATCAGAAGGACGCCACCTTTGATGGAATACTTGCACGAATATATGCCCTTCGGATCATTGCACTGTTGAATGACCCATCTGCCGGTTGACCACATTGCGGTGGTGGCACAGAACTTATCGTCTGTCTGAAAAGTTTGATCGTCATATAATCAGACCAGGACGTGCTAACTACTACCAGATTCGAGACTTTATGCCTGAGCACCCTCACTTCCCACGTCCAGCCCATTGTTCCTCAAGATCTCTTCTGTGGTATTCCACAGCTCCTCCGCCAGCTCTGGCTTCCTTGCATCTTCATTCGGAGGCGCAGAGAGCCGCCCAGGAGGCTGCAGGTATGCGCCCTTGTACAGCTGTTCCTGCTCACGCACAAGCGGCGACACCGCAGCAAAGACAGAGGTGTATGCGCCACGCGACGGAGTCGCCCAGGACATATAGACCACCGCAGAGGCGATGTGTGAGATTACGGGCGGCTGGCGCGCGAGATCGTTCTGCACCCCTTCTGCGGATTGAGGCAGCCACTATTGAAATAGCAGCGATGTAGAAGTGGGAGAAAGACGTACCTGTACGGACGAGCCCGGGGTGGAGCGCCATCGTGATGATAGGCAAGCCCAGGGTATCTAGGCGCTTCTGAAGCTGCGTAGTGAAGAGCACGGTTGCCAGCTTGCTTCGCGCTGTGCAACGGCATTGAGCGTATGCCTAAGGTGCGCATTCATTGATGGTTTACTGACCATATCTAGCCATGTCGGGCGATAGCTCGCCGTTGTGCTCGTCATTGAAGTCATCTGCGTTGCGGAAGCGGACTCCGCGTCGTAGGAATCTCATCGCATTTGAGGAGACCTACGCTCGAAGTTAGCTCGCTCTCCACAGTGCGCGGGGAGGACACCTACGTTGACAATGCGCACGTCGGTTTGTGGGTCGCTTGCTGTCTTGGTAAGCAAAGGGAGAAGTGTAATGGTGAAGACGAATGGGCTGAGATGGCTGCAACGCGTCGATGAATGCCCATCGTGCAGCTCTTTGTGGAACGTTCGTACTTCACCATCATGATGTCCTGTATACCTGCGGGCGGTGCTGATCAGGCTTGACGTTTGCAAGCTAGGGAGTAACGCACCATCATGTGTCTTCGTGTATGGACTACGCGGCCTGCTGAGGGCATAAGGCACGGATCGTAGTAAATAGAGCAGACTGCTCACATAGCAGCGTTATTGACTAGAGCATCCACGTCAGATCTAGCAAGGGCACGAGGCAGTGCAAATATTTGAACTCACTCAGTACGTCCAGTCTCTCTTGCTTTCGCATGAACTCTTCTGCAGAAGCCTTGGCGAGGCGCGGATCGCTCAAGTCCAGCTTGAGCCAATGCACTTCACCATTGCCGGGCGCGAGCCCCTCCTTCGTCAGACGCGCAATCGCCGCACCCCCCTTGTCCTCGCTCCGCGTTGCCATATACACCTTCGCACCATGCCGCGCGAGGTGCTGGATGGTCGCGTATCCGATCCCGCCGCTACTCAATCAGGCGTGAGAACCATCGCTTTGACATAAGACATCTACCCACTTTCCTCCGGTGACGATGATCACTCTGCCTTTGAGGTCAGGCAGATCGCGCGCAGGGTCAAAAGTCTTGGAGAAGAATAGCATGATTGTGTTGGAAGAGCGGAGCAGGATGCGAGATGATGCGACGGTTGCAGCTGTGCAGGACAGAATCCGGGCGCCGATGAGGCACGTGGCTGTGCGACCCATTAGCATAGAAACGAGATGAGTCGTAGTTTTCCGTGTTGCCTTGAAGCTTCCATCTATGAGACTGCAGAAGGTTACTCGCTGCTGCGAGACACCTCGGATCAGGACGACGAAACCCACCACCACACCAACGCGCTCACGTGATTTTGTGTAATCGCGTCGACACGTCGCGCTTTTCTGGGGAGTTTCATGTCTTGCGTGAGTGGTGCAAGGAAAAGTATGGACGGCTTCTTCAGCCTCCAGAGTAACATACATCTTACCATGCAAACACTTCCATGACAGAGAATGGAACGTGAAAGCCATCTCCTACAAGCGGCAAGCGCTCGTGAAGTTATGCGCACAAGCAGCTTAATGAAGCACGACACACAGTCATCGGGATAAAATTCGACCGGGTCTTGTGAAGCAAGTACGCTCGAGTCATGCAGGGTGGCATGGCGCTCTCCCAGCTCGCCCTCACTGGAATGCAATAGATCCTGACGAGAGACGCGTATTATGTTCTCCATGATCGTCTTCGGTTGGAAGAGGAGCTATACTCTCTCGATCTTGAGAAAAGAATGTCAGTGGGAGGGGCCCCGAGATTATAAATATGTCATGTCAATATTTATACCCTGAAAAACGGAACGATGCCTGTGGTAAAGGTCGACATAATACGCGGGTTTTCTTCTGTATCACCCAGGCAGAATCTCCCAACGTTAGCCCAGTGGAAGGGTCGACCTCAAATGCGTGTAGTATACAGCGAAACCACATACATCTCAAATGTCTTCTTGTTAGTTCTACGGTAATAGCAGGAAGAATCTGAGACTGTGGTTGAACGTGCACCGCCGTAGATGAATAATAAATACATCGAACAAGTATGTGCCGATTGTCCACAGGTGAGATATTAGCTCCATGAATCTCAACAACACCTGTTGATCAGTAATGATATGCAGAGTTCTGCAGGTATCGCCGTGCACATAACATATATATGATATATCATACTGTGTACTGCGACTCGGCCAAGCGCGGCCAAGGCAGCCGGCATTTGCCGTACCAGTTGCTGACGTAAGCAGCCACTGAGAGCTGTGTGACCTTAGGCGTAAGCGGGACGCAGCGAGCACCGTCAGGGTCGCCTGCGCCTCACTCTCCGTCGTCCTCCATCTCGGCTTACCTCTCCTCCGTTCTGCTCTTTGTGCCGCTGCTGCGCCTCCTCTGCAATCTCGCCTTCGTACCTTTGCCTATTTCGACGGTCGCTCTCTATCCAGAGTCTCTTTTGTCTGTTATAGACGCAGGGCTTGCGCGTCTCTCCTGCTCGTCTTCCAGCTTCGGTTTCCGGCTCATTGCTCCATGATATCGCCTCAGCCTTCTGCACCTTCATATCAACCTCTCTCGTACGCAGATCGCGCGAAGCAAGCGCAAAAGATTACCCCGTCTCCCTCTCAGCATCCTGCTGCGCGGAATCTGTCGCCTGCCACGGGAACATCTGCCGTAGGGCCTGAGACAGATATAGCCATGAACGCCGGCATGTCTGCCATATCGAGCTCCTCATCAATTGGTGAGGATGCCGTGTCCTCTACTCCTTCATCTATCCATCAGAGTTCTGGGCCGTCCTCATCGCTTTCCTCTCAAACGAATGGTGACCATAAATACCACGGTAATAACTCACAGAAAGCAGCACCGCAGCCTCAACTCACCTCGTCTGCCGCATCTAAGCCGGCGGCCGCTCCGCCGGTCAATGTGTGGAATGCGCGGATTGAGCAGATGGCTCAGGCTCGCACGCGATCGCATCAGGGAGTAGACTCGGCACAGAGACCCGCCATTGATTCAATGGAGTCCAACGACATCGATGACCTCTCTGCCCGACCTGATAAATCAAATACTCAGGACTCCACTGGTGCATCTGCATCTAGCTCGAGTGTCTCCCACAACGTAATGAACCAACGGATATCACCTCCTATGACGACAAAATCGACGACCAGCAACCTCAACGGCAGCACAAATGATGAGGATGATGCATTCGTGGTACGTCCACGACGTCCAATACCCTCGATTGTCGACGACAGCGACTCTTGGCCGGAAGTTGGCAAATCAGTCAGCAGCGGGATCAGACAGACGGAGGAAAATGCACGCGGTGCACAAGGGCACGATCCAGAGCGGTCGAGGGAGGGTTCGCAGAGTCATGGTACATCACGAAAAAGTGTGTCTCTTCTCCTTCTTCACTCCTCCTGTTGTGCGGTTGAGCTCCGTCAATCGCTTTTCCAAAAGGATGCTCCCGGGATAGGTCAGGCTTATAGTTGCTAATTGCGTCCCTTCCCCACTCCCATTGCCTCTGCCGTATTCGTAGGTGAGAAAACAAAATGGGTCCAAATACCACCCTCCGAGCTGCAGGCCGCCGCCGACGCCCAGCAACGATCGCAACATGTCCGCAATCGCTCTCATCAGCATTCAAGACATCCAGGTTCCGGCTACGCATCGGCTTCGGGATCCGGCTCGCAAGCCCAGAGTCGCACGCATTCGGCGGTGGGAACGCGTCACTCTTCACACGCGAGCTCTGTATCGCAGTCGCAGTCGCAGTCGCAGAGCCGCACGGGAAGCGCGCACTCCAGTCCGCCTGTCTTCCCTCGTGGCGGGAAGAGGCTGCCTGAGGAGGGCGGCGCTTCTGGATACAGTGCCGGATCGGCTGCGGGTGTGTCAAGCGTTGCGAGCAGGAGCGTGAGCAAGCAGTCCTCGACGACGGGCTCACCGCAGACGTTCCATCAGGCACTTCCGCCGACCGACTTCATCCCAGGAGGCGCAATGGGCTTTCGGCCATTACCTCCCAGTCTTGCCAGAAGGGGATCGGGCCCTGCGGAGCAAGCAAACGATGTGCCGAGTGCCAACGGCAATACCCCAGCGTACTACACAAGCCCACCTGCCATGCCGCCGCCGGCGAACGCACGGCGTTCGTACCATACACCACATTCATCTGGATCTCCTGTACAGCCATCATACACGTTACCTACAGTCGCACCGATACCGACTGTGTACCCGCCGCCACTGCATGGCGGCCAAGGGCCGCAGTATTCTGCCTACGCTGGTACTCCGCCGCACGCGGCCTACTCGCCGTACGGCTACGGCTACCCGCCCTATGTGTACTGGCCACCAGCGCCGGTGCCACAATCGCATTCGCCTTCTGTAGAAGGCACACAAGCACCAGTGGCGTTCTCGCAACCTCGAGCTCCCAGTGAACGCGAGTCTGTCACCAGCCAGAGAGAAGGAGGGTCTGTGATGCCGCCTCCAACAGCATATACGTCTGTTTCTGAGGTGCAGAGAGAGGGGTCTGAAGCCGAGGCGAGCGAGTTGCGGACAGTGCGTGCGGAGAGAGGGCGCAAGGCGCGAGAGCTGAGCTTCGGCAGCATTCGGCTGGAGGAGGTCAGCGCTCAGGCTGCAGCGCCTGAGGCCTCCGCGAAGGACGATGCGAGCATCCTGGGGCTGAGTGTGGGCGAGGCAAAGGAGGGAGGGCAGGAAGAGAGTGCGGAGAAGCCAGCTGCTCCGTTTGCCATCGGCGTAGCGCCGGGAGAAGCTGGTCCTTCCCGCATACGCTCGCGCACCCGCACGCAGTCGAAAGGCCACTCGTGGGTGTTGGGCGAGGCTTCCGTCGCTGCTGCGGTATCGCTCATAGAGCAATCGGACGGGTCGGGGCAGGCGACCAATGATGCGGAGGGCGCTGAACCATCGGCGGTGGGTCAGAAAGGCGCTGAGGAGATTGAAGCTGGGATTAAGGTGATCGATCTCACTGAGCCCATAGAGATGAAGTGGGTATTTGGCACGACCAAGCCTTCCGACTCGGAGATCGTCGAGAATGGAGAGAAGTCTCATGCTGGTGCTGTGTCGTCGGAGTCTGCCCTGCCCGCCAGCTCCTTACCTCCCATTGTGACGTCCACCAACGGTCTAGCATCGGCACACTTGGCTACTTCCAGCGACTCTTCTGCAGTGCCTCCTGTGTCATCTGGCGACGCGGCATCCAGTGACGAGTGGAAGGTCAAGGATTATGGGTACGGCTTTGGGCGCAAGGACTACGCACCGCCCATGACGGGCGAAGAGCGGAACGCACGGGAGCGACGCGAGTTCCAACCCGACAAGGAGCACTTTGGGCGGCCGAGACGTGGCTCTGTAGGTGGCGGGTATGCCTACGAGCGCGGTGGCTTTGGTGGGCGCCGAGGGCGTGGATTCGGTGGGCCTGGTGGGCGGGGTGCCTACCATTCGAGGACACATTCGAGGGGAGGCAATGTATACCAACCCTCCCAGTCGCGGCAGCCTCCCTTCGTGATGCAGCCGTCGACACAGCAGGCGGACCAGAATGGTTACTATGCACCTTTGTCCACGGGATATTATGCCTCGGCATATGACCCGTATGCGTATTCGTATGGATCCCCTCCCCAAAATCTTCCGTCTGTGCCGCCGCTGCCGATGCCGCAGTCTACCTTGTCGTTCCCGCTGGATCCTACTCGATACTACCTCCTGGGCCAGCTGGAGTACTATCTAAGCCCACAAAATATGGCGCAAGATTTTTTCCTCCGGCAAAGGGTGAGTGACGCGAAATAATGAATCAATGCATATCTAACTGATGGCTACCAACAGATGGACTCCCGCGGCTGGATATCTATACCCCTCCTTGCGTCTTTCAAGCGCGTCAAGCAGTTGACTTTGGACCAGCAGTTGGTGAAGGATGTCTTGATCCTTTCCAGCTTGGTTGAAGTCAAGGATGAGTGGGTTCGCATGCGCCAGTGGGAGCAATTCGTACTGCCAAACGCGGTCGAAAGCACAGTGGACGGCGAGCGAGAGTCTAGCCAAGAGCATACTACACAGCCGCAAGGTGGCGTGGCGTCTGCCAAGGCCGACGTTGCAAACGTGGAAGAAGGCGACGAGGGTGACGGGGAGGAAGAGGAAGAGGAAGAAGTCGTGTTCGTGCTCGGCAAGGACGCCGAGCCGTCATGGGCACCTTGACGATGACCTCGACGACGTTACCGACGGTGCGCCGACGATGAAGATGTTGAGTCTAACGCTTCCAGGAAAGCAACGGCTACGAGATGTATGATCCATGCGGTACGCGCATCTCGTTGATTACAAATGATCTGATTTGGTCCAGGTGGGCAGCAAAAAGACCTCTCAAGTTTTAAGGAGAATTTGCGTCGGACTTGGTTCCTACCTCATTTTCCGCATGGGCAGCTATCGTATATTCGCACATATTATCAGAACGGTTGATGACATGACACGCACTACGCATATCCCAAGCTGAGCGCTCTCACCCTTCTTGGGCTCTCCTATCACTATGTTATCGTCGCGCTAAGCCTACTACTTTTGTCTGCAATTTCTAATGCGCCTGCTCTACCCAAATTTGATCATCTGTCACCGCCTCAGTGCTGCTAGCATGCATAGCGTTAGCTTTGATCTTCAAGGGCTCGACTTCGGTTGGATATGCATCGTCGTTGTGTGAAGTGTCATGCATCATGCGCCACCCGCGCTACCAAGTGATGTCTCATCGTGGTCTGTGCCGCACTTGATGTTCTTCCAACACACAGGGACGTGCACGTTCTCTACGTTTTGACACCGGATCGCGCTATCATTCCACTTGCTTTCATTTTAGTGGCAGAAGGTTACCCCTCAATTCATCAGCTAGAACGCCCACCCACAACGAGCCCATACCTGTCATGTAAGAGAAACGCGACCGACTCGGCTACCCAATAACGCAACATGCACAGGTACCCGATCCTCGGTAAGCAGACTAAGTGCGTTCACGTTGCACAATCGCTACAGGCACCATCCGACGAGAAGGTAGGACTCCGTAAAGTGGCGGATCACCGTCAGAAACGGTTTGTGCCCCTCGCTTCGGTTATTGCTTGTGAAGGTTTAATGTCATGGTGCGCACTGCGCAGTCCGGGAAGATATTTCAAGAGGAACAATTATTCTGTTCTCGAGAGGTATGATCGACCGCTAAAATCTCGAAACGATCATCGAAAACCATCTCCCTGGAGACTTGGCAAGCGATATGATCATATAGTGTACTTCCATGCAGCTTCCATGCGCCAATCTCGCGTCTGATCTTGCTCATATACTAGTGTAAAGCCGGTACCGTTCTACGATTCTGCTCGTCTCGCTCTGTTTCGCTTCTCCCCTATATCTGCTTCTCCTCCTTACCCTCTCGCTCGATCGCTTGATGCGTTGGACGAAGTTCTCTTCTTCTGGGCCGGTTTCCCCTAGTATCGAGACATGGCCTCCCTATCCACCCCTTGGTGAGACCGAGCTGGAGAGGGCAGTCCGTCTAGAAGAGGAGAGGGAAGCTAAAAGAATCTCCGAGTCGATTGATCATGGTCTTGAATTGGAACAGCAAGAGCTCCGCAAACGACGGAATCAAACTAGAGTTTTGCTCTTAGGTGCGTTTTGTCCGTTCGGGCAGTGCATGTGCAGAATCTGTCACGTAATCGACATAGCTCACTACATGCATCTGTTCTACAGGACAGTCAGAGTCGGGAAAGTCAACTGTACTCAAGAATTTCCAGCTGCATTTTGCACCCGAGGCATTCCGTGCGGAAACCGAGGCATGGCGCGCCGTCATCCACCTCAACCTCGTTCGATCTGTCAATTTCATCATGGACGTATTGTCAGGTCGGCAGCATGCGTGTCGCATACCATGAATTGGCGCACTCATCGATAGATCAGGCCAGGAAGAGCTTCGACAGCTACGAATGCAGTTGTCCCCCTTGCGTCAGGTCGAGATGATGTTGGTCAAAAGCATGTCGGCTAGCGATCCCTCGCATAGTGCTTCCGTCGTAGAAGAGGCCACGCCGTGGTTCTACGGTAGGGCGTCCGAAGTGCTGGTTCGAGGGGGATCGAGCTGGAAAGCGTTGCTGCGCCGACGGAAGGATAAGCAAACGCGTCAAACTCGCAGCGACGACCTAGAGGTTGCCAGGCATATACTGCATGCTTGCCGGGAAGACATCGCGTCGATGTGGTCTAATTCCATAGTGCAGGCAGCGCTGCTGGAAGAAGGAGTTTCTTTGCAGGAACAAGCAGGGTTGTAGGTGTAGGTTCATCTCGGGTTTTGGACATGGCCTAATCGCTTCTCGGCCGATAGTTTTCTCGACGATGCTGCACGGGTTGCAGATCTAGACTATGAACCGTCACTGAGTCTGTCGTCCGCCACTTCGCTACTGTCCAGTTTACTGAATCACCATATAGGCGACATTCTTCGCGCGCGTCTTCAGACAATCGGAGTCGAGGAACATGTGATGACGGCTGAGAAGTGTAGGTCTATCTCTTTGCCATTTCTTTCAGGTTTATTAATTGCATGAGACTTTCAGTCGGGGAAGCTTCGCGTCAGTGGGTATTCTACGATGTCGGAGGATCCCGAGGGCAACGTGGTAAGTAAGTGGATGTAGAATGCTGGGAAGGCCCTTAACCCCCTCCGCCCCCTTTCCGTTCAACGCTAGCGAGTTGGGTTCCATTTTTCGAAGATGGTAAAGCCTTTATCGATGCGCCGGTATGACGCTGTCTGACCCATTTGTAGTGAATGCAATTCTGTTTCTGTGTTCGATGGCAGCGTTCAACGAAGTACTGCTGGAAGACCGAAGTGTGAACCGTCTGGTCAGCCCATCCAATCTATTCACGTCCAAGCAACGGCCCCTGACATGATGACTCCAGCTGGACTCGTTCAATTTGTGGAGGACGATATGTTCGAGCAAGCTGTTGAAGATGACGACCTTCGTCCTCCTACTCAACAAAAGCGATATATTGAAAGCGAAACTGGAGACTGGCATCTCTTTCGTGCGCTACGTCAAGAGCTACAAGGACGAGCCGAACGACTATGAACACGTCTCCGAATGTGAGTTCAGTTGATAGACCGGGGAGATGAGGCTTTTTATGCTGAGCACATCCTGGCTGTATACGCAGATCTCCAGCGTAAATTCATCGCATACCATCGACATTACTCTCCCAACCAAAGGCAGCTGCACGTACACGTAACATGCGCGATTGTGAGTGATGTGCACTGAATCTGAATTCAATATCCGCAGCGCGCTCATGTCCCCCTCCAGGATATAGACACTACAGCCACCGTAATCACCCGTAGTACGTCCCTCCATTTCCTGGTCACCCGTCCGATACTCATGAACCGCGCTCCTTCAGTTAGGGATGCGATAATCGTGAACAATCTAATCTCAAGCGACTATTTATAGGTCCGATCTAGACGATATTTTGGCGCAAACCCTACATCCCCCCACCCTCCCCTATTGTACAAATGTCACTATTGGCGACTCACCTTACATCTGTTATTGCGGCCCGCCTGTACCATATAGCGAAGTTCCCATGGTCGGGCGATAAATAAAACAGCACATTCAGGATTAAGCACGACTCGGACGATGTTCAGCCTGAATCTCCCGCTACAAGATGAATCGATGTATGAAATGGACGCAGCATGTCGTTGAGGATAAAGTGAACTCGAAAGACGCCGGTCTAACGATGACCTTAGTGCAGGGACGAAGAAGCCACTCGATTACCTATATTCCCGTCTAATCTAGCGTCATATACTAGTGCAATAAAAAAACAGCACGGGAGCCTTGAACGCGCTAGTAGGCCTACATCATAACGCATAAGATATCACAGAAGCAAGGTCAATCAGTACAGTCCGTATATATCAACAACAGCAAGTCCGTCATGACCAGCATTAAAACGTCATTCCGAAATACGTTCGAACGTTGCACGCAGTTTGGTATACATAATCATCGTGATCAAAAGAGGGCGAACGCGGTGAGGACCGTCGCAGCGAGGAGTCCAAGCCAGGCGTCTCCACGAATCCTAGAGGCGCCAGATTTCTGCGCTAATGTAGGATCAGGGGTCGTGGCAGATGTGCTTGACGTCGTGGGATCGCCAGATGTGCTAGTTGCGGAAGCTCCGGAGGAAGAATTGGAGGGCAACACAGCGGCGGTTGTGTATATGCGGACATAGGAGACCTCAAAGTAGGCGTCATCATAGTTGCTGCCGTTTCCGACGACATTATCGAGGTACTGTGACATAACGTGAGAGCAGAAAAGATAGGACCGCATGGAAGGACGTACGCAATTGTGCGCAGGACCTGCGGCATAGCATTCCGAGTCATAGATGCCCGGAACGCCCGCCCTTTCACGAGGACGCGGACTTGTCAGCAGACCGTTCATATTTGCCGCCAGAGCGGATATAATTGACGCTCACCAGTCTCCGCACAGCGTGATATCGAAGATGAGCTGCTGTTCGGTGAAGAAGGTCGAGAGGTCGCAGGAGGTGGTATTTGGGTAACTTGCGTGTGGGTCGCCCCAGGTTGAGATGTTCATGGGGGACGTCGAGTTGGCGTTCTTGATGACGTCTGGAATGTCGGGTCGCTGTGCGCGCAAGTCAGCTATCGCTCAGGATGCACTAGACTATTACATACACTCCAGAACCACATGCTGTAAGAGGAACGCCGCATGTCAGATGCCCACCTTGTGGACAAGGATTGGTCAAGTTAACTCACTAAATCCCGGTGACATCGAATTGCGTCGCGAACACGCCTCCACCAGCAGCTGCAAAGCCACTTTCGTAGCTATTCGCTGCGTTCTCACTCACGATGCAGCCAGAGCCTGTCCCACAGTCATCGCCACCAGAATAACCCAGCTGGTCGCTGGGAGTGACATGGGTGCAACCCTCTGTCGTATGTAGGGCCATCTGATTGTTGGGCATGACATTGATGGCCTCGACGATATCTACGGTGTATCCCATTCAGCAGTGCAATCTCCGACGGATACGTATCCTTACTCACCGATCTCACCACCGACGGGCCAATCGTGTCCCATGCTCCAGAACGCCGGCCATACAGAACATCCGTACGGAAGATGTACAGCATCAAGAATCCAGAGGGTCCCATAGTCGTAGTAATCCTGTGTCGTGATGCGGACCTGGAAGCGTAGTCCAGGATCGCTGAGGGAGCGAAGTGTGGCCTCCACGTACCGCGTTGCGCTTGTCGCCCTCTGCGACAGTCGTAAAGTTGTCTACGCGCATGATCGCGTTGCCCGCGTCGTTGATGTACGCGAGTTTCTGCTGAGTTGCAGCCTCTTCAGTCACCCATGTCGTATTCCCTACAGTGGAAAATGAGTCGCCCTTAAAAATTCAGGTGGTGGCGGACATACCGAGAGTCAGATTGTCCCAGTATCCATAGAAATCCCAGCCATTGAAAAAGTTTTCTCCCGAGTAATCACGCAACAACTCGTAACCCACAGCAGAACTGACGCAGGAGAGCAGCACCGCCCAAAGTAAAAGCATGGCAGTCAACATGGCTAATCAGGAACAGTAGGGGGAGGGCACAGCCCTCTCGGTATAGCGGGGAGAGTGCGGTAAAGGGAGGCAGCAAAGCGCAAGAGGCAACACTACACCTTTATGGCCATGGCGCTACACAGTTCGGCACCTTCACCCATGGCGGGGGAAAGAGACCGGAAATGCGGATGCCAAGCTGGGAGGCGCCTATCGTCAAGACGTGCCCCGAGGCGTCAACATCAGAACTGGATTGGCCGTACCATGAGGTCCCGTCCCGTCGAGGAGAATGGAGGCCTACACGCAGGATCACGTGCGGACAGTCGCGCGCTGCACCTGCGTTCGGTGCCATGGGGCTGATGGGTTCTTTGATAGTTTCCGCGCAGGTACCGAACGGCGTCCTCATACTTCCATGCGAATTGCGACCCTTGCCCATACCAAGAGCGTCCATTTTGATTATTAGACGCGTGTTCGGGTGCTGGACAGCACTATCTGCCTAATAACAAATGACGGTAAACCAGTCGGAAACAACACGGGGATGTAGCGCCGCGTCTAGTCCCGACGGATGGAAAGGGGTCCTTCTGTGCATACTGCTGTGGCTTGCTCGGATGTCGGGAATGGCATGGGTTATGCCCAGATAAGACACGTTCTGGTATGTCCGGAAACTATCAATGTCGAATCAGCGTATGAGAAACTCCACCTGCCTCAAGATGGTGCCGTCCAATCTTGTCCAATTCAGAGTGCTGGATGATGATGATATCGATCAGCCGCGACCACGTGTATTGCTATGTCTGAGTAAGAATGGGTCCGCCACAGGTAGGCCCACTGCCACCAGACCTAGGTCTAGTTAGCTGCTAGAAGCATGAGTCACACAGTGGACGCAATTGTCTCATGAGCCTCGCGTTCACGATGGTACATAGCGAATTGGGACCTCAAGAGTCAAGACTGCCGGCTTGCGGCCTCACGGGCGAGACCGTGGCAATGCCGGTATGCCAATCGAGTGGTCGTCGTTGCTAGCGGTTGCTAGAGGAAGTTGGCTTGGCAATGCCCATCGCGGTCATCGCGCGTTGTAAGAATGCGCAGAGACGGGTCCTGCAGAGACTCACACATGTGGATCAGATGCATTATAGCATACGAACCCGCTATGAAGGACGACCGCATTTATGAGAGCCTGAGACGTTCCCAACATGGTGCAGGCATGAAGTTGGGCATTGATGGCTGCTGGTTTAGGGGGTACGGGTCCGGCTTGAAAGCATGAGCCGCCAGTGCCTTGCGTGCATGAACTTCATGCATATAGCCGTAGATAACGTGGCGTGAAGCTCATGCAACATCGTCATGTCCTACCACATGAAAAGCGGCGAGCTGTAAGATATCGGCATGGCGAAATACGTTGAGGTTGGATCGCACAGCGGTCCATTGCGGATCCTTTCAAGTGAGCCGCATACGCAGGGAGCACAAGCACTTCGAACTGAAAGACAGTATTGTGATTGTGTCCATGTGTCTAAAAAGAGCAACATGTAAAATAGAGATTCTCCGAGCAGGGAGGAGGACGAGGGAGAACGTCCAAACCGCAGCCACCGACGCGCGACACACGCTTCAGCCGGAAATACCCGAGGCGTGCATTCTGTCTTCATCGCGGCCAGCAGCTCTCTCTACACGACTCATCGCCATGTCTTAGTGAGTCTCGCTGTACTTACGTGAAATAATAATCTTTGACGGACTCTGCACTCAGCGTCATCTTAGGCCGCGTCGTCAAATCCGAGTACATCGCGCTCGCCTCCATTGGCACCGTCGCCGGCATCGCCGCACTGAAGCTGGGCGGAAAGAAAGAGGCGGCACCCGTCGGTTCAGGCCCATCCTCCCTGGAGCAGGCGAAGAGTTCCGTGAAGATTAACGCGGGCTCGAGGTGCGTCTCTTGTCCCTGTCGCAACGAGAATGCGAGCCTCATGACGCGGTGTTTTGCCTTGCAGCGAGGAGGAGCAGTTGTACGTGGCGTTTTCATCGTACAATTTTGTGAACGGACTGTCGACAACTGACCAGGGTAAACAGCATCAAAAAGTACATAGAAGAGGCGGAGAAAGAGTCAAAACACTGATGCTTTGTATCTGGTCATGCATGCCAATTATACCGACTTGCAATAGACTCAGCTGTTCCTGGCTGGATTGATCTCGTCTCTGTAACCCATTGTTGCCCGTATCCCTCTCTGAGCTGCTTGTGCAAAGGCTTGACTTCCCGGGTGCATGTCTTTGGAGCTCTGAACGAGTATCAGGTGCGTACGTTGCGGTCACATACCCAAATGCAGCTGAACTTATGCATCCACGTTAGTAGCCCGTGCATTACGTCGAGTCGAGAGTCAGTACGATATTGATCTTACAACAGCAAGAGCGCCCGCGAGACTACATGAGTCAATTGTGTTGGACCAGTTCATTGCGCATCAATATGCCTTGCGTTGCTCTGCCGAGACTCATACTCTCCACAGCGTCTGCGCGAAGTATTCACATCTAAGGAGTGATTGGCCGGGTAACCAGTGAGCAACGCAACCTGATCTATTGCTTCCGCCTGAGCTTTCCAAGCGATACGTGGATGCGACTCGTGGTCTGCAGCTCCGCCTTCTCGCTCAGAGTTGCAAGGAATTGTAATCCATTCCGTCCGATACGTGCATTCATTACCCGCAGGTAACCTGTTCTATTCGTGTCCCTCCATATGCTTCTTTAGCGACAGCAATCACATTAGCGGTGCCGATGTACTTAAGCGAGTATTCCACACGGCCACCGCGCGAAAGATATAAATGTCCTTCATCTCCGTCATATGCACGTAATTTGACTCTGACCGTGCCTTTGGTGCTTTTCCTGCATGTCGCAGTGTTAACGCGTATTAAGCATCCTAGCCGTTAGGTTTGTGCCTCATCCTTCTTATTTCCGATCGTGATGTGCTCTTGCCGCCGGGTACACCCCAGGCGACGGTACCTACCTACTTCTCCTCCGACAACATTGAACAACTCCTCCCGTCAACAGCTACTTCCGGACGAATGTATTCGCTTTCGCTAAGCGTCGTCGCTAAGTTACCCCGCTGCGCAAGAGACGCCCGGTACATATGTCGTTAGCGTTGACAGCCATCATGACAGACTTGAATGTTTGAACCATCGCTCCGTGTTCTGATTTTGCATATGCCCTGTCACGTCTGAAACTTGCAACAGCGAATGCATCTAGCTTCACTTCGTTCTTTGCTATCATGAGCACTAGTATCACCACCCGATCATCAGTACGCCCACTGTCCTTGACCGGCCCCAAGCCTCTGCAGCTTGTAGACGGCAACGCACAACCTATCACCCAGCCGTCGCCCTCAAGCTCGGCATGCCCATCTCCAAGAGTCACTGGACTCCCGACACCTCCTCTGACCGCCAGGAACATCAAGCAGACGCGACGGCAGTCCTCGATTTCATATTTTCCGAGCGACAACGCTCCAACATGGGACGTGCGCTCGCCCACGACAGGTGCACGGCCGTCTTTGAAGCGCAGTTCTTCTGTAGGGCAGAAGACCAACAGCTCGGTCGGCCGCCCAGAGAGACATAGTGTTGGCTCGGCAGATCTGCAGGCGGACCGCGGCCCATTGACTCTCACTGAGAAGTGCGTGTTTTCTTATGATGGTGCCCCTCCTACTATCTCATGTATTGATCTCACCTTCAAGACACGCCGACCTGCTGCATTTCATCGCGCAGAAAGAGTCAAAATGCCTCGAGCTGCGCTCCCAGCTCGCGATGCACGAGGCCGAGCTCGCACAGCTAAAGCGCAAGTGGGAGCGCATAGTCAATCGGGGCATGGACCGCGCGTCCTCGACTTCGACCTTGCCGAACCTCTCAGCGCGGTCGCCATCGTCTAACGGCGCGGTGCTCGACGGGCTGCGAGAGGGCGTGCAGGGCGTCGGTCGCCTGCTTGCCTCTGGGTTGAACGAGCTCTCCTCGCCCACCATCTCCTCTTCTCCGCCCGTCCCTGTGCAGACACTTCCCGGATTCACGTCTATCTCGCCCGCGTTGCGGCGCGCGAGAGGACACAACACGACCACGAGCACGTCCTCTGTGTCCACCGCGGGCACGTCCTCGACGAGCACGCACCTCTCGCAGTCCTCCGCGTCCTCCTTCGTGATCGATGAGCTCGAGGAGAAGCAGGAAGAGCTGCCCGTGCGGGGCAGCGTGGAGATCTCCCCTGCGAGCGCACGCCAGGCGGCGAGGCTCCGCCGAAGGTCGCGCGATATCACGCCCGCGCAGTCGCCCTTGCCTGAGTCACCAACAACACCGAGCGCAGTTCCATCTAGGACATCAACAAGCACCAAGCGCACGAGCGTGAACCTCGCGTCGGGTCTCGCGCCGCCCGCGTTGATACCGGGCATGGGCACGATGACCGTTCCGCCGATGTCGGCGTGGATGGAGAGTGTGGGTAGCAGTGTCGGGCGGAAGTGGGAGGAATTACAGAAGGGCGAGACGTGCGTGTGCTTTTATCTTTCTACGGAGATGATTGTGCGCTGACCGCATATCGATACAATAGATTTACGAGGAGCCAGAAACGCGCGTCGATCATCCTCTCGGACGTCTCGCAGTCGTTCTTCTCCGCCTTGGCCTCCCCTGCATCGTCGTCAGGCGCCGCATCCGTATCCATATCCTCTAACCCCTTTGCAGCATCGCTCTCTCCCCTCTCTACCTCCCCGACTGCCGCGACCCTCGTCCCGAATGGCACATCGTCACTGTTAGACGATGACGAGCCAGCACAAGGTCTCGGAAGTGTATTATCCCCGGATTCCAAGGGCTTTGCTCCTTCCAAACCTCCCGCACCATCATCTCCGAGTTTGCAGGCAAAAGATCAGAGCGATGACGAGTGGAATTGGTAGGGCATGGGTAGTGCCGCGCGTTTCTCATGCGCATGTGCATAGATTATCGTTTGGATGATAGCCAGGTTTCGGCTGCTTAATGTTTGATTAGACGATACCCCGGAAGGATTTCCTGAAGCTGTTGGTATCGCAAGGTTTCTTGGAGAGGGCATCATTTTGACTATCCACAAACTGTTCTTTATATATCATGCAAGCATATGTGTGTCCGCTCGTTCATGCAGTCAGATGGGGTCAAAACATTCATCAGCATGCAGCAACTTGCCCAATCCTTCCTTGCCTCGCTCAAGCTCGCTCATTGCAAATTGCACGCAAAGCTGGCAGGGAAGCGAGTTGTGGCCACATAGCGGCTTCAATCTCCGCCAGGCATCGTCCGTGACTCGGACGACGCCACCGCCGCACACAATTCTCCTCGAGCCTGTCGCCTCTCAACTTGATGGCACGGTTCAATCCCGTCAAGTTGCCAGATCTCGTCTTGTCTAATGAACACGACCGTCCGAACATCGATCTACGCGAAACTGGTGCATCGTCTTGCTTCAGACAGACGATTCGGAAACTCACGCTCATGGTTTGCATCCAGCTCAGCGGCTCGCGGAACGCGAAAAGCGACCTCCGTCGGTCTTCCTCCGAGGTGCGCATAAACTGTTCACGCTGTAGTCAAAAAGCTTAACGGAATCCGAACTGCTTCCTCACGCATTATCTCCCACGCGTCATCGATTCATCGCTCACACTGAACGCTGCACACTGACGCAGGCTCGCTAACAGGGCACGACCTCATGGCGCTCTTCCCGCCTCCTTCGCCATGCGCCGGCCTTCTTCGCTCACCGACGAGCGACTTCTTCCGGCAGCAAGAGCGCGACTACTTTGCGCGAAAGGGCAAGGAGATCGTACCCATGCCGCATGATGATGTTGGTGTGGGCGTGGACGTGCACGACCGTGCCGTCCCGCGGTCAGAGCCTGATGAGGTGAATCCATCTGCGTTGATTGTACACCGTTGGAGCCCCAACCAAGAGCTTCGCCAAGCACGCTTCACCAGGGATGCCGGCTTGAACAAGTACGATGCTAGGATAGCGTTCGCAGGTTCGTCAAAATCGTCGACACCACATCAACCACGTATGCGGTTTCTCTTCATTCGTCGTTCAAGCAACCTCTGACTATCTATATCAGCACATCCTGTGAATACTGCCACCCGAGCGTCCGGACCGCCTGATGTCACAGACACTAAGCATTCAGCGCTCAAGAGGAGAGACCGCGGCCCCCTAGATCAAGCGGCATTAACATACAAGAAAATAATAATCCTCGAGGAACCTCCAAGAGAGCCTGCGAAGGAAGTCTCTGCATCTTCCGTGTACGAAGAGCTACGGCGGAGACAGCGCCGTCGCCGCCAACGACGCGGCCAGTGCGTACCTTTGAGCGGGCAGATCGCGGTGATTTCTTGACTACGACTATGGTAAGCGCATCTTGGCCGAGTTCTATAAAAGTTTTGGACTGCTTCATTGACGCACTGTGTTTTTAGGACTTTGACAATGTAATCTACGCGCATTTAGTTCTTGCTCATCTTGCTTGCTGTTGTGTCCCATGGACGGTTTGTGTATGCCATCATCATTATAGTTCTCCTCAATTTAATGAAAGTTCTATGTACGAGTCTCACTCCCTCAGTAGGCCTCGATTTCGGAAACAGGCAAGCTTTCAAAGAGTTGGATGGTGTCCATCCATAAAGCTGTCGCAGTGACTCAGTATCCCCGGAGCACAACGCAGGCGGTTTAACTCATCTCTTGCCCTGCCGATCACTCCCTGTTGGAGATGTGTTGCAAACCCTCTCTCCATTCGGTTCTGGAGATATGACTGCTGTGTTCGCCCGTCGTGAACCTCAGAGCAGGATGGAATCCTTCACTGGTGAGCATCTTGCTGTGCAGCTGACGGAGCTGTTCACATGCGCATGTTCTTTATGCTACTTGCCACTGTGATTTCAAGTATTGACCGGTTCAACTGTCAACCATTCGATCGCCGACTCCTCTTTGCGCTTTTGTCCCAGACGTGTTCAGCTTCAAATCCGACAGAAATTATGATACCCAGAGTAACTTTCTTCCTTATTACGCTATGCTCTTTAACTCCTCATCTATCGATGTACAGAAGAACCACATAGGGGCCTGTCGCTCATTGCTCTATGCTACAACCTGTCCGCCACAACATGACATCGAGTGAAAACTATGTCACAAACACAAGAGGGAAAAAGGCGGCATGTCAACCGAGCAGACCCTCACTGTCCTCCACCGCCGTCGATGACGCGTTGCCTGAGCCGAGCTCGTTGTACCGTGCGATACGCAGACGCTGCGATGGCGGTATGTTCTTGTCGTCCAGGCCATGCTGCGTACCACCGATCAGAACTCCAACGCGCATCATGGAGAGCCACTGCATTGTGCATTGTGAGAACGATAGCTGATATAGATACGGACGGCCCACGTACATTATGCGCAGCATTCGAATGGTCATATACACCGCCGAAGAACGCTGTTGTGGCATCCTTGCCGATGTTCTTCGCGATAAGGTGGCGACCACCAGGATGCTCCTCCACAAATGAGGAGACATCGTGGATAAAGCCACCAATGACGACAAGGGCACGTTTTCCGGATTGCTCCTGGACTGCAGGATGGATGAGTTACTGACCAATACCATACAGAGAAGGCGCGTACAGCTCTCCCAGCTGATGATCGGCAGCTCATTCACATCAGGAGCGAACACAAGTCCCTCTTGCGTCTCACGCAAGCGCTTCAGCTGCATCGTGAGCTGGCCCTTTTTCACCTCGTTGTCCGGGAACACTTTGAGGTGACTGGCCAGGCCGAGTTTCTGGCATACCCAGATGAACCACTTCGTTGGGTCATACTGGTACCATCTGATGGCGTTGCGGTAGTCCATGGGGAACTGGTGGTGGAAGTTGTGATACCCTTCGCCAATGGTCGCCAGCGCGGTAATGACATGGTCTCGGGGCGTGTGCTTGTCATCAAATGGCGTGTCACCAAGCCAGTGGGCAAGGGAGTTCACGCAGAACGTCGACTGAAATCCGAGTCAGCACCAGCCGTTTTTCGCAGCACTTCACAAGCAGCTCACGTGGTGCACGAAACAGAGACGCGCTGCTCCAGCGTAGAAGAAACCTCCAGCCCAGTCTCCCCATCCAAGACCGGCAACGAACGTCGGCACCAGGAAGCCCATTCCAATAATGAGCTGGACGTACCAGCGGTGCTGCCACCGCACAATCTCGTTCTTGCTTAGATCACTGACATCCGCGACACCAGGCTTTCGGCGCGGCTTGATGAGCATCCAGCCTATGTGCGACCACCAGAAGCCGCGGTGCGCGTTGTACGGATCGAGTTCGGTATCGGTGTAACGATGGTGCGCTCGGTGTCCGCGGCACCACCACTTGATTGACCCCTCGACTGCGCCCGAACCGGCCATCGCCAACGCGTATTGGAGCGGTCTTGACGCATTGTATGACCGGTGTGCCCAGAGCCGGTGATACCCGGCGGTAATTCCTGCGCGATCGGAGTCGGCATGTTGGTCAAAGAAATGCGCATACAACGTGTTGCTCACCAAGGCCGGTAATGAAATAGTAGATTACGCTCCAAAGCGCGGTCTCCCAGCGCAGCTTCACATGGAATGCCCCCCAGATGGCAATGGCGGGGGTGATGGTGAGGACGTACAAGCTCAGGTAGTTGAGCTCCTTGTACAAGCTACTCCAGGTGACGGGTGGGAGTGGCTTCTGGTTTTTGATTGTCCAGGCGACATAGTTATCGGGGATGTCCATGTCGATCGGCACCTCCTCCTTCAGCTGCTTGTCCATCTTGAGTGGAGGCGTGAGCGGGGGTGTCGGGTGCACCTTTGACGGCGACAACGGCCGTGTCTCTACGACGGTCGACATCGTGGGCGAAGGAGAAAGAAGGGCGAGGAGGCCTCCCATGGGCCGCAGCGAATTAATATGTGTTTCGACCAACCCCAACGGATTGATGATCACGTGCGCTATTCATGAGTGGATCAAGGATGATCGGGATCTTTGGGCTCAGAATGTCCCCACGCCTGCCTTTTCGGGACACTCATTGTGGCCTGCCTTTGCAAAGGCAGCCTTTCTAGCGACTTTCTGCCGCATGTCTCGCTATCCTCAACGTCTGTAAATAACAAGGATTAAATCCTAGCGCGAAGGGAGCCGTGCTTGACGATATCAGAAGCACAATATTGGGGGCCCAACGGAGCCAGTGGGTCCTAGCACATAGCGAGCACTCCCCAGCGTGCCACATCGAGTCAAGGGTCTACGTGTGTCAGCGCTGTCATTCGCTCGTCCTCGTCACCCCCGCCAGCTGCGTGCGCTTGATCCGGCTCGTCTTGCTGATCCAGAGCTGGTAGTGGGTTCAACGTTCCGGCCTTACATAGGTCCCCATGAACGCCATCGCACAAGCCATCTACGTAACGGCCATTTTCGCCAGCTGGCCATGTCCCTATGTATCAGATTCTGCACGTATAACTGACAAGCATCTGTAGTCGATCAAGCTGCGTCTTCGCCGCAACAGACCTCACCTGTCATGGACCTGACATTTGCTGGCTGTGCTTTGCATCTGTTGTCACACGTCAATCGTAACATCCTCGGTGGTCATTGGACGCGAACAGCTGAATTTGTGCTGTTGCCCTGCGGCACGATTCCGCCTCGCTTCTTATAAATAGCCTAGTCCTCTGCGTAAGAAGTCGTTTCAAGCTCATCCGTCCGTTCATATCCGAGTCCCGACTGCGCATCGTAGCCTCTCCTACCATTGCGTCATTTACAATGAGATCTCTTGCCTTCGAGTGGACGATTGCTGTATCGCTATATCTCCGCAGCGGGCGCCCCAGCCTCTGGGAACATCGCGTTCGGGCATCAGCTGGGGTTTGATATGACCATTAGATGTGCCGAACCGAGCACGAAATGCAGCATCGGCTGTGAGCATCTGCTACCCGAATGAATGAATTCACGATGAGAACGATCTGTCGACGTTCGACGTTCGGGCACAGCAAGGGAACAAGCGCCAAGGGCCACAGGGCCACAAATGGCAAGAGGCCCGAGATCCATATGGCAGATCTCGAAACGTCCATTGGCTTGTGTCTGCTGGTACCCCGGGGACTCCTCCCCTGGGGCCATCTCTCTGCTTGTAGTAATTAGGAGGACTAGCTTTGCGAAAGTGACATCGTTCAAAAACAGGAGCAGGATGGGTAGGAGCGGGAGTCAGTGGTATCATTTGCAATCAAGCTCCCTATAGCGAACTTTGGAGCGTATTCTCGCGCAGTCAATCTGTTCACTGCTCAGATATGCGAACGAAATCCATCAGGGCCTTGAGCATAGGGCGTCTTCGCTCCTGCGTGAAGAGAACCTCCTCGTGCCCGATGTCTCCCCGGTATATCACCTCAACGCCCTCACGCTGCCAACGAAACTGCTCCCCTTCCTCCCCGGTAAAATACCTCCTAATCTCCTTCGTGTTCAGCAGCAGATCCTTCCCCCCAAGCACTACAGTGTACTTCCTGCCGTCCAGGTCATCCTTCCAAAGCGCATTCTCCGTCAAGAAGAAGTTACGCTGGATCGCCCGCGACGTGTCCGGATCGCGACAAACAAAGTACCAGAGTAGCCACTCCGATGCGAGCCGCGGCTGGCGGTAAACAAAATTGTACGTCAAGTCAGGCATGTACGCCAGTGGCGCAATGGGGTCGATGAGTACCATAGCGGCCACTCGGTGAGACAGTGCAGGGTCTCGAAGGATGTGCGTGGTGATGACGGAGCCGTACGAGTGCGCGGCTATTACGACCTGAGATAGTCCGTGATGGTCTAGGATCTGACGTATAGCATCCATCATGGCTTGTTTCCTGAGAATGGGCTTGGTGATTCGCATGCTAATCGAGAGGTTTTCTATAGCCAGTATCCCAACGTCCGGATCTGCGGAGACGACGTCCAGCAGGAATGGTACGTAAGGTGTGAGCCCTATCTGTACTTCTCGTCAGATACACAGCACACGACTTCCGTGATAACTCACTCCAACACCGTGTAGGAACAACACCGGCAGCTTGGACTTGCTACGATGCGGACGATACCAATAACCTAGCTCTGCGTGTGGCGACTGCTTCGAAAATAGCACTGACGCTCGCGGAGGGAAGCACGATATCCTATGGTTGACCTCGTAGTGCTCGAACCCGTTCCAGAGCAACGTAAGTGACATGCAAGTGTCCACGAATGCGACATTCTATACAGCTCATGAGTACATGAACGAGTATTGAGAAGGCTGACTCTCACGAAGTACCAAAGGAATGGCCTGTGTAACACACGCACCCCGTCTAGCATGACCATCATACATTTCTGGCCCGCATTGGGCTTATCTTCAAACTTGTGGCCGACAGTAGCCTCGACGCGAGCGATGTAGTCCTCAAGCTCTTCCTTCCATTCCGGACGCAAATCCTCGCGCCTAGCGTTGAACACGTGAAGCAAGAGGACATCCACTAGCTGTTTGCGCGATATATACGGATGTGGTTTATCCAGGGTCAGGAACCAACCCTTCGCGGCCTTGGCTTTGCAGAGATACGGAAGACATTTGTTGAAGAGAATTCGGCGCTCTTCGTGGGACGGAATAGGCGGGAGGACAGCGGGCTGGCAGGTGAGTTAGCTCATCATCACTTCCCATCGCAGGAGAGACAGAGAGACATGAGTCGAGGAGAATATGTCTCAATAAATACCTTCTGTAGAAGCCTCCGTCGAGGAAGGTAGACTACAGCGTAGAAGGCGACCTCCACGAGCGCGTACCATCCGAGCCATTTAGAGTAGATCCAGTGGCCGGCATAGAAGCTAAACAGTGTATGTGCTATGCTAAGCGGAACCACCAGTTGCAGCGAGGTTATCAGCGCTCGAATGACAATGTAATCGAGATGGAACAGCATTGCTTGACGTCTATCGCTGCTCTCAGCAGAGTGAACAGGAGCTGAAAGGAGTTTTAACCTCGTGTCAGCCTGCTTCCGAGACGAGTAACAGGACTACGGTGATGCGGTAGTCACTTATGATAGGACGCCTTCCGGTAGTAGGGCCCCGAAGCCAGACGTTGCTGCTTTAACGCGTACTTCCTTCTTTTAAGAACGGCAGCCGAACGCCAAGGGGAGAAGAACGGAGCGCTGCTGCACTCATCAGACGAATAGGAACTCGTTCCACTAGGCCTCGGAAAGAGGTTTGGTACTGCTGCTAGCAATCGCCACTAGCACGCGGGCTCTCACATTGAATTTAACGCATCGGCTGCGATTATTATAGTACTGATAACCCAAATGACCGCATAAGATTCAGTCTATATGACGTACCTAAGTAGAAGCAATCGCGGCAGCGCAGTAGCTATTTTCAGATAAGAAGCATGGTTACAAAAGCGAGTTGCAGCCGATGGGATCGCACTCGTCTCCCCGTCTTTTCGTGCGCATCGCTCGAGCGGTGGATACTAGGTTCGACTAGTACTTCCTACCTTGACCTCGTCTGCATTCAGATCGGCCGTAACTTCGGAAGGATACATGCCTCGGCATCATGGGTGGCTCGCTGGAGCACAACGTGCCAAGACCTTTTTAATTGAATGTCAATCAACATCGCTAGAACACCTGACTTTGAGATCCGCTGCCCAAAGTTCATTCCGACAAACGATAGCGATGCGCATATGATCGTGCAAGACAGGAGTAACTTGATTTGTTTGGAGTAGACGCTACGTAGCGGGCAGCAGTCTGATGACAGTGAAAACCCGTCACCAGTGGCGGTGGCACGAGAAGGTATGGACATACAGAGGTTAGAGTCTTGAACCAGTCCTGTTAGCGTGCGTTTAAGCTGTCTGTTCGGTGGGCGGAGTATAAAATGTGTGGTTTGCGTGCTAACCGTTAGTACAGAGCGGAGTGTCGGGGTTTCAACAGAACCGCTAATACCGAAGCCCAGTATATGATATGGTGAGTGACCAGAGGTTTCTGGCAAATTTCTTTTTGACTTTCCCCTCCTACAACATTGTATCATTCTTTTTAACTTGACATAGGCAGTTTGGCCAGGAGGAGTCAGCCGTATTTGCGTGTTCCCTTCGTGTCACGTAAGTTACAATCAAAAGAGCTTCCGAAGAACTTTGGAGCGCATTCTGGCACATTCAATCTGTTCACTGCTCAGGTATGCGAACGAAATCCATCAGGGCCTTGAGCATAGGGCGTCTTCGCTCCTGCGTGAAGAGAACCTCCTCGTGCCCGATGTCTCCCCGGTATATCACCTCAACGCCCTCACGTTGCCATCGAAACTCCTCCCCTTCCTCTCCCGTAAAGTACCTCCTAATCTCCTTCGTATCCAGCAGAAGATCCTCCCCCCCAAGCACCACAGTGTACTTCCTGCCATCTAGGTCATCCTTCCAGAGCGCGCTCTCCGTGAAGAAGAAGTTGCGCTGAATCACCCGTGAGATGTCCGGATCGCGGCAGACAAAGTACCAGAGCATCCACTCCGATACGAGCCGCGGCTGGCGATAGACGAAATTGTACATCGGGTCGGGCATGTACGCCAAAGGTGCGACGGGGTCGATGAGTACCATAGCGGCCACTCGCGGAGAGAGTGCAGGATCTCGGAGGATGTGCGTGGTGATGACGGAGCCATACGAGTGCGCGGCTATTACGACCTGCGATAGCCGGTGATGGTCGAGGATCTGCCGTATAGCATCCATCATGGCATGCCGCTTGAGGATAGGTTCGCTGATACGCGAGCTGATGGAGAGGTTCTCTATAGCCACTATCCCGACATCCGGATCTGCGGACACGATGTCGAGAAGGAAGGGTACGTAAGGTGTGAGCCCTATCTGTACTTCTCGTTAGCCGCACAGTGCACAACTTCCGTACAAACTCACTCCAACACCGTGTAGGAACAGCACCGGCAGCTTGGACTTGCTACGGTGCGGACGGTACCAATAACCCAGCTCTGGATGTGGCGACCGATTCGAGAATAGCACCGATGCTCGCGGGGGGAAGCACGGTATCCTACGATGGACCTCGTAGTGCCCGAATCCGTTCCATAGCAATGTAAGCGACATGCAGGTATCCACGAACGCGACGTTCTATTCAGCTCATGAGCGCATAAACGAGTATTGAACAGGCTGGCTCTCACAAAGTACCAAATGAGCGGCCTGTGCAACACACGCACCTCGTCCAGCGTGGGCATCATACCTTTCTGGCCCGCATTGGACTCATCTTCAAACTTGTGGCCGACAGTAGCCTCAACGCGAGCGATGTAATCTTCTAGCTCGTCTTTCCGTCCCGCACGCAACTCCTCGCGCCTAGCATTGAACACATGAAGCAAGAGGACATCCACTAGCTGTTCTCGCGATATGTACGAGTGCGGCTTATCCAGGGTCAGGAACCATCCCTTTGCGCCCTTGGCTTTGCAGAGATACGGGAGACATTTGTTGAAGAGAATTCGGCGCTCTTCGTGGGACGGAGTAGGCGGGAGCACAGCGGGCTGTCAGATGATTTAGCTCATCGTCACTTCCAAATCGCAAGAGACAGGAGTCGAGATGGATAGATCTCTAAGATAAATACCTTCTGCAGCATCCTCCGTCGAGGGAGATAGACCAGGGCGTAGAAAGCGACCTCCACGAGCGCGTACCATCCGAGCCATTTAGAGTAGATCCAGTGGCCGGAATAGTAGCTCAACAGCGTGTATGCTATGCTAAGCGGAATTACCAGCCGCAGCGAGGTTATCAGCGCTCGAATGACAATGTAATCGACTTGGAACAGCATTGAATGTGCTTGCTTGATGTCTATCGCTGCTCTCAGCACACACACACACACACAGTGAACAGGAGATGTAAGGAGCTTTTACCTCGTGTGAGCCGGCCTTCCGAGACGAGTAACAGGACTACGGTGATGCGGTAGTCACTTATGGTAGGACGCCTTCCGGTAGTAGTAGGGCGAAGCCGGACGTCGCCACTTGAAGTCGTACTTCCTCCTTATAAGAACGGCAGCTGAACGCCAAGGGGTGAGAAGAATGGAGCGCGGCTGCACTCATCGGACGAATAGGAGCTCGTTCCACTGGGCCTCAGAAAGAAAGAGGTTTGGGCTGCTGCTAGCGATCTCCACTAGCACGCGGACGCTGGCAAATTTACGCATCGGCTGCGATTATTATAGCATTGATAACCGAATGACCGCATAGGATTGAGTCTATATGACGTACCTGACTGCAAGCAATCGCGCCAGCGCAGTAGATATTGAAACAAAGGGATGCAAAGAAACATGGTTACAGACGCGAGTCGCAGCCGATGGGATCGCACTCGTCTCCCCGTTTCTTTTTCGCGCGTATCATTCGAGCGGTGGATACTAAGTTCGACTAGTACTCCCTCCCTCAGCCTCGTCCTCATCCAGATTGGCCGTTCCTTCGGAAGAATACACGCCTTGGCATTATGGGTGGCTCGCTGGAGCACAACGTGAGATCTTTTAATTGAACGTCAATCAATACCGCCAGAACATCTAATTTGAGATCCGCTGCCCAAAGTTCAACACGAGGGACGATGGTGATGAGCATATGACCGTGCAAGACCGGAGTAACATTTGAAGTATATGCCGCGAGCAGCAGTCTGATGACAGTAAAAACGACGCTCAGTCACCAGTGGCGGTGGTGGCACGAGAAGGTATGGACCTACGGGGTTAGACTGTTGATCCAGTGCTGTTAGCGTGCGTTTAAGCTCTCCGTTCGGAAGTGGCCGGAGTATAAAATGTTGGCTTGTTGATACATATCTGTAGCGGAGTGTCGGGGATTCAACAGAAACCGCTGATGCCGAAGCCCAGTAAGTGACTCAAGATCCCTGGCAGATCCCGGAAACATATACACTGCAAAGAAAGTACAGATTCCTCCTGCGAGAAGGATGCGTAAATTTGTGGATTCCCTTTAGATTCCCTTTGACTTCCCCTTCTACGACATTGTATCATTCTTTTTAGCTTAATATAGGCAGTTTAGCACAAATTAACTCCCAAAAGACTCGAAATGGGCCTTTTCTAAGCCTTTCTTCAAAATTACTCACTTGATGGGAAAGACTCAATTACTCAATTCAATTCTACTGCCTTTCCTGCGACGAGAATTGGTGCCTTTTTGCTGTGACATTGCCACAGTTACTTCTTCTAGTCTCATATCATTCCTCTTTATTTACACCCTGAAAGATCCTGCCTATTAGTGAAGAGGAATGCGTACGAGACCACTTTCTTCCAAGTGTTGAGATCGTGGGAGCGGCCTTCCAAACGTGGAGCGAAACGTTGGACGTTTACCCACACGCAAACTTTCGCATTGGACAAGACTCTCGACTGACCTCGCTTCGTGCGCATTCGACGGAGGTGGACCGTCTTCTCTATTTGCCTGTTGGCAAGCGTCTGATCTCGAAGAGACGAGTATCAATTCCGGTTAGCATATATGCATTGGAAGTATCCTGTCGTATCTCCTCTTTGTCTTACGTTGACGAGCTTGTCCACGCTGTAGTACGAGTACCCATGATGCGGCTTTCTTTCCGCGCCGCTGTCTCCGTACGGACTATGGTGTCACAAAGCTCGTCCACCGTTCAACAAGGCACCATCTTCGAGAATCGTTCGCTTGCTCTGGCTGAAGAGCACTTATCCATGAGTCTCAAACGCGTTGGAGGGAGCAACGACGGAGGGATCGACCTTCTCGGCTGGTGGTGGCTACCGTCGACGTCCGACGGATCCGCTCAATCTCGTGCGTTGTCCGAACGGAAGCGATACCGCATCGTCGCGCAATGCAAAGATGAAAAGATAAAGATGGGGCCCAAATATCTCCGCGAGCTCGAGGGAGTGCTCTACCGCTACCTCGCCGTCTCGCGAAAGGGCCAAGCGCAAGTGCCATCTCCAGACGTGCTGACGGTCGATGAAGACGAGGCAAAATCATTCAGCAACTCGTGGACGTTCGCGTCAGACCCAGTCGTCGGAGTACTCATCTCGTCCTCGCCGTTCACGAAGGCCACTTTGCTCCGAGCAAATTCGTCGCCGCTTCCACTGGTGCTCTTGCACATTCCGCGTGAGTTCTCCTATGATCCTGCCCCGCAGGAGCTCGCATCCTCAGACGAAGAGACTGAACCCCGCGGAGAGGAAGGTCAGGATGCAAACGAAGGTGAAAATGCGGCCACGCCAGGATCGGAGGACCCTCAGGGTACACTTGGTGCGCTCGTGTTCAACCCAGCGCTTGCGAGCAGCTCGGGCCTCCTCCGCGGCCAGATCCAACCCCGCTGGGAACACCCGTTGAACCCATCAGCTATGCATAGTTCCCGCCCGGGTCTGTGGTTCAATGGACAGCGAGTGCTCAAGTGGACGCCGCCGGCGTGAAAGTGCCTCGTGACAGTGCCCGGCTACCCCGAGCAGCCTGGCGTGAGGTTAGTTAGGGTCGGCGTGGCGCACGGATGGTATGCCTTTGGACGAGGCCCCGTCTCATCGAGCGCATTGTTCCATGCTATGAGCATCGCTCAGGATGCGCAAGATGGATCATTTCCGATCTTATATTGGCTGGAAACGGTGACTAGGCCTGCTTTGGCCATGCCTTCCCATGCCACCGCCGCTGGTCAGGGTTGTCTACGTCCCCTTGACCCTCATCAAGACAACCGCCCGGAGGGTCTCTTTCAAACATCCAGCTATGCCGGCCTTGTACACTCATGCACATCGCTATCGTTCGTGATGGGCTTTAAGCAAGGGATCTCATGTCAGGTGTTCTTAGCGATATCGATTTACATAAGAAGTCTCATATCGTGCTGCAGCTATTTATATTAATGGTCTTCCTTTCTGTGACGCCCCTGGTTGTGCACACGAGGCTGAGATAGGAAGTCTGCGAGGCGCAACCAATGCAAATGCATGGGTAACGCGGGGAGACGAGTGCGATCTCGTCATCTGTAACTCTCGTTAGCAATCATGGTTCTTCGTGTCCGCTTTGCCCCTTTGATCGCTCGTAGCTTACATAGGTGCTCACTGAGTGTATACGGCCAATCGGTTGTAGCTGCACCCGACCGTATACGTGTGAATATGGAGTGGGAGGACACACGATTGTCCCGCGTGCTAGCGGCAGTAGGACCCCCAATATTCCTTTCAGGCCCAATGGAATGATCGCCTATCCTTCTGATCAAAAGGTGCCGCTGTGTTTCTTCTTCTCGCCCTGCGTGGTGTCCGTAATGATGTTCGGCCCCTGGCCCTATCGGAGGCGTCCTGCCGCCAGTGACTGCCGCCGTATCACCGTCCTTCGAACATCCTCAACAGGCCATCGGTCAGACAGCCAGGTACGAGTTGCTTATAACTCCTATAAAATACGTTTATCAAGAGCAGTGAAGACATTATGGAAGCACAATCGTGGCTCCAGGTCGATTACATCGTCGTCCAAGCTCTGCTGGCCTCCCTACGACTGGTGACACCGCTGAGCATGGCATACATGCTGCTGAGCTGCTTCACCGGCCACTGGATCTACTCCAAATGGCTCGGGTGGTACGCACTCGCCGAGGTCGCTTTCTACGCCCTAGTCTACCTTCCTCGACGGAAGATGCTACAAAAGGTATCTCTCGTGAAGACATATTCGTCTCGGCTCACCTCCGTCTCCTGCGACTTGTAAGTGATAATGAGCTAACTCACCTGCCAGCCCGCTATCCTCCCGCCTACTCCATCCCGCGAAGAGCGCCGAGCTCTCTTTAACAAATGTCTTCCGTACCTCTGCAAAGCCAAGGGTGCGAAGGGATGGTTCGTGACTCTGGACAAGCCGCACTCGTACATATCGCGGGAACAGCTAGTGGACGTTCTCCTTCTCCATGTGTTCAATTCCCGACGGTCGGACCTACAGCCAGAATGGAAAGACGAGCTCGAAGAGTACGTAACCCGAGTCGAGGCTACTGTCGGCCACTGGTTTGAGGACAAGTCCGTTGCGGGTCGCAAGGGCATGATGCTCACGCTTGACAGAGTATCTATGGTTCATAGACCGCTTATTTTGTATATTGTGAGTGCCTCGAGTGTTCCTTGTGGTCATGCAAGCGCTTATCAGTAGCGTAGAACGTGGCATTGGTGGACACATGCATGTCGCTCGTATTGCTCTGGAACGGGTTCCGGCACTACGAGGCCCACAGTATGGTACCATGCTTTCCTCCGCGAGCGTCAGTGCTATTCTCGAACCGGTCGCCGCATCCAGAGCTGGGTTATTGGTACCGGCCGCACCGTAGCAAGTCCAAGCTGCCGGTGCTGTTCCTACATGGCGTAGGGGTGAGTATGTATGAGATCTGTGTATTACGCAGCTGATGAGAGACATAGATAGGACTCACACCTTACGTACCATTCCTGCTCGACATCATCTCCGCAGATCCGGACGTCGGGATATTGGCTATCGAGAACCTCTCGATCAGCATGCGAATCACCAAGCCCATTCTCATGCGGCATGCCATGATGGATGCTATACGGCAGATTCTCGACCGTCACGGACTATCGCAGGTCGTGATAGCCGCACACTCGTACGGCTCCGTCATCACCACCCACATCCTTCGAGATCCTGCACTCTCTCCGCGAGTGGCCGCCATGGTGCTTATCGACCCCATCGCGCCGCTAGCGTATATGCCCGACCTGACGTGCAATTTCGTCTACCTCCAGCCGCGGCTCGCACCGGAGTGGCTCCTCTGGTACTTTGTCTGCCGCGATCCGGATACGTCGCGGGTGATTGCGCGTAACATGTTCCTCACGGAGAATGCGCTTTGGAAGGACGACCTGGATGGCAAGAAGTGTACTGTGGTGCTTGCGGGGCAGGATTTGATGCTGGACACGAAGGAGATCAGGAGGTACTTTACGGGAGAGGAAGGGGAGGAGTTTCGATGGCAGCGAGAGGGAATTGAGGTGATATATCGGAAAGACATCGGTCATGAAGAGGTTCTGTTCACGAAGGAGCGAAGAGGCCCTGTGCTCGAGGCTCTGATGGAGCTCGTGCGCGTACACCAATGGGCGCATTGAACGTGCGAGGATCAAAAGGCTATCATAGATTTCTAGACCGCAGTGCATACTATACATGCGTTGTTGATCGTGAGGCCACGTTGCCTAACTTGATGCGCAATGCTTCATCAACCGTGCTTGAGTCAGCTACAGCCTCATACCGTCTCCCACCAGTGCACAACGTATGAATGGAGATTAAGAACGATGCGGTCAGTGCAGTTCTTGGTTAACCATCGGACAAATTCGGATCCGCCTCTAGTGCTCTTCACAATGGCGTGCCACCGGTCAGTACATCATTCAGGCCACTCTCGGCTGCTGTTCGGTTAATAGCATGCATTACTCGACATCGAATCATGGTATCGTGGTCGATTGGTATCCGAGGAGCATCGATGCATCATGATGGAGCGAGATTTATGTTTGCTCACAAAGCTCTATTAGGGCACGAAAATTGACGGTGGCGGATCAGGAGAGGAGCCGAAGGAAACACCGCTAGCGCTGCTTGCGGCCGTCTACCGGTGGGGAAGCGAAATGCTGTTGCAACCACGATCTTCCGCATGACTCCTGCACTTCTCAGTCGAACGTTATCTCGCTTCGCTCTTCGTGCTATACGTCCACCATGAACTCCGACTCGAAGGAGAAGCTGGACGCCGTCTTCGACACCGAGAAGGACGCTGGCTCGGTAGTAGAGAAGGAGGCATGCGATCTGCAGCTCCGCAATCGCTGGACGCGGAAGCTTCTGAGCTGGGGTGTGGAGGAGAGAGGTGCGTCGTATCCTTGCGTCCAGCGCTACACATCTGCTCATGCTGCCGTGATGATCAAGGCATCCTGCCCGTCCCACTTGAAGATCGCACCGACACGCAATACAGCAAAGTCTTCTTCATATGGCTGTCGGCAAATTTCAATATCTTATCGTAAGTGCGAATTCTCTGCTCTGCGACGGCTGAACCGACCTGTTCCAGGTTCTCCGCCGGCACGCTAGGTCCTCTGCTTTACGGCCTGAGTCTGCGAGAATCATGCCTCGTGATCCTCTTCTTCAACCTGCTATGCAACATACCACCGGCTTATCTGTATGTATCCGAGTTCTATTCCGCCGATCTTCTGATTGATGGATCTCCGTGCAGATCAACGTGGGGACCAAAACTTGGGCTGCGCCAGCTGTGCCAAGCACGCTACAGCTTTGGGTGAGTGTTCTCCCGTGATTGCGGGAGAACGAATGCTGAGCGTGTCACCTTCGCAGCTACTTCGGGGTCATCATTATGAGTTGCTTTAACATGGCGACAGGCCTCGGTTACTGTATTCTCAACTCTATACTCGGAGGTCAAACGTTGTCCAGCATCACGAATGGAAGCCTCTCATGGAGGTCAGGCTTGATCACTGCTCTGTAGCATGCTCACTGACGCGACATGGCGAGCAGCGTCGGAATTGTTATAATAGCAGTAGTATCGCTGCTTGTAAGTTGCAGATTATATCGCGTAGGTCCGTGCTAATTGCTCCAGTAGATCTCATTCGGCGGTTATAAATTGCTAGCATGGTAGGTCCTCCTTGCTTTGACCCGGTCACTACCTGACCGCCCGGCAGGTACGAACGGTTAGCGTGGATACCCGTCTTGGTGTCATATGTCGTTGCTCTTGGACTCGGTGGCAAGCACCTCAGCAATCCTGCTCCTGCAGAGCCTGCGACGGCATCCACTGTCCTCAGCTTTGCGTCCATCATCGCAGGTTTCGTCATTACCTACGCGCCAATATGTTCTGACTACACTATTTATTATACCCCTGACGTTGCGAGGTGAGCTGCTCGAGCCTCTACATGTATCGCTGGCTGACATCACTTTACTACTGGCAGTTGGAAGATTTTTATCTCCGCCTATCTCGGATTCAACGTGCCCGTTGTAATGCTTGTTGCTTCATGGTGTTGCGGACTTCGCTAACGACGTCCACCAGATTACCATCCAGTGTTTTGGCGCGGCAGTGGCCGTGGCTTTGCCATATGTTCCAGCATGGAACGATGGATACAACAACGGAAACGTCGGCGGCCTCCTCGAGGCGATGCTGCGCCCTGCAGGCAACTTTGGGAAATTCCTCACAGTTCTTCTCGCGCTCAGTGTCACCGCCAATCTTGCGCCGACGTTTTACTCTTTCTGCATGTCTTTCCAAGTGTTCATACCTCCTGCAGCTGCTGTGCCGCGATACATGTTCTCGCTGCTCGCGGTCGCCATGTGCGTGTGCCCTGTCGCCGATTTGTCATAATTTTTTTCGCTAAACGTGATCTGCTACAGCGTCATACCACTGTCTATTGCCGGCCAACACAAGTTCTATGACACACTGAGCAATTTTCTCGGAATCATCGGATACTGGGCGAGCGCCTTCTGCGCCGTTGTGCTGATTGAGCACTTTGTCATCCGCCGAAGCGACTTCTCTTCTTATAACCTCCGGTACTGGGATGATTACCGCCGCCTGCCGCCGGGTTTCGCGGCGGTGTGTGCATGTCTGCTTTCTGTTGGGCTGATCGTGCCGTCGATGGACCAAGTCTGGTTCGTTGGGCCGATCGCGCAGAGGACGGGGGACATCGGGTTCGAGATGGCGTTTACGGTGACGGGGTTGTGCTATGTGCCGCTGCGGTACTTGGAGCTGAGGTTCCGCAAGATGGTATGAGGTTACGTAAATGTATTGGGCAGGGTACGGAGCTTGTGAAAAAAAACCTGTCATCATTATGCCGAGTAGAACCAACGACAGACATCGTGACCTGGTGCGCAGTGGATTTGTATGTGCAAAAACTCTGCATCTGTCACCTGTCCTGACCGAGCAGCGGCCGCACGAATATCGTCAGCGGCAACGATGTCCTGGAGCTCTCAAGCCCTCCTTACAATTGTCAGGTGGGCGCGATTATGGTCGGTATATTAGCGCGCACCTTTCCCCGGAAATGAAAAGAGACGAGTATGCTGTGCTATCCAGTGTAAGAGGTCCCATGGGGGAGAGGTAAGTCCGATGAATGACGGAAAAATATGGACGACGACTTCGTAGACGCGTGCTTTGCGCTCGTGCTGATGAATCACACTGGATTGGTGCTGCATTCTTAGAATGCACTGCTGCTATTCAGTCTTTCACCGATGAGCAATTGCTTATTGATAGCAGACATTGATCGGTCCTGCACCTTCAGCATCGGTCACTGATTGATAACTCACAAAGAGATGTCCGCAACTCTTGCACGTAGCAGTGTACAATCTGCGGCCCAGCATTCGATAAGTCAAAGTCATTGCCAACGTTGGGCTTGGCGTCAGGATAATATTCAGGGTTTGGTCGAGAGTGTGATCCACTGCATAAACTCGATTTACATGCTAGACTAGCCGTATGTTCAGACATTACAACACAAGCATTTGTACCCTCTTCTCACAGGCTAGAACTTTACATGCATATGTTGAAGTCAGGCATGTCAAGAGTCAAGACTTGATCTGCAAACCGTTCGATGGTGGCTGAGAGTAATAATTAGCTATTAAATAATCCTCAAGATATGCATCCCGTATATCTGTCGCAGAGTGATTGAACTCGGGGAGAGAGAGACGCAACTTTGAGCCTTACGCAACTCCATACACGGCAGACATGATGCGATTTATCAGTGCGAAAAATGGTGTGGGAATGTCGGCTGATGTTTTACATTTGTGGCAAAGGTTTGCCAATGTAGCATTTAAATGGCAAATAGTGCACATTCGCAGCCAAAGTGAAACATTTTCGACATGAAGTGCCGTGGTTGCAAATATTTGTCGCATGTGTAAGAAATCAGTCGACATTTACACACAATTTTCTACGTTGATAAATCGCACCATGTCTGCCGTGATAAGAGAATATCAATACGCGGTCACGTGCGAGACTGAAGCGAGTTTGATGTCCGTCGGTTAGGCGCCTCGTCAGCTTGCTCTCTTTTGCCAGCTCATTCTCTCGTTCCTCACTCATGCTGGACGCTGATGCTCTTATCGGTTTGATTTGCCACACTCTTGGCTGCAGTATTGTATCATCATCAGATTTCTCAATCTAGGCTGGCCTCAGGCTCCCTTTGGCTGGTGCCGCCCATCATGATGCGACTCCCCATCTCTGATTTATTGAAGCAGTCGACTGCTCCGTGTTGGGACTGGAGCAGACAGCTATCTATTTGTGGCCTCGAAGGATGCCTAGACAGTCTCCGGGTTTCACTGTTTGTAGGAGCTTCGACCGAGCGACTCAATTGTGCTGCCTACGGCGTTAGGTCGTGAAGCTGGATCTTCCATCTATTTAGCCTCACGTATCGTTCATCCGTAGCAAGAGATTTCCATCTTAGGGGCATCCGCCGAATCAACTCCCGCGTATCCCCAATGGCAACGAGGGTACCTGGTGGAAAGGGTAAACACTTCGTGGGAGCTGCCCGGTAGCTCAATTGGGATGATGGTAGTTGCTCACGCTGGTCCTCACCTCGAGCCTTCGTGTTTTCTCAACGTAAGTGATTCCCGATCAACTCGGTCGGTTGAGCCGAATGGCTCGGCGAAGAAGGCGTGGACTTTTTACGAAGGAGTTTCTTCGACGTATATGAAAGCTATTGGGGCCGGAACTTGTCATCCAGCGGAATGACGCTACAGAATAATACATGTGCGTACTCTTCGCGAACACCCCCGCGGACGGGTTGTGCAACAGGAGCTAGGCTGTCGTCATCGTCATACGGTGCCAGTCGTCAGGCGATCCGCGCATGAACCCTCTCGATGGAGTGCTCAACCGAATGCTTCGGGCTGTATCTCACGAATCGCAAGGAGTTGCAGAACGGTCTCACACTGCAACAGTCAACATCTGAAAATAGTGAAGCGATCTTCACCGACAGATGCAGTATTGTCAGTGGCCCCTTTTAGACCACGGACGGGACGTGCAGGTAATCCTAAGTTTAAGCGGATTGGCTATCAGTTGACGGGTTTGCAGGGCTGATAAATCTGCAACATCTGGGTGATTGCCCGTCGCGATCATCCCGATCGCTACGCATAACGCCGGAGCTGGATCTCCTTGGGATCCACCGATCCCTGGACCCGGATGATGCGATTGAATGGCGCCATGGCTCAGCTCAATTCACATTGGTGAATAGTAATGGTATCACAGCGGTGGCGTTCCACTGAAGATGGCTGCGTTAGCGAGCACACCTAGCTGTCGATAATCGTGCCGGAAGCGGCGACACACGGATCTCAACGTACGTGTATTGCATGGGCGGTTTAGTAAGGGTGGGTTCTTGAGCTTTGCCTCCGCGCGTGATCCTCGGAGCGGACTACTGAGAGATACTGAGAGATGGCGATCATGCGGTATCCCTCAAGCCCCTTATGGCGTCTGAAGGATGGTGGGCTCGCATTTGTGATGTCAATCTTCTACTCACGGCGATGCTATCAATAGAGCAGGGAGTCATTCATCAGCAGCGGTGGCCCAAAGGAGGAAATTTACCTCCGCTCTCGCAAACAAGCAGGCTGTTCCAAATCACAATCTGCGATGACGCTCTGAATCGCTCCACCTTGGCAGGTCGGTGACCGAAGGTCTCGGGCAGTGTACCCGAGTCTCTCGGACAGCACGGTGGGATGAGATGGTTCCAAAGGAAGTGAGTACTTCGTTGCAGTTTTCAGCTGGCGGCAGACGTTCACCCTGAAGTGTCACTATTTTTCACGATGTCCGTCAACCGCTGATCGCAGTCGAACGTCGAGAAGTTTACTTTCTACACCGAGATCGCCCGCAGTACCCACGAGGCACCGATAGCGAGGCTGCACTGCAGCGGAGAATTGGTGCTTTCTTTATGTAAGGCTGACACTGAATCGACGATTGTCCATTGGAGTGGCACGGTGGCGATGACCTCTTATACATAGCACGAAGCAACATGGAATGTCGAAATGAGCACCATTCCGGTTCGCATCATTCACATTCACCATCAAAAGTCAAGCGCCTTTGTATTCTTTGATAGAACTTGATCGTGCCCACCTTCGTGGGCCTAGAACCCAAACACACATCAAAGAATACGCGAAACGTCCATCTGCACGGTGCACTCATGCGTTGCATGAAATTGATAAATCAACCGGCTCTCTTCAGAAGGAGCAATCAAGTTGGCTTGGCTGCAGGTCATTGGTGGCCGCCCTAGAAAGTCAGATGAGATGTTTGGCTCCTGATGAGGTTTGGTGCAGGAGACTTAGTAGCGCGGAGCCTCGGGCAACACGAGGGGATAGCCGAGGAGTTGCTGTTAGCGCCTCAGCGCTACATTCGCGGCCCATATGGGGCCGCACCACGGCAGCATGCCATGTACAAGCCGCCGTGCTCATACAAAGGTACGCTATTTCCCTTATGCTTGCACCAGCACTGTGTCGATGACAATTGCAGGTTGCAATCTATAATGATGTCGGGATTTGCATGCAGATTCCCATCATCGGGATCCTGAGCGCTCGCGGGTTACACGGGCTTTCCCATTACGGTTGATCCAGGCTTGTTGCCGAAACCGATCCGTCCTGTCCATCGAAGATGAGGGTCCATACTATTGCGAATTCAGATAGCTACTGTCAGAAACAAGTTCGATTTCCGCAGAACTCGCGTGATAGAAGCCACCCGCACCGAACACTTTATATATTGGCTTCTCCGGCAGCCCTTCCCCATCATCGATTTGACTCCATCCCCCCCTCTCCTCCGCAATATGTCGATTCACTCATTTCCTGACACTGTGGATGTCCTGATCATTGGAGGTGGTCCTACCTCGCTCATCACGACGTCCGTTCTCCTTAAGAACGGCGTCAAGGTACTCGCAGTCGGTGAGTTCCGTGTGCTTTCATTGAGAGTCAGTCATTGATCCCAGCACAGAACAATATGACCGAGCTCAACAGGCTCTCTACGGTCGAGCATGCGTACTTTACTCTCGATCACTTGAGCTCCTCGACATGAATGGTCTGTACGAGACCATAGCTGACACAGGCTTCATCACGAGGTAGGTGCGATCGCAACCTTATATTCCGTCACTCACAAGCTTTTCCACAGGAGTGCAGTAACAGTCAAGGAAGGACAAGTCGTGCCAATGAGGGGCTGGCATTTCGTCCAGGAGGAGATAGATGGAAACACGTTCTTCGACTTCTGGTTCGTTGCGAGTTTTCCTATATGGATCTGAAGGAACATCAGCATGCTGACATGGTTGCTAGCCTGAACATTCGTCAAAAATATGTCGAGGATGGCGTCGGCGGAGCTGTCAAAGCTCTTGATCCAAATGCGTTCCGATCCCCTGTGAAACTGATCGATTACGTTCTCGACAAGTCATCTGACTATCCCGTGACCGCGACACTGGAATTGAAAGATGGCGAGCGTGTTCAAGTCCGCAGGTCAGTAGCTTTCTATGTTATCGCGTTGCGTCTGGACTGCTTAACCTCAGCGGTTTTATTACACAGCAAGTGGCTCGTAGGAGCCGATGGAGGGCGATCGACTATCCGATCTTTGAGCAACATTGCCTTCCCTGGTATACAGTCGCCTCATAAATGGGTGCGTCTTGACGCTATTGTCAAGACCGACTTACCGGGCGCCAGGAGGACCGCTGTCGCGATTGAAAACAAGGTTTACGGCAATGTTCTGTGGCTACCGGTCGACAACGGACGCACGCGGATCGGTTTTGTCATCAATGACGAGATCTATGGCACAGACGGCAAAGGAGTGACAGCCGAGATTATCATGGAGGAAGCAAAGAAGGCGTTAGCGCCGAACAAGCTCGAGTTTGTTCAGTTGGATTGGTGGACAGTGTACGCGATTGGCCAGAGAGTCGCGGAGACATACAGGAAGGGCCCTGTGATTCTGGCTGGAGATGCGGCGCACACGCACTCGTCTGGAGCGGCGCAGGTATGTGAACATTCTCAAGCTGATATGAACTACTCCCATGCTCCTGCTTCGCGTTGTGATTTTTATCGACTCCGAGACTGCCAGATCCATCAGATTAGCTGATGTTTTTGCGCGTCTTCCTAGGGCATGAACACCGGTATTCACGATGCTACTAACTTGGCGTGGAAACTGTCAGGCGTCGTGAACGGGTGGTACAAGGAGGAGGTCCTTGACACGTACGAAGCGGAACGTCGCGCGTCGGCACAACATCTCATCGAGCTGGACCGAGATGTGTCTTCCCTGATTTCAGGCAAGATCCCAGATCACTTCCATGCCCCTCCAGATGCGGACTTCAATGATTATCTGGATCTTGTGTTCCGGGAAAGCGCAGGGTTCACCGTCGGATTGGGCATCTCCTATCCGGAGAACTTGCTCAATCTGGCTAGCCCGTCCAACAAGCCTTATTCGAGTGTCACCGTGGGACACCGTGCCCCGGATGCACCAGTGTTCCGCCCCGGCCACGGATTACCTCAGCGACTGCAGGAGCTCGCTGCTTCCTCCAGTCGCCGGTTCACCCTCCTCATTTTCGCGGGCAAGACGCATCCAGTCGACAGCGGTGCACGATTGGACGAGGCAAGCGCAGAGAAATACCGCAAGCTCCGCGAGTACATCGATTCTGTAGAATCCTTCACCCGAAACCTCGCGGATGTCTTCCAGAGCTTGACGATCTTGCGCGGGGAGGGCGCGCTGCAACCTGCAGAGACCCTTGGCGTATCACCCCTCGGGAAGGTTGTCTACGACCAGACAGGCGAAGCGTACAGCAGGTACGGCGTAGATCCCGCCGAGGGCGCCATCGTGGTCCTTCGTCCGGATGAGATCGTTGGTTTCGTTGCGCCTGTGACAGGTTGGGACGGCCTTGCGCAGTATTTCGGTCGCTTTGTGCAGTCTGTCAACAGACGAGCGGAAACTGCGCAGCAGGAGTTCAAGCATGCCGTCGGGGAGCTCTCCGTGGAGGGACAGGAGGAATCTACGAAGCATTCGTCGCTTTGATGGGTGCCTGGTCTTTGAGAATACCGTTGATGATGATAATATCGCGAATGTATGTCGTTATGCAAAGCAGGCGGAATGTATACATATAATGTTGATACGTACTATGAGGTTAAGGGATTTTACCTGCCTGGCAAATATCCTTCAATACTGCGAACATTGTGTAAAACTGCCGAATCGCCTTCGTAGCATTCCGAAGTGATGCAAAGAAGAACGCTCCCCACGTTTGTGCACATCATTTTGCGAGCACGGCATTGTGCAATCCGGAGCGTGTGCCATAAAAGCATATCAGACTCTAAGAGACTATACTGCTGCATTCATGCACTTCGAATGTTCGCAATGAGCCCACAGCTGAGACCTGAAGCTTGAAGCTTTGAAGGAGAATACGGTGGCATCTTGGGTGGCATGAGCCACAACGCGATCACATGATCGCATTGTGGACGCGACCCAGTGGCTCAGGCGTTAGCGCCCAGCCTCATGCCACATTCGATGCTGCGCCACAGTGGCCCAATCCCACCTTGTTGTTTCCCTCCCCAACCTCGGCCACTTCCTTTGTCTCTTACAAAACCTACATCTCATTTAGATGAGCACACATCCAAGTCCACGCAGTCGCAGGACTGCTCAAAGGCATGCAATTCGCGACACTAGGATACCTTATCCTTTGGGTGCCAAATTCCCACTTTCGGATATCCAGCTGGATCGGCAGATCGCCCTTCGTGAACTTCTTTGGCATGGACGACCGAGTCGACAGGAGCGCGTATTGCTTCCAAAGAAGCGCAAGCGGACGCCAGAGCTCGCGAGGGATCTCCCTGAGATGATGGACTGGCATGTTACGTACAGGCGGAAAGTGAGTGCTATACTAGATCACCATCACAGCACCGGTCTGAGCGCGTGGTACCCTAAGATCTCCCACAATATCCCTCTACTCCAGTTAAGGATCAAGCGCCACGAGCGGCGCCACGACGTATTCGGGGGGCACTGCTGTATGCCGGCTTCCATTCGCGAGGCTGTTGCTCCTTCAAAACGATCGCACCTGAAGCACGCGGCCAGCATCATCACTATCAAGAAGGAAGGCCGTGGTACTGCGAGAAGTCGGCACTGTGTACGGCGTGCCCCGTACGACGTCCAGTGGCGTGCCACAATATACAGCCGAAGTGGTCTCGAGGCCAGCTGCACCGCTCCTGGGACGGAATGTATCATCACAGGATATAGTAGACCACGAAATCTTGCTTTCTCGAAACAAAACGACATCAGCGATGTATCCCCGTCCACCTTTGCAACTTACGTGCCTGCTACAATGCATGAGACGGCTCTTGTGGATGTGAGTCTCTAACAGTGTGGCCACATCGCATTACCCTTGTATTGACGTGCTTGACAGGAAGTTACGATGTCGCCAACGAAACAGTACACACATGACGGCCAAGACATGCTAGACATTACCATGCCTCAGCGGGATCCACAAATTGTCGCGACCGCAGCCGCAGACGCCATCCAAGGTTCTGCAAACCTATCCACGAGCTCATCCAATCAGGTTTTCTGGAGCATCGAAGAACCTGTAAGCCAGGAGGTCGGCATGTTGGAAGAGGTGAACGGTTCCATTACAATGCTATTTGTCGCGTGGTGTTCATAGACGATGCCTCACAGGGTCCACACATTGTCGCGACCGCTGCCGCAGACGCTATCCAAGGTTCTGCAAACCTACCCACAAGCTCATCCAATCAGATTTCCTGGTGCGTTGAAGAACCTGTAAGCCACGAAGTCGGCATGTCGGAAGAGGTGAGCTATTGCAATGCTGTCTGTCAAGTGGTGTTCATAGATGGACGCTCCAGGTTGAACAGAATCAGACTACAATCACATCTACATCTCCCGCTCCCCAACACCTGCTCGACATACCTGTGGTCAGCATGCATGATCATGCTGATCCACGACCGACAGTATCACACAACCTACCCACCATCGCTGCTGCTGTCCCACAGACAACACAAATGATAGGCGACCCGGTCACGGAAGTTTTGGACCATGGCAGCGCAATGGTCCAGTTGCAACTTCAGGCGCAGGCCACTGTCAGCGATGAGCACACCGGGAATATCAATGTATCGTATGAAACCGCTATGGCGTCGACGTTACCACTGCCAGCAGAGATTGTGCAAGACATCGGCAGGGACGAGGTCAACGCACGATCTTGTCTCGGCAGTGAAATGGGAACAACGAGCGACCATGGAGACCGAGCAGTTATCGCGGATGTTAGGCAGGAACCTGAAGCGCATGAGATCGTTGATCGAGTACATAGTACCTCCGAGGTCAACCTGTCTCGCACAGAGGCAACGGAAAACGTTGCACCGAATGAGATGAACGACCAGTCGGCAAGATCCCACGATCGGAGCGAAGAGATACGCGAAGACGAGACCGAGGAGGCAGAGAACAGCAACAATGGCAACTCATCCAGCCTGCATGAGGACGATAGCTCAGCGACAAGTCCCAGCGAACTTGACCCATCAATGTTTGAAGATGACGAAGAAGTGGTGAGAACCGTTAGAAATGATCGATCTCGACGAAACCACTGACCATTTCGTCAGGTCATAATACCGAGGTTCGACCGATCCCCCGCACCGAGTCCCGAAATGCACACGATGCAACTGCCTCCGGTTGATGACGGGCTGCCTGACTTTGAGGAGTACGAGGAGGATGGCTACGACCACGGCTACATTGCATCCTATCAGACTGCTCCTGAAGCGGTCGTGGAGGAATTCTTGAACGCTCTCGGCCTCGAACCGACCTTGGCTCACCCTGATGCACAAGTTGATGACGATTTCGACAATGGAGTCAACTCGCTGGAGCAGTCGAATGAAACCGTTCAGAGTCCTCTGAATGATCTCTCCGCGCTCAACGAGGCTCTCAGTGAGATGGCTAGTCCACCTATGGAGTCGGCGAAGGGAAAGGGGAAGGCAAGAACAGACGCTCAGCAGGACTGGGATGATGATCGGGAACCGCCTGAGTTTGTGGAAGGCAGTTCAACTGGAAAGAAGACTGTGGCTGATGACGGAGAGCCGGACCACGGCGGAGCAGGCCAGGTGCGAGAAGAAGTAGAGCAGGAAGACGACGATCAAGGCGAAGGCGACGAGGGTCATTTGTACGAGCACGCTCCTTCCGCGCCTGGGAAAGATACCCGGAGAACAGGGAGGCGATTAAGGATATCTGGAGGAAGAAATGCTGCCCAATGGCTTTACGTGATCAATTCCGAAGCGGATACCCCGGTCGTCGACCCTTCGGTGAACGACCTTTTAGATGCCCTCTCAGCTGTGGCAATTTCCTCTACAGCCTGACAGGTGTCAGCCCACGGCCGATGCAACGATATTTGGGCCATACTTTCATTCAGTGTGATCCCAAGCAATGTAGGAGGGAACACGCCAGGACATCAATCTGGGACCATCATCGTACTAATGAAGCGAGCATCCATGGTCAAGCTTATGCCACTCGATGCCCTTAGGGAACAACCGCTCAAGTCCTTACCGACCCTGCGAGTCTCGAGTTTTGACTAGATTCATCACTTTTGCATACCCCCATAGATCCTCATCGTGCATCATTTGATTCATACCAGCACAATATCGCACGACCCACTGGACTCTTTTCATCGCATTCGCATGTCGTGTTGTAGTTCTACTGATACCACAGGTCGACGATACTAACTTGCCTCTAGGGTTGTACTAATGACTTCGCCGTCTGTAGTTGTAGAAATGTGGGCAAGCAGTTACGTAGTGGATATAATGTACGGTGTAGTAACAATTTCTTACACGAGTGCATGTCATGGCCGCCTGAGTTAGTAGCGCCCGTTAATCTTTAAGCTTGGATGAGCGCTTAACTATCACCTCGCTCCCGGTGTCAAGGCTTGTGCTGGAATCTCCCAACAATATTTCTCACTACGGCCTGTGATGTGCTGTCGGCCAGGACACAGGTGAAGCTACTGACGAGAGAATGTATCTTGGCGTCACATCGTATTTCGGAGGGGGTCTTTGACTCAACTTTGACTCACGAAACTCTGAAAATGTCTTGAACATCGCTTCCAGTACTGTAGTCTCTTTTGCTCTTATTGTAGCAAGCACACTTCGGCTAATTTTAAAATCATTTAGCCCTTACAAGACTCGAGATCGGTCATCTCAACGATCCGATGTGAATCGTTGGACTTCCCGCCTAATGTGAACGGAAGCAGGCTCCTTCGTTTGTGGTGTTTCAACGCACAAAGACCACCGTCTGGTAGGCTTCTGCATATCTAGTGCTCATGAGATACTCTGACTTCCCTTCCTTCATTCATACAAGCTGCACTAGCTATCTCCTGCCATCGCTCATTCACAAATACAGATTTCTGAGATTGGACATGAGTGGATACGGTTCAGAAAGATGTGATGGAATAATAAGCCGCCTTGTCCGCATGGGTGCGATGTTCGTGTCATGGTCAAAGTCAGGTTTGCCATGCGCATTTGCTTCTCTAATGGAAGGTGGCTGAAAAGTCACGCAAGAAGTTCCTCGAGGTTTCTGGATCCCAGAACCTACCTACGTGCGAGTCGTATCCAATGAACATTGAAGATTCTACGTCTACTCACGATGAATTCACAGATGTTTCGCCTCATGAACATCGTGTTGAGCGATGCTCAGGACACATTTCCATGCTTCTCGTTGCTTCTAACAGCAAGGTGGGACACATGTTGTTTCCTGGCTGCTTCTTCAGACCACCTTCTGTGAAGCAGCATTCGCGCGAAAAACGCGTCGAGGGCGCTATGCAATATACGGCTCTCTACACTGCGCAGCTGGTTCCGTTAGTCATTCTTGCCTATTTATCGGCAGAATGTTAGCGTGATCTCCGGCTGCTGCACACCAGGGATAGTCACTTGTATAAGTACCTCAAGATTCGTCTGTGCCAGCAGCTGCAGTACCTCTTCATCTCTAGACCAATAAACCATGACAACTTCTCACGGCGACTCTCCCTACCGCGATCCACTCTCTCACTATGGTCGCAATATTATCGATGGATACCATGACCGCGTTCGTAGCTGGCACGGACCCATCGGGCTGCCTGACTTGCCGCACGTGTTCGGCAGCGTACTGCAGCAGCAGGAAGAGACGGTAGACAGGAGCCTCCTCGTGAGTTCTGCGGAAGGTCCCTTGGTGCCTATGCCGGAAGATGCAGTGATTGGCATCATTGGCGGTGGTGTAGGCGGACTGTACGCCGCGATGATGTTGGAGTCTTTGGCTATAAAGTACGAGGTGCTTGAAGCATCGGACCACGTTGGAGGTCGGCTGTTCACGAAGAAGTTCTCAAATACTCCTTATGACTATTACGTACGTGATTGACCCTATTTCACAACCAAACCCTAAGCGATGTTTTGTAGGATGTGGGCGCAATGCGCTTCCCGGATACGCCCATGATGGCACGCGCCTTCAAGCTCTTCGAACAATTGAAGCTTCCCAAGGACAAGTATTTCTTCGAGAACGACAACAGCACCCTGCTCTACAACAACATATTACAACCTCGCCGCTCAGCCAGCTCATATCCAAAGCCTTGGGATATCAAAATTCCCGAATCATTCGATAATCTCACCTGGAATGCACTGGTAGACAACGCGATCAAGCCGTTTGCTAAGAAGATTGCTCAGGATTTCAAGAACAATACGAACACGGGTTGGAAGTTCATGATGCAATACGACCAGTACTCGACGCGCGCGTACATGTCTGGAAATCGTGAAGACACAAAGTCTGAACTAGACCGGCTGAACATGATGCCCTATCCGATCTCTGTAGTCAACTGGTTGGAGACATTTGACAAATCTACGGGATCATTCGATAAAGCGCTTTCAGAGGCCGTCCTAGACTCCTTAGCCTTTGCATTCCCAGTCAAGGATATAAAGTGGTATTGCATCGAGTGAGACCTGCTTTTCCTTACATAATTATTTGCTGAATCCTGTCTTTCTTGTCAGCGGTGGCTCTCAAGTCATCACTGATACCATGAAGAGTCAGCTGAAGTACCAGCCAACTGTCAAAGCCAGTGTGACGGCAATCTCGCTCGTAGAAGACCCCGATCCATGGAAAACGACGGTGCGGCTTTCCTTTCCGAAGGGCCAGTCCAAGCCCTATGCACACGTTATCAATACCAGCACACTCCCCTGCCTGCGCGCGATGGATCTCAGCCGTGCCGGCCTTGACGTTGATCAGAGCACGGCACTGCGCGAGTTAACCTGCGGGCCTGCGACCAAGATCGGCGTGAAGTTCACGGATGCCTGGTGGCAGGACCCTAAGATAATGAAGAAGTACGGACCCATCGTCGGCGGGCAGTCCTTCACCGATCGCATGGTGCGGACCGTCGTCTATCCGTCGTACGGCGTGAACACCGACACGCCGTCTGCTGTCCTCATCGTAAGCTATGCCTGGACGAATGATTCTTTGCGATGGGGTTCCCTCTTCGGAGCCTCCACCTCTGATCAGCTGAAAGAGATTGTGTGTCGCGATCTTGCGGCCATGCATGGTTTCGAGCCTGTGGAGGGCGTGGCGTGCCTGAAGTCCAAGTGGGTGGAATGCTCCCCCTTTAGCTGGACAAATAATCCGTACAGCATGGGTAGGTCATATCAATCCGCATTGGTTGTCACTGCTGACCGTGATTTGGGTTAGGTGCATATGGCTTCTTTGGTCCAGGCCAATTTACACAAGTCTGGGAGAACCTCACTCGTCCAGCGGCAAAAGATAGACTGCATTTCGGTGGGGAGATGGTCAGTGCTCGTCATGCGTAAGTTACATTCTCTCATTCTGCTAGAGTTGTTTTTTAATTCAAATCTCGCGATAGCTGGGTCGTCGGTGCACTTGACGCCTCCTGGCGAGCTGTTCGCGAGATACTTCTCTTGAGTCGTCCTAAACTCCTGGATAAATTTGAGAAATTGTGGGGACCCGACGAAGATTGCAATGATACTATCATGCTGAGGCAAATTGCTATGTCGCACTATCTGCAGCGCCAGAAGCCGAAGCAATCAGCGTGACGTTGCTCATGGCCTTGTTGCGTGAGTGGATATATTCATTGATGATGGATCTTGCAATTGACGTGCGGTTTAGAAGATAGGTGATTTCAACGATGGTTCATGTAACTCGTTCTGCTATCCGTCCTAGACCGCGATGGAAGGGAGATGACTTGTTCAACATCCTCGATGTGATACATGATGTATTCCAGTCATCTGCTCTATGAGAATACATTGCACGATCGCGAGAAGTGTGACTGTGTTCATCGTTGACCGATGATCGATGGAATCTGGAAGATGTCCACTTTACGATGGTGCACAGGCTGATAACGACCATGTTCGTCGATATGCATTTCGGCGCTTCTTTTCTTGTCGATAGCGCCCGTTCATCATCACTAACTTTGGCCACTTCCTCATTTTATTGTACCGCATCATGGCTCAATGCGACAGCTAGAAGAACGGTGAACACATCCATCAATTCTGCAGTCATGTGACAACATCAGAATATTATGTTCGGCGAAAATAAACGGCGTGTCGTCATCCCTGATAGTATCGCAGATACTCATCGGACCAGCCGTCTTTGCATGATGCAACTTGTCTGGAATCCGTACGCATAAATGCTCAAATAGCCCAGGTGGCACGCGACTGGACGTCGTTCAGTCAGACGAAGAATGAAAGGACGGTAGGCCGCCTTCTTTTGCCAGGTGTTCAGGATGCTCCATCACATCCCCGCCGTCAGAGCCGCATGCTTGTCATACGAGATTGGATTGAGTTTTCTATGATATACTATGGTCGCAAAGCCGTTCAGGGACTTCCGAACACCTTCGGAGGCTCCTAGAACCGGTATATATGAATAGAGGTGCGAGTTCTGCTCGCAACGCTTATGATTTCGATATGGGGCTATAAAAGTTAACGCATTTCTCTCCTGATTGTCATCTGGAGGATATTGCAACGGCATCGATATCGATTCGATTGTGAAGTGTAGTCTGGCAGGCCTCGCCTCATGACTATTTCTATTTCCTGGACAGGTGTTCCATGAAACACGAGGTCGAGAGTTCTGTTATTCTCCGCGTCTATTGGCTGGTTCTTCTGGCTATAATCGTTGCGATGCGGAGTATATGCGGGAAATGCGTTGAAGATTCCATGAAATGTCCCGTTTAAGCTCACCGCAGAGCTGAATCCGCTAGTCGTTATGTCTAATCCCTCGAGGAATACTAGCATGACCCAGTGCGCCTATCGTAACTTAGGGATGCCCGTTCACATAAATTTTGTGCACACCGTCTCTGTCAGCAACCGCAACCCCCCTCCGCCCCTACGAGATGGTTCTCTACCACGATCCTCTTTCGCACTTTGGTCGGAATGTCATCAAGGATTATCACCTGCCAGTGCGTATGGCACCGTTGACCCTTTCGTTGCCTGCACACGCTCCCCAGACGCTGGTCAGCACAGTTCAGCAACCGGATGGGAATGTAGATCGTAGTGTCCTGGTCGGTGCCAAGCACCCGTGGGTACCCATGCCGAGATCCGCCACGGTCGGTATCATCGGTGCAGGTGTAGGCGGACTGTACGCTGCCATGATGCTAGAATCTTTAGGAATACAGTGCGAAATCGTAGAAGCCAGTAACCGCTGTGGAGGCCGGCTTTTCACATACAGATTTACGGATGCCAAACACGATTATTACGTTCGTCGTCCCTCAATCTCGTATATTTTACTTCAAATAGTAACCTGCCTGCTCCAAGACATCGGCGCCATGCGTTTCCCAGACTCTCCTGTCATGAAGCGAACATTCGATCTCTTCCAACGACTCCAGCTTCCGTGAGGGAGCTATATTTGGGAGAACGACAATTCCACCCTGTTGTATAATGGAATCCTGCGACCCCACACCTTCGGAAACGCTACAGCATACCATTGGAAGGTTCCAAACATTCCTGAGGATTTTGCTGAATATAACTGCGACACGCTCTTCGACAATGTTGTCGATCCGTTTGTCCAGGCGATCGCGGATGACTTCAAGAACGACTCAAAAACCGGGTGGGATCTTATGATGCAGTATGATAGGTACTCGACCCGTGCGTATATGTCCGGAAGGCGTAGTGACACGAGGCCTGAGCTGCATAAACTCGGACGAATGCCGTAACCGACCGCTGTGGTCGATTGGTTGGAAACGTTTGAGGACTCTACTGGGTCATTCGACCTAGGATTAACCGAGAGTGTGCTCGATTCCCTCGCGTTCGCGTTCCCTCAAGAAGAATTGAAGCGGTACTTCATCGAGTAAGCGGCCGTCTCCTTTTTGCAGACCGCTTCTAATTTCTCTACAGTGGCGGCGCTCAGACTATTGCTGACGCCATGGCGGCTACCCTATCAAACAAACCCATTCTCAAAGCCCTGTCGCAGCGATCGCACTAAAGGATTATGTCATATTGTCCGTCAGCCATCCGAAGCCTGAGAAGAGCGTGAGGCTTACATTTGTAGACGGACAGACCAAGTCATATGCACACGTCATCAACACGAGCACCCTGGCAAGTCTGCGGACTATGGACCTCAGCGATGCGTACCTCGATCCTGCGCAAAACATGGTGTTGCGCCAGCTGACCGATGGGCCCGGTGCTAAGATTGGAGTAAAGTTCAAGACGGCCTGGTGGGAGGACCCTCGCGTTATGACGACGTTCGGTCCCATTGTCGGTGGACAGTCTTTCACCGACCGTATGGTGCGCACAGTCGTCTATCCGTCCTACGGCGCGGGCACCAGCCAGCCATCTACAGTTCTGATCGTCAGCTACACGTGGACGGTAGACGCCGTGCGATGGGGCGCTCTTCTCGCCGACAGTAGCGGGGAGAGGCTCAAAGAAATCGTGTTGCGCGATCTCGCCGTCATACATGGCTTCGACCCCGTGGAGGGCGTTGCGTTCCTGCGAGAGCAGTGGGCGGACCATTTCCCGTTCAGCTGGATGAACAACCCTCACACTATCGGTACATTTCTTCTTTGAGCTCCGCGCTATGCCGTAGCTTACCGGAGTATGTCTGTAGGTGCTTTCGGTCTTTTCGGGCCGAGTCAATTCATACAAGTCTTCAAGAACTTGACCCGTCCTGCAGCCAAGGGCAGGCTACACTTCGCGGGCGAGAGCGTCAGTGTTCGTCACGGGTCAGTCGTCATCTCATTACATCACATATTTCAATTCATGTAATTCAACAGCTGGTTTGTCGGTGTACTAGATGCCTCTTGGCGAGCTGTGCGTGACATTGTTATCGCTAGTTTTCCTCAGCTGCTCGATGGCTTCGAGCAGAAGTGGCGAAAGGAAGCAAACTGGAATGACAGCATTGCTGCGAGGCAGTTTGCCATCTCAATGCATTTGCAGGGGAAGAAGTGGTTGTGGTTCAACGTGCCTACTCATAAGCCAGCAATCAGAGCATACTTCATACTTCCAATGCTCGTCGTCAGTCGTTGTAGACTGCAGAGGTGTTATAGTCACGCGATGAATTATCCGAGAATTCTTACGCTAATGGCGGTTACGCTCAGCGACCTCATCTGGTTAACTGCGCTAAGGCCTGAGATGACGGCCATCTGCACATGAATTTCGTCGATGACATTAGGCTCGTTCGACGACTGCGTGTGATAGCATATGGAAATGATAAAGGGCACTCAGACAGGAGCACTGTCAGTGGGATCCAGGGATTGTGAGGCAGCAGTATATTCATACATCTAAGATTGAATATCACGAGGTTCGCTTATGCTACTTTAGTGTACACTCCACGGACTTACTGAGATCTACATAAACCTACAGTAGTCCACAGCATGAGCACACTAGCATGTACTTCCAGGACGCATATAGCAAGGCTACAAGACAACGAATGAAGTGCCACATTTCAAGTAATCAGATACACACGTAAGACGGAACAAGATAAATATTGCGATTGGAGGCTTGACTTCCGACAAATCATGAACAACGAGCATGCCGAACTGATCAGAACGAGCAGCAGTGTGTACAATTCAATGTCCAATGAGGGGCATTCAGTTCTGGGAGAGCAAGTTTCCTCTATGGTCGAGGCCAAATACTGCATAAGACAAAACCATCAGCAAGGCATCTTGCCAACCAACTGTTTGAATACGCACAGTTAGCTAACTGGCGGACGCTCAGACCTGTTGACGCAAGACCCACTCTCGTCAGCACAGATGGGCATATGAGAAACACATCACTGGTACTCACGTCCAATCTTCTTGCCGTTGCCCTCTCCGAGACTTCCATCTGCAAGGTTCTTCTTGCGCTCTTGCAGCGCGAGGACACGATCTTCAACAGTATCTGCAATAACCAGCCGGTGAACATAGACAGGGCGACTTTGACCCAGACGATGCACTCGGTCGAAAGCTTGGCTTTCGATGGCCTCGCTCCATCCGAGGTCGAGCGAGATCACACCTAGAGACAAATCGATCAACGACCAATTTGAAGCGGCAACCATGAAAGCGACGTACGGTTTGCACGAGTCAAATTCAAGCCCACTCCACCACACTTGAGACTAGTGTCGACGTCAGTACACGTTCCGGTGCTCAGGAGCCAGGACACACCTCATCAGCAGTATTGTCGCTTTGTCCTTCGACATGAAAACGCGAACAGCCTGCTCACGCTTTTGTCGATTCATGTCGCCTTGGTACCTGTTAACTGCCGTCAGAAATGGCGAGCGAGAATGAGAAGGAGTGCACACACTTGACATGTAAGAAGCCGTTCTCGGACAGGTAGTCTGATACCAATTGAAGGCAATGAGTCCATTGAGAGATGATCAAGGTCTGTCGAATCACCGATCAGACGAATTTCGCGTTGCATGACACAGTGCATACTTTTTCATCAAGATGCGCCTCGGCCCATGCCTTAAGCGTCTCCATCATATGCTGCACCATCTCGTCAGCGACCACGGCCATACTTAGAAATCAGATGAGGCTTACCTTCATCTTGGTTGAAGGCAGAAAGCGCGGCATCAATTTGATCTGCTCCGGCGGAACCTCAATGTCGGGCTTCGCACCACAGATCACGTCGTCCTCAACATCAAGCTCGTCCTCCGACGACAGGACGACCACGCGGCGCTTTCCCAGTCGCTTCTTTCTCGCATGACGCGCGCATTTCTCCTTCTTATCCTCGTCGTCTTCTACAATGAAATCGCTAAGGCCATCATCCTCGTCCTCATGCTCCGAGTCGTCTTCTGAGTCATAGACGCGCCTCTTCTGCGGCTTGCGGTTCCTAAGCGTCCTGCCAAGTTTAGGGCGGGCATCGAACATCGCTGATAAGTCAAATGACTCGTCTGTATAGTCGGCAGGCCCGCCGTCGATATCGTCATCGCAGGGTTCAAATGCCGCGCGAGAGAAGAGCTTCTGCATTGTGACGGTTCTGCGGCATTGAGGGCAGGGTCGCTCATCAGCTTTATATTTTACATTCTCGTCGCCGTTGTCAATGGGCTCCGTGTTGAAAATGTTCGCTGAGTGGATATGAGGTTAGCCGGAAGTATGAGAACGAACACGACACATACTCATGCACTCGCGGCAAAATACGTGGGCACATGGAGTGACTACCGGGTCTGTGAAAGCATCGAAACATATAGGACACTCTTCATCATCGATGGTGGCGTCAGCAGACTAACGCATGTTGCACGATGAGTTTGAGTGGTAGTGTCTTATGTTGATGCAACATACCTGCTTCTCAGCTTCCATGCGCTGCAACATGATCTCCTGCATTTTGTTTTGCATGTTCGTTACAAATTCCGGAGAAATTAGTTGCCTTGCGCGGCTCAACTCGTAGCGTTTGCCGTGATTCGCGTCCTCCAGCTCATGGGCAGTGACAAACGCCATGCTTTCTTCTTGGATCAAGCAGGGATGGCAGCAGATTTGGCGAAGGCGAAGAAGTAAGACGAGAACTATACAGAGTGATGAGACATCTGCTAGCTGGCCATTCCTGTAATTTCACCTTGATGATAGTTTCTAATCGACGGAGGTAAGTATATGTACGACCGCGAGCAACACAAGAACATACTTTAATACCGTCCCGGCCCGAAGGAATCTGTTGAAGATAGCCTGTGACTTCGCCTCGACCTAGCCAATAAGTTAATTCATGTCTAAAGAGGTGATGCCTTCCGAGCGATGCACCATCTTGTATATATCACGCTCTTCCAGCGAGAACTGAAGTTTAGTCAAGATGACCTCCTTTGAAGGAAGCTCTATCAACCGTTTGCCATCGAGCATCTGTGAACGCAAACTGAGTCATACAGCCAGCAAAACGGATGTGCTCTTTACCGAGTCTTTCTTCCTGCGAAGAAGCATCGATACGAAGATAGTCTGCAGACGAGCAGTCGCGAGAGTAGCTGTGTCACTGTCGCATTAGCAACGCTACAGAAGCATAGCCTCATCAGAAACCCACGTTGCTTCTTCTCGTGCTTCGCAATGTGACCGTTGAATTCATCCCAATCATACCACGGACGGATTCGAAGAAACCGCAGGAGGCCGTAGGCGTCGGTTAAAGAATTGATAATGGGCGTTCTACCAGGAAGCAATCACCGTCAGCCCCGTACCGCAAGACAGCGAAGGTAAGACAGTGAAGGTGACGCAGTGACGTACCCCGTGAGGCACCATCGGTATTTCGATTGAAGCTGTGTGACCGCCCGAGAAATCCCTGAGTATTGCGAAAGTGAGTATATAATGAATTTATATTACCGTGGGCCGTGGACACGCACTCGTACGCCTATTTCTAATATTCTGTGCCTCATCCACAATCACCCGGTACCACTATGGTAATGCATGGGACATGGCAGATGAATATAAAAGTTTGCTGCTACTTACCGTCATTTGTAAGAGCAAGCCATCTAATGTACACGTGTGAAAATAGTGCTTGAGAATGGCTGCGATAAAGGTTACTTACTGCCTTGGCTCTTCCTCTTCCTCTTGAATGTCTGTGCGTCATCTGAGTCGCCGTCTATAAAGTCGTCTACCTTGCTCTGTCTCTTTGCCTTGCGCTTGGCGATCTTCTCCTTAGCCTCTTCATCAGGCCACTCTAATGCCAACGTCTTCGCTTTATGAGCATAACTGTGACGAATGAACAATGCGAAAAACGTCACCTGAAACGTTGTGAGAATGATGTCGTATTTCTTCAACTCATTCAACTTCGTCGGCTTGTTCAAGCCTGATGGATGCAATTGTATATATCCGATTCTTGAGTAATGTGCCATTTAGTCACATACCGTGGTATACAAGGCATTTCAGATCACATCTAGTCTTCTCCTCGATCTCCAACTTCCATTGATCGAGCAAGGCGAGCGGCGCCACAATGAGGTTCGTCTTGCACAACGGGTCCTCCGACTGGTTAGCGACCATCACCGCAATCCTGCATGATCCGTGAAGTCAGATCATGCGACACGCTAGAGATCCCACCGGACTTACATCTGAACAGTCTATATGGGGAAAACGGGAGGTTCATTATCTACCGCGCAGGACCCAATGACAAATGTCATTTACCTTCCCAAGTCCCATTTCGTCACTCATGCATCCGCCCCTGTAGGAACTCTTCTCCTTGCCAAGCATCCAAGCTACGCCTATCGTTTGATGAGGCATCAGCGCAATCTCCATGCCTGGCAAAGGCATGTATTGGTTATCGAGCCCGAGTTTCTCCAGAGCTTCATCGACGCTGGCATTGCCATCGAACTGCTCCGCATTTCCGGCAGCGACGAGGAACTTGTCTATGCTGGAGGAGATAGTGACGGTCAGTATATGCGCTCAACCTAAGCCGACTATTTGCAGGACATACTCATCAGCCCGCGCTATAGGACCCGCAAATCTGTCGCACCCACGACCGTAGAAATTGCCGTCTTCGCCGGAATGCTCGTCGAGTGAGTGAAGCACTTTATCATCTTCACTATCACCATCACGAGTGTCACCTCGCTTGATGTCACCATGCGTCCGCAGTCCGCGAAGATATGCGTCGCGATCGTAGGCAGAGGGAAGCCTTACGTTCGATCCTGAAGCGGCTGGCTGTGATGCAGCAGAGTAATCCATGACTATAGGATTGACTCCGGCTTTGACATAGCCGTGTGGGAGCACTTGCGTGGCTTCTTCTACACGAATAGAAGCAGGAAGGAATGCCGACACGGTCGCATCTGCTCGGATGCATGCGGGAGGAGCGACCGGCGCGGACCTAGAGATGGAAGCGGTACACTTCTCCTTCCGAAGCCGCAGCTCTTCCAACTCTTTGTTGAAGCTTGCAATCATAGTCGAATCTGCTTTCGTTTGGGGGTACTTCCGCAGCGTCATCTTCAGGAGCGTCTGCACGTCATCTATCCTCATTTGAACATCTGCGAGCATCTCATGAGTATCTGCGGTACTTGGCTGTGGCGATGGTGGAGTTGATGATTGAAGCATGCTGGGGTTACGATTGGAAAGTGCGAATGGTTTGGTGGGGCTCTCCAGCTTCACTCTCTTCGGCGACTGCATTGCACCTTCTCCAAGGACAGCATTCTCGGATCCACGCAGTGTCCTCTTTCCAGGCTGTGTGGTGGGCGGGTGCTGCATGGAAATCGCCACATTCCCAGACACAGGAGGTAAGTTGACGCTGGGACCACCCATGAGGCGCGCGCCATGGAGCGCATGGAGATTCATCGTTGAACTTGCGGTAGTCCGTCCCGTAGACTGAATAAATAAACGTGAATTTCTGCACATATGCGCCTATAATTTTCAGCTGCATACTGTGCTGGACACCCGGCCTGAATCATGTACCGCAGTATGATGCGTTGACATCACGGCGACAATGACAAATGTACAAAAATATGTATATGGAAGCCGTTTACCGGCCCCGTACGGCCAAGAGCGGAAAGAGGGCGAAAAGGAAAGCGAAGGCGTCCCGCCACAGGACGCGATCAATATATGCGGCCGACCGCGTTGTTTGCTTTTGTTTATGATGCGATCCGCCACTGCCATACAAGGTCACCGCCGCCAACCAACCGTGATGCTTCTCGGAGCTTGTTCTGGAATTCAAAAAACGCGTCGGTGGCTGAACTTAGGTCACGATATCTCAGAGGATAGTTTTACTAGCATAAATACGTATTCGATGGAAGGCTGTCACAAAACTCCTGCTCGAGCTTGGCATCATTTTCTGATCCTCGCACAGGTGCAGGGTCTCAGCTTGAAACATTCAAAACCCACGGACAAGATTCATAGCTACACCACACATTTCGCAAGTTCATCCTGCGCACGCGTGAAGACACGCAGCTGGCATTCACACTATTTACTGAATAGTCATTAAGTAACATATCATCCATTTACGATCAGAAGTGTTCAAAATTGTGCGAGAATTTCGCACTGCGAACAGCGAAGTGTGCTATGATACGTCTTGCATGAGCCGCGAGGCAGCGGGAGCGGAGGGGATCAAACCGTGAGTCAATCAAGCCACAAGAGATTGTACAGGACGACACGCTCCATACTAGACATACTGATATCAGAACAAAGTAAGTTCCACCCCCCAAATCACGAACATACTGGAAACATGTTACATAAAAAAACCCCACGGTGCCAAAAATCGCCACATAAACAAAACAACAGGACCGGTGGAAGTTCCAAGTAGGATACCCACAGAAAACCAGCCAGTACAACGAGCGACAAGGTCTTACAAGCATATGAGAGTCCGATATAACCGCAGGCCTAAGCACGCCTGAATGAAAATCGCCTTTTCCACCTCTGGAACAAAGGCATCCGCGAGTCCACGGAACTTATCGAGGAACCACTGCGCGTGCTTTCGTTGCGCGTAAGATCCGCATTGGTTGAATGCACCTCGATGCATTCTAACTGCGTATGGCTAGGGACATCTGGCAGATTCTTCTCTTGTCCCTCTGGTACCTCAGCCGCTGGTTGCGGCAATGTGAACGGGGTGATACCATACGCCTCGGACGAGGAAAAGTCAATGACCTTTCGCGGAACGAACATTGGCAACATTGTCGTGTCCGGGATCAGGTGCCGGGTGCACATAACAAGGACTACGTTCACGAATCCTGCAAAATATTTACAATAATCTGATATCAAACCGAAGACGTCGCGACGAACCTTGCATGTTGAAGATAAAATCTGCAAAGATTGTGACCCAAAACGGCACCGCTCGGAGATCGAAGGAGATGAAGCGCGCTACGGCGACCGGCAGAAGGCATATCGTGTAAGCTATCTGTAGATATGGTCAATCGCAATAATCTAGAGCTTTTATAGGGAGGCCCACAGGATGCCTGCAACATGGGGCCAATGAGAATGTCAACGAAGACCCAACAAAACGAGAAAAAAAAAGATGCCCTCACCAGACCATCCGAGCCGCGACGCTCATCATTGCGTTGTCAGTGTAGTCGCGGCTGACGCTCAGGAGCCACCTCTCTCCATGGGGTACGAATCGAAGGCGCCACTTGTCATTCGCGATGATAAGATTGCCACGGACGCGTAGAACGATCGCGGTATACAGAATGATGGAGCACGCAGCAGACAAAAATTCCTAGTCATCAGCAATTAGCTTGTACCATGAAAAATGGATGGCTTGGCCGTACGAAGAAATACTCCAGCAACATCTGCTCTTCAGGGTATTCGTGCGTGATCCAGCACCTATCAGCGCCATCAAAACACTGAGCTGGCAAATGAAACATGCTACGAACCAATAACCTGAAGGTCCGAAGTAGGAACTTTCCTCTGCCTTCTGGATAGCGAGCGGACCGATCGCAACAACAAAGCCGACAAATATCCATCCAGAGGCAATGAGGACGATGCACGTGCGATTGGTCATCCCCCGTCTTAAAAAGAGGAGCATGAAGACGTGTACTGATAGGGCCGCAGACCTAATATGCGTCATCACAATGGTTTTAAGTGTTGCGGCACGCCCCTCACCATACTGCGGAGGCCACGTTGCCGCCATTCTTGAGGCCGCCTTGCGCGCCACAGAATCGTCCAGCTTCCACGGCTCCGTCCATTAACCACTGAAGGTCCATCATGGATGCGATTGCTTGGAGAATATTCGCACAAAGAAGGGACACGAATATTGGGATGACGTGGGTGTTGCGATAGCATGGTGGCCGCACCACCATCACCTAAAGGTGCGCGCATGAGCCGACCTCCGCAATCTCAGAAGCTCTCTGATGCACCATGAGGAGGATCAGGACGGCAGCACCAGACAAAGCCCCAGCGGCCACCAGGCTCTAAGAGCAAATTCATTAACATAGGCCTAGGCGCTTCTCTAGCTTTTTACCTCTATACCGGCCATCTGAGCCGCTCCATATATCACCGTACCAGCAGAGGCATCGCGTTCAGAAAGCAAGGATACCGTCATGAGTTAACCAGAATACGCTCTGCGTGGAGAAGAAATGACCAGACCAGTGAAGGAGTGGGACCCGCCGGGGGAACAGGAGGCGAAAGTTGCTGAGAACCACGGCACATTGCGAACACGCCTCGAGGTACTTGAGGTAAGCATTCAGGGACGTCGCACGCCCATCACATCTTTCACGTTCCACTCGCAATCAAGATCAACGCAGAAATAACAGTCGCTATGGACACCTTTAGCAAACGGCGGTGTTAACATACAATAGATAAGTAGTGAGATGATGCCTTGATATTTGCAGACGCGCTCAATTATGACAGAGAAGCCACTGAATGTGAGTGCGATAAGGCGATAGTGACGCGAACTACAAGAAGAGCAACTCAATTCGTCCGATTAGAGGCGAGAAGGAGGGATAACTTACCCTCAACTCTATTCTGCGTTGACGTGGAATGCCATTTCCGTCCTTAGCCGGGAGCGGTACCAACGCACTCGGACGCGTGCTGATCCTTGGCGGCCGCGGCAGCAGCAGTGCGGCCTGCATGCGTATCAGCGGAAGGACCTTCAACTAACCTCTGGAAATAATAAAGCCAATAGTGCCGTCTCTCTAGAGTCCACTGCATTACCTGTGGAGTAGACAATGAATAAGCATTCGAAAACCGAGTACTGAGTATTGAGGCCTGAGAGAAAAGCGGGCGTCAACTCAGTGCAGACGGCGCTAGACGGCGGCCAATGCCAAAGCTATGCTCGGAAGTTACTGGCGCTTAGTCGGTCCCATTCTCTGCTCTCTTTGTGGCAGCCACACGATATTTCTCTTTCCTGGACTCGCAGTCGACGGAAAATTTCTCTGAAACCAGATAGGGCTCTTCTACTGTTCTTGTCAGAACACTTCAGCATCTGACTGTGGCGGAGAGTGGCGTCCTTCCTACAGCCTCGATCTCGGAAGACTTGTGTTTTCGTAATCTTTGTCGTCGATGTGCTTGTCATTCAGCAGTCGCGAGGGCCGCATTGTCTGTCGGTATCTTGAGAAGTGATGAATGAGCAAGCTGGGATGGCGACCGCAATCAAGGCGTATTCCACGCTCAGCGCCGATGAAGATGGGAGTCACTCGTATCAACTTCCAGCCAGCAGGGTTCACGGTTGTCCAACATCGACAAATCGACAGACAAAGGGACTTACCGGCGAGATATGTCAAATATTGGAGGTGCGCTATCTCCCGTTGGACTCATCTTTGATGTGATGTCAACTCTATCGAGCTGAGAGGCTCGCCTCCGTGAAGCCCAAGCCTGCATCTCTGCATTGGTATACTACCCGCAGCATGCTGAGAAGGAACCATGTAGGGTGCGGTCTTAGAACGGAAAGCTGATTATTCTGTCATGTTCTCATGTCTTTTTTGAGGCTTGGAATTCGACAGGTAACTGACATGTTTTCTCCTTTCTCTAGCGCCGCCGTGATGAATGAATATCAGATTGGGTTGCGACAGTGACATGCTAGCTTTTTTCTTCATTTCTCGTTTCCTCTATGCTCCTTTAGCGGTATCACGATATTTTGATACAGTCTGAGAATGGGGCCAACACGTAGTAATGCCAGTTGCGTTTTTGCCGGCGCGTCAGCCACCTGCAGCCTTCAAAGCTGAGAAAGTATGTCGACGTCTCTTTGTCTGCCACTTGGTCCCCGTTGTACTTGCTCTCATTCTTGCCCTCGCGCTCGATTGCTCTGACATTCTTTCTCGCATCTCTGCTCTAAAGATGCATAGCTCTACCACCACCACTCCCAAGAAAGTGCTATCAGTCATCCATAATATCCCACGGAAAGTGAAGACTAGCCGCTCCAGGAATGCCCGGCGATTCCGAGGGAAAGAGAACGTTCCTCCCATGGCGGCGCTTGATGACCTCCTTCGCATGCCCACTATCGTTATCACGAGCCCTTCAAGTCAAACACTCGATACTTCTCAGGCGTGGCTGCCAAGGGATGGGATGATGATTATCAAGGTGTCAGTACCCTCCAGTGACGATATCTGGAAGTTCAAGGTGCCGGTGGACGTCATGCTGCCGGACTTTCTGTTGCGAGTAGAGAAGAAAGTCGGTTTCCCAGTCCATCTCGTGTGCGACATGGGGATTGCGCCTGCGATGCCTGTCACAACGGAAAGCACCTTCAGAATATGGGTCGCGGGTAGAATCCAAAATGGCAAGAATACGAAGCTCATCGCGGAGCCCCGTCTTTAATCAACCCGCCGCACGCTAGCCTCCTTTGTCAACCCTCCGAGATCCGCGGTCTTGCGCATGGGCCTTGCTTCACCATAATGGCGGTCTTGACTCTCGAATTCCTCGCTCAGACGATCTTCCAAATGTTTCCTCCAGATAGATTCGACATGCGGCGTTGGCTTTGGCGATAGTTTTGACACCTTCCACTCATTTTATGCATGTTGCTCGTCACCAAATTGGGTCTCTGTCTCCTTCCAGGCCATCCTCAGCTCTGCGCCACTCTGTCCCTGGCGTCGTATCGGTTCTCTCTACTGTCGATGTTTACATCTGTCTTTCGTGAACTACAAGGCACTCGTTGATTTACGTCATATGTATGCCCTACGCTATGCGTCTCTTAAAAGGAGGTCTTCAGCACAAAAGGATACATTAAGTTGACCAAACTCGGTCTGGGTTCGGATCGCAGTATCCACATCCACTGATAAATTGTTTATTTCTCTACGCTCCCTGTAATGATCCGATGTCAATTCATTGCGATCTGAACGCTATTCCTGGTTGCGCTGTCTTCACTCCTTCCAACAGCTGGTAAGTCAGAACATTCATTCCCGACACTATATGGCTGAATGCAGTCTGCCCGAACGGACGTCGGAGCTACAGTGACTTCTTAATTATTGCCACTGTGTTTCATTTTGACAGGTGATCCGCCTCGCTCAAATCGAATTGGAATGTGGCCTACCTCATGCGCTTTCCCAACAGATCTAAACAATATATAATTCCTACTTTGAGATTCGACTTACATGCTGTTAGCCGGTCAGTGATGTCAATGACTATTCTATGTCGGTCTCACGTCTGCTGGGCGGTGATCCTTCTAGTTTTCACCTTCTCACCCTGTCAGACCCCGTCACCGCACCGCTGTGTTTCAGAATATTATGCGCAGGTACATGCAGTGGTATGTCATTCTTGACATTAGGCTCCAGATCGTGAACCTAATGGAGCCGGCATTAAGGAGCGGCGTTGATGCGAGACTATTATCAGGCTAGAAGATGCTATCCGTCGGCCATTTAGGTTGGGGAGGGGGGGAGGTCGACTGATACTGCGCGACCCACCTTCCGTACACGACAGTGAGCACAGGAGAGCTGAGAGCTACCGGACTTACTTCTGGTATGCACTGACGCTTGCTTCATCGCCATTCACCTGAAGTAACGCAGGCTCATGGAATGTTATCTTTCACAGTCGCTGCACTAACATTTCTAGCGTGGGACCTCGTAGTACACATTGCAGACGAGGTCTGATGGCCTCCCGGTTGTTCTCATTGATCGATTCAAGGTTGAGTTGATCTGGCGGTAAGACTATCGCACTATACATTTAATGTCATCGCGATTATCCGATGGCCTAGAAGCTGGGTCAAGCTTCTCTACTGTTTCATTCGTTACTGCCCAATAATCGCGGAGATGTGAGTCCTATACATTAATACGAGCACCCATACAACGTTAATTGTGTTGGTGTAGCGTTGTCTTCGGTATCTTTTTCCAGCCAATGTACCGTCCCGGGACCCATTTCTCCTATGCAACCTGTCAAACTTCGGCCTTGATAGCGTCTATACTGCAGCAATGCATCATTGTCGCGGTTTCCATAATCTCGATCGTCAGAGGTTCGTCTCCTGCAAAATCTGCTGTGACCTGCTGCTAAGCGCATAAAATCAGTATACATTCTGTTCGATAGAGAGAGATGGCTCCTTGCGACTCTCATAATCCTATTCGTGTGCAGCATCGCCATGACCTGGTTAGCAATCATGATGCATGCATCCAAATTCCGATACGATGCGCTCTGTCTATCTTCTTTCGCTCCGAAGGCAACCGTCATTGCATGGTACGTGCTGCAAATGTGCCCGCCAGCCCATTGAAAAAAGGTTTACAGGCTACAGGATAATGCCCGTCGTGTTTGAAGCAATGCTATGCATTTTTGTGCTCGTCAAGTTCATGCAAAGTAGAAGACGTGGCCTCGGGGACCAGCCAATCCTTACTGTACTGATTCGAGATGGAATATGGCCGTTCGGCCTTATCTTAGGTACGGGTTCTTCCCGAGAGGAGACTGCCTTCTCTGATTCAGGATATCTTACGCAGCCGTTGACCTCTTGGCCATATTGTTCCACTCCGTCTTTGAAGAACCTCTCTCTGCTGGATTTAACTTGTGAGCATAAGATATTTCCGACTTAGGACAACACTCTTATCATAATGCGGCACTCTACTGCAGCTGGGCGATGTCTGTGTACTCGTTCGCGGTGAGCATTTTGAGCAGAGTCTCTCTATTCCTTATGGTTCACCCGTCATAGGGATCCCATGTCTTGCTCAACCTAAGGAGAGTGGCTATTCCTGTCACGAACCACAGCACTGCTGCAAATACTTCGCAAACCGAGTTGGAGCTCGGTGTCTCGTCTGATTTGGTGTTTGGCGCATCAATGCCTGCACCCAACGAAATTGAGTTGAGTGAGGATCTTAACATGCAGGACAATCCCGAACAGAGTTAAGCCCCGCGCGTGTCCGAATGCCAGGTAGCTAGTATTTGAGAGTCAAATTGGCTATTCATTTGCTGCAGAAATATCATAAAACACTCTGTTATTTTGTCAGTATCCATATCCACTTCTAATTCTTTACTTCTCCGCACCATTATCGGAGGATGTTCTATTAGGGTGCAGCGACCCGTTTATTTTATAGTGAGCTTGTGAGACTTGGTACCGTTACTCTAGCTCGACACGCGTCTACGTCATGTGATCGTGCATATCGGGCGCTTATTGGTTTAATGCTGTTGGACGTTGTCGAGCTCTCGCCGATCCCCAACTTCATAACTGTCTGGCAATTACTACGCCGTGCAGTGCACTCCTGCTGCAGCTCAAGGTTCTTCCTGGCTTGAACGTGCTTTTTTGGCAGTGGCAAAAAACGTGTGCGACACTTGATATTGCCAACATGACGGCGACACTCACTGTGGAACCCATCCAACGCCCACTGAAAGGCTCGCGTATATCCTCGTTCTACCCCGTCAAAGAGCTTCCGCCCCTTTCTGCTCTCGACAGTGCATTTCAGCTTCAGGAATACATTTCTCTACTCATTCGCAAGGACGTGCACGACGTCGACGCGATCGTATCAATACCGGGCAAAGGGAGAGGGCGTGAGAGCAGTGGGCAAGCAAAGGGCGAGGAAAGCGAAGGGAAGGACGCTGACGTTGAGCACCAGAAGGAACAGGAAAATGCTGGGGTCAAGGAAGGCGAGGGGAAAGAGGTAGCCGTAGATGAGGCATGTTGGATCTACGAGCAGTTGAGGTGTGTAAGCGAATGCTACTTCATGATACACTATTTGATTGTGATATATTCGTCGTATGTTGAACGCAGACGGCTGGCGCAGGATCTGTCGCATCCTCTCATCACAATGCTTCAGCAGGAATGCACTCGTCAGACGTGTCCAGAGATGAAGGCAGGAGAGTGGCTCTATCTATGCGTTGCCCATGGAAGCGAGGGCGCTATGGAGGTAGAGCATGGCCCAATGACTTAAACGCATATTGACAGCCTGTTATTCTAGCAATGTTGCGCCATCGACTACATACTCCACACACTCGACAGCGCGACGGGTCTCCTCAATTCCCCACGTGCATTCCCATCACGGTACGTCCTCCTCTCTGCATGCAATCCACGACATCAATGACTATCTATCTAGTCTTTCTATTCCCGCACCGTCCCATCGACATTTCTCCTCTCTCGCGCGCCGTCTCGGCCGTATCTTCGCACACGCATACTTCCATCACCGTGCCGTCTTTGCGCAGGCTGAAGCTGAGAGTTCGCTCTATGCTCGCTTTCTGGCGCTGACCTCGCGCTTCGACCTCGTGCCCGCCGAGTTTCTTGTCATCCCTCCCGGTACCGTGGGCTATGGAGCCGACGAACGCGATAGAGATGGGTTGGATGAATATCCGCGCCTGCTCGCGGCATCAATCGATCCAAAGCGCGAACACGAACGCGGGCGGGACGACGAGACCACTACAAACGCTCAGCGGGGCGGAATCTTGCAGCTTGATGCATTGGGTGGTGTACTGCCGTCGCTTTCTCAAGGCGAGCCCGAGAAGCGAGATGCTAGTCCGAGAAAGATGGGTCGCAACAGGACGGACACCATGGTGTACAGCGAAGCGGCCAGTGTGGTCGAGGAACTGGGCCGCGCAGCGGCAATGGGCGACAATGTTAACGCCCCGCAAACTGAGACCTCGATAACGCAGCCCGAAACGACATCTCAGGATAGTGAACAAGGCGAAGGAGCGCATATTCAAGCATATCAATCCACTACAGCCGTCACAGTGTCACTTCCCACTACCGAGGGTGAAGTCGAGGTAGTCGCAGAACACCATGACAATGCTACGTTGGAAGAGTCATCTGAAGCTCCCGAATTGGCCGCGCTGCATCAGATGTCGAGCTCGGAACCTGAAGAAGAGCCAGCAATCCCGCGCGATGACCATCAACAGCCAGACGAAGAAGGGTCGCACACAGAATCGCACTCAATAGAGACGTTAGCGTCGGAGGCAGCAGAGGAACACGAGAACGTATCAGAGATGAGAACTGGGGAAGAATTTCGCACAAGGCCGGAAACAGATGTATCTGCCTCTGATGTGACTGAAGATCAGGCTCATCACGTCGAGGAGCCAACTGTAGCCGAAACAAGCGGAAATCTGGCTGAGGAGATCCTTGGACAGCAGAGCTCGGAGAACCGCGTTACGGAGGGTACAGCGGAGGATCACGGAGACGATGAAACGCAATCAGACGATGCCGAGGAGCCGCAAGCATCTCCCGATACTGTTGACGGCGAAAGCCAGCCTGCACTTGACAGCAGCGAGCGAGCAATGAGCGACGTGACTGAAGAGCAGACTGCTGCGATGGAACCCCAGGAAGACGTTTTATCAGAGGTGCGACACGACTAATGGGCCCGCGAGGTCGGTTCAATGTCGTATGAATAGCATTCTCCCGCAATGTTATCTTTGCACTGATACATTTGATACCCTTGTTGTCTGTTTGCCGCATTGAATGCACCGGCTTGAAGATTGAACGTTTGAACGTTGAAGTCCGAAAGTCGAAGCGCTGAAGCTCAAGTGGGTCTCGTTCCATCAGCCGTGGAAGCACTCTGCAAATCCCGCTATTCTTACATGTGTAGCTACATTTTGGTTCCGATGCAGAACGAGTACGTGTTGCATTCATCATATCCAGGCCATCCAACCGTTCCAGAAGGTTACGTACCGCCAATACATGGTATATGAGATTTTGAAAGCAAAGGGCCTTGATAAGGCACTTGATCAGCAAAATGTCACCAACACGGCAGATAGAAACTCACCAGAACAAGAAAGAATGACAATTCAATGGAGGAAAGCTTTCGCGATAGTCATTCGCGCGTAGAAGTTCTCTCGTAGCATCTTCGTCCCTCCCAATGCTCGTGCTTTGATCTCGCAGAGCTCCCGCATGCTGACATCCCATGGGAACCGCGACCAGTGCCTTTTCGAGTTATCGTAGTCGAAGATGTAAGCGTATGATGCACGCAGCATGCGGACGTCCTCTGCGCTGTAATGCAACAGCACCTCGGATGATTCGTCGTCGCTATCGCCAAAGACTGGAGGGCCGCTGTGGAACTTCCTTGAAAGTTCTCGTAGTGTATCCTGCCGCTTCTCGATCGGCAGGGCCGTGAAAGCCGCCTTTGTATGGTGTTTCGACTTGCTGCCACTACCGGAACCCTTGCGCCCTTCGTCCGCTTCCGCGTTGCGTAACGACCGCCATGATTCGTACACCCATTCGACGTGTTTTTTTATTGTGTCCAACTCTTTCTGTGCAAAATCACCTTGTCCTCTCCTCGACGCTTCAGCGGCGCGCCGCACTGCGCAGAGCCACGGAGCGCACAGATCATCATCGCGTTTGACTGCACCACCATTAAACAGCTCTTCAACCTTTCTGAACTGTTTGTCGGCTGCTCTCTGTGCCTCCTTGCACATGGTATCCATGATGAACGTACCGAGTTTCTTCTTATCTCTTTGAAGGTTGGCAGCATTCGTCCCTGAGCGACGGAATGCCTCGCGGTCTTCATCGGTCTCCTTCCATTCTGGAGCGCGGTGTGCAAAAGTCTTTTGATGCTCCATGAATTTCTCTGGAGAAACGGTAACCCCACTTTTGGAGCCGTCGAGCACTTCACAAAATCTGAGGTCTTCGTTATTACAACAATCAGTCCATACGCATGATTGCTTACATGTATGCCAAGAAAATAGTCGTCTCATGACTATATCCATTGGAATAGATAGAGTTCTCCCAGTACGTCGAGTAAATCCCGACTTTGTTCGAGTCCTTCAGAGCACCAAGAAGATACGGTTGCAATGCATGGATGACCTCAGCTGACTCGCAGGATCCAGTGACCCATCGGTCAATAAACTCTGCAACTGTCTCTTTATTCTTGCCAAGGCATGCCTGGACAGTTGCTGGCTCAACAGCAAATCTTGGATCAGCATTCCGGAAAGGTTCCACGAGGTCTGGTAGCCAGTAAGCCTCCATTGTGTCGCCGTCATAGTCACCTGCTCTGCATGAGTGGTGAACACGGAGGAGACTCAGGCATCAACGTACCACCTCCGGTCATACTAGCGAGGTGGCGGTTCAGGAGCTTCCCCTCAAAGGTGTGATTCTTGGTTGATATCACAATGACATCCATGTAATTCCGAAGTTTCTCGTGATATACAGCTTTGACCTATATATACATTAGCACATCAGCCATCGAGATGGCACGACATAGCGTACTTTCTGCACATCCGTGGGCACCTTGCAAGGGTGTCGAGTAACCTATAATCCACAGATAGATTGATATCAGATAAAGTACCGTAGAAACCTGCTACGTGCATGATACGCACAAGAACGTCACCGAGAATCTGGTCGGTCATATTACCGGCTTGGTCTAGCAGATGACATTTTGAGCTCTTGATGTGCACCTGACCAGGCTCAAGGACACCGAACGGGTCTGATGATTAAATAAGCGGAGCCGATATGCTTTGGAAGTCGTCATACCCGGAACGATGAAAGCCGTGCAAGACATGGCAACGTCTGTGCGAAATTTCTTCGCGTAGACAGTAACGGATTTCTTCACAACTTCCTTGAGTTTCGCGCCGAGGACCGGGCAATTGCGCGGGTGAAAGCCAGCATCGAGAAGGACCATCACGGTTTCTTCCAAGGTGGACGGACAGCCGCTAATCGGATCGGCCCACCATGCAGTGCTGTGTTCTTCAAGGGCCTTGTCAAGCTCATCGAAACCATCTTCGTCTTCATCACCAAGCTTGTCGCTGAGATCCTCGAACACGAAACCTCTTGCACGAGCAGCGCCGGCTGCCTCTCTCGCAAGCCGGCAAGCTACAACACCCCCCGCGCGCGCAACGTTCATCCATAACCGAAATAGGTCGACCTCAGTTTCCCATGTTGTGAGCCCGGCCACCGTTGCTTCCATGCTTTGCTGCATGAGCTTGACGAAGATGGTACTTGGCACCCCATTCTCGGCGAAATTAATGATCGTTTCCGTCGATAGACGCGCTGGGGTAGTCAGCCGCGATGGACGGACGATGTCAATAATGAGCTTCGCAGGGTCGACATCTTCCGGTACGGCAGTTCCCTGTGATAGTTTGATCTTAAGCTGGGACGGTCTGAGCCAAATGCCTGGTGCGATGTCATCGTTGACGAGCTGCTCCGACTGGGGATGGTGCAGCAATAACCCCTGTGCAGAGAATAAGCAAGAGGAGGCATAGAGATGTGTTTTTCGTAAATTCACCTTACTTCCGTAGCATCGCATTTGAATGGCCTTGGGAGTAGCGGACCAGCCCATTCGATCAGAAATTCGACATAGAATATCGGCTCGAATGAATCCGCAGCCGTCGGTCATGTTCTGCTCGTTCGGTACTTTGCCCGTACCAATCCAGCTGTCGCATGCTATGCAAAGTCCATCAGTGCGTGTTCATGTAAGCGATTCTCGATGTTATGGTCCATACCAATATCATCCTCGAATGCGATCATAGATGGGGACAACTTTGCACCAGGGACTGAATTGGACAGTCCTAGAGCAAATCGTGCAGCCCATTTCACCATAGTCTAGCAATGTGAATAGCTGTGAAGACGTGATGCACAATTAAATAGAAGAAGCTTGCCTGCTCTCGATTGAGCTCCATGTTATTGTGGAAGTTGATGAAATCCAAGAAGCTGAGATTGTTACATGTCTTGACTTTGCACGAACGAGGTTTGGACTGCAAAATGCGCTTGCCATTAAATAACTCGTTCGTTTGGAATAAGAATACGTTCTGTTCCTTCGCATAGAAGGCTCGGAAGACACGGCCCATGATGACCACTGGCCGCCTGAAGTAGTTGAGTAGGGCGTCTTCGGGCATGTCCTTCCCAGCCTTCGCGTGGAAGTCCTTTGGGATCCGCACGCGAATGAATCGTCGAGACCCGAAACGCCGAGCGAAGTGGTTGGAGGACCCGAGGTGCGGCTTGTCGAGCTTTATCTTGATCGTTGATGTCTTGTTCTCCCGCTCGACGACGACTTTGGCGGTGAAATGCACTTTTCCGCCGTACCAGCCGGGGTCAGGTACACTATCGTTCAATCCAAGACCACCGTGCGGATTCCGCATCAGCGCAGCCTCCTCCCAATCGAGCTCTTCCCAAGGTAACTATGGGACATTAATCTCAGTAGGAAGAAGGTGCATACTGGCGACCAATACATACCTTCACCTTCCGCTCCTTGAGGAATGCCGAGGCAAAGACGTCATCCTGCATCTCGGCCTTTATGCTGGAACCTCTCTTGGAGAGCTCATTAGCGACGAGCTTCGAAACCTCGGGGGCCGCGGTAGCATTCGCGTTGAGTTCTCCGAGGCGAATAAGCATGCCAATCGTGATTTTGTCGTAGTCGAGACCGGCATTGAGGAGGCGGGAGATTTCCCATTGTGCCCCCCATGGAAGCTTCTCGATATAACCCCAACGGATGCCTTGAGCAGAAGCCTGTAATACTAGCAATCATTTCATGACATCTTTAAGACAGAAGTCTGGCTCACGATCACTAGAGGCTCGCATATCGCAGTTGGATCGGATTCCGCGATGAGCGTTCGGCCACTTGAGATAGGTGATCCACTTATTAGTGGGACCTCGGAGATCTCAAGGTGAGAGCTGGAATGGCGCCTTGGCGCCTTTGTCGCTCGTGGAGTTTCTATGTCTTCCGTGGCGGCACGTTTGGCAGAGCGCAATGCAGGCTCCTCGTCCTCCTCGAGGAAATCTAAAAGAGATGCATAAAATTGATGATTAAATCAGCAAATGATCACTTACTGGTGGGTAGAGCTCTGATGTAATCATCAATAGCTTCAAGCCCATCAGAATACTGAGAACTCTGCTCAAACAAATAATCATCAGAAAAATGGCATGTCAGTCTTAACAGCAATTGTCATTTGTACAATATAACCAAAACACTGCAGTGCATATAACTAACACTGTCAGACTGGCTTCATCTCAGGGCATTAGACACTTGCACCATTAGTATAGAATAGCTCTACAATCATTGATACTCCAAAACAGTGTACATAATAGTCTCCACAAGCACCAAAATTGTCTGACCTATACACAAACTGTACTGCATTACATGCCAGCAGGGTTACGACCCATATGGCGTATGGAGTGTCTCGCTACTGCGATGGCTCTCTTTCCACAGCAAAACCCGTCGTTAATACACATCACCCCGTCAATTTCAAATAGTGTCGCAGGGCATCCCGCTGGAGTCATTCCAGAGCACGAAAAGCGGACCGCCGGCCTTCACTGTTCCGCATCTCTGAACTTCAAAGCAGATAGGAGTAACATACCTGGGATGTGAGAGATGTAGAGGACAGAATGTGAGTTAAGAGAGGTTTCTCGCTCATGACTGTTTCCTTTGGTGAGACAGATGCTTGTACGCGAGAATAGATGTGACTGAAAAGACGCGAAGACTGGAACGACCCGTAGGCAACAGATGCAAACTAACTCGAGATCCGTCCTTTGATACAAGATTTTCGAAAGCAAGATCAGAGCATTTGTAATAGCGTTAGGTATAAAAATCAAAGCAAGCAAGATGAGGAAAAACAGCGCAGAACACACGACAATCTACGAGAAAGAGTGTCGAGCGAAGGTTCGGATAGGAGTTGCAGTAGGTCACGTGGGCGCGATTCGTCAGTCGGGCTAGCAAATTCGAAGTTGTCGGAAGCTGTCGGACCATACGCTCGTCTATGGTCTCCACGCCAGCAGTCTACGGCGGTCATCGTCAGCTGTCCATAGGTAGGGACTTGAGGCAGAACTCTGTTAAGGCCCAACCGGCGAACTAACGATGATCATTGTACTGCACAACATGGTTGCCTGCACGACGCAGTAGATACGACATTCTTGGAACGCCGATTGCAAGCACACTTCGGGTGCGGCTGGACGGTTACACTTGCTGATGAAGCTTGCAGTGTCTGTCGTGCGTGAGTTCCAACGCCTTGGCTCCGGTAGAGTGCACACAAGTGATGTTAGATACGTGATGAGAGCACTGGACGCGTGCTGGCGCGTTGTATGCGAAGTAAACGATTCGCGACGTAGGAAAGGAGAAAGAAGAGAAACAGATTCTGCGTGCTACGGGTTCAGAACGATGACTGGAACGAGAACATGACCGAAATACAGATCGCGACGTCGTGTATACACCAGGGATGGGGCGAACATTGGGTTCTCTATCGTCACCTTGCGATGTCTTGACGTGGGGAGGCCTTGCATAAACCGGTCAAATGCGACTGGCAGAATATGCATGGCGCGACTAGTTGCCGGAGTCTGCAATGTTCCTCGAAGGGGGCGTTCCGAGGATTGTACTACGAGATTGCAGCCGCGATTCTGACGGGGGCCGCTTCTTATCCGGTTCTTAATACCGCTGGATCGGACAATTCCCAAGAGTGCGAGGCCTTAGTCCCGCTGGCGACTTTATGACCTTCTCGACTTTTGAACGGAATCGGTCCTTCAGCGGTTTCATCCGTTCGGTCGATGGTTATAGTCGAGATTCTACATAGATTTATCAGAACGGACGCACTGGAGGTATCTAAATTACAGTCATAGCGCAGAAGACTTAGGTATCAAGCGCGAGTATGTTATACAGCCAAGAAAAAGCACCAATAAGTCAAGTAACCTCAAGCAATGAGACTGCTATTTTTCAGATTCTTGATGATCACGGTATCCTGCACTGTGTAGCAATATTGAAATATACGCCGTGAAGGGGGATGCAGCTCAGGGATGCTTACCATCAACCAGGATGTGCTGAGTCGATTTGGTATCCTATATGTACGCTTGGTCAAGGCCGAACTTGAGAAGAGACGAGTAGACGTACGGTTACAGTAGTAAAATGGCAATAAAATTGCCGCTGCTCGGGTGATCGTTCCTTATGAATTTGGGCGAACTTCCGCCGCAGGTCTGCACAGCGAGCATCAGTGCACCTTTCTCGCAACTGTTGATATGGTCGAGCCCCACGTACAATTCGACGTGCTCTCAAAGTCATTTGGCCGATTGCCGTACGAGACGATGTACTTCCCAAGCTTGATGCCTGCCTCCAGCTTCGCTTTGAAGATGTCGACCTTGTTCAGGAACAAGACGATGCTTGTCTTCTTGAGTAGCGGGTTCGACACGATCGACTTCCACAAGAGTACAGAATCCTCCTACAAGTAATGTTCAGTCGCGAAATCGGGAGAACTTGGAACGATGATGCTCATACCAATCTGTTGACGTTTGCGTCCTCCTCGAGCATTTGGTCAAAGCAACTGATGGGTGCCAGGAACAGGATCGCACTATCACGCGTCAGCATTCAATCAGGTTGAAGGATGCAAGGAGAAATTCACTTCATGTCGTCAAAGTATGGCGCCCACGCCGCTGCACAGATCGCACAGTACAGAATAGTATATCAGTGTGAGCGCTCAAAGGTTAGGACGTAGGGCGCAAACCTCGCTATAGAATACGTTAACGTGTCAGCATCATCCATGGACAGTGTCCTCCGAACGTACCAGAGACCTGTGACCACCGACATCGTAGATACGCCATTCGCGAGTACCGCCTCCCATGTTGCCTAGATGTTCAGTCAACGACGCCATCGTGCCGTAACCACAGAAGAACGCTTGCCTTCTTTGATTGAGAACCTGTATTCCGTTACGCCCAACGTCTTTAAACGTGCGCGCAATACATCCTCTAGAGCAAGTTCAGTGTGAGCTTCATTAGAGGATCTCCTGCGACATACCATCGCTCGGCACATATCTAGGAGACGTGACTCGATCTAACGAGTCTAGGAAGCTGTGATATATCTCATTAGCAGCAATGATTGCCTTTATACGATAATTACGCACAATCCAGGCTGATCTTCGAGGCGTATATTCTGTGCGCGCAACAGCGCTTGAATAGTATCATCGTTCCAGAGTCGGATCATGTCCTCGCCGCAGGCATAAATGATCCTCCCCGGATCCTAAAATCCATCAACCTCGCATCACGCTGCGAGCTCCACCAAGCATACCTCTGGATCATCCCAGTCTATCGCCTCTCTACTGTCGATACTATCGCGGGTATCGGACATGAACTTACTGAAGATGCCCTTCCACGCAAAGGTCGTGTTCACCGCGACTTCCTTGGCGTGCATGCGGTCCATGTATGACACGTTGGACATCTGCGCGAGGTGTGTCGCCTCGAACTCGGCTGAACCTGGCGGAGTAAGCTTGCGAATGAGTGCCTGCTCGACCTGGAGTAGGGGGGATAGCCGCATCTTGAGCTTGAGGTGCTCTGCTGTGAGCTGTGGCAATGCGCGCGGGATGCCACCATCGGGATCGAGTAGGCTGCGGCTGCTAGACGCGCGTGTGGAGGAGTGAGATGTGAGGAATTTAGCGCCGGGAACTTGGGCGGCGTGCGCGTCGGACATGGCCTCGAGGATGAGTCGGATGGAACGCACGACGTTAAGATGAATCACCGCACGCCATGATGCGCGCTCGGCTCGGAAAGCCTGGACAGGAGTGATAGTCAGCGAAGACGCCACATAAACAAGCGCCAACTGAATCGCCTTTGGTGAATTCATCAGCTGAAAATCTGGAACGATGGTCAACGACGGCATCACTTGCTGTTGCAATCACGGACTTACTCTTCAGTGTCGTGGACTTCCCTGACGACCAAGGCATAATGTCAGGTTGCAGTGCAGGAGGTGAGATGAGATGAGACCGTACCTGATTCGCTCTGGCCTGAAAACCGTCCCAAATGAGCTTTGCAATCTCGTGGCTGTACCGTACTCACCCAGCAGGAGGATCTTGATTGGCTTTGGGCCCTTCTTTTCTGTCTTCTCCTGACGTTGGATCTCTTCGTCGATGATGTCTGAAATGCGTTTCGCCTCTGCCTCGGCAGCGAGTCTGTTGCGGCGATCCTGCTCAGACTCGTCTGGAGGAGGCGCCAGCGCCAGCTCGAGAGGGTCTGTCGAGGGCGAATAGGCCGTAAACATCTTGTCAACGTAGACGGTCATCCAAACCAGCCTCGCTCGCAGCGACGATGGCTGTTGGAGAAGAAGAGACCCCTGCGAAATGACATAACAACGTCAGCGCTCGCTTGAATTGAGTCGCAGTAGCGCCGCGGCTACATTTGTGGACGTGGGTGTCTACGAGATCACTCCGGACTTGCCGGCGGAATAGTAACTCGCGTGCTATCCCGCTTAAAATGCTCATCCTCAGATTTGCAGATAACGGCGGCGGAGGGAAGACGGAACATCCTGTCAGACAACTGCACCCGTCTTACGTTCACGACGAAACTTCATCAAATAATACATTCTAGTACAAGAAGAGCGTCGAAGCTGGTGCGTGCAATGGCCAAACCGAACGCTGATCGACCACATGCAATATTGAAAGTACCCGGTACCCATGATAAGCGTGCTATCCCCGAAGCTGGTGCGTGCAATGGCCAAACCGAACGCTGATCGACTACATGCAATATTGAAAGTACCCGGTACCCATGATAAGCGTGCTATCCCCTAGACTACTGAAGACAAGTTGCCGACTCGCCACATGGCGCGCATCGCAGAGATGTACATGCCGTGAGATTGGTATCGATGGTATCCCTTCCCTCGGGAGCGAAAAGGCTGGGCACGACATGACATTGTCCACTTTTGCGCCGCTATCTCCTCGACAGCTTCGGCACAGCAGGAGCTTCGGACAGGACCAAGGTTCAAATATACATGACAAGTGCCGTGCCATGCGATGACTCTCCCTGCGTCCGTATACACAGATCAATAGCGTTCCTTGGCAAACTGACAATGGCAGGGCCGATCTTCTCCCGCGAATCACAGGTGTCCTGGATCTGAATAAACAGCTAGAAATCGATATTCTGCACAATCTGGACGAAGACCTACATCTATGAGCCCATTCTGGTGTACCACACGCATGCCATTTGAAGCTGGACAAAGTACGCCACAGTTTTAGCGGCGAGATCCATAGGCAAGAAAAACAGTGTTATCATCATCTTCAGCGTGTTGTACATGATCTTAGAAACCGCCTTAGAGTGTGAACGTTCTTTTAATCAATTTCAATTGAGACGAGTCGCCTGTTGATAGCCTATCAAGAAGCTGAGGAGAAAGTGATGTATCAAATGAACCACGAACTCACTAATAGGCTGCAGCCCATTCCTGCAGGACACATGATGCCACAATTTGTACTTCCGTCTCGCCGTAAAGCCAATCTGGGTTTCTGCCCCACAGCCCATGAAACTTGTTGAGCAGCCTGAACCTGTCGTCGCCGGTGAAACTAAATCTTATAATTTCCTCTACAGTACGCCAGGATGCATCAAGCGCTCCTTCCACCCACCTGCGGCATTTCAGCAACGCTCGACTTTCGATGCAGACGTATGTATGCTCACCCATGACGAGCGTTGACGGCTTCACCGGCAAAACGAAATCCGCCATTAGCAGCGGGACGTGTCAAGTTCTCGTAAACTGGGGGAAATTGGCCTGAGCCAAAGAAACTGTCAGAGAAAAACCGTGAGCATAGAAGTTTAAAACAGAAGAGCAATCATCTTACCCATGAAAATAGGTTATCACTTGTCACAAAACGAATACAAGAATGTCACGAACGAAATAATCTTATGCGGCGTTTGAGAACCTGTCTGCCTCCTAGTCGGTCTGAAGCCTGAAGCACTTCATAATTGAAGCCGAGAGACTCGAGCATCGTCGCAGCATACAGCCCTCCCATCCGCCTCCAATAATGCCGATCTTCACATCTTGGGGCATCAGAGTCAGCGCTTGGGAGGAGTCCTGGGCTGTTGAGTCGAGCTGCGTTAACGATAGTGTAGCCACGTCATGAGCGATTCGCATGCGATCCCGATGGCGCGAAGAAAAGGCACAGGTAGCCTAGGAGGGAGCGAGCTTTGAAGCTCGAATTGTATCTCTCGATGGTGGCACCGGCATAGTGCGACAAGGGGTCCGGCATACATTGGCGAAGAAGTCATGCTTGGATGAATAGAGCGATGCCCATCTCTATCCGAATATCCTCCGCATATATAGATTCGGCGCGTGAGAATTCAGAAAAGGACTAGCATGACCTAGAAAAGGACTAGCACGACCACTGGCCGCAGTCTCCTCTAACCAGATCATGATTCTACACATTGAGTTACTGATCATCATCATTCGTCGATTGAACGACAAATCGCATTCATCGCTCACCTTCAAAGTTCTGTATAAGGCAGTTCCAATGATAGTATTACCATCGGACATTCAGTATCGTGATCGATACCATGTACTTTGTAGATCTGCGCGATGCGTGGTCGCTTCGGAGACTTTCCTGAGCTTTGTCTAAAACAGTTACTCTGTGTACTTGCAGTGAGCAATCGGGGCTGCATACAGTCGTGAACGTAACAATACCTGATCAGTCCATATCGCAGTAAAGCCACGAATGATATGTGTACTTCTGAACTTGAGCGACTAGCATGTCTGTCGAAAGGGGGGAAGGGTGTGCGGAATGAGGGTAACGGAGCTCGGCTGACACACTACGAACGTGTTTTGGAATTCGAATACTAGATGGGCGGCCTGTGGCTCGAAGCAGCAGGGCCTGAACCACATATTGAAAAAATCATCAGATAGAAGCGAAGCCCGTAGCCAGTCGAACATTTCAAAACTATACAACGCGAAACAATGAGATTCCTTCCCTAGAACCGGTGTGAATAGAAACCGACGACAAGAAGAGCATGAGACAGGGAAGCTGATCAAGCCACCTGCAGCGCCATCACGACTGGAAGCACTGAAAGGCGCTTTCGAGTCTCGTACGAAATGCCGCCAACATGACGTTAGTGGACGAAAGTTGAACGTGCTAACTCACTGCGGTCTCACAGGTTCGATCATGCGGGGGCTTTTGCCGTCCTTTGCCGCTTGCATGTATGTCCTTTCACTGGTAGGATACACTGTTGGTACAAGTTTGAGTTTTTTGTTTCGATTTCTCCATTGTTTAGACTCCCCCGTCGTGTGGAGATGACGTGGCGCCTTTATGGGTCCAAAAATAACCCATAAAGTAGACCGTAGGGGTACTGCAAAATGAGCGTCAATATCGACAGAAGTCAGTGCAAGGATACGCATGCCCGTTTCCTTTTCAAAGCACCGGAATTCTAAAACATGCGATTGGCCTGAACCACGTCGTATGCTATAGCACCTCGCTTTCGCATTCGTCCGATGAGAGAACACATGTATGCGGCCGAGCCAACGTATCATCCTAGATGTGCTACTTGTGCTGTCGGCATCGGTACTTGACTCACAGCCACATTGAGCGTATATGCTGTACGATGGTACAGCACTGCGGGATTCACATCCAGTAAGTGTACCTGTTCGGAATTCACGCTTGAATGACATTAAAACCTCATGCTGCACTTAACAACTTACTTCGTCGCGTCCTGAAGCATCAACAGCTGTGCTCGATTGATCCCCTCGCATATTTGGTGGATCAGCCGAGGAGACCAATAGCTGGATTCACGTCAATTGCGGCTCAAAAATCGGCGACTGAACGTTGAGATGTAACGCGGCCTCACAGACAATGAAAATCAGAGCAGAGGAGTATGTCAAACGAGCTAGTAATAGAAAATGCATTGAACGTTATAGCGGGTTGCAGGCCGTGATGGTTGAGGGGCGTGACATATGTGACGCTACGCGCCAACCGCGGATACCGGTCCGAGCTCCCGGTCAGACGCGCCCATGTGATGGTGATGGCGACAGGCGCGAGCCAGCGCGCAGGCTCGCCGTTGGTCACCATAAATTCCCGTAGATACTGGAACGCAAGATTTCAATCGCTACCTCCTCATATCTTCGACTCCGGGGTTCTCTCTCTGAATCTCTTAGGATGTTTTCTCGTTTGACCAGAAGTTTCCTGCCCACGTGTCGCAGAGTAGGCCTGCAATCACATTCCACTTTGATTGCTCGGAATGGAGATGCTCATGGACAAGCGAGAAACGCGATGGTTAAAGCATCAATAATCGCTGGAGGATCACTAACACTGCTTGGATACTATGTAATTTCATACTGTTGAGGCCTGAAGTGTGCTGACAGGCCCTGGCACGCAGACATGGTCTAGCTTCCTTACTCCGGTAAATCTCGATGCACCACCAAGAGGCGTTCCACCTCCAAGTGGACCTGCTTCGAGGTACATTTCTTTTGAAGAGGTGAAAAGGCACAATACACGAGAAAGCTGCTGGGTCATCATCGAGGGTCAAGTATACGATGCCACGTCTGTCCTGGAATGGCACCCGGCTGGCGCGGCAGTAATTTTGAAAAACGCCGGAAAGGATGCAACGTGCGTTTAGTTCTTCACAGATTTTGTGTGCTAACTGGTGACAAAATGGTTCGTGTAGTAAAGCGTTCTCACCCATACATCCCCCTGGCACGCTGCAGCATTTACCTATGGAAGCACATCTCGGTCCCGTTGACCCAGCCACAATGCCTCAAGTTGTTTACCGCCCCACGGAAGAGGAGCTGAGAATAGCAGAGGCAAGAAAACTGTTACCTCCACCTTCAGCGGCATTGAATCTGCGCGATATCGAGGTAACCCAGGCATTGCCCCTCATGACGCAGCTCAGACATTGACCGAATTCTAAGATTCTGTCGGAGAAAGTCTTGACGCGAACTGCCTGGGCGTACTACCGCTCGACCGCAGATGATGAGAATAGTTGAGTCCCCTCGCTACCTTTTCGAGATCTCTCTGATGAGCTTGCGATAGGTTACCAGGAGAATAGTTCCGCGTTCAAACGATTCTGGTTCCGACCACGCGTGTACGCTCCTTCCTTGCTACATGAATACCACCTCTTACCTCCAGGCCGATCAGAATGCGAAAAGTCTCAGAGGTGTCCACCGCCACTACGCTCTTTGGTCTACCCTCATCGCTTCCCATCTTTATATGCCCTGCTGCGATCATGAGATTAGGACATCCGGACGGAGAGATGAACGCGATCCGCGCGGCTGGGCAAGAGGGCATCATCCAGAGCGTGCGCGAATTGCTCTTGCATAGAGCAAGCACGCATCAAAGGTTGACCATTTGTCGGCGCAGATTTCCAACAATGCAAGTTTCTCGACGGAAGAATGCATGTCTGCCACGCTTCCTGGACAAAATCTCGTCTTTCAGGCAAGCCGCATCGTTCGCAAGCATGACGGACTTCTGCATCCCCGTATAGATTTATCTGAACAAGGACCGGTCTGCCTCTGAAGCGCTTATCAAGCGTGTTGAGGCTCAGGGTTTCAAGGCCATCATGCTGACGGTAGATTCCGCTGTAGCTGGGAAGCGAGAGCTTGATCAAAGGGCGAAGGCTGCTGACTTGCAGGTACAACTAGCGAGAATTAAGTTCTCGCTGACGCTCTGACTCATATCACTCGCCAGGACATGCCAGCGGCGTTCGGCAGCTCTAGCACGGGTAACGGTCTCGGGGTAGCGCATGTAAGCTGGTTTGACACCTACGCGATTCGGGCCTCACCCTTCACGATGCGCGCAGGCCATCTCCGGCTACCAGGATCCGGACATCTCTTGTGTGTTGCATTTATTTACTCGATTGTGGCAGCATCTGAGTGTATTACAGGGAATGACATTCCATGGCTGCGGCGGATCACGAAGCTGCCCGTCATCATCAAAGGCATTCAGTGTGTAGAGGTAACTCATATGCCCGTTAAACATTCTGCATATCCAACATCCACCGTAGGATGCCGAGAAAGCCTTCGAGTATGGAGTCAACGGAATCATCATCTCCAATCACGGAGGACGATCGCTGGATTTGTACACACCTCGTCTGTGCTCATCCTGGTATCTATTGATCGTGCCGTTTTCAGTGCTCCTGCGCCCATGCAAGTCCTATACGAGCTCCATCAGCGGCGCCCGGATCTCATCCGCGATCACGACATCTACATCGACGGCGGCGTGCGGCGCGGCACGGACGTGCTCAAAGCGCTCTGCCTCGGCGCGCGCGGTGTCGGCCTCGGGCGCCCGTTCCTGTATGCGAATGGCATCTGGGGCGAGGAAGGCTGCCGGCGAGTGATACAGAGTGCGCTGCGTCTCGTTCTGTGTTGCGTGGGAAACATGCATGCTGACGCGCGCTCGGCAGTCATGCGCGAGGAAATCGAGACGAGCATGCGTTTGCTTGGAGTGAACCGTCTCGATCAGCTGAAGCCAGAACTCCTGACATATATGGATTGCGACCATTGCCATCCGAGAACAATTTAGAGGTGTAAGCGGGAATGCCATAGAGTGCATCGTCCTCTTGCAGACGTCGCTCTGAGCGCACAATCTGGCTGAAGCGCTCGGGGCGACCTTCGATTGTTGCTGCAGACCTGCTCATGGTGCATGCAGTTATATGCGTATATCGTAGTGATCGTGGGTCCACAATTCTTGAAGACACTCCCGCGTACCCTTCACACCTTGCATATTCTACGATGGCCGCATCGCAAATCACTCGATATATATTTGAGAAGTCTTTGCTTATTGTCGAATTAGACCTTCCTCCTCGGCTTTTATCCCTTGTTGTAACACATATTAGCACGATAAAATGGAGTCATAGTTCACACTCACTCAACGCCAGCAGTTTGCTGAAGATGCGCGCCATCGAGAAGTGTCCTAGCGAACAAGTCAGTGACTACATTTGCGCCATGTGGCGCGCCACACACCTACGGCAAACCACAGCTTCTTATGACCGGACTCTCTCCACGCCGACCGCACCTCACCCTCAGGGTCCAGTCCCCAGAGCGGCTTCAGCTTCGCGAAAACTTCAGGATCACATATCTCCTTGGCCATAGCACGAGGATCACCGTATCTAGAAAGCATCAGGATATCTGGATATCCTAGACAACACGTGTCGCGCACCCGGTAGCAAAAACGACTAAATCTGCATCAAGATGGGAGCCATCCGAAAACTCAAGGCCATGGGCAGTGAACCTCTTGATGTTCCCGCCGCTCTTCAACTTGATTTTCCGGTCAATGATTCGCTGAGATGCCCCAGTGTCTGACGTTATGATGATCAACGACAATAATGAATTATACAAAAAACGTGACTTGCCCAAATAGTATCCACCACCACGCTCATAAACGAGAGGCATCACACCAGAGTCGTCCGGCCCAAGGTATGTCTTGAAGCCCACCTTTGCAAGCCCATCTAGTAAAACTCTGTATTGCCTATTAGTGAATACAAGCTGCCTGGGCTGTCGAAATCTCAACTTATCCATAACCGCAGCAACGGTAGTAAAAATCCGTCGGTGAAATTGTCGGCTAACGTTGAAAGGCAAAGACGAGCTGATTTGGTCGGCAATGTCGGTCGGGATATCTTCATTGTAGAGCGCTGCAGTGATATGAGATCATCCGGTCATATATAGTTTAGTTGTCCTCACGGCTAAGCAATGTTTTATCGAGTGTTTGACTACCGACTACCATGGTCGGAGAGCGCTGGAACCTGCGAAGATATTAGCTGATTGGAGACAGGGTGGACTTGCCCATACATGGTCACATCAGCATCGTTGTCGGAGAAATCGTAGGCAATATCATGTCCTAAGCACTGGCGTGGGCGAAATGTTAACCATTGAAAAATTATGCCTACCTGAGGTGCAAGCGCCGACGATGACAACCTTCTTGCCCAGGTGGTCTTCCGCAGTTCTATATTGCGTCGAATGGAGGACTTGGCCTTCGAACTTGTCCTACAATTGCCATCATTCAATCAGCGGAAGTACAGTTGACTGAAACATTTAGAGGCCAGACTTGATCAGCAATGATGGGGAGTTTCGGTACATTTGCTCCCCATCCCGTAGCGAACATCAGGTGCTTCACTTTTAGACTTCGAGAGGTACCATCGCGCTGAACATCAAGAAGCCACATCTGACTTGACTCGTCCCACTTAGCATGCCGTATGGTTGAAGATGTCCACACGTTGAGCTCGAGGGTACGAGCGTAGTTCTCAAGCCAATCGCCTAGCTAGAATACTCTGACGATCAGGCGCCGTCCATGGTGGGCATTCTCACACTGACCTTGGCTGCGGCAGGATAAGCGGGCCAAGTGGAAGGGAAGCTATAAGCGGAGGTAGCTGTCTTGTCATTTCCGCTGTCTCAGAGCATCACCTGACTTACGGCATGTATGGCATGTGATCACACCCTATGTGACGAACTTAGCGAAGCGAGATGGATCTTTTCTCGCAATTGACTCACAGACGGAGTCATGCAGGCACAGCGACTTGTAGCGGTTGCGCCACTGGCAAAATACCATCAGGAACGTGATGATAGCAACTGAAAATGACTCTTACGCTGTCTCCGACACGAGAGTTTCGTTCAATCAGTAGAGTCCGGACACCGAGAGCTTGGAGACGAGCGCCAAGGTCCAGACCGACGTGACCTGCACCCAGAATGACAGCTGTGGGATTACTGTTGGCAAACTCAGCATCGGCGACCCTCTTCGTCTGCCAATCTCCGTGCCACATAGATGTGTTGCGCAATTTGCCGACCTGGTCATGAAAGTTAGCCTAGGGTATTCTGAACCCAAGTTTTTTAGAGCGCTGCGCACACTCTCTGGATAATTGGTTAGCTCCTCCAATTTAGTAAACATTGTGTACGCCTTCCAGTCGCCGCTGGTGTTAACTAGATTGCAGGTGCCAATACCCTTCCCGACGGCTGTTTGAAAGGTGAAGGAGAATCTAAGGAGCGCTATATCGTCGAACGGGCGTTGCAGCGCTGGTGCTCGAAGAGCATCCAAGCTCAGTGACAATAGGCGGAACCCGGATGAAATGGTGTCATGGATATACTTCGTGATGTTTCGTAAGCCGTGGATTGTGCGGAAGTCCCAAGACAGTGCCAGTAAGTCTCGCCAGAAACTGTCCTCCAAGAACAAATTTGCGACATCAGGGGAGTGGGACTCAAGCGCAGCAGAGAACTTGTCGAACCAGGACCGCGCTACATCAGAAGGTGCGATGTCGGGCGGGATGCGAGAGTCAAGTCTCTCTGAGGTAGGTAAGACGAAGGGACCTGTCATTGTTGTGGCCATCACTGTGTTCGCCGGTGTGGTTGTCGATAATGAGAGCGTTCGTCCTGCAGACGTGGGACCTCATCCTGATTTATAACATGAATGATCGCTCGTTGACGAAGCGGGAGGTCTTCTGACCATGGTGACGGGAGAAGAATCAAGGCTTCTCCTCCAATCATCATGAGGGACCAGCTACATACGTTCAGGAGAACATCAGAAGCAGCTGAGAAAGATAAGACATATCTATTGGCGCAAAAACGTACTTCGACTCCTTGAGATGGTGTAGTTTCTCCGTCGATTTGTAACTAGATCTGCCGTGAATATGGTCCGCTGCGCCCAACAGGAATTGCTGAAGCTTAGAAAAACGTGCATACATTCCGCAGTCTGAGAGCCGTTGAAGTCATCTGCAAGTGCTGTCATCACCACCAACGGCTTTAGTGTGCTACATCGCACTATAGAGTGGATTTAGCACAATGAAGATTGCAGATGTCAAGATGATCATCAGCAGACTGCTACAGTCAGTATCGGAGGCCGTGAGCATGATGTATGGTCCGATTGTTCGGAAGTTGCTGAATACGGCATATCAAAGGCAAAGGTCTACATTCCAGCACAGGCAACAAGAGATGAAAATGTCGCAGGAGTCGAGCTCGGGGGAGAGTCGGCCACTGTGGCTAGCTTGTCATCCGTGACGCCACGCGTTCGTCACGCGTACCGTCACATGGTGACAAAGTACACTTCAGCGCTTCAGCTTCAGGTTAACGTTGGATCTCCTCTGCGACACTTGGAATCGGATTCAACACACCTTTTGAAAATCCGAAGTAGATTTCTGGAAGACCATCATGTCTCAGGGAACTGATGTCGAGCTGAGCGATGAGGTTGAGCTGATTGACGATGGAATGAATGAGGTAGGCCGGTCGTAAAATGCTGAACTATCAAGCTGAGTACAGCAGAGCGCAGGACCCAAGCATTGCTGTTACTGCTAATGTAATGTCAGCTGTACATGATGAGCGGCCAAAGAAATCGTTGACTCAGATTGCACGAGCGATCGAACACTTAGGATCCACTGAGGTGTTGGTACGTTGGCAACAACCTACAGTACTCCATGTTTCGATCTGACGATGTAGCAGGAGCCGCTTACATTAGTTGCTCTACTGTTGCCGTCTTCCAGAGACGGTGCCGAGCAGTTGCTGAACCTGATGGCGCAACAGTGCAGCGCTAAGGAGGTGGTTATGGCGACGAAGGAGGCCCTAGAGCACTTAGCACTCTCCTTGGATGGTGATGATGAGACGGAGGCTGTTCCAGACACAAATTCCGGCGCCACTCAGCTTGAGCGCGGCTTGCGACTTTATATCCGATGTGAGTGGAAGCAGTGTGATAATCTCATACTTCAAGCATAACCTCATTCAGCCGTTCCACGCCTTCCGAAGCGCAAAAAATCAGCGAGCGAGGTCCTACAACCCCTAGTTTCCGAGCTCGAAGCCTTAAATATGCGGATTGGAGGCACGGCTTCTGCAGAAGAAAGTCGTGCACTTATATCCTCGGCGTCTGAGTTAGCAACGTCGATATACGCATCGGTAGAATCGGATACCACTGTTGACATCAAACTTCTATCCGAAGTCAAGGCATGTGGCTTTTATTTTGCACCAATCTCATACAGTGCTGAGTGATTACAAGGCCATCCTGTACTCGTTCCTCAGTTCGGTGATCGAAGCTTTTATAGATGCCGTGAAGGAGGATCTCGCGACGAAGGCGTTTGCGGCACACTTCCCGAGATTGATCGTTCCGCAGTCGGAGGAGACATCGTCATCGGAGCAAGTCGGTGTCATATCGACAGTGCAGGTGAAGTGCTATTAATGTGGCACTGATCGTACACTGCGCTCATGACTCGCGACCGCAGGCAGCCGTGACAGCCCTGGGTTTCCGCATATCGGACTATGAGTCTCGTTTATCGCTCGGTTCTCTGGTTCTACTCGCACACAGTCCTTCATACTCGTTCTCCGTTCCCATGCTCACATCCTTCTTCCCCATCATCTTGATATCTCTACAGTCCAACACTGCTCTTGATGAGGTCCTCTCCCTCCTCATCAACTCGATTGTTCCATTGCAGTCCCAATCGCCCAGCGAGCTCCCACCCGACCTGATCGTTCCGCTCGCGCATGTTCTCCCGCCGCTCGCGAGTGTACATCCAGAGCCATCAACCCGGCATCAAACATTTCGTCTCCTTTCTGTTGTGCTCTCACTCGCACCGTCACCGCTCAGGCTACAGCTTCTATATGGTCTCTTGACAGACCCGGATTCGTTGCCTCAGATGCGCGTTGCGGCTGTGGGTCTGGTCAAGGAAGCTGTTTTAGAGGGGCTTTCGACTACAATGGGCTCTTCGGATGCAGCGCGGAACGTCTTCGCGTCACCGATATTCTTGCAGACGCTCGGGTCAACGATCTTGCAAACCGATCCGCCTGAATTGTTCACGTCTGGCGAACAGCTCTCCCTAGCGGAGTTTCTGGAGAGCGCCGAGCCACTGAGACTCGTCGAATGTCTCGCCTTATATTATGTGCTCTTGCTCAGAGATGTGCAGAACAGGGTAAGTGTGACTCATCCTCATCATGCTAGACGAACTTCTACATATGTGGTGCTGACTCTGGTGCAGACCGGTGTGCGAGACAAGGACAACCTCAGCAACGTTGAGCGCACGTTGCTTAGACCACTAAGACAGCAATTCGAAGCTTGGAACCATGGTATGAGTTGCCTAATTACATCCGAGGTGGCTGAATCTGATATTACTCAGATGGAGATTCTTCGCATACTGGTGACTCAGAAATGCAGTTGGCGATCCTAGACATGTGGCTCGACCGCGTCAGTGACGCAGTAAAGAGCATATATGCGGTTTGAGGGGGTAGTGAGAGCTTGTAGCCGGTGGCACGTATCAGTCCAACAGTCACTCTTCTAAGATAGATGCATGAGCGTGTCTGTGCCTCGCTCTACTAGTTTTCGACAAACAGGGAGCAGTGGGAGCTAAGAACCAATCTCAGATCCCTGTTATAAGGTGAGGATGTGGGCGCTTAGTCGTACTCGTATTCTGTGATGAAGTCAGCCGGGTCCCGTCAGCTCAAGTACGCTTCCAACATTCTTGTCCCGACGTCCGTATACCCCAGCTATCGTAATATCCTGTTAACTGGGTACGTTCTTCGGGGACACGCCATAAATGAGGAGCCATATGTCAATTGCAAGACATGCTACCACGAAAGCGGAGAACAAAGAAGGTTTGGCACGCGAAGGTGCACCGCAGTATGGAGGCATATAAAAGATTCAAGTTCGACGAATGTGTGCGTCGACGAATGTGTGCGTCGTGAGATCAATGTCCTGCGTCTCACTCCTAGCCCTCTCCGCTCAGAAAGCTACCGTGATTGGAATGGTGCTTTCTGCAATGGCATATGGTGAGAACAAGCCTTTTTCCTATGTGGCGAAAGCTTAAATTTGATCAATAGGAGCTCACGTGTCGCTGTTCTTCAGCATAGCACGACTTTACCTGAAGCCCGCGACTCAGCATCGCTATGGTCGTTCGCTGCTCCTGTATATCTGTCCATCCTTTGTTTTGGCTACAGCCGGCATCGCGTCGCAGTTACGTCTGCAGTACGCGATGTTTTTTGACGGTTCGGTGTGTCTTCATGGCGTAGCTGTGTATCTGCATGAGCAATGTCAAAGTCCGCTCACTATTGTCACCACGGTGATGTGCGTGGAATCTCTTAATTTGTAGAATATCTGCTGAACGGATTATGCGCTGTAGGTATCTTCTCCTGAATTGGACGTCTGCTGGACTGCTGGTATGCACAGCGTGGGCAAGTGCTGTGGAAATGTCAATTAACGCATTCAACAGCTCTATCGGTTCTACGTGATATTCAACAAGAGCATTATTGCTCTGACTGTAGCAATCATTTCCATCTTGGCTCTTATCCGTACGTGTCCTCTCGATCAACTTATATTCTTTTTGAATCTCTGGTCGTCGCAGTTGTCGCCTCAACACATATGCGAGACCTTGCCTGCATCACTTCGGATCTCTGGACTGACACACCCATGGGAGCCGGCATTGCCTGCATAGCTCTCTCCCTCGCCCTACACATCCTGTTGACATTCGCGATCGTCGTGCGCATCCTCGACATACGCCGAATGATCATACGGTATTCTACCAAACGACATGGGAAGCTTTACATATCTATCGTCACAGTACTCATCGAGTCGGAGTTGCTGTATACCATCGTGGCGATATTCGCCTTGGTTGTCTTTGCTGTCAAAAGTCCCATTCAGACCGCATTACTTCCACTACTGGGTCAGATGCAAGTGAGTGACATCACCAATCCTTAATGAACGATACAATATTCACGGATCTTCTCAAAGGCGATTCCTGCTTTGATGATCACCCTGAGAGCACTTGAGGGCCGTTTTATATTGGAAGAAACAGTCAAGATGACGTCCATGCAATTTCAAGATGGTGATCTTGAGAAAGCACTGTCTAAGGACGATGATCATTGCTGGGATTCCAACACAACGTACGCATACCCAAGCACTGTGGACGACGATGATCTCTCGAAATCTCCTCTGTCGCCGAATGGAATTGGTTGTCATATGAATAATGTGACCCTGCCACAGCTGCCGGATCGCCCTTACCTTGAACCGCCAAGGAAGAAGCATCAACCTTGTCAGTTCTTCCGTTCTGTTTTTGCGACGCATCTTACCAAGTTGTAGCGACTAGTGCCATTGTATCGATGAACTGCCCATTGTATCAGTGGCGTCTCAACCAGACTAAGCCAACAAGCTAGGCCGAGCTGTTTCTTGCGCTCAACTGACCTGAGACGCGGGTGGACATCAAGCCGGCAGCTCGAGAAGATGATGTCTCTTCCAGTGGACCGTTTCGATGACGCTCACTTGCATGGCTTGCACAGAGCTAGGCATGTTTTGCGTGATGGTTATGGTCCACTGATGCATTTGGATGGCAGGACGGTCGTGCTCATTGGACGTTGTTGGAACTAGTACCGTATAGTCTGCTCAGCTGGCCCATTGCTTATGTCGAAGAAGTTAGTATACTTTGCATTGTATAGCAGTGCAACACCGCCGCTTCTGACAGACGTTGGATTTCTTTTTGAGAGCAAGGAAAAGTTGTCTGAGCATGTCTAGATTATTATTAAATCAGCCAATCAAACGTTCCCTCAGGCTGCACTAGTGTGAGGCCTGTGAGAAGTTATTTGAATTATGTACGTCTTTGATGGTGCGATACCTTTGTGTTTTACTTTAGATAGAACAACGAATTTCATCAAACGGTACGTCTGCCACTGCTTAGGCATGCAAGACAGATATGTAGAGCGCCAAGAATCACATGCCCGGAGGGGATGTCTCCCCACTGGTCAGGGCCCCAACCTCGCACTTGGACTTGTTCGAACGCCTCTCGCACCTCACATTTCTCGCGGAATCCTGTTGATTTGTGCATCGAGCGAGTGAAAACGCGATCCAGGATTCTAGACACGCGAGATAGCAGCAATTATCGAGAAAGTGCTTTCCAGCGATGCGATGAAACGTGTCTGTTGATTTCCAATGTCGAGATTTCCGGTACAATGGAGGTCGGGTGCATCTCATGCCTCCCATCGGTCGCTTCTCCTGCTGTTTGTCTCGTTGCTGTTGCTTCGCTCTCGCCTGATTACAGGACCAAAAGATTTTGTCAAGAAACTGAAGGCTGTCACGGCAAAGCGGCCAATTACCCCAGAAGAGCTTGCACGAGCTCTCCAACAGGTCTACATCAGTGAAGCTAATGGCAGCGAGACACTGCTTGTACCTAATGACGAGGGAATAACGAAGGTCTGTCAGTCATTGCAGTTAAATTCTGTGTCTGTAATCGCTTCTGGTTTGTGAGCGTTCGTAGCCACATTCAGTATCCGCTGAGCAACTTAGCACCTGCAGAATTGTCTTCAATCAACTTGCAGATGTTCTCTAGATAGTCTCCGTTACTGATTTCGTCCTGCCGGCCAGGTTCTCATCCGCCATACTCCCCCTTCCGTCTTCGCTGCGAATGCCAAACACTTCCCTCCCGTACCCACGTCTCACAAACCCAACCTTGACAAGGCGTTCCTTAAGCAGCTCCTTGCAATCATGCGCATCGCGTTCCCCACCTGGCATTCACGTGAGGCTGCGATACTCCTTGCGCACAACTTCTTCCTCGTCTTCCGTACTGTGCTCAGCATAGCTGTTGCACGACTCGATGGGCGCATCGTGCGGGATTTGGTCAGCGCGGACGGGATAGGCTTTTCGAAGGGCTTGGGTTTGTGGTTCGCTCTCGCCATCCCGAGTACTTACACGAACACTATGGTCGGCGCATCAACTGTAATTCTGTGACATTCATGCTGAATGAATTGGATGGACCAGATCCGTCACTTGCAAGCAAAGCTTTCCCTCAGGCTACGAACGCGCTTATCGCGGTACACCGACGACTTGTACCTGTCCTCCTTCCCCGACCTGAGGTACTATCGGGTTGCACAGGAGGGTGGCCTCGAAGATGTCGATCAATACATCACTTCCGACATTGCTGCCTTCTGCGATTCGCTTTCTGGCATCTAGTACGTTGCGCCACATCCTATCACATTCTGCTCTCATCGTTCTGCCATTGCACAGTGGGAACGTGCTCAAGCCATCCTTGGACTTGCTGCTATTCACCTCGCAGTTGTCGCGCACCCTTGGCGTACGAGGCACGATCCTGCTCGGCCTCAATTACTACGTGACTGCGGCCATCCTCCGAGCGGCGACGCCGGCGTTTGGGCGCCTGGCAGCTGTAGAGGCTCAGCTAGAGGGCGAGTATCGTGCGGGGATGGGTAGAATTGATCGTGAGAGCGAGGAGATCGCGTACGTTCTCATACACGTTTTGCTGCGGCGGCTGAATACTGACGGATAAGCTTGTTTAAGTTTCTATGGAGGGGGACAGCGAGAGAGAAGCATCCTGTGGCGCGCATATTCTCGGCTGATCAAGCACATTAATTCGATATACAAGGTAAGCACTATGGATCGGTACTGTTTCACAACATCCTCACTCATCGCGAGTAGATCCGGATAGCATATGAGTGGACAGAAGACTTCGTGATCAAATACCTATGGAGCGCGGCGGGATACTGTTTGATTTCCGTCCCGGTCTTCCTCACGAGACGCAAGAACGCCGCTGTCCAGACAGGCGGATTGCATAACCTCAGCAGGGTCAATGACGAGGTGGCGAACCGTACTGAAAGTGAGCGATCACGCATCCTCTAGCGTGATGTCCTCTCACATGATTTCCGATAGCCTACATCTCCTCTCGTCGGTTGCTCCTCTCACTTGCCGATGCGGGTGGACGGATCATGTATGCATACAAAGACCTGCTCGAGCTCGCGGGCCTCACCACCCGACTGTATACCCTTCTCTCCACCTTGCACAATCTCCCTCCTCTCCCGCCCAACACGGATTCAGCGCACGAGGACTGGATCGAGCTCAAGCACGTGGACGTCGGTGTTCCCCAAGGCAAGGCATCCGACTCCAGCGCGTCTGCGCCCTCGTCGTGGATACTGGTCAAAGACTTGTCACTCGCCTTGCGCAAGGGCGAGCATCTAATGATCACGGGAAGCAACGGCGTGGGCAAGACGGCTGTCGCTAGGGTGCTGGCGGGGCTGTGGGCCGCGCAGGGCGGGGGAGAGGTGCGCATACCGCCAGGGAGGAAGGGCGTGTTTGTCGTGCCGCAGCGGTCGTATATGGTCACAGGGTCCCTGCTTGACCAGTGAGTCGTGCATGAAACTCAGCGTGCTGTGAGTTGCTTGAATTGTTGACGGCGTTGTAGAATCATCTATCCTCACTCGTACCCGGAGTTCTTGGAATCGGGAAAGACGGAGGAAGACCTTTTGAAGATTTTGACTGCGGCGAATTTGGCGTACCTTCCGGCACGCGAGGGAGGCTGGTTTACAAGGAAGGAGTGGAGAGACGTGTTGAGTGGCGGTGAGAAACAGAGAGTGAGCATTCTCTCTCCTGTCCCTGTGCTCGAGGCTGGCGATTATTCCCTGTGGCTCATCCGAACATCTTCCATGGACACTGACACCCGTTTTAGATGGGGCTGGCACGAGTGTTCTACCATAGACCGAAGTTTGCTGTTCTAGATGGTATGATCTTCATGTCACAGGTGTGAACGCCAGACACTCATCTCTCTATTCAGAATGCACAAGCGCTGTATCTAGTGACGTTGAGGGTAGGATGTACGAGCACGCGAAATCACTCGGAATCACTCTCATTACGATATCTCTCCGGTGTGTACCTCGTCGTTCTCATTCGTCACTATCGCTCATCCAACATCCCTCCAGACCGTCGCTCATGCGTTATCACACACAACTGCTCACGTTGGAGGGCGATGGCACCGGAAAGTGGACGCTGTCGCGCATGGGCACCGCGGAAGAGCGGGTGGGTATAGATCGTGAGATCTCGACGCTGGAGGGCAAGCTCGCAGATGTGGAGCAGTGGGAGGCGAGGGTAAAGAAGCTGAATCAAATGCTGTCTGTACAAGAGCAGTGAAGGCGACTATTTCGTGCAGTGCCTTGCGAGTTATCGTGGATTACCAACTTACTATTTGATGTGTTTTCGACTGTAGAATACCTGCAATTTAAATTTTTCGAATATCTGATGACTTGAGGACCAGATCAGTGGCGTTTATGCAAAGAGTGCGTCAGCGCATAGCCAAAGCGTTTAGCACGTGACCGTATACGCATTGCCACACACGCGACGTGCCTTAAGCGCCCTTGCTTTTTGGGCGCCCGATGGATGACTAAGCATACAGATTCAGCACGGCTTGTCCCAGCATCGACGCACTCCCATTACTTCCGCCACAACCTCCATCACTACTCGTCACGTCCTCCTCATCCCATCGAACGTAATAGATCTCTGCCTGTGCAGTTTCACCTTGACTTGGCGGGTGCGAGCGGAGCCGGTACCGACACGCGCTGACTCACTTCGCACTGCTTTCCAATATATTAAACGAGCTTGAAACGCTTTGACGATTATCTCTAAACCTCTTTGCATGGCCCATACCACTCCTTCTGCCCCGCTTTCTGCCACGACAAGTTCTGCATTACCGAACGGAAACGACCACCCACAGCGACAAAAGCCCCCAGGGCGGTCGAGAAGAAAGCCCCCTCCCAACGCTGACCAGCCCGCCTCGACCGGCAATGGTGAACCTTCACAGGGCACAATTCAACGTCGGAGACCTATCAAGCAACAGCGGGAATGGTCCGCATCAGCTCGGGGAAATGAGAATGCTTCTCACGGATGGCATGTGAGTGCGGAGGTCCCAAGTCATGCGGAAGCAGCAGCCTCAGCAAGTCGACCTTCAGAGCAGAGGAGGATTTCCACCCGCCTACCCCGTTCTCCATCGAGAACATCGGCTACATCAGAACATGTCACATCAGTTCAGGGAGGGCCGGCGGCTCCCGTGAATGTAGATGCTCCAAATTCAGAGAGTTCGGTAGCCTCAGGTAGCCGATCTGCAAGGCCAGGGAAACCTCACACTCGTCCTCCTCCCTCTGCAAATTCATCTGCTATGTCCGAGCATGTCGTGTCTACACAGGGAGAGTTGGATGGGAAGATGCCTGCTGCTCCTCGGCAAGGACCCAGAACTAGCCGCCGTTATGGAAAGTTCAACAGCCTCCTGACGGTCTCAGCGGCAGCGGCGCCCGCGAAGCAGGAAGTCTCTGCAACTTCATCTGCCATGTTCGAGCATGTAGTGTCTGCACAGGCAGAGTTGGACGGGAAGAAGCCTGCTGCTCCTCGGCAAGTACCCAAAAGGAGCCGTCGTGGTGGAAAATTCAACAGCTCCCTGACGGAGTCGGCGACGGCGGCGTTCGAGAAGCAGGAAGCGAAGCCGTCGCAGAAGCACCGCAACGCTGCTCCAAAGGCGGACGATCTCACGTCGCGACTCATCCGTGACCTCAGCACAGCTCCTTATCCTGACTGTCTTATCTGCTTCGCTGCTATTCATCCTGCTCAACCGACATGGTCCTGCTCGCCTTCAATTCCGATCTCTGCCGCGACAGACGACGAGGGCGATGGCTCACGACCGAGAGCTAACACGGCACAGTGCTGCTGGACGACTTTTCACCTGAAGTGCATTCGGGCGTGGGCATCGAAGAGCGTGAAAGATATTACGGCGGCATGGCGTGCGCGTGGCGTGGAGAAGAAGGGAGAGTGGAGGTGTCCAGGATGTCAAGCGAAGAGGGAAATTGTGCCAAGCGGGTATTGGTGAGTCAACATGTCTCGCATATCTGTTCGGCGACTCATGACCACTTAGGTGTTTTTGTGGATCTACCCTCGAGCCCAAGCTTTCTCGTCTTGCGACCCCACACTCGTGTGGGAACCTATGCTCTCGTCCCCGTGCTTGTGGGCATCCCTGTCCTCTTGCATGCCACCCGGGTCCATGTCCGCCCTGCCAGGTGACGTTACAGCTTCCATGCCACTGCGGAAAGCAGATGCTCTCATTCCGGTGCTCACATCTCGCGCCGGAAAAGACAAGCGACAAGACAGCCGCGGAACTGTCCTGCGGGCAAAAGTGTGGGCATAAATTAAGCTGTGGGAATCATGACTGCGAGGAGATATGCCATCCCGGACCTTGTCCGCCGTGCAAGGTTCGGCATAAGGCGCGATGTTACTGCGGGAAGGAGGAACGGGAGCTGGGGTGTGGTGAGGGCGAGGAGAAAGAGTGCGCTGTAATGGAAGAAGGTCAGGAGAAGAGGTGGACTGGGCAGTTCGAATGCGGAGAAATATGCGGGCGACCGTTCGACTGTGGCATCCACACTTGTTCCAAGCCCTGTCATCCGCCGTCGCTCACGCCTGAGCCTTGCCCCCGCTCCCCGTCGCTCGTCACACATTGTCCGTGCGGCAAGCACGTGCTCAAGCCGTCTTCTTCACCATTCTTCCCTCCTGGTACATTGCTTATGCGGACATCATGCACGGATCCTATTCCGACGTGCGAGTCGAACTGCATGAAGCCGCTCGAGGGATGCAGTCACGCATGCTCAGCTCGCTGCCACACCGGCCCATGTCCGCCGTGCCGCATCATGGTTGTGCGTCCCTGCCGGTGCGGTGCGACGACGCGGGACGTGCCGTGCTTCGAGGACCAGGCGCGTGGACGCGATGACCCTGGCGTGGAAGAAATCTTTTGTGATCGGCCTTGCACCGCGCTGCGGGCCTGCGGGAAACATCGGTGCAATCGCTTGTGCTGTCCGCTGGCGAGCCTTGCGAGCGCAGCGAAGGGTAAGGGGAAAAAGAAGGCGGAAATGGAGAGCGCGATAGTGGACGAGGCAGGGTGGCACGAGTGCGACCTGGTTTGTGGGAAGTTGCTATCTTGCGGAAACCATCATTGTGAGCAGCGCGACCACAGAGGCGCATGCCCGCTGTGCCTGAGGAGTTCTTTTGATGAGGTGAGTCCCCGTTAGCGTCGATGATCACATTCCGGCGATTTTAACCACTGCTGGCTGGTAGATGATTTGCAATTGTGGGCGCACGATTCTTGAACCACCAATTCCGTGTGGAACCCGCATAAGCTGTCATTATCCGTGTGCGCGTCCCCCGCCGCCCTGTGGTCATCCGAAGGCCCAGCATCTATGTCACGAAGATCCGATTCCATGCCCGCCGTGTGTTTTCTTGACAAGCAAGCGATGTGCATGTGGAAAAAAGATGGTCGACAACGTAAAGTGCTCGCAGGAGAAGGTTTCATGTGGAACGCCGTGCGGAAAGTAAGACGTATTCTGGCTCTGCTGTCAATGACGGATGCTGATTGTCTCATCCACTGTTTAGGTTGCTCGCGTGCGGGTTCCATCGTTGCGAGCGCTTGTGTCACAGCGACGCTTGTGGTCCCTGTACAGCGGTCTGTGGCAAGCCACGTAAACTTTGGTATGTTGCTTCTTTTTTTCGTTTCCCCGTCGATAACGGTGCGCTCATGGATATACTGCACCAGCCTTCCCGCTCATCACCCTTGTCCCTTACCGTGTCACGCACCTGCGGCCTGTTCCGAGGCAGAGCCCTGCCGCTCTATCGTGACTCTCACCTGTCCTTGCGGGCGCATCCGCCAACAAGTCCCTTGCGGACGCTGCACTACCAACCCTACGGGTCGCGAACACTCGCAACAGCTCAAGTGCTCGAACGAATGTCTGGTCGCCAAGCGTAATGCTCGTCTCGCGGAAGCTCTAGGCATAAATCCAGACCGTGGTACGATGCATCCAGTCACGTACAGTGACGAGTTGTTAGCGTTTGCGAAGGCCAATGCGAAATTTTGTACCATGGTTGAGAAGAGCCTAGCCGAGTAAGTTCTATCACGATTCAGATATCAGATGGGAAACTCATGTGGTCCCCCTTTTCTATTTTTCTAAAAAAAGCTTCCTCTCGTCCGACAAGAAGAGTCAGATCTTAGCACCGATGCCGGAAGTAAGGCGGAAGTTCGTTCATGATGTAAGTGACGGTCGTCATTCCCTTCTAGAAATTGGCCGGGCTAATGTTTCGGATGCAGCTCGCTGCTGTATACCGCATCGACACGCAGATGGTGGATCAAGAGCCAAACCGCAGCGTTCAGCTTTTTAGGCGGATTGATTCGCGGCTACCCGCTCCCCTCCTCTCGGCCGCCGCCACGGTACCACAATCGTCATCCAGCTCACCTGCTTTCAATCTCGGCAAATTAGCAGATCTACGCAGCCCCACCGTGCATCAGTTGCCTCGAGCCGCTGCGCCTCCGGCGCGTTCCATAATTCCTCCGCCCACGTCGGGGCTTGGAGGCTGGAGCGCTGCTGTTGCGCGTCCGCCGAATTCGGCTTCTTCCAGCGTGTGGGCTTCCAGGCCTGTGGGGTCACCGCCTGCAACTCGTCCGTCGTCGGCAGTTTCACTCCCTCATCCCCCACATCAAGCGGTTACTATCGCCGCCCATGCGGATGAACATGTCCCAGATAGTTGGGAGGATGATGCATGAAAAGGTACCGACTCTAGAGTGTAGTAGAGGTATTGGTTAATATGTAATATGCACAGACTACGTATACAGATACCGTACATGCGTGTGATGCATATGGTTAACTTATAACTGTCCCCATCATGCGACGTATAATTTGCTCATATTTTTTTGTTTATTCCAGCTTATCCAACGGATAAAGCGGCCAGTTTTTCACTGTGGCACCCTTTCTCTCGATATTCGGCACTGCTTCCGTGAACTACGCGTATCCTCAAATATAATGTCGTATTTCCATCGGACCCGTAACGCGGAATACACATGATATAGGGATCAAGCTCGGATGCGGATAGAATCTTGCTAGGCCGGTGGATTCTCATGCCGGTACACTGTGCAGTTCTTCCTCGTGCGGTTACGTCGTAGAGTTGTGCAATGGAAGAGCATGTTGAGACCCCACCGAGTGATTTTCTTTATCGACGAGCTCAAGCACCCACACCTAAATCCCAGACTCAATATTTCCCATGCATGACTTCTTATCGGCGGTACACGTCTTTGCATACAAGTACATTATGTGGTTACATCTCGGCCTTTCCGCCGCTCGTCTCACGCCAGTACTTCCACATCACTCCGCGATCTTGATCACGAGCTTTCCAGTGGTCTTTCCACCAGTAAGGTCCTTCTGTGCCTGCTTGACACCTTCCGCTGTGAAGGGATACTCACGGAAAACGTTGATCTTGAGCGTCCCGTCCGCGATGAGTTTGAACAGCTTGGTGGTGTACCTGCGGCCTTCCTCCGGGGTAGCGATGTAGTTACCCAGCCTACGAAGGTGTGATTACAAGTCACCCTGGAGGATTGCAGGAAAAAACGTACGTCGGTCGCAAGAGCCTCAGATTCTTCTCGGCCAGCTTGAGCGGCGCGAAAGGTGGGACCGCGCCGGAGGCATTACCTACAGAGACCAACGTGCCCTTCCGGCGGAGGAGCTTGAAGTCATTGTCAAATCTACATGGCTCGCATCAACGTGACGCCCGCAGTCGGTGCGCAGTGTAAGACGCACGTATCCTTGCCTACGCCGTCGAAGACCGCATGGACACCCTCGCCATGCGTGATCTCCAACACACGCTGCACGGTGTCCTCCTTGGGGTACAGGATGACATGGTCTGCGCCGTGCGCACGCGCGAGCGCCGCCTTCTCGGGCGTGCTCGTCGTCCCGATGACGGTCGCACCGCGCGCCTTGATGAGCTGCGCGAAGAGAAGGCCGAGCCCACCTGCGACGGTGTGCACGAGGATTATATCGTTTGGTTGGACGTTATACGCCTCTTCGACGAAGGACACGACGGTTATGCCTGTACGATTGGTGACGCATCATGATGTTGGAAAGCCTAGATCGTCTTCTTATGTTTATAATATGCACCTTGAGCAAGACCGGCTGCTGCCGTGCGTAGCGGTACGGATTCAGGTACCGGAAAGACGTTCTTCCATGGTACACTGGCGTACTCCGCGAACAGGCCGAGGTTATACTGCGTACCCAGTAAAGTCAGTCGCGAACACTGCGCCTTGGCATTCGCACGACATTACGCACCACCGCGACTTTGCCACCCACGGCAAAATTTCGTTTCTTGTACTCTTCGTAGTTTACGACGTTCTCGTCGGATGGCAGGCTGGCAATAGTGCCAGAACCTTCGCTGCCAACGATGAACGGAAACTGGTTGATGTTGTACAAGCCTTTCCTGATCAAACGCAAACGATCATTTAACGGTTCCGCGTAAATTATCATGGAGGACGGATTAAACGTCACCTATAGTAGGTATCTATGAAGTTTACGCCGCCATAGGCCATCTAGAACGTAACCAACCAATCACATCCACCTGCATGCATCGAACCTCCCTGTGTGCAACGCACCTTCACGAGGATATTGCCAGGCGCAGCCTGCGGAACGGGGACAGCTGCCTTCTCGATCACGTCAAAGTCTCCCTGCTTGTTGATCAAAATCGCCTGCATCTGCGACGGAGACGACATTTGTGGATAGCGAATAGTGATGAACCTTGACAATCGGACGAGTTGGGAGCGGAACGGTGCAAACGATCTCAGTATCATGTCCGTCGGGACCAGATTCGCTGACAAATGACCGAATAACTGTGGATTTTTTGCTCTCGTAAGCCCATCAGTGCTGCGAGCGCTGTTGATTGAGATGTTGTATCATTTAATGCTATTGAATGGTTCATCACCTCATCGGTCACCTGCAGCGTATAACTATTATTGTGTCAGATGGTCTCTGGGGAATAACAATTTTAACCATGTAATATGTCATTCAAAGGTCACACTATCTCAACTTTGCCCAAATGCTCTTCAGCGTACGGGACATTTTTTGAAGCTTATATATCATTCCCTCTTATGGGTCCGCTGAAACGTTATCCTGGAACTACATGGCGTTGTGGCCCGCGTGGCGCAAGCGCTCGATGTCACCGCCCCCCTTGTCTTTTGCTAAATGTCTCCATCTACTTGTTCAACAATGCAACACTCTTTGTTCAATGTTCAATGCCTGCATTTCAAAACAATCATGCATTTACCGGAAACAAGGCTTTTCGGAAGGATTCATAGTGATGATCGACACAGACGATCCGTGATGCGACGCCGGTTTGTATGTACATGTTCGATTCTCCTTCGTGAAAAACAGGACGATGGCGCATCTATAACCCTTCCAAGGACGCTGGTCGCATTACGATGAATTCCCACAAAGCTGGTGACGGAGATACGTTTGACTCGTTCAGTTTCCTACAGAAACCGGAATTCTTCATTGTTTACAACGCGGATTCCCTCTTGCCTGCTGCTTATCCAACCAATTCCTCTCGTTCAGCCCCGGCGAGTAGAGGCGAATGTAGACGACCACTCATTCGCCGACTGGCTCTCGGAATCTGCGAAGAGGGCATCGGAGCTGGACTCCATGATGTAATGCATCGTTTGGCCTCGCCAAGTCATGCTATACCATCACGAGCGTCGGGTGCTCCGACGAGACCGGCGACTTCGCGAAGTTGTGCGTCAAGCGGGTGCTGAGGCGACGCTCCGTGCATCTGATGCGTATGGCAACAGTCCTTCAGCCAGCTCCAGTTGCGTAGTAAAAGTGGTCTTCGTTCTCCTCGTGCACAGCGAGGCAGCCCTTCTCAGATGACTGATACTGTCTGGTGCTACGCCGACTAACGTTATGTGGCCAAATCGGTCTTCTAGCGTTCTGAAGAAGGTCGTCGAGAACAAATTTAAAAGGAAGCTGCTTATCTCCGATCGCTATCTTTCGGCATATCAGCTCGTGGCCAACATGAGTCGCTGGTGGGGATGCTATATTATAAAGCTGGTAGAGCGAGAGCTGGGGAGTGTCGGGTGACAAGTCGCGCTCACTTGATTACTGCGAGGTACCGGCTGGCACTGTCTTCTCCTCAGTAACTAGCCAGGAACACGGTTCCATGGTCACTTCGGAAACAGTCTCGGAGTACGCAGATATTACGGGTGAGGTTCGGACTGCTCTGCGAGCTGATCTCAATTCACATCTCGTATCTCAATCAAGTGATCAAGTACCTCAATGTCGCCGCCACTTGCTGCCTCGTTTATGATATGCTCATTCATCTCGGCGACGAGGTGAGCATGATGAGCTTTGATTACCTCTACGCTGTTGAGACATATTCTGCAGATCGAGTACATCTGGAAGTAAGTTTATGAACGCCGGACATGATCGATCACTCACCGATTGCTGCCCAGAGCATCGCATTCATGGATGAAGTGGATATATGCCTTCATCAGGCACTTCCCATACATCGTTCCCATGTACGTGCCATCATTTTCCGAGCCTTCGCCCTCGCGATGCAATTACGGATGCTGATTTACCTCTGATAGAACAATCAATGTTTTTCTCCCTGGATCAAGCAGCGGCAGTCGGCTGCACTCGAACCAATGTCGAGGGTTCATCACATACCAATTCATCGCGAATGAAGCGCTGACTGTAGCTGTCGAGGCTATTCTGATCGCACGAGGTGCGTCTATCATTTATACCCTGAAGCTGACGCTCGCTGATGGCTCACCTGAACCGTAGTCTGCGCCATGTTTAATCGCAATAAGCCAGTCGTCGGCCTCGTCATTGCGCTTTTCGCTATGGAAGTCGCTGCCATGATCACCGTCCTCGCGTTCAGCATACCCAGAATCCAGTTCAGCCCGACATGCCTGATCACACACACTCCGAGTATCTTCACGTCCTACTGGTGCGTTGAACGCCACTCCTGAGCTAGTTATTCCAATCTGAGTGGGTGAAAAGGCTGTGGTCTCTCGCGTTCGAGACCTTCCTCTTTGCTTTGACCTTGATTAGGTTTTTCTCTGATATACGCCGAGGCCTGTCGGGAACCTCCGTGTTGTACATCCTAGTTCGAGACGGGATGTGGGCGTACGCTGTCATCTTCGGTTCGTACCTGTTGATCGTATGATCGGTGACGGTTTCTTGATGCATTTCATGCGTAGCTATCATGCTGCTGAACACGCTGTGCTACCATCTCATAGATGGTTCCCTTGCGGGGCTTTGCTTTTGGTGAGCTCATTTTGCTTGCTGCAACGCAATCTCGACTGAACATGTTGATCGCCCAGCTGGGAGTTTGCTATAATGTCCATCGCGGTAAGTCGCATTAGTATCTCGCGTGACCTTCGTATACTGATCATTCAGTCCCAGGGATCCCACGTCTTGCTCAACTTGCGACGGTTCAGTCATCGTTCGCATGAATCTGACGGGACGACGTTGAGGATGGAGCTGCTCGGCAGTATTGAATTCGCCGGCCGCTCCATGCCTGCTGAAGCTGATGATTGGATGTCAGACACAGTGATCACTAGCACTGCCGGGCATGATATGACGTGAGCTTTTGTGCAGCGTTGACGAGTATATAACACAGCGTGCACAGCAATATTTTTCCACTGAAGAAACCGTGAAAATATAGTAAAAGAATATAAAGCCCTGCCTTGGAAAAATGTTAAGAAATATTATGCACATGTTTCCATATTTGGGTAGCACATGCCCATATATAGCAATTTAATGATGGAGGAAGCTTCAATTTCTTCACCATTTTTCCAAATCAAAGCTTAATATGTTTTCAGAGTTTCTCTATTGTTTTCCAATGGAAAAATGTTGCTATGCACGCTGTGTAAATGAATCGTAAAACGGTGCTATGGCTGTATTAGTCCTGTCATTAATTATCGTTATCCGAGAGCGTAACAATTACTCTTCAGATTACCTGCCCGACGACATACGCCTAAAACACCCCATCTCATTAAATGATATCATGGTGCATTTAGTTGTCGCCTCAAACAAATAAACTTCATGACAGCACACCTTCGAATCGCAAACACGGTAGCATTGCTAGATCTCGACGTGAGTATACGCTGCAGCTGGTCGTTCTTAGTACTGTTGCGACCGACTGATCCGCAAGATCAAGGCTCCAGATGAAACCGCTGCTTCACTTTGACCTGTTTCTTCTTCAGACGATCCTTACGTCGAGAGCAGAGCGATGCGCTGGCATTTGAAGGGAGTTGCCTATGCCAACTCTTGCTGCCACAAAATGGAACGCGGACATTCTCAATAGCGCTTCTCTGAAAGTCAGGATGCAAGACTCGCCTTGATACCACTCTGTCAAATTCCTGCCTCGTCGGTCACGTTTTCACCGTCGCCTGTGTTCGCAGGGACTGAAACAACAACACTTTGGTCAGAAACACCAGCACTGACGAACACTGTAGCTGGCTCAGCTTCCATCTCCTGCCGCTTGTTCGTTTCAATCAAAGATGGAAAGTTCTTCTGTACAATTTTTCCAGGGCATGACTTTACTTATTTCTGGTGTATTTCCATCAGATTTCCAGTGGAACAACCTCGTGACGCAGGCTGTGAAAGCTGCCTACTTGGCAAACGCGGAAAGTCGTTCAGTTGCCTACAAGAACGGGAATTTTCACTGCTTTCGATGTGCATTATCGCTTGCCTGCTTCTTGTTCAAACGATTCCTCTCGTTCAGCTTGCTCAGTCTCAACGGACGAAAGCGGATATCAGACAACCACTAATTCTCTAACTGACGCTCGGAACCTACGAAGAGCATCGGAGCTGGACTCCGTGATGTAATCTATCATTTTGCCTCGCCAAATCATGATATAGCATCGGATGCTTCGATGAGACCGTCAACTTCGCGAAGTTGTGCATCATGCGGGCACTGAGACGACCCCTTTGTACATCCCATGCGTATTGCAACGGTCGCGCGTGTCTATTACACCTGCTCCTGGTGGTTAGTAAAGCTGGTGTTCGTCCTATTCGTGCGCAGCAAATTTCCTATATCAGAGAAGCAGCCCTTCTCAGATGATTGATACTTTCTGGCGCTACGCCGGCCACGTCTATGTGGATGATCAGTCTTCTAATGTTCTGACGAGCTCATGTCACCTCATGGCCAACATGGTGGGGATGCTATATACTAAAGCTGGTAGAGCGAGAGCTGTGGAGCGCCGGGTGACGAGTCGTGCTCACTTAATTGCTACGAGCTACCGGCTGGCACTGTCCTCGCCTCAATTACTAGCCAAGAACACCGTTCCATGGGAACTTCGGAAACAGTATCGGAGTACGTAGATGACGCGGGTGAGGTTCAGACTGCGCTGCGAGCTCATCTCAATTCACAGCTCATATGTCAATTCAGTGATCCTGTACCTCGTTGTCGCCGCCGGTTGCTGCGTCGTTTACGATATGCTCATTCATCTCGTCGCCGAGGTGAGCATCATATTGGGCTTTGATTAAAATTTCTTGCTGTCAAGACGTATTATGCAGATCGAGTACATTTGGAAGTAAGTTTATGAATGCTCTACGTGATCGATCACTCCGATTGCTGCGCAGGGCATCGCACTCATGGATGAAGTGGATATATGTTTCATCAGGCATTTCCCATACGTTGTTCTTTTGTACGTACTGCAGTTCTCCGGCCCTTCGCCCTCACGACGCAATTATGAACGCTGATTTAGTGCTAATAGGTCAATGGTCCGATTTTTTCCTGGAGAAAACGGCAGCAGTCCGCTGTACTCGAACCAATGTCGAGGGTTGACTATATACCAATTCGTCGCGAACGAAGCGCTGATCATAGCTGTCGAGGCCGTCCTGATCGCGCGAGGTGCATCTAACATTTTTCCTGAAGCTAACGCTTGTTGATGACCTGTCTTCACTGTAGTCTGCGCCATGTTTAATTGCAATAGGCCAGTCGTCGGCCTCGTCATTGCGCTTTTCGCCATGGAAGTCGCTGCCATGATCACCATTCTCGCTTTCAGCATACCCCAAATTCAGTTCAACCCGACATGCCTGGTCACACATGCCCCCAGTATCTTCACGTCCTACTGGTGCGTCGGACGTCACTTCCAAGTTATATTGATCTCAATCAGTCAGAAGGGTGTGCCTTCTCGCGTTCGAGACCTTCTTTGCCTTGACCTTGATTAGATTTTTCTCCGATATGCGCCGAGGCTTGTCAGGAAGCTCCGTGTTGTACATCCTAGTGCGAGATGGAATGTGGGCATACACTCTCATCTTTGGTATGTACCTCTTGATCGTCTGCGTAGCTATCATGCTGTATAACTTACTGTGCTATCGTTTCATGGATAGCCCCCTCGTGGGGCTCTGCTTTTGGTGAGGCTCGTCTTCCCTGCCGCAATACAATCTCGACTGAATCTAGTTGATCGCCCAGCTGGCAGTTTGCTATAATGTCCATCGCGGTAGGTCACGTCAGCGTCGCGTGAGTTTCGTATATTGACTATGCACTCTCAGAGATCCCACGTCTGCCTCAACTTGCGACGGGTCAGTTACCGCTCGGATGAATCTGAAGGGACGACTTTGGAGCTACTCGGCAGTATCGAATTCGCCGGCCGCTCAATGTCTGTTGAAGACTGGATGTCAGAGACAGTGATTATTAGCACTGCCGGGGATGATATGACATGAACTTTTATGAAACGTTGACGAGTATATAAATGAAACATTAGACTGTGCTACGTGCTGTATCAGTCCTGTCGTTATTTATCGTTATCCGAGAGCGTAATAATTACTCTTCTAATACCCGCCTAAGGAGATGCGATTCTATACGCCTAAAAATACACAACATACCGCATCTCATTAAATAATACCATAGTGCACGTAGTTCTCGCCTCAAACAAATAATTTCATGACAGCACATCTTCAAATCGCAAACACGGTAGCATTGCTCTCGACGTGAGTGTTCACCGGTCGTTCATACTGTTGCGGCCGACTGAGCAGAGATCGAGGCTCCAGATGGAACCGCTGCTTCACTTTGACCCGTTTCTTCTTCAGACGGTCCCTACATCGAGAGCAGAGCGATCCGCTGGCATTTGAAGGGAGTTGCCTATGACAACTCTTGCTGCCACAAAGCTGCAACGCGGACATCCTCAGTAATGACTCGTTGAGAGTTAGGACGCAAGACTTGCCTTGATACCACTCTGTAAAATGCCTGCCTCGTCAGTCACGTTTTCACGGTTGTCTGTGTTAGCCGGGACTGAAGCAACGACACTTTGGTCAGAGATGTCAGCACTGGCGAACACTGCGGCTGGCTCAGCCCCCATCTCCGGTCGTTTGTTCGCTTCCATCATAGATGCAGAAACCGCATTTTCCCCATCAGCCTCCTGATCCGCCTGGCGTTTCCTCCTCAATACCGACGGCGTGTTCGTCAATCTGTTGTTTGGCTCACCCGTCTTCGCTGAGAAGGCGCCGTACAGTGGCAGAACGCCTGCCTCTCCGTACGATGAGATGCCTTGCTGGATGTTCGCGTAATCCGGATGAGAAACGAAATCCGCCGATACCGAGTAGACTGACTGGGACGGTGGCGGAGGTGGTGGAGAGGTGGCTGCAGTGGCGGAAGAATGAGTGGGCGCAGCACTGATAGCAGGAGCCTGGACAGGAGGGGGGGCGGCGACATATGCTTGTGTCCCATAAGGCTGCGGGTACATATATCCTGCGGGATAGTACGGAGGCTGATACATCGGTGACGGAGCATACGCGGGATGCGAATATGGGTAGGCGGGTGCACCGTACGAGTACGGGCCAGGTTGTGCGCCGTATGGCGGCATCCCGTACGGGGGCATATAGAACGACATATACGGCGGCGCGATCGGGGTGCTTGACGGAGGAACATCGGTGCCTACGGCGATGGACGCGATCTCCTGTATAGTCAGTCCAGTGGGCGGCACGGAATTGCTCATAGCCTGGGGTTCAGGAACCACGATGGAGACACCAGATGTCGACGCAACATTCGCATCAAGTTCTGATGATGGAGGCGATGTTGACGCCGACGCTTCGGCGGAATGGGGTGTAGGCGCTTCCCCCTCTGCAGTTTTCCTCGCTTTCTTCCTCAGAGTCCTCTTCTTTCCAGCAGTCGAGACTGCCTCAGCCTGCGCAGTCCTGTTGACAATTTGCTCTGCCGAAACGAGATGGAAGGGGTCCGCGGAAGCGCGTACCGGAGGGCTCGCCTCTGACGGCTGGGTAAGGTCAGCGGCAGGAGCTTGCAAGGGAGAGGTCGGCACCGTGTCAAGATTCTGCATGGATTACCACATAATCAGTGATCATGTCAAAAAGACAACTCATCAGAATGGACGTACCGAACTTTGTACCATCGGCTGCATAAAGACAAGCGTGGGCTGCACATGTGAAGGGAGTGCATTCTTCCCGATCTCATCAGCAATATGGTCTGCAGCTTGCAGGAAGGCATTCGCAGCTGCCGCATCCTGCTCAATCCCCGACGCCTGCATCTCAGATACAATCGTCATATCCCCCGCCACTGTGCCGTCTGCCTCGCTGATGCCATTCACCCTTTTCTTCTTCGTCTTCTTCTTTGTCTTCTTCACCGCTTTCTTCGCGCTCTCACCATCATCTGCCTCGCCCGCCGCGTCTACCTTCACCAACTCCTTCCCGCTCAGTGGCGGAGGCGACACAACAATTCCGCTATCTCTCAAGGCCTTTTCTCTCCTTCCCTGCCGGTCCCTCGCGCGGCACGAGTCGCACATTTTCCAAGGGTTACTCGGCGATAGCAGGTTGTAACACGATTTGATCGAGCACGTGTGATTTGTCCTCCGTGTGCCCCGCGCCGCAGGCGGGATGCCCGTGCTTGGCTCACCAAACGGTGTATCCACTCCACCCATACCAGCGATCTGCATCGTATTGGCGTCTTCATCATCCGCCTCCTCCACGTCCCCGCCATCTTCGCCGTCCCTGCTCATTTCTGACGTTGCACGGCGCGAGGCAGAGGAATAGGCAGTCCATCCATCAAACGCCTGCGCCTTTACCTCCTTGTCGCGCACGCGCTTCAGCTTGCTGTGATGTCTGTTCTGTATGCGGTGCCGCTCGCAGCGGAGATACGGGTAGTCGCCCGGAAGAATCTCCCGGCAGTGTGAGACTGTACACATTCGCGGCGGGCGCGGCAAAACGGTCACCACGCTGGACCTGCCGTCTGTCGACGGCACGAGCGCACCAGGAGAGTGAACTTGCCCCTCGTCAACGCCATTCCATTCGTGCCAGTCATCTGCCAAAGGGTGGGACAGAGGCTATAGGTACGCGATTGGTCACTATATGCGGTCCTAAATGAGTCAGAAGGGCTTACAGGTAATCCTGCTTCTATCCGGCGCCTGTCCTCCTCCTCGCGCATCTTGTGCAATTCCGCAACAGCAATTTCCTTCTCGCGCTTCCACTTGGCACGCTTCGTGGTGCCATAGTTGCGGTATCGGTCCCGACACGGCTCACACATCTTGAAGAACGAGTTACCCGGAACAAGTGCCTTGCAGCCTTTGATCGAGCAGTAGCGCGGCGGGAGAGATGAATCTTCCGTCTCGGGTGGGCTCGTGCTGCCCCTGCAGCCTGTGGAGCTGGGTGTGTGCGGGGTGTTCACCGGATGATCAGCCATGGGAGTAGGCATTGAGCTTATGCTACTGGAAGACTGTGGATTGGAGCTCAATGTCATAGCAGACATGTGCAACGAGGAACCGGACTGTGCCGGATTCTTTGATCTCGGAGGTGACACGGGGAGAAGGGCATTGGCGAGTTCTGAGTCGCTTGAGAAGAGAGCAGGGTCGATGGCACTATGGTCCCAAGTGCTCGAGGCATACACGAACGATGCCGGAGTCTGCTGTGAGGGATGTCAGCGTTATCATCAAAAGCATCGGCCGAGGCGGGAGACATAGACCAGGTAACATTAGTTGTAGAACAATTATATCAGAAGCTTCCAACACAACATCGGTTTCTGCAAGTAATGCATACACGAGACGTGGACCCGTCCACCGGATCGGCTTTTCAGGCGTTCAAACAATATGTCATCTGAGCATACCACATGCAAGCGCAGATAGAAACCAATCAAAACATACGAGATACAGCCTGCACAGCTACGAGCGTCTCGGTGTGACACTTGGTCAGAAGCAGCTACATGCATTCCGCCTGATTCACGAGACCATGTATGCATTGTTGCAGGTAGACGCATGGACTAGTACATGCTCGTGCAGGGAAGATTTCGTTACAGATATCTCTGCAAAGCACACGGCCCATCTCGATCGATATGACACGCAGACTTACCTCGACGACTGGTTCGTTGTCCTCGACGTTATCGTCAGATGGCATCCACACGACCGGCTGCCCGTTCTGCGCGCCCATTGCCGCCTTCTCCATCTTACGCTTTGCTCGCTTCGTGCTCGCATATATGCGATGACGGCCGCGGCAGACCTCGCACATCTTGCCAGTATATCCGGGGATGAGCTCATTGCCGCAACCTCTTACCGAGCAGTAACGTGTCTGCCCGGTGTCAGATGAGCCGTTTGCATCGAATGGATCGTGCGCGTCGTCGACATCGTTGGCGACAGAGCTGGGGATGACGGTAGCATTGTAGAGCTGATGTCCGGAGGGGACGCTGGGAAAAGGGACGGAAGGGCGGTAATACTCGCTCATCTGGGCAGCCAGCCAGACGTCGACTCGGCTCTAGTCCCGCGCGGCCGTCGATTGCAGGCGTTGAGATTGAGAAGGAGAACGTTGCCTCTTGCGGCGGAGCCCGAAACTGCGCTTAAGCGCGGTTTACCGCCACCGCCTCTGCGGCGCTTCCTCCCTGATGCTGCGACTTCCGTTAGGTTCCTCCCATCTATTCGCGCGCCGCTTGTTTCCTGTGTCTCGATGGCATTTCCAGAGAGCACCTCATGCACAGAAATTGCTCCCGCTACCACGAGCAACCTGTAAGGTCGCCTGTATGCAGTCTGAGGTCTGGTGCCACCGAATTGTGGCGGCTAAATGGGAATGTTGTACGCAGAACAAATTATTGTTGGAACAAATGCGGCGCGCTACCCCGAGTATTTGAAAGTGTTCGTGCTGTGTAGTCTGGTGCGCAGAAGAGACACAGGTGCTATGTTCATAGAGCTCATATTTATCGCTCCAATCCAGGATTTGTGTCGAACTGATTTGGTTCCATTGCCCTCACAAGTTTCGGACTTGATGCCAGTGCGCAGATAACTTAGTTTTATTATGGATAGACAGGACTGGATGACTAGAGAGATAGACAGGACTGGATGACCAGAGCCAGTATGATACTGATGCTGATGAAACACGACAATGTCTGGAAATTTGGAACTTCTTAACAAGACAAGGTACAATAATGCATGATATGAACAGCATCTTAGTCTCACACTGAAGCAATCTCCATCCCGTTTCACTCCACATACAAAGAGACTTATCAGACAGCGTTCTGGGAGACTTGCTAGCCAAACGTATCAGAAGTTCGCAGCATTGTCCTAAACGTCTTCAATTGTATCATTTATCCGGTGCGAACAGACACCGGGCTTCTAACTAGATGTAGAGAACGTTTCGCATTCGGAAGAAGCGATGCAGAGTGTTGCAGCCGCAGATCGTTGAAGTGAATTTGTGGGCCACTGAAACGATAGGCAACGACTTCAATGCGGGTTTACCGATCGGGCGCCCACCATTGCGAACACCACTTACGTAATCGCTCTGTTGAAACCACGCCTCCGACACGGCGCTTTCCTCACCAACGCCTTTCTGCAAGCTGTCAGTCTTTCTTACTGCATGACATTAGGTGAACCGAATTCTGGTCTTCTGTACGCCGCCATGGACGATTCCACTAATGACAACCAAAATATGGGCGAGGACATGGAGATCACGCCACCCAAACCATGGCGGAACCTAGGCTATTTTGCGTTCCCGCCGAACGTCAACGCAGATGGACGCGTCACATTCACGCTTCCTGTGAGTCAGCGCGTCCAACAGAGTGCACAAGCCTTCAAAGAACGCGAGGCCGAGGCGTTACGCGACGTCCAGATACGTCTCAAGGAAGCAGCATGGCAAGAACGCTGCCGGCGCGAGGCAAAGGAGAACGAAGAACGACGCGCTTTTGAGCGAGCTGAAGCGCTCAGAGGCGAAATGGAGTGGGTACGCATGGGCGGCTCTCTGCTCGACGCGCACGGTCGACGGGACACGGTGCGCACTGAACGGCTGCGTGCGAAGGTGCGCCTCCTGGATGAGGAGGCACGGCTCATCAAACTGTGGGAGACATATGAGATGCGATGGCGCACACTTCTTGCGGGTAGTGGGCCGGTGACGTTCCAGGACATCCCATGGCCTATGCCTCCGGCATCCAAGGTCAGATTCATGGGCAGCGTCAAGCCGACTCCGATATCGCTGGAAGACTTGACGCAGAAAGCGATGGAGGAGGTTCTTTTTGGCCCACTTAAAATCAGAGGCAACACTGTAACTCGACGCGATAGAATTCGTACGTCGTTGTTGCGGTGGCACCCGGACAAATTTTCGCCGGTGCTGCAAAGAGTGGTGGAGGAGGACACGGAAGCGGTGCGGGAAGGCATCTATACCGTATTCCGGCATCTCAAAGTGTTGCAGGAAACTGAAAGGCAAGGATGAGGTTAGTGGGGCGATTTGGAGTGGGTGCCGTTCTTCCTTTCACATTGAGTATGCACCGCACCCATCGGATACATGAAACGAGCGCGAATATACGATACCTTTCGTGTGGGACTTCTCACTATACATCATCAGCTATTCTTTGTCGCATTGTAGAATTTTTTGTTCTTTGTCGCTGTACTACCTCGCCATGCTTGACAGGTTGGCACACGGCATAAGTTCGATGCCAGGCCTTAGCGATGTTCGGATGCGCAACGAATCGTGTTCTTGTGCTATGCTTAATGGGTCCGACTACCACAACCACATGGTATTCAGGGCTGCTGATCAGATAGATGCTGCCTCAGCTTCTCCTCAGCGCCGCCGTCGAATGATTAGTTGCGATTCGTCTAGAATCTGCTCAGGATCTGCCTGCGAATTAAGCACACACAGAGGGCCGGTCTTAGAGCGGAAAGTCGAAGGCCATCGATCCTCGCAGGCACTGAAGTCGGCGACCAAGATTGGCATGTCTATAGATTCGTTGATACCAATCATCAGTGTCAGAATGACATAGGCACTGAATGACGTTTAGAGTGTATTGTCCGAAACGGATTGGGGCCTCGAACTCGGCGCTTCAAACGGAGCAAGATCCCCGTTTGCTCCCGTTCCGGTCAGTGGTGGCCATGCGTCTTGATATGGGGCATTAAATATTAATCCCTCAAGTCTCACCACTGACCAGCTCGGGGCTCGGAGGCGAAGTACGGTTCAAACTGGTAAGCAACGACACTAGTTACGGACCAATCCAAAATGATGTGTATGCGGACTGCATACGGGGATCAGTCAGACCATTGACCATTGACGGGTGTAAACGAGGGAATTATTCGAGTATTCTTGCCTCGTGTGTTTGTCGATAATGCGTCATCATCTCATCTGAGGTCGATGAGCGATTCTTCGCACACGGCGATTGGACTCATACCACATTGGCGACTTACCTCGGAACAGTCCGTCAGCCGCATGATGCCGTGAAGATTTCTGATTTCTCCATGGACAGTAGCACTCGGGGGCGGCCCTTGATCTCGACAGCCCTGGCACAAGAAGGGAGCCCATCCAATAGAGTATGACAGGTTTGATTTACGCGAGTTCTGAACGAAGCAGACGGACACTGCCCCTACAGTCCCATTGGGTGCGCAGAGAGTGCTAGTGATCACTCAGCATACATGGACTTTTCAGGTGTCATACTTCTTGCGCTACCATCAGTGTCTCAACGTGGGCATTCGCTCTCTCTACTGATGTTTTGTGGTTGTCCGCGATCGATGGCATCGCAGAGTCCTCCAGCGTCCAGCAGCGCGTCTGATCTTGGCGCGCAAAAGCATATGGTCGTCTGATACTACTATCATTCGAGCGCGGGATGATCGCTTCAAGCATCAGCGAAATTCGGACACTGCGGGAAAATGGAAATACCTAAACACATATGTACCTTGGCAGTCGTGTACCGAAGTGCGGCGCAGACGAGTCTGCTGTGAGCGGAGGTCTGAGTGTGAGCGCTTTCAACTCTGGTTCCTTTTTTTCCATTCCAGCAACGATATTCTGAAGTGATGAGGCATCAATACCTCTTCCATGAAGCTGCAATACTTATTGACTCAGGAGCCTCGGCTAGGTCATCATCAGTACTGTAAGCTCCGTCACGCCGTGGAATCAGTGCGCTAAACCATCATCTACATAACGGCTGTCCGCAAATGCGGGATCACAGCAAGTAGTGAATCGCCGAGATCGGTGCTGTCACTGGCAAAGATCGCCGCATAGGCTTTCCTAGTAGGACACCGCAGTTGACGCGAACGCCTATGGAAGGCCGGGAAGCTCTTCAAGTCCTTGTTCAGTCCGGATGGATCTACATCATACTCACGTCCCCTTCAATGCAGTGCGAGATGCACGTTTCCAATATGATGTGTGACACCGGGAGCGGGAGAACAGTACTTCTATAACATATTGATCACGACAGTCCGAGCTCTATCCTTGGCACAAGATCTTCTAGTAGGGCGGGCTGACAGCAGCGCGCGAACTTATGTCAGTAGACTCGACGATAACATTAGAGATCTAATCGCGGTTATGGACGCACGGTTATACGCTGTTTAAGTGAATCAGCGGTGATATCGTGAGAGACACTGCAACATGATCATCAATCCCCACGAGAACCTGTTGGTATGGTGCTTTCCTTATACGACGGCCAACCTTGATAGGCAGATTCACGCCTCGCGGCATCCAAGCGCAATATCCGAGACTTGGTAGTTGGTTACGGATATAGATATACAAATGCCAACTTTTGGATCGATATCTGAGGATGTGCGGAGTTGTCTGAGATTGACTCGGTAGCTTGCAAACTTTAGCTCCTAATTGGTGTGAGAATTGGAATTTCCGAGAGAATGAGAACTCCCAGCTGCGCACAGCCAGCGGAAAGTGGAAAGTGGCCGGTGGAATCACAGCCTTTAGAACTGCGGCTGTGAAACTAGTACTAGTGCTGGGTGCTCAGTCACGCACATCTTTCTCACAGCATTCGTTTCAGGATACAACGTTGCGGCGAAGATCAAATTAGCGATGCATGAAGCTATGCTGGGTAAGGACGTGCTGTCCACGTTGCCGGCCCACGAGCTAAGTAGTACATCTGCTTAGAAACAATCTAGCCATAAAAGTAACAATGCATGGGCTGGCTTGAGCTGAATCGCTCATGGAACATGCAGGCAACTCGGATGTGGCAATAAGTGTGCTACAGTTTATGTAAGCATTTTCGCGATATCCTAAACCCTAGTATATGAGCGTTACTAGAACAAAAGCGTTACTAGAACGAAAGCGCCGAGGCCCCAGCCTGCTTGAAAATTAGCATAGCCTGTTCCTTGCTTCTGTCTGTTCGGTTGCTTCTCCGCAGAGCACTTATATGCCTTTGGAACGAGAGCTGCACCATATGTCAATGTGCGATTTCTGCTCATGACACTTGCACGTGCACGAGGAAAGTTCCTTCGCTCGCAATGAGATCGATACACTGCTGTTAAATTTTAGTTATTCACTCGCCCATTGCAATTCTGCAAGATGAGGGGTACATCCCCTCTATAGGAGTAGGAGTTCCCGAATAATCTCCCCAGATTTCCTCGTATTTTGAGCGGAGACGTTATCACGGATCGGTTTGCAATTCTGCTGGACGCCCACTCGTATAAGACTTTCTTCTTCCGCGTGTATGCACTGGCGCGTCTCTGGAGACGCGCTCTTCTACAGGCATATAAACGCATGTACATTGTAGACCCATCCAGGCATCTGCATCCCCACCCGATCCTGGGGGCCATAGCCATTCATTTCAGTCTCGCTTCCCCATTTGCACCTCAAACAAAAGTTACCGTAATGGATCGCAGAGTTCAACGCCATGACAATTCCGACAGAACCTCGTACCCTCCCCATGTCGAAACTACTCCTACCGACGGAATGGAAGACAGCCCTCCATACCGTGTACTATCCCAGAACTACACGCACCGAGGGACATCTACAGCCATGCGCGCAGCTCCTCAAGGCCTCGCGCTTTCGCCTCAAGGTTTCTCAGAGTAACTATTTTTTTTGCTACAGTTGCTTTGTCAATGCTCAATGGCATGCAGTTTTGGCCAACACATTCCTACAATGAGCGACCAATACTACGCATCTGGGTACGCTTGACTCTTTTGCACCTCACAGTACCTAGCCTTATAGTTGCTGTGTGTAGGGCAGCACCCCACCATTCTTCCTTTGATGGTATGACTTATGATATGACCCATCCTCAAGAACAAACGTGAGATTTCCGGCCTTTATAATTTCCTATCGCTAATGGACACCGTGTCAGCTCGGCCACATTCGGGCTCAATGGCACTTTTCTGTCAGCACCTGCCAATAGCAGCGTAGGGGAGCCCTCGTGAGTGCTGCTTATGCAGGATATTTACGCGGGTCCCCAATTAACAAGTTGATCCGAATTCGTAGGTCAGCGTTGAGCAATGCCCTAGGATCCCACGCTCGGTTGCACTTTGACAGCTCCGAAAATAAAGTGATCGCTTATGGTCCGCCTGGCACGTCATACGGTCAGGTCTCCTTTGCAGCGGCCGCTCCCACGCATCCGTACACGACGGACCCATATCCGCAACATCTGTCTGACCCTTCGTACAATTTTCCATCATTTTCACGCACTCACCACGACAACGCTCTTGTTGTGCTCCCTCTCCCGCGAAGTACCGGCGTTCGCTGTCAATGGGGGAGCTGCCATATGTCACTGGACGATGTCACCCCAGGCGGGATCAGAAGACATCTACTCCAGCACCATCGTGAAGACGCTCTCGTCGTTGGGAGAAGGGATCGCGGACACTGTCGATGGTCCAGCGATGTCGTCTGCGACCGCGAAATGGATCGCGCGAGTTTCAGCAAGCACATCGCTGCCGTGCACATCAGAAGCACCGCGCAGGAATGTCCGCAGTGTGGGACAACGATCGGAAGGCCAGACTCGCTCCAGCGTCACATCCGTGAGCACTGCCCTCAACGACAGAGCTCAGTCAGTGGCTTGCACTTCTGATGCTCCTTCATGCTAGTCATGGAGGATGCCGTTTAACTAGGCCTATATTACCATGCTACCTAATTATTCAAAGACCTGCTGCTCTTCCAAAATTCAACCGGCGTTGCACTAGAAAATCCGCTGGTTTCAGGATTTCATGATCATCTTTCCGCTATGTATCCTACCTTTCTGTTATTCTAACGTGTATCATTAGCTCTTGAATGTAGCATATATATAGGTATATCTATACAAGTAATACTCAGGCGAACAATGTTCCAGAAACGGGGAACACATCCCTCCAACGAGGTGCTGAAGTTCGAAGATGATGCCGCTTCAATATACTGGGGCCGGATGTATTCACTGTTGACCACCGATAAGTAATCAGACCACCATCATGACGAACCGCGTGTCACAAGGACCACTCTGCCACGATCATGACATATAGCCGAAGCCGCGACACACTGGAACAAGTCTGTCAGAATACGTCGACGATGGTTTCCGCTTCTTTGGTTTCCCGTTGCCTTTCGAAGAAGATAGCCGAGATAATGCCACTAAGCGAGCATCAGCGTGCTCACAAAAGAAGCAAGAAACTTGCTGACATCGGTGTAATCGTAGTCCATCGTAGGCGACGCACTGCCTTCCACACATAGATTGTCTGTACGGGCAATGAAAGATCCATAGGCATACCGTAATCGAGGCTACATAATAACATCATCCTATTGAGCACTGACAGTCAGTTTTCTCGTTGGAAAGACGCGTACAATAATATATCATTGGTGAACCATGTCTGCGTTACTCACTGACATGGTCGCGGATATTCAATCTCAGTGAGAAGGTACGTCTGTTTGATGTACTTCACAACACCATGGATGCTGAACTACTGTTGGGTAGAATCAGCAAGTCGTCTGCCCGGGCGGACAAAGCGCAACGATTCGCAGAAACACTGTTGCAACTTGTTATCCGAAGAACAAGAGGTAGCTCATGGGCTTCAACAGGGCGTTGTAGAGCGTCCGGGCTTCTCGCCATCCTTGAAGACGCGGCCTACGACTTATATGATTTAATTCAAACCATGCATGGAGCATATTTTGCATTCATGTAAACACATCCAGCTCGCTTTGACCATCGCCGTCGGCGTTTTTGATACAAAGAATCTTGAGAGATTGTGCGTTTTTGGTCAGTCAGTGCGCGCGATATAGGGAGATTCTTACAGATGGCTGCCGTCCACGTAGGCAGTACCTGCAATATCGTCAAAGCAGCTTCAGATGTGGGATATTGTTCACGTAAAAATATACCACTCCTTGCGTTCATACAAAATACGCACTACGGACTGTGTCTTCTTCGTTGCAAGATACAGCCCGTTTCGCCTTTCGCGCCATCTGTGGAGCTCATCAGAGCATTCGCAGTCGTCATAGTCACTACGGGTACCCACGACGCGACCACGACAGGCGGCTGAGTTCAGGTTAGGTTGTCTTCCCCCGACATTAATTCCTTTATGGTTCGACAACCGCGACTCTCATAGAATGCGATATTCACCACATTTGACGATAATAGACAAGTATTGCGCGAGCTTGCCTCTGCCTGGAATGCCTGTCAGCCAAGGGCACATCTACCATATAAGTCATGGCTGTTATCAGCGCTGTACCGTGGCCTCTGCCTTGCTTTTCAAGCTTGGCTGCTAAATTAAGCACGGAGAACATATCCATTGACTGTCGCCAATGAGGTCAGCCAGTGCTATCGTATATTTCTCCAAAAATCGTGAGCCGCGCTGGAACCTATGACGGCTTATCATCAGCGGCTCAGAAAAGTACATAAAGCTAAAAATAAATTTCTTCTGCCCAGCAAAGTTGAAGGCACTCAGTCCTCTTGCGGTTTCAAAAATGGAATTTGACAATCATATCTGCCAGTCGCGCACCTGGTGTACTAATATTGGCGTCATGGCACATTGACAGTGGGCAGTCATCCGGGTGATTGCAAACTAGGGAGGCGGCCCACAAAGTTATATATGCATCGCCTTCGTCGATGGTAAGCATTCTCCGTAACCTTGTCGCGTTAGCATGCTGAAGATGAAGACGCGAGGTCCATGCAGAACTAGCCGGAATCTGCATCGCGTGAGTGACGATCGGGTCCGTAGCGAACGCATCGTCAAACGTCCTGACGGGATTCGGGACGAATGCTGTCAGAGTCACGTCCACCAAACATTCAGTCATTCGTAGTTTAATTACCAAGTACCACGCACTGTATATCATTCCATTGTCTGTGCAGCAGAATATGCTCGGCCGTCATCTCCTTTTTGACTTGAGCATATTGTTCACTGGGGTGCTGTAGCAGAAAACAGATTGCCGGAACCTCCACACCGGATATTACCTGCAGACCACGCGTATGGTCAAGATACCACCCTCCCTGCACATCAAGGCAGTACTATGAGAAATGAGTAACGCCATAAAGTATTTAAAGAGACCGTAGCCCACGAGTACAGTAGCTCGTTGTATTAGTAGTAGAAGGGAGAGGAGGGTTAGGTACTATAGCGGCGCTTGGTTCACAGACGATTCCCACGGTAATTACCTCGTACAGACTTACGCTAGTAGTAATAATTGTAGCAGTGCATCTGGCTTTAACTTCGGTCTGCTATTCCATTGCGTATAATTCAGACCACTACACATGCGGTGTGGATTCGTATCGTGGACGTTAGCGTGAGAGCCGCTGCGGGCCTAATAAAGTGGCTATTCAAATTGTAAAGCACAATTTGTGACCGGCTTATAACATCGGATGGGACTCGCTTTTCTGGCGAGCCGAAAAGTTCAGGAGACATCGGTAGCCGCAGATCCAAGTCCGTCCTCGTAGTATCAAGGGGCCCCTGACGATTCAGCCAGATAACCATGAGAATCCCTTATCTACACATTGAGACTACCAGCTTGCTCGGAACAGATCGCAACGTTTGTCGTCAGCTCCACGGTATCCGGCTCCTCGGTTGATAAGTTCAGGCCATAGTCTTCATCAGACGATGAGTCGGCATGTGCAGCGAGACTCCGGATATTGAGGAGCATATGCGATCCCTGGCCTTCGAGATGAACACGGAGAAGCAGCCAGAGTCGACCGCTATATTACTCACAGTGGATGACATTATTGAGATTTCCCAACTTCGGGAAATTTAAGACATTGGTACACTGAGTGATGATTTAGTACTCACAAGAAAAACAACCCAGCCAAGGGACTTTTGACAAGCTCGTAGAACAGTGTGTTCAGCAGTCTTATAGCTGGTGGGCGTCACTCATTCCAAATCGTAGACGAACATCATCAACAGGCGCAATAACACACACCGAAGACTACGCCAAATGCGCATATTGCATCACGCAATACTACGGAGAACACCAGATGGCGGCCGAGGTAACTCCTCATGGTTATAAACATTTTGATCAGAGTGAGCGCGAAGAGCAGCGTCTCGAACGCTAGCGGTAACAGCCTGAGTGACCCCATGTTAATTGTAGCCTTCCAACAGGAAAGGTAGTAATTCCTACCAGTACAGAGCCAGCATAGGTGGGAGGCTCGTGACCAAGCATGATTGGTTGTAGTCTAGCTTGCGGATCCCCAAACATATGACGATGATGATCGCTGCAACTTCCATGATGAACAGCAGCACGATCGTCTTGATAAAAATTGGGCTGCGGTTGAACAGTGCGTATGCTGTTGGTATATTCTAAGCTCCACGGACAGCAACTTCGATGTCTGACTATCGACGCACCGCGCATGACGAGAACAGATTCAACCATGATAGTCAAGAATGCGTTAATGCACGCCTGGAGTGCTACTAGATCGTAACAAAGATGGCCACGCTGCTCTTTGTTCATGAAGTAGAACACTGCCACGGTCCTGGAGTGATCGGACCGGCATCAGAGTAGACGTAATGCGGCGATGAATACATAAAGTCGATGTGAAAACTCACAATTGAGCGAGATAAGGCAGGTGGCGAATCAGGGCATAAACGAACTTCAGCCATGGCTGTCTACCACTAAACTGGCTATTAGCATTCCGGTCTCCACCCTTCATCGCAGCGAACGCGCACCACCAAATACAATCGACCTGGCGATCAACGTTGATCAGCGGTATGCGTTCAGCTAATGGCAGCAGCAGCAATTGAACCATACCTCTTGACCGATGTTCAACAGAGTATCATACAATAGGAATGAGGTAGCAGCGAGCGCAAACCTAAAGTTGACTTCCCGACGCAGTTCGTACCCAGCTCCAGTTCCGCGCCATGCCACAATCAGATCGATCACTCACCCACGTCGTCCACCAAGTCAGCGATTATTGAGACTACCATCATCGCCTAGAAGCCCATTACTCATATGTGAGTTCCCGACTATGAGCCACATGTGGCCAATGAGCGTGCCAGTACCTATATGTCTATGCAATGATTGTCAATAAAGTGACTTGATGCATGCAAGCGTAAGCTCACTGTGTTTTCACTCAATGCTACGAAACGTCGAGGATATGGCTGTTGGTCGAGTGGGGACAACAGTCAGTGCAAGTCTCATGTAGGCCGACCCCATGAATCTGCGCAGGGAATGGTGATGAGGATGTATGTCACTGCACGGGCTAAAGATATCACGATCAACTAAAAACTTGACAAGCGGCGGTCGATGCAGCCATGTGCACATGGCGGGCAGGGACAGGGACTATTTGAGAGACGCTCGTCTATTATATGTGCCGAATGACAGATTTGGCAAGCTGTGTGAACGGCAGCCGCAATGATGCGGTGTTCAATTTATACCAGCACTTCCAGAGAACCTGCCATGTACGGATACAAACACACGCTGCGCTGTGGCAGTGAGGCCGAGATATCGCCGACACGCAGAATTTGAGATCAGAATCTTCGTAGCCGTTAACAATGCCGGTACGTATGCAGGCGTAAGCAAAATACCGTAGAACGGATCAAGCAATCAGCCATCAAGGTTCACAGCGGCTATCATTGGACATTGCGCCGCCAATGTCTCCCATCTCGCACAGTTCAACCATCACATCTTCCTCCAAAGAATGATTGAGATGCGATGGTTGTTGGAGAGGTGCCGCGAAAGATATGGAACTGGCCTCGCTCAAGTTAGCCAAGCAAGAAAGGTATGCAGTTTGCGGACGCACCTCGTCACCGATGTAGATAATAGTATTATACAGAAGAAAGCTGACGGCTCCGACGACAAACCGATGATTGACTATGAAATGGAAATGAACGAGAGCTTCCACTAGTATGGTTGATTAGCTGACTCGCGAATATTCTCTGCAAGATCAGACGGCGTCACATCGGAGTGCAGCATGACTTGTGTTCTTTTTCCCGCTTATCTGCTGGTAATTGACGTAGTAGCAGCTATGCAGTGGCAACGAGGGGAGGCGGGTTCTTATAGTCATTGTTCAATAGTCAGATAAGGTTCAATAGAAGCTGCCTTTAAGTCCGCTGGTGCCGGTTATTGATGAATCTTTGAGGAGGCACAGTCAGGAGAAGCGTTATCTTCTAGCTTGAACCGCACTATCTTCAGCGCTTCGCGGTCATGTCGCTCAATTACAAGCGCTGTGATCCTCTTACATCGCAGTCGATGTGTCATTGCGATTTGGACAAAGACGAAGTGGGGCAGATTCAAGATAGTGTCGACCTTTGCCACTTATCACGAATCATAAGGCATTAGTTTCCAGACTTCACGCTGTGCAGAAACGTACAGTGTACAGTACTTGCTGCAAATGCTCCCAAGACTTTCAAAGGGGTAGATTAAGATGGACCGTCTGTACATTTTCTCACTCCCTGAGAGATAGAAGATCGCTTGTCGTGAACTTGAAACACATGCCGAGTGCCGACCGGTGCTGACCGCAGACTCAGGCTATCCACACGGTGGCATAATAGAATATTGATGGGCATTACACCTAACACCAGCGAATGCCGTAAGTTCGAAGTTAGCATAGACTCGTCGTGACAATGATTGTATGTGAACGTTCTACTATGTACCCAGAAAGACCCCCCGGCTGCCTTCATTTGTGTTCTCTTGAACCTCTCAAAAGCTCAAAAAGTCTATCCGAAGGATTGTCTCGAGGACGAGTGATATAGTGCTAGATATTGCCGAGTGGTTCGGTTGTCGTATCATAGTTCCATGATCGGCCTCTTGAAACATGCAGCAGATCTATATGTTTGACGACCAGGTCACCAAGCAGAACCTTAAACCACCTTGTGGCTCTCTGCTCAGCAAAGCCGATCCAATCACTGTCTTTAACGCTTGGACCATAGAATCTGTTGGAAGTGAAGTGCGGGATGCACTTGGGTATGTGCTTGGCATGCCGAGCACATACATATGTTGTGCCGTGGTGAAACACGTCGGAAGCGGTACCTGGAGATGGAATGGTCAGAAAAGCACAGGAGACAGGGGCAGAAGGTAGTATAAAGTACGTACCTAGGTAACCAGTTCCCTCAGCCATTTACACAACTCATTACGCACTCTAACGAGGTCACTGGGGAACTGGGATGGATGCAGACTGCTACCACAGTGTCCAGCCCAGGAAATTCCAAGAGAATCTACCTGTGAAAAGAATCCTAATACCGTGGCTGTGCTATTGAGCTTCATAATAATATACTCACTATTAAGCCTCAGATTGAGAACACGGAATGCGGGTGAGCGTCCGGGATGAAGAAAGATGCGGGATGATACGGATCTTTCCGATATGGCATTCCTTTATATATACATGTACACATTAGGAAATATTATCTAATTCCTTAGCCACATTGGTCCGGACTCTTGTTTGTAAGGGCCTCGGTATCTCGGCTTGTTCCCGAGCGTCGGTCGTGAGGTTCGGCTTTCTCAACACTCCCCTGCAAGCCGATGGACATCCCAAGCAAATGAGATGGCTTTTGATGCTGCAGTTTGGGGAGTGCTTTCATGAAAATGTCTGCAATCATATCTTCAGTAGGACAATAAACAATATTAATACATCCCCTTTGTTGCTGTTTGCGCACATAATGATATTTTACATCAAAATGTTTGGAACACGCATGAAACTGAGGATCTTTTGCAATTGCAATTGCAGAATTATTATCCTCATACAACAGGGTAGGTTGGGACTGTGTCACGGCGCATCATAGATCCTGCCAAAAGGCAAGGAAATGGCTGCAAGGTGCTAGCCATGCTCAGTGACCTGCACAAAAACCAAAATAAGGACCTGCCACAAGGGGGCTAGGTCAAAAAGGCATGCAGTAACATGCAGCCTACAAAAAGGGGCTCAAAGGGCCCATAGCCTTATGTCACACAAAGAGAGGGTAAAGGCTTCCTAGGCCGCATGAAATAGATGAATGAATCTAAGGTCTTTCCTTAGATCCTCATGTGCTTATATACATGTAGTGGTGGACCCTGGGTACCCTAACTATGATGTACTTACTGGGGTCCTGTCCTGTCTACATGTGAATATATTGCCAAAACCAGTAATGGTTCTGGACTTTGCTATAGCAACTATCTATAAAGGCCATGGATACGCCAAGGTAATCCTACTTTACCCAATGAGATAATTGCCTGAAGGTGGTGCCACTATTTGAGTAGTTAAAGTGGTGCCACTTATTGAGTGGCCAATGGGGGTTCTGCCATAGTGCTGTGAGGTGGCCAGCGCGGCTGCCCTCACTATAAGTGCCCTCACTATAATTGTGCTCCCTAACATTTGACAGCAAGCTCAGAGCAGAACAGGCACATTGCGTTCAGGGTGGGACAGGTACATCAAGTCTGTGCTACAGATCGTCTACATGGATGGAGCCCTCCGAACCTCGGGACACGATCTCAGAACCGACCGTCACCTCCAGAAAAGTCCTCCGGGCACAGCATATTGTCCGAATCATCACCAGCTTCTACAGGCATGGAGGTGTATGGCACTGCTGAAGGCTGGCCATGTTGAAGTGAAAGGGAGGCAGAAGCTTTGGACGAGGGAACATCAGGGCACATTGATCTTCGCCCGAGCGCGTCAAGCAAGCGTTGCCGCAATTGAGGGTCTGGGAAAAGATCCTCAACCATTGTGGTCGACCTCAAACTGTGATCGTGCGACAAAGGGAAGGTGGTGAGGGCATGGAGATCACAGACCCAATCAAAGGAGTCAGTCAGTGGCACCTGCATTCTGGTCCGGGTGAGCTCAGTGCAGGTGGTGTCAGCGAGCTCCTGAGGCTACGGGTCAATCCAAACAGAGGAGAAAAAGGAAGACATAGGACATGTACCAGGAGGGATCAGACTCGGTGGTGCCATTCATTCCACTCAACCACAGCGGAACATGAACTGGACGGAACATGTATGCATTCCATGGACAGAGCCTCGAGCAGCAGAAGGTATCAATGTATGTGCAGGGTGTAGACAGATCGCTGTTTGCCAGGGATGCCATCTGGTGTGCGAGACATGGCAAGACGAGAATAGGGTGAAGAGTGGCAATGGCTGGGAGGGGCACGAGAAGGGGCAGGTAGGTGGAGATGTGGACGTGTCCAAGGACCGCAGCTGTGGACCGGGTGAGGTACTGATGGGAGACTGCATCCAAGATGATGCCAGGAAACCCCAGCATATGAGCACGGGCCAAGAAACAGGTGAAACCATTGGGGCAGCATGGGCAGGGTGTCTGAAGAATAGACAGGGCACCTTCAGATTGGGGACAAGGGAACTTTCGTGGTACGGGACGACCACTGGCATGGGCCCTCAAGGAATGCAGTGAGCAGAGTGTGACATGGGCAAATAGAAGGCAAGGGATTCAGAACGAGACACGATGGGGTGGTCTGCAGTGGCAGGCCCTCCAAGGGATCCAGAATGAGACACGATGGGGTGGTCTGCAGTGGCAGGCCCTCCAAGGAATTCAGAACGAGATGTGATGGGGTGGTCCACAGCGGCAGGCCCTCCAAGGGATTCGAAATGAGATGAGCAAGGTGAGGGAACAAGTTACAGGACCAAGCGGGGTCCGATGTGTGATTGAGTCTCGGGCGAACGTGCCCTGAGGGCGTAGTATAAAAGGGTGGTGTAGTTAGGTAGTTTGGAGGAGCTCCGACAGCATATCTACAAGCTAGAGTATGCGAAGAGGCTTGCGCAGCGGTGCACAGAGACAGCGGTCTCCCTCTCCTCCACAACCTACTGCTTCTAAAGTTCACGATCTAATCAGAATCTTTGCTCTCACTGTCGAACGCGCTTGACCGACCACCGGAACATTGTCACTGAGATGGTACGCCCACCTCCTGAGACTTCTGTACTTTGTCCGGAAGTCATTAGACTTGCCCCGGAACTGTTCTATCACGTATATCTCACTTATATCACCCCAGCCCGTACACTCTACATGGCTGGTGGTTTATTGGCTGCCTTGTTGATTCATTTCTTCACCATATTATACATTTGGCTCTTGCATTGCCTTTAGATGCAGACCTTCCCCGCACTGTTCCCCCTTCACCCCACTCAGTTGTTTGCTGTCCTTTCACAGCTAGCCGAGTACTCACAATCACATTTTCTGGAGCCCACTGCAAGGGAGAAAAAGTTTAGGAAGGTGAAGACCTGTCACAGTATTAAGTGGCAACTTTCTTTTTGCACCAATAAAGTCATCATTCAGCAACCACAAGTGGTTATTCAGATGCCAACCTTCATATTTGGTCTCACAAAGTGGATACTTAGATAAACAGCACAATATTACCACATACATCGCAGATATGACTGTGTCTACCACATGACCACCAAGCGCCCATGATTCAGCCACCCAGTCACGTGACACTGGCCGCTTGCCCTATTTGGAAGTTATCAGGCATTGGTCACATGACACCAGGCCACTTGCCCAGAATGGAACTCTTTGGCCCACAATAGGCTTACCTGTGCTCATTGGACCATCAAGCTAGCAAGCACCCAATTCGCTGCTCAATAGCAGCACCAACTACATGGCTGCCAAATAGTAGCACCAGCATTAGAATATGCACTATGGCAGAACCCCCATTGGCCACTCAATAAGTGGCACCACTTCAGCTACTCAAATAGTGGCACCACCTTCAGACAATTATCTCATTGGGTAAAGTAGGATTACCTTGGTGTATCCATGGCCTTTATAGATAGTTGCTATAGCAAAGTCCAGAACCATTACTGGTTTTGGCAATATGTTCACATGTAGACAGGACAGGACCCCAGTAAGTACATCATAGTTAGGGTACCCAGGGTCCACCACTACATGTATATAAGCACATGAGGATCTAAGGGAAGACCTTAGATTCATTCATCTATTTCATGCAGCCTAAGAAGCCTTCACCCCCTCTTTGTGTGACATAAGGCTATGGGCCCTTTGAGCCCCTTTTTGTAGGCTGCATGTCACTGCATGCCTTTTTGGCCTAGCCCTTTGAGGCAGGCCCATATTTTGGTATTAGTGCAGGTCACTGAGTGTGGCTAGCATCTTGCAGCCATATCCTTGCCTTTTGACAGGATTTATCATGCGCCGTGACAAGACTCGAAGCCAAGTCAGGGCAGCCCAAGTCCTTGCCAAGGAAAGAGCATCTGGTAGAGCAGACTTCCCGGACATGGACGCCTCAGCTTCATCAACACTTTCAGCAGTGCCAAGCATCTCAGACAAAATTTTTGAGGAAGTGATCAAGACCGCGACCAAGACTGAGTCAGACACCGGAGTGACTACCGAAAATCTGTACCCCGAAATCCCAATCGACAACACGATGGCAAGCGTGGACGAATACGAACTGTCGATGTACGACAACGTGACGGACATAGCACAACAAGAAGATTCCATACTGTGAGATCTCTCCGCAATTCTTCCCAGGCACTTCGCAGTATCAAGGGACACAGTGACAACCCCGTCCGAAGTACGAAAATGCAAACATACGCTCTCGTACATGCCCAAAGGAGCATCAGGCGAGATGGCCCTGACGGTCACTGTTCAGCGACCCCCGGAACTCGTAACAGGGACTCGATCGGTGTTCACCTTGCAGATACCAATTTTCACCATGGCAGGGCACAGTGGAGGATCTGGTCCAGGCAATGGAGGATCCTATGGCAGCAGCAGAGGAGGAGGCAGCAGACTGGGCAGGAACCCGGGTGGTGGCCTGAGCAGATCGAGCAGACTTGGCAGCAGATATGGTGGAGGATCGGGCAGCAGTGGAGGAGGAGGTGGTGGACCAGGCAGATCAGGCAGACCAGGTGGACTGGGAGGACCAGGAGGTGGTGGCAGCGGGCCAGGGCCAGGACCAGGACAAGCTCTAGGAAGGGGTTTCTTGATGCCAGCCCGAGGACAGAAGACTTCTCCAACATTTGACGGAAAGCCTCGAAAGCTGCGCCAATACTTTAATGATCTGGATGAGCTAGCGATCCAGGTCAGGCTTACAGGAGCACAGAAAGTTCACTATGTGCTGTGCTACCTCACCGTACAACAGGAGAAGTTATGGTCTACAGTTCCCACGGAGGCAATGGCTGACTACGTGACATTCAGACAGCAGATCTTCGAATTGTACCCCGGAGCAGAGGGCAATTGACTCTACACCATTGCCGACCTGGAACAATGTGTCTCCAAAGCACTCACCCAGGGCATTCACACTCATGCCGAAGAAGCTATCTATTTCCGTGAATTCGCTCCAATAGCGAACTACCTGATCTGGATGGGACGAGTATCACCCGTGGCCTGAGACGAGCGATATGTTAGGGGATTTCACCTGACCGAGAAAGCAACCATTCTGCTCCGGTGTGAGATACTGCACCCGAACCATCATCTGGATGATCCATGGAGCATAAATGATGTCCACGATGCAGCACAGAAGACTCTGGTGGGGGAAGGTCTAGTTGGGGATAGCTATGGGATCCTTGGAGAAGGTGCGAACGCCAGCAGTCCAGGACCCGCTCCGGCTGCCCCCACAACAACCTCTGCTACGAGCGCAACCAATGGAATGACCTCCAGGATGACTGCAGCAGCCATCAAGCAAGAATCTGGTAAAATTGCAGACCTGCAGAAATTGGTAGAATGCCTAACAAGCTTCTTACAAAGTCAGGCTCAGTGTCACGGTAACACCGGACAAGAGACCAAAAAGGACTAAAAAGGGACAGTCATGTGGAACGTGCCACCCTGATCCCCCTGATCCCTTAAGTGGTGCAAGAGCCTGTTGACTTACTAGTCGATGTGGCGGACGCAGGCAAGGGATAGAGATATATGAAGGAGCTTGTGAGCTCAGTGAGTGCTACAGGTAGTAGACGAGGAGAAACAATCTGAGGTTTCGTCCCCTACATGGCTGGTCTTATATACACGTACAGTGGGCTATCTTACCTAAGCTACCTATCTACGGGTATA